TCTTCTATTCAAAAACCGGAAACCACCTCGGAAAAACAGTCATTTTCGGGGTTTTCTTTTGCAAACCTTTCAAAGCCTAAGCCTTTTACAGCTTCGACAGAAACACCTAAAGCTGTTGAAACTCCAGGATTTTCTTTTGGTTCCTTAACGAATCATTCAGCGTTTACTGATGTTTCTTCACTTGAGCAAAAGAAAGATGGAAAGCCAGGCATTTCCTCAATTCCACCTATTAGCTCCGCTGTTTCAGCGGCTGGCAACGAGGCGGATGTTTCTCAAACCACTAAAGAACCTAAACCATTTTCCTTTGCTTCATCCCCAAAAGTGGATGAGAAGCCGAAAGAGACACCTGTTTTTACCTTTGGCAATGCTGGAGAAAATCAAACCAATAAGGAGCCTAAACCATTTTCCTTTCCTTCATCCCCAAAAGTGGATGAGAAGCCAAAAGAGACACCTGTTTTTACCTTTGGCAGTACTAGAAACAACGCCTTTTCTTCCGCTACTCCTGTAATGGAAAAAGAACACGTGGAAGAAACGAGCCTGCCACAGTTCTCATTTACCGTTTTACCTAAGAAAGACATTCCTGGTGGTTCTGTAAATGAGAAGGCACTATCTGCTACCGACGAAGTTCCGTCATTTTCTTTTTCAACTTTGGAGAAAAAAGATTATTGAGATAATGATTTTAAAAGACTTGAGTTTGTCGAGTTGATTCATTTGGAACGATGATGAGATGTCTGTTTCGCAAATTTATCGAAATATACTGAGATCAGTCATTAATTTTGGAATAGCTCTTACGAGTATAAATTGGGAACAATATGATGAAAAAAGGGTAACAGGTGACGATAATTTCAAAAAAGTTTCAACGTCCATGTACACAATCTATATCAATTTATGTAAAATGGAAAGATACTTCGATTAAAGTGAAGGAATATGTAAACATAAATAAGTAGTATTTCGTCTTTCTCTTTCTTTTCTTTTCTTTTATTCATTGAACTACTCTTGTTGCAAGAATGGATTAGGGATTTCCTCAGAACCATCCATTGGAGCAAGGAGTACCAAAGTAGTACCACGTACAACAATCAAGCCAAGCTTCCTAGTTTTATCTAAAAGTTTACCATCTTCGGGGTTTTTCAAATGTTCATCCACATCGTCTAAAACAAGATTCATAAGTTGATCATAACCCTTGAGCACACCAGTAATTTGACGTCCTCCCGTAAAAGTAGCTTGAATTCTTTGATCTTGATATCTGGACAAATCCAAAATGGATTCTTTCCTGGGTTTTTCGCTATATTACAGTTGTTAGTAACGGTGCTTTCTTTGTGATATTCCTTACGTTGGCTGACTAGAATTGGCGGGTCCTGGGCGCTTCTGCACGGTAGACATATTAAATAAATCCTTTTCTCTCACTTAAACTTAGTCTCAAACAAAAAGCTAAGATTTGGGAAATTCCAAACTTCGTACAGGTAGGATTTCTTGAACCCATGGAGAATTGGAAAGTCGAAGGCGCGCTCGCTAAATACATAGTCGTAAATAGTTGTACAAGATACTAAGTCTTGAAGCATCTTTCAATTTTGGTAGGACAATTCCATTTGAAATAAAATCAAATAAAGATTTATAGAAATGAAATGATCAAGATTTTGTGCTTAGCTCCATGGTAGTTATTTCTATCATCGTTACTCGTGAGCAATTCATTTAGCTATTGACAAGTCTATAGTCCTAAAAACAAAATAATCAAAATAAATATTATGTAGCCTTTAAAAATGTAATAAAGGGATGATAAAGGCATGCTAGTTCCATATGATACAAATGTTCGTTCTTAGATTGAATGTTAACCATAGTTTCCTTGGTAAAAGAAATGGCATTAGTTATTTATATATAAAACGTATTGAGCATATAAAAACACAAGGAAAAGAAAATAAAGGAAGAATGGAAACCGGAGAAAGCAATTCATGTAAAGTTGCTCATAGAAATGGAAGAACCGCAGCGACGTCAACAACAAAAATTAATGAAATGAAAATTAGAATAAAAAAAGAGCTCATAATGAGATAGATCAACGACTAGAGTTTTAATCTTCTAGTTCGACAACAACGGTGCCACTAGGAAACACGGAAGGAAGATCGCAAATTGTCGACTCCATTTCCAAAATTTCTCTTGGAAGAGAAGAATAGAGACTAAAATGAAATTTGTGCTGATAATTCTCAGGAGGAGCAAGGACAGCAGAAGAAGACATAGCTTGTTCATAAACTTCAGGTTCTTCTTTAGCAAAAAGCAAGCTGTCCACGAATTCATATATGCTTTTAACCAAACAATCTTTCTCAAATCTTCGAATAACACGAGTCCCATCAGGTAAGCGAATAGAAAGACGAGCTGCTTGCGTATTGGGTTGTGGTTCAGAGGGAATGCTAACAGCCAACCAAGAACGATACTGAAGAGACAATTTTAGCATTCTTTCTTTTTCCTCTTGTTCTTTTTGTTTACGTTCACGTTCTTCCTTGGCTTGCTTTTGCCTCTCACGATCGCGAGCAAGCGATGCTTGATAAGCATCATCCTGTTGACGTCTTAATTCTCTCGTAGATTCTCTAGACTCTCTTTCGGTACGGAACCTTTCCAAAGAAGGTAAATGACGTGCCAAAGCGTTTGTTAAAGTATTTTGAAGCAGAGTTGAATCCATAGGTCCATGCAAATGAGCCGCGACTACAAGTTCTGAAAGTTGAGGAGAATACATAATCAAAACTGCAGAAGGAAACTTTGTGCAATTGAATTGTCTAGATCCTTGAAAAGCTTCGTCTTCGCAAACGTCACCAACCCAACAAAGAATGTTGCGACGGGATAAGAACCCTTTGACTTCTTCGTCCATGAGAACCTTTTTGGAAAAGTCCTCCATGTCATCACTCTTTGTACTTGTAAAAAACAATAGAGCCACCCCGAAGCTACGTTTCGTTCTGGCCAATGCTTCCATATACCCACCTTCAGTGAAAAAGTCAATATGATTTGTACCATACTGTTCTTCCAAATTTTGAAGCAACTTATTTGCTGCATCGGCTGGTGACAAGTAGCGTTTCCTAGCACCAAGGATAGGAAGGAATGTTGGCAGCAATGGTACGCGTGACAAAAACATCCAAAACTTGTAGAAGCCGCTGAAAATAAACGAAAAAATGGAATGGAAAAACCCAAATCCAGGAAGCGGCTTCTTCTTTCTGGATTCCTGGGAAGATTCACCCGTTAAAAATTCCACTGCCTCCTAAAGTACAACCGTTAGCGATATTCGAGGCGAACCTTACGACAAGTCGCTTAGAGAAGGAAAAAAACACAATTGATCTTCTTTGTATTACAAGAATCGACTTATGAAGTGCAACGGCTCCGTCATTTGTCTGACCTATCCTTCTCGAGCGTTTAACTTACGTACCTGTACATTCCAATTAAATGACTCTAAAACAGATTGGGCAGTATCTACAGGAACATCTAAAGAGCTTTGTAAAGCTTGAATAGCTTCCTGTTCACCGGATCTTGACATATCGTCGATATTGGTAAACGGATACTCTCCCTATAGTGGGAGTCCAACATCATACATGCAAGTGTACGTTCACCAACACCTTACTATATGCAGGATCAAGAACAATAGCATCAATTCTACTTGATTTTGTTTGCTTTATATCTTAAATTTAAGAATTACAACTTATTCCATTTGCAGACATCGCTTCTCGCCAAATTGCCAAATCGCAGAATAGAATTGAGTTCGTTTGTCTCGGTGTGGAGCCAAAGTAAATATAGGCCCGTTTGCATAATTTAATTATTTTTTGAAAAAGAAGAGACGATTTGTTTTAGGCTTTTTCAGTGGATCTGAAAAGTAATCGGAAGTTACTGGTTTTGGACTCTTTGAGAAAGAATCAACAGGATTTTTTATTAATTTATATTTCGATTTTTTGATATTTCACTTCATAGATTCAAGCTCCTCCTGGAAGAGGGCATGGATTGCTAAACCAAAGTTGAATCAAGGGTACAAATTTGAAACGTCAAAGATTGACCTACAAACAAAAAGAATTGCGTACCTCTTCCTCATTAAAATTCTTGTGATTATGACTTTCTCTATTATGCAATGGTTATATACTCAAGATGAGTCTGATGAGGCCTTTCTGAAATTTGTACTTTTCCTATTTATCACCTTCTTTTCTGCATTGGGTGCACTTCTGTTTATTACTTTACTTTTGCTTTTGCTTCGGTACTCTGGCCATGCCAGGATTTTGCTACGAAACAATACGCCTGGTGAACTGGATGATGAAGCAATTGAGAATGAAAACATTGATGAAGAAGGATTTGCACACCTAAGTGAACCTGGAAAAGAACGATTCTTGCAGGCTCGTGAGTTTGAGATGAGTGCTGCTCAATCTCGCATCAACACGGATGCGAAATTAATTGATTTTTTGCAAGTTCAAGAAAAAGGGGTGTTTGCATGGCATTTTATGCCTAATTTGGACTATGGTGCTTATGCATCTAACCGCACGGAACTTTCCTTTACTCAAAAGGAAGAATGTTGTCTTCAAACAAATCTCCCATTGCAACGGATTAACGAAGTGTATTATTGGGAAGCCAAGTTGTTGGAAGTTGATGAAAATACTACAATATCTATAGGACTAACTACGAAACCGTATCCCCCCTTTCGCATGCCCGGTTGGAATTTCTGGTCGCTAGCTTATATTTCCGATGGAACTCGGAGATGCAATTCGCCTTTTACAAATAAACCATATGCATCATTTTATCAAAAAGGAGACGTCATTGGTGTTGCTTACAAGCCGAAAGTGAACAGAATTTTCTTTACGAGAAATGGCCGTCGCTGTGCTGAATTGCCGTGTACATATCGAAACGTGTATCCGACAGTAGGTGCAACAGGTCCATGTGTTGTCCATGTCAACCTTGGCCAAGCTGGATACGTGTTTATCGAAGCAAATATCAAAAAGTGGAGATTAGCTCCTCCGGCGGGAAGCTTGGCACCTCCTCCTTCTTATTTTACACCGCAACCGACCGTAAATTGGGACACGGTCAGTGAATCATCTGTTCAGACGGTTACACAAGCAGATGTAAATCCACCGCAAATTCCGCAATCAAATTCGAATTCGCACACTACAAAAAGTGAATCCCTTTCCTCGTATAATACAGCGTTTCAAGGGTTTCCTTCTTCCTCTTATGCTCAATCGTACCCCATGCATTCAATGTCTGCACGTTCCAAATCTGATGGTGAGCAGCAATAAAGGATGGCTTTCGATATATATTTTTCATCGGACTCCCTTTTCTGCTATACAATGCATACTTGATTTTTTTTCGAAATAGTGTGATGGTTTCCTTTGCACTGTTGAACGATGTCCGGTTGGAAGGTTCGTGAAATTCATGCATGCGATTTCAACTCATCCTTATGAAAGATCGAATAATTTTATTTATTTTTTTTAAACATAATGATATGGTTAATAATTTGAGCCAAGATTCTTCTCCAAAGCTCAATTTTAAAATGAGCGAAAACAAACAGCAGATCGTCGAAATGGTTTTTCTTGTTCCTTTTTCCTAATAAAAATGATGTTGCAAGACTTGTATGAAAGACTTTAAAATGCAGTGTGATTAAAGAAGCATATTATTTATTATTAGCTACAGCTTTTTCAAGAAATCGACCATTTCTTAAGTTCGCATCTTTTCTTCCATATGGACTAGTAGACTGAACTAGTCAATGAAACTAACTCACTCTTATCCATAGCCACCAACCATTCGTAAAAAGCAGTATCGTAATAAAGAAAGAAATACAGAAATTTATTCACAAGTAGGTACATACTAGCTATTCCGTAAATTGTTATTTGTTTGTTTTCTCTCTTGCATATTGCCTTTGTTTACCATTTTTAGAACGCACAAGCCAGTGCACTATATCGTATAACTGGAGCATCTTTTAGATTCGCTAGCTATACCTTAACATATAGACATCACCATGACATAACAAAGGGAAATAAGAATGAAAGCTTAGGCTCTTTTAAGGTGCTTTCTTAGCCAGAGCCATGCATCCTACAAGTGGAGGAAAAGCTGAAAGGCCACCGAAAAAGCGATATTCTGAGACATCTCAAGAATCTTTCACATTTTTTTCATTGGTATGATTTTAAAATTGATCGAAAAGTTATGTTAACGAAGGTTAGGGCACAAATGTAAGACACGAAAAATGGAGTAGACAGAAGGACTTACATAGTGTAGGGAGGACCATTAGAGTCAGATTGTAGTGCGCATCTTCTTTCCGATGGGCGTTTCCAGGAGATAATTTCGATTGATGGAGGAGGACATCTTTCTGCGTTAGCGGAACTCATAGAAAGAAAGCAACTGACAGTCGACGTTGAAGAGAGAGATTCTCAGGTTGCAACGAAGGGTATTTCGCAAGACAATGTATATGCGAAAGCTTGGTTGTTTTCTGAACAGCGTATCAAAACATTTTTAATCTCACACTGCCATTTTGATCATATTTACGGTTGTGTTATCAACAGCGCTATGTTTGGTCCCCAAAACCCAAGGACGATCGTGGGATTGGACTATGTAATCAATACCCTTAAAAAGCATGTTTTCAATAACCAAGTGTGGCCTGCGTTAGATAAAGCCGGTTTTATAAATTTCAAGATGTAAGGATGAAGGAAGCTTTTCGTGATGTGTCTTGCCATATATGGATATGGAAGGAAGATGAAGGGGAAGAAGAAACTGCCTTTTGTCGCAATTTTGCAGTTACTAACAACAATATTTAGAATCGATGAAACCATGTATACCAACATAACCTCTTCCTTGTCTATATTACCTTTTCCCGTGAATCATGGTTCGTCATTTGGCCATGAGTTGAAGTCATCGGCATTCTTCATTCGAAACGGTTTAACGGACCGGTATTTCCTAGCCTTTGGGGACGTAGAACCAGACAAAGTAGCGTCAGATCCACTGAATATTTATATTTGGAAAATGTGCGCTAATCTTATTGCTAAAAAGAAGTTAACTCATATATTAATTGAATGTTCTACTCCTGATATACCTGATCCATTATTGTTCGGCCATTTTTGTCCTCGGCACTTAGTGGAAGAGTTATGCTCCCTTCAGTCTCTCGTTATCGGTTTAGGTGGGAATATGGATAATATTACTGTGCTAATAACTCATTTGAAGTCTCATCCTCTTCAGACAATAGATCCTGCAGCCGTCATCATGGAGCAGCTTGAAGCTTTAAGTAAGCAATTTTCCCTATCTGTTACATTTAAAATCGTGCAACGAGGACAGTTCTATAGATTTTCCTAACAATGGTTTTACGGTCGTTGTTTGAGATTTTATATTCAGTCTGCAGTATGCAATGTGTATGGTTATAATCATTCGAATTTCATTGTTTTTAGAATTACTTTCCGTTGCACTTACTCTTTTTTTTTCTGTTTCCTTTTTTCTTATAATACAAAAATTTGGCATCACTTACCTCCATCATTAGAATTTTTATACACTAAAGCGATTGGAATTTTGGTCATAAGGGAACATCCCTGTTAATAAAAGCTCGATGTTTACTAATTCGATTTCAATTTGTATGGGTTATCTTTTTGGATTCAAGCATAACTATTTATAGTCTGAAAACGATGGTTACTATAGTTGCGAAACGGAAACCTCTTCATGATATTACATTTAATAAATCTATAAGCGCATTTCAACATTACATACACGACATGTTTATACGGCCAAAAAGGGGTCCCTTCTTTACTTATGAAACATACGTATAAGCAGTAGACTTGAGTTGTTGTTGATCAAGCTGAAAAAAGTCAATATTTTGAATAAGTTCAAAAAGGTTTCCTGCTCATTCTTCAAGTAGCTTGAGGAGAAAAAAAAAAGAATGAATATTATAAGTATAGGCAAGCATTAGAAGAGAACAACAATGTTATGCAAAAGCAAGGAATTATATCAAAGGAGGCTAAGGCGTATAGTTTAAAACATTGAAGTGGTTGTTTTTTTCTTACCCAACTGCATACCCTTCACCCGAGGGGCAGATGCAGCCTTTGCAGCAGAATGATATGACTCCATAGCAGATTCTTCTTCTGCGTTAGCAGCCATAGTAGTGTTGACGGTTTGATATCCAGCCGATTCATAAATATCAGATGCAGGGTGAGAAGCAGCACGCCTAGCATCTTTCTTTTGCATTTCCAATTGTTTGATCCGTCGTTTTCTTTCTTCAGTTGCTTCTAATTCTTTGTTCTAAACATGTGTGTTAGTGGTCACAGAATTTTGGCAAAAGGAGAGACAATTCGTGGAAGGATGTGTGCATTTGCAAATAAACGGAATCCTTTCTCCAAACCATTGATCGATCGATCCACGGAGCATGCAAATTATTTGTAGTACGTACCCTTGAGACAATTTCTTGAATCTTTTCTTCGTGACTTTCCATTTCCAAATACATTTTGACTTGAGGGAGCGTAACATTATCCCGATAACCAAGGCTCGTAACTTCATCAAATGCAATGAAAATCTCAAAAGCATATTCCAAAATCTCTCTTTCATCAGAAGACGGGCATATAGAGGTTAATGCTTGGGACAGCAAATGAAGAGTATCAATGTCTTGTAAAATATTGGATTGCAAGTTTGTCGTTAAAACCATGTACAGTTCATCAAAAGGTTGATATACAAAACGAACGTTTTCTGTCTCGACTGTCGTATTTTGGGATTTTCCAGAAACCAATGCAGGAAATGATGACAACAGACTCTCTACACGAGCTCTAGACATTTCACGGAATTGACGGGAAATAATGGCTATTCAACCTGTTAACTATCTTTCTATCCTCAGCAAGCAACCAACAAATCCTATTACCACGAACCTTTACCACCTCGATTCACAATACTTGCTGCTAAAACAACCTAACGGGAATTAGCATCTCTATTTTCTTCTTGTACCATACCATTTTTTAAAAGTAATTGCTTTCTAATTGTAGCAGACAAATCTATGATTTTGTTAATGGAAGGTGCTTTATCTTGGTGTTGCATGAAATGAGAAGTTTACGAACAATAACGGTATCGTTATGCCGAATACGGAGTCTCAAGACATTGTTAGAGTGAATAAGAAAAGTCTTTCATCATCCGCTAGAAAAGGAATAAATAAATAAACAAAAAATATACAAAAAAAAAAACGCCATGGTTTCCACTATTGAAACGGCTACAGGCGGTTGGTGTCTTTATTAAATCAGAAAATACAGTTGTATTTTTGTTTTTACTTCGAATTGAAAAAGAAAATTTTTCCGTTCCTCCTACCAACGTTTGTTGAAGCTTCACAGAACGAAAATTTCACTTGGGAGTAGGATAGATCCTTTTCCTTTTATTTGTAGAAAAATATAATCTCTGAATACAGTTAAAAAACAAGAACCGTTAAAAGAAAGAATAAAAAGGATAAACAAACCAAAGGGATACGAAAAAAAGAACTCCCACTGCGAGACTCGAACTCGCAACCTTCCGGTTAAAAGCCGGACGCTCTAAGCCGATTGAGCTAAACGGGACTCGTTGAGAAATAGAATTTAAAAAAGATAATATACCGTAGAGTATTGTCTTCTGAACTAAACATAATAAGAATTCTTTTCGTTGATTTTCTTTAAATCTAGCTGCATTCCATACACTACTCGAAGCTATCGAATTGTGCCTATATGAAGCCTATGTATTCCAGCGAATTTTCTCATGCTTCACTTCTCTTTATTGGACTTGCCGTTTGTTTCTCCCAGTGTTTTGTCTATAAGCCTGCTTGAAGAATGTGTTCAAGAATAGAAGATAACATACGCGAAGGAATATCAGGATACGCGCAATGCGAGGATTGGGAAATATGTTAAAGCTCACTATTGTGACCATCAACAAAAGACTCAGTAAGATTCATGAGTTTCAGACCTTGCACCATCCTAGACGCGTCGAAAGAAGGATGTCTATCGTAAATATCCTAAGTGTGAATGTTTTAAACAACCCTGCCAAGTTTTCAGACTCATATAAATTTGAAATCACGTTTGAGTGCTTAGAACCATTGAAAAGCGACCTAGAATGGAAGTTAACATACGTGGGTAGTGCTACATCTCAGAGCTATGATCAAATTTTGGATACACTTTTGGTGGGACCTATTCCTATTGGAATCAATAAATTCGTTTTTGAAGCAGATCCACCCAACATCGACTTGCTTCCAGAACTCAGCGATGTTTTAGGAGTGACAGTCATTTTGCTGTCTTGTGCTTATGAGGAAAATGAGTTTGTTCGCGTTGGGTACTATGTCAATAATGAGATGGAGGGAGTTAATTTGCAAGAAATGGAAGAAACCGAGGTCAAGAAAATCAAGGTCGACATTTCGAAAGTATGGAGAAACATTTTGGCCGAAAAACCAAGAGTGACACGGTTCAACATTCAATGGGATAATCCTGATTTCGATGATGCACCACCTGTTCAGCCGGATGCGGATGAAGAGGAAGAAGAGGAAGAGCAGGATGAGGCCGACGAAGAACTCGAAGAGGAAGGGGAACCAGAAGAAGAAGAAGACGAAGAAGAAGAAGATGCTGGTGAGGAGGAGGAGGAAGAAGAAATCGACATTGAAGAAGAAGAAGAAGAGGCTTCCAACTCGCGTGCTCAGGCTTCCGAAAAAGAATCGAAAGCAACCGAAACTACCGAGAAACAATAAGTTCGTATTTTTTTCCAATGAATATCAATTCAACATCCTCTGTTCGTCATTTTGACTGGTTGGAATCGGTTCTCAACCTTGACTCAGGCTTCTCCCTTCACAGATGCTTTCTTTTATCTTCATGCATTCCTTTTTTGGTCTTTGCGAGCCCCTTTCTTTTTCAGGTTACCAACAATACCATCGTTTTATTTCTTTTATTGCAGTGCAATGCAATGGAATGTACAAACAAAGGTTTGGCTTTCTCGGCTGGTTTGTTTATTTATACTTTTTGTTTACATGGTCCGGTCCGTCCATGAAAGACCGATTCATTCCTTGGGCCTATTCTTTTTTGTTATTGTTTTTTTTTTGGGATAGTGTGCTACATCACCTTTCGTAAACTAAAGTTACAACTGGCAAGTAACAATCCACGTATGGAGACGTGAACACACTGACCATGATTTGGCAACACGCCTCAACTCATACTCAAGAAAAAAAAACGAAAAAGCGCATTCCTCGATGAGTACGGATTCCTTACCACGTAATTTAATGGAGCAGTAAGTGCATGTTAAGGATTGTACTAAGAAAGCAGAAAAGCAATGGAGCTTCAGCAGCAATTGCAAGGTACGAACGTTTGCAGGCTTGAATCCTTGTGACCAATAGCGAAATCGTGAACCATGACTAATCTATATAGCACTGTTGGACGAAATTGATCAAAACAAACAGGAATCGGAAAACATCAGCAGAGAGAGCGAGTATCTGTGCCAGTATATTGGTAGCATGATGGCTTTTCAAAATCGCCAGACAGTCCCCCAAAAGTGATAAATTGATTACGAATTGTGTTTCAAGTGGGGACTTCTTTATAAAAAAGATAATGCTACGTTCACGAAACCAATACTACGCTACGTCTGACGTAAATTCGCGTTTCCATCCGTCCTATTCTCTGAATGAAGTTTACGAAACCAAAACCCGTTGTCTACATATCTGGTAATCGATGACGGTGGCGTAATATTGTACCGGAAGTTTTTTGCGTTCATTCTTTTTTCTCCCTTGGTCACTTTTCAATTTGTCGTTTTCCTCTATGGATATGTTCACGCGAAAATTGGATTTTCTGAACTTTAAAACGATTATTTCTTTTCCTTTTGTCCCGATCGAATGGATCAATTCTTCAACGTTCTTACAGTCGACGTAGGTAAGGGGTTCGTTTCCGTTATCGAGCATCCTATTACTTGCGCTTTTTCTTTCCCATTTTTCCCTTTTTCCGTTCTCTTTCAGGTATTCTTATTCTTCCTGTCGCTCTTCCATTTCGATTGGACCCACCCATCTTTCCTTTCCCTCTGTTCTGTAATCTTAGTCTTGTTTTATGTTTATTTTAATTGAATTTCGTTTCATTAAAAAGGAGAACATGACCCATCGAAAAAGATTATCACTGCTTGTTATGTTGCGGTCTAATTACTTGTCTTTTTCAGATTCTAGAATGCACCTAATCTAATGCTACTTTTTATTTTCATCCTTAACAGGTGGAACTTGTAACAGAATGTAAATCGGAAATCGGTATTGATTTCCTTGCAATGCCAGCACTCTCGAACAATATTTGTTTATGATTTATTAAAAACAATCATTGAAAGTACCACTTTGAAGCACGAGAACTCAAGATCACGAATGCCTTATCGACTTGTTTGTTATTAAACAGGAACGTGGCCGAGATACCTTGCAAATCTAAAAAATAGCGTACTATGTCGAAACTCATGAGCATTCGTAAATCTTACTTTGGACTTCATTTTGTCTTCTCTACCACTTTAGATGAACTTTTGAGTTATAGATTGACTAGTATATACCACTGTCAAACAATTTGACAAAAATCTCGCACCTACAGAATACATACAATAAATCCACCTACAATTATCGGCCTACATCGAAATATGAATAGTAAAAGAGAAAATGAGGTTGACTCAATAAAATGCGATCCATTTCACCATTTTGCACGAACGGAACACTATATGAAAAAAAACACATTATCCGAAATAGAAGTACAACCGACCTAATTCCTAGTTAGAATCCTTGTTCCTATCCATGCACTAATAGAAATCATGGGTCTGTCCAATACACCAAATTTTCCTTACCATTTTTAGAGGTTCAACTTAGTACGTCTCCAGTGTCTTCTCTTCATGTTGTAGTGGATAGTGTTTCCAGTACGAAGGCGGATCCACTGAGGGATGGGGCGGTTTTGACGCTGAGCCTTAGCAAGCTTTTGCTTGGTACGGAAAGTCTTGTTGGAAGGCATTTTGTGAAAAGTAGAATGCACACTCTGGCTACAAAACCTTTTGTGACTGTCCAAAAAATGTGTGACTGTTTTTTGGGTGTCCCACAACGTATAGGTAGCCATCGCTAAAGGTTACGTTAAATCATGTAAACACATCAGACGTAAACAAACGAATTTATAGCAGTCTATCTTTCGTGTTTTGCATGCGAATGAACCGTAAAGAAAAAAAAAAAAATCAACTAACTGCAGACTTGTACGTCGTATTTACCAAGTACAGAATGAAAGAATAGCCAGCCCGACAGTTAGCTGAAACATATTAATTCCGTCTAAACCATTAGAAAACTTCACTCTATAGAAAACAAAAAAAAATAATATTAAAAAGGACTCATTCGGTATCTAGTATCTATTCATAAGCACTTAACATTCATCATGCCCACAAAATATAAAAATATACAAAAATCAACAGCATTAAGAAAGGGATTTCTTTATGCTAAAAAGTTTACTCATCTATTCCGAGACCTTGCTCGACTACAAGCTCATAATAACGACCACGTTTCTTTACAAGTTCATTATGCGTACCAGCCTCCGCAATTACACCGCCATCAAACACAAAAATACAGTCAGCATGCTGAATGGAAGATAAGCGATGAGCGATGGCTACTGTGGTACGACCTTCAGAAGCTTTGTTCAGAGCTTCTTGTACCACCTTTTCACTATGACTGTCCAAAGCACTGGTTGCCTCATCTAGCAGTAAGATTTTGGGATTGCGGATTAAGGCACGAGCAATGGCAATTCTCTGCTTCTGTCCACCAGACAAGGAAGACCCTTTCTGTCCTGAAAGAGTTTCATAACCGTTAGGCAAACCCATGATAAAATCATGAATGTTTGCCATCTTACAACAATCAATAATCTCTTTATCCGTAACGTCTCTTGAAGCACCAAGAACAATATTATCTCGGATAGTTCCCTGATATAAAGTTGGCTCTTGCGATACAAGTGCTATCTGCTTACGGTAGTCATTAATGTTATAATCACGAATATCAACACCACCAACTATTACAGATCCTTTTTCACAGTCATAAAAGCGTTCAATTAAGCCAATGGTTGTTGACTTACCACATCCGGAAGCACCAACAAAGGCAACAAATTGACCAGGTTTGACTGTCAAGTTAAGACCGCGAAGTACCTGGATGTGCTTTCTCGTGGGATACCGGAACTCTACATCATTAAATATAATGGAGGAGTCTTCCAAAGACTCGATTTTGCGTCCTTCTTCAGACCACGTATCAATCTTTGGTCTGCTATCACACAAGTACTTAATCGATCCAGCGCTCGATTTTGCCTTCGAAACGTCAGCCGCATATCCCAGAAATTGTCCAGCTTGCTGAATACCAAAAACAATAGAAATAAAACAGGTATAAAATTGGACCAGATTATATTCACCTTTTTTCATCAACGTAGCACCATACCAAAAAGCCAGCGCATTAACCAAAAATGTTACGGCTTGCGACGCAGAAAAGAATAAGCCAGATTTTAAAGATGATAAAGCCGTGTCTCTACCGGGTTCAACTAACGACGCACAATAATGTTCATATACCTTGGATTCTCTCGTGAGACTGGCAACTGTCCTAATGGCCGATGTAGATTCACAAGCATATGCAGCTGACAGTTTGTATGATTCTGACAATTTATCCTGAATTTGGTCCAATGCAGCAACCCTATAATAGCCAGCAAGGATAATAACAGGAGAAGTGGCTAATGTAACCAAAGCCAGCTTCCAACCAGTGGCCAGTGAAAGAATTGATACGGAAACTACGTTTGTAAGAATTTGCACGAATGTTCCAAGAGTAGATCCTGTCAACCCTTCCAAATTCTGAATGGAAGTTGAAAGCGAAGTAGTCAAAGCACCTACAGTATTCTCAGTACGGTCAAAGAATTCAACATCCTGACGAAGAATTGTGCGGAAGAGATGCCAACGAATACGTTGCAAAATCGCCTCCAATATATAAGATAAAGCATATTGACTCATAGCATAACCAAAAAATTCCGCAATAGCAAGAATTAACCAATAGACACCGAAAAGATTAATTTTATGAAAGTAATCCGGCGAAGCCAAATTTGTGAAGATATTTAAGAACCGTGCATACACAACTGCCTGTACGGGGTATGCAGCACCACAAACCATGGACGCTAAGATACCAACTATCATATAGATAATTTCTAAAGCACCTTCAATAAAAGAATGAATAAAAATCAATGCTTTCCAGGAGCTAATGTTAGTTACATTACTCTCAAGTTTCGATGTAGAATCAAGTTTTGTACCCGGGCTTTCATCACCTAGATCGTCCAGATCTTTATTCGGCAAATCTGGAACGGGATCAATTGGTAACTTGGCAAGTGGATTATTACGAAGCGAGATTGGATCCTTTTCCTTTTCATGACTAAAAGAAAAAGAATTCTGTGTAGAAGAACCGTCATTTTTATCCTGTGCAGTAATATCAACATATCCACTAATATCCTCTTCTCCTATGTCACCGACAGCATCATTATTCGTTTCTGTAAGTTGCTGCACTTCCACTAATTTAGAATAAGCTCCATTTAAGGCCAATAATTCATTATGTGTACCCTGCTCAATGATCTTTCCGCTATTTACTACTACAATGTTATCAGCATTGCGGATTGTTGACAAACGATGGGCGATGACAATCGTTGTGCGAGATCTAGAAGCATTATCTAAAGCCTTTTGAACAATAACTTCACTTTTTGAGTCTAAAGCACTTGTTGCTTCATCCAACAGTAGGATTTTAGGATCACTAATAATAGCCCTTGCAATTGCAATTCTCTGTTTCTGCCCACCAGACATTAAAAAGCCTCGCTGACCTACATTTGTATCGAATTTTTCAGGTAAAGTCATAATAAAGTCATAAGCGTTTGCAATTTTGGCAGCATCGAAAACGCGTTCTTGCAATTCATCCTCTGTAAGTGTTGATTGCACCTCGTCAGTCAATCCAAAAGCAATATTTTCATACACGGTTGCGCCAAACAGAACTGGCTCCTGCTGTACTAGAGAAATGTGACCGCGCAAAGATGCAGTGTTCAAATCACGGAGATCTTTGCCATCTAACATAACCTGTCCTGCAATGGGATCATAGAATCGTTCTACAAGGCCTACGATTGTGGATTTTCCGCTACCACTAGCACCAACAAGGGCAGTAATTTTACCGGCTGGGCACAACAAAGAAAAGTTGTCCAAAACGATAACCTCAGGCCTTGTAGGGTATACGAAACGTATGTTTTTTAATTCAATTTCCCCATGGACCTGTTGTACGATCTCACCATCAGGAGAAAAGGCGTTAATTGGGCTTGGCCGGTCGATCGTGTCAAAGATCTTTTTGGCCGCTGACGAGCAACTGACAAAAGCTTGCATTTTTGGAGAGATATTTGCCAAACTATACGATGCAATGAGGACAGCAAAGAAGCAACTGATCATCTTGTCTACTGTCAACTCTCCAGCATGCAAAAGACGACCACCTTCCCAAAAAGCAAGACCATATGCACCATAAGCCACAAAAAACATCCATCCGATCATTAAGCCCATAACCATGGCTTTGTTAATGCCATAGCGCTTGGCAGGATTCAAAAACTTAGTATAAGAGTCGGCTAATAAGCCCTGAGTACCAAATGCAAACGCATTACGAATGTTGGAAAATACCTCTTCAACAAAAGTACTAGAACTGGATAGTTGGGCAATTTGGGCTTTCGTATACTTTGTTACGAAACTAACACCGACGGCTATACCTCCAAGGATAGCTAAAAGCATGGAACTTATAATGAGGGTGAACTTCCAATGTCGAATAAAAGCGACGACAAATCCAGACACAAAGGTTGCAACAGCAAAAAGCACCAAACCAACCTTTTCACCCAAACCATCTTGGATGTAGTTTGTGTCACTAGTTATACGTGTGGTAATTTCGCCTGCCCCAAGACGATCAAAGTACCCAATATTCTGACTTAGGACGGCATGCAGATATTGCTGACGGATGCGACGCGAGATACGTTCACCCGATATAATAAACGAAATTGTATAGATATAAGAACAGCCGAAGACACCGACAGCAATATAAACAAAATACAATACGAAATGGTTAACATCGTGTTGAAAGGCATCAGCGCCACGGCCGCTGGCAAGGTCGGTAAAGGCTTTGGCTAATTTACCAGCGACGAGAGACATCAGAGGCATACCAAGTCCAGAACCAATAGCAGTAATGCTGCCTGCCAGCTGAAGTAGATAGTCCCATTTATCACCGCATGTAATAATTCGCATATACCCGGCTACCTTAGCCTTGGTATCATTAACCTGACGATACAAAATTTCCCGCTCTTCCGGGTTATATTGTTCATAGGGATCTTTTACTACATCGACGATTTTTTCTGGGTTCTCAAAACTACTGGTAGATAGCTTATCGACAAGAACGGAGTTCTCATTACTTTTTTCAAGATCCGATTTTTTAGAGTCTGAGCTTCTCGAAAGTGTCATTGTGGGTAAATTAAAGAATTATAATTATAGATTTGCAATGTAAAGCAATTAGGGAAGAAGGGAGAATTAGAAAATATTAAAGAAATCCAAGACAAATGAGTGATTAGGTAAACAAAATCAACCGAACAAGTGTATAAAATAAATTCGTAAAATAAATAGATAGAACACCCAACAAATTGATCAGACCAGAGGAGACGTCACCAACGTCTTTCCCCAAGATAATAGGTATGGGAAGTCAATAGATACACTTAAGTCCTCTTCTTAAACCAAAAGTTAGCAACAGGTTGTCTTTAATTGAATGATCCTGTAAACAGCCTTCCAATTCAATAATTAAACAAGGAATTCCACCAATATTGAAACCACTGAAAAAGCACGATATTGTAAACAGGAGAAACAATATTGTCCGAAAAAAAACTTACCAATTTGAAAGGTAAATGTATAAAAGTGACCTTGATAAGAAGAATAAACTATCAAAAAATCCTGATGGAGATTGGCAATCCTTTCAATGACAGGAATTGTGTCCACAGGTTTTCGCAAATGACTCGTTCCTATTTCTTTTTAGTATAAAAAAGGAAGAAAAGAAAAACGTTTTTGCCAAGTTTACTAATAAAGCGGCGAATTTACAGTGTTTATGTATTTAGGGAAATCCCTAAAGCCACGGGGTTAACAAGTCCGAGGTCTGCTGTCTTCATCTTGGGTTATCATAGTGAAGGAAAGCGATAGAATGAAATCGTATATCCCCGAAAACCGCGGGGTTAACAAAGTCCAATCTTGTCGCTAGTCTTCATTTTAAGTTATCTTACTAAGGAAGACGACGCTTTTATTCTATCTGATTGAGGCGAAAAGTCTTGTAGTAACTGAAACACGTAAACAATCATAGAATAGAAAGAACAAAGTGCTCATTCAGGAATAGCATTGAATGTGTACGACGTTTCATAAAATGTTCCTAATTTACTTGTTCTTTCAAAAACAAACAAGTTGATTTCTATAATCCAAGAAAGGTGTATAAAGAGGATCACGGTTCTACTAAAGAATTAATTGGATACAGTCGCAGTATTATAAAATAAGATGTGTCAAGAGCGAAAGATGCATGCAATCGAATTCATTTTATGATGCGAACTTGTTTATGTTCCTTTTTAAGGCTTCAGCATCGGCGACAATAAAATCCTTTTTGGTCACACTCATACTTAGATGCATTTCTCTCCATTTCCTCTTGCAGAGTTTTGTGCTGTTTTCGAATCAACTCTATAAAGTCATGACCGAGTATAAGTTAACAAATTAGATGAGACGATTGCGCTGCGTCTCTATAGATCAGTCGTGTGCAGCCTTCATTGGGTCGGTCTCTTTGGTGCTATAGTCAGTTTCCCAAAAAGCTCTTCTAGTAAATTGAGGATGATAGCTTTAAATATGGGATTGCATGTTGGAGCTTCATTCGTTTGCATGCCTCCAAATTGGCACAAACATGATGCCACTGTTCCACTTGCGGTCAAGTTCTCACTGGACAGTTTGTGAAAAGCCCTCGAGCGTAGATTTGCTCGCATTGTATATGCTTTAATAAGATGACAAGCTATAACCCCTTACCCGACGAAATCTGAAAAATTCAACCCCTACGGCCGTTCTCGCTCATGTGTTGAATCTCTTGTCGCCTCTAATGAACAGCTTCCCTAAAGTTGGCAAATATTTGCATCTGATCGAACTTTCGTGCGAGTCCACAACCAGCATTGTTTATCAATTTGTGATTTCACTAATCAGTGATTTCCTTATTTTCAGTTACACCTCTCAAAGGCGTAAGCTCTACTGAAATTTTATATCGAGTTTTTGAAAAAGCAATGACGTTGCCCTTATTTATGACCGATTCAAACATCCTGTTACAAAATCGGTCTTGTCAGCAGATATACGATTTAGCTAGTATTTTGAGAAGGCTTTAATTTGTAACAAGCGAAAAACAGAGCAACAGAAGGAAAATAGTTAACTTCGTTTCTCTTTACAATTACTGAAGGTATGCTATGTTGCCTCCAAGAAGTAGTAAATTCGTCAACAGGATAACTTAAAAATCAAACACCAAAAAGGCGAGAAAAGAACAATATCAGAGGATTTATATAAACAAAGAACATAGTCAAGTAGTTTAAAGGATGTGCTTATGCCGATAAAACAGTATATGCAAGGTTAAGGTATTTGGATGGAGAATAAATGAATAAAATCAAAATTTATCTCAAATAATAGTCTATACCCTATTTTTCTATCATTGAACGTGCTTATAGGGTCTGTATTTCTCACTTCACTGAAAAATTTTTCTTCGTACGAAGAGCGGAACACACAAACACATGTAAACGCGGATAAAGGCTGCTGGATATTTGTTATATATAGAGCAGTGTTTCCATAGTTTCCAAGCCAAAGCAGTATATGAAGAACTTTTGATTACGAATTGTTTCCTCCCGACAAAGAAAACAGATTCGATAAATAACTAGAGAACCAAACACTCTGACATTACGTTTACTAATTTTTTAAAATGACAAAAGATCTCGTACCAACCCCCGTCTCTAGATTTTTGGAAAAGGCAACTAATGAACCTGACGAACCATTTGTGGATTTCTATACGGAGAATGGGATTCAAAAAACCTACTCTCATTTGGATGTCCTTCATCGTGTCAACACAATTGCTAGATTCTATCAAAAGAATTTACCTTCAGGAGCCACGGTCGGTGTATTCATGAGACAAGAAGTTGACTTGGTATGTTCCATTCTCGCTTTGTGGGCAACAGGACATACGGGTGTCATCTTCAATGAGGATTGGGATGAAGATGTTGCGGCTGTTATTAGTGATCGCCTGCATATATCTTTCCTAGTATTCAGCGACCTTACTGAGAAGTATCACCTTCCCGGTGTGAAAACGCTTCATTTAACGACTCTCGAAACAGATCCCACTGCGCCTCGTATTCAGGTTGGACATGAACCAGAGATTGCATTGATCAATCACAGTAGTGGATCAACGGGAATTCCTAAGTCTATTCCCTATCGTATGGAAAAGTATGTTCCTGCGGCTGACTGGGGTATACCAGAGTTGTCGCATAATCTAACGACCCCTTTGATTATGGCTCCTAACTTTGCTCTTACCACCATGGTTTGGATGACTGCTCTATTGGCTCCAGGGGGACGCATCATGTGTCCCTCTATGCACACACGAACGCCTGTTCCAGTTAGCTCCAAAGCCGAGCAGTTGGCGTGGAATGTGCATTATGCTTTACGATATGGAAGCGAACGTCTCTTAATTTTGCCTAAACTACTCATGTTGATGCTTCAGACCACTATTAGAGAAAACGAAACATTTCCTAATTGTAAAAAAGTCGTTGTTGCCGGCGAAATGGTTCCTTCAAATCTAGTTCAATCTTGCCAAAGTGTTTTTCCAAACGCTAAAATTGGTGCCGCGTACGGATCCACAGAAACAGGATTCTGTGGTTTCTACACCGATCTTGAAGATAAGGACTTAATTTATCTTCCTGGAAGCACAATTAAAGAAGTGATGCTTTTGGACGACCAAATGCAACCGGTTCCACGCGAAGTTGGAAATAAAGGATTTGTTTGTCTCGTTAGTGATGCTCAATCCGAACCCTATGTGGGTGAAGATGAAGAAACACGTAACTCAAATCTTGAGACATATATTACAGTTAATCACCAACCCGCAATTCGATTTGCAGACCTCGCCACTTGGGAAATTAAAGATGGAAAATGGGGAATCAATATAAAGGGTCGTGTTGGTCGTATTGTAAAGCGAAATGGTGTGTTTTACGATCTGAATCATCTCGACAAAATTGCTAATTCCTTGGATATTTTTAATGAAGCTTTCTCCTTCCTTATAAATAATCGATTCGTCTTGTGCTATATTCCTAAAGAAACCTCCCTTTCTTCTGAAAAGGCACTCGAAATACTGAATAAAACATTGAAATCAACTGTCTGGTTTTCGCACTGCATTCCCATTAAGACCTTGTTGTTTAATGCTACAGGAAAAGTTGACTTAAAATCTTTACAATCCTATGCAGAAGCACGTATGTTCGAAGAGGATAACAAATTACCTAAAGTTACAGAGCCTCTCGCCTTTGAAATCAGTAAAATCTCTACCGCTATCTTGGGTAATAACACACTGGAAGGAAAGGATGTTCTGTTTCAGGCACATGGATTGGATTCTATTAAAGCAGTACAATTTTCTGCTTTGTTGAGAAAGCAGTTGAATTGTGACATACCTGTTAGCTTGCTGATGCACCAGAAGAGCTCACCAAGTAGCATTGCTGCTGCTGTGAAAGAAGGAAACTCAAATCAATTGGCTGTTTCTATCGTGGATGTAGAAAACGATGCCAATCAGCTGGCTGAAAAATTAGGTAGCGTTAAACCATTGGAGCGCATTCAAGATTCTTGGATACTATTAACAGGTGCTACTGGTTTCCTTGGGAAGCGATTACTGGCATATTTCTTAAAACAAGGAGCGAAGGTTGTTTGTCTTATTCGCGGATTGAATGATTCGGACGCCGAGAGAAGAATGTACGAATCGTTACCAAACATAGAAAAGTATGCGAAATCTTTGATTGTATGGGCTTCCGATTTAAGTGATGACAGTCTTTCGCTATCGTCTGAAAAATGGGACTTTTTGGAGAAGCACGTTTCCAAGATTTACCATAATGGTGCAATGGTGCATTGGACAAAGACATATCATGACTTATGGAAAGCCAATGTGATGAGTACGAAGGTACTACTTGACTTAAGCATGGTAGGACCGAAGAGTTTTGTTTTTGTATCCGGAGGTGGACAACAAGAGTTGGCAACAGCAAACCGTGAAGCCAAAGGACAAGCTATGGGCTATACGCTTTCAAAACATGCGGGTGAATTGCTTTGCTACAAAGTCAAAGAAAAGGGAAATCCTAATATTCATGTTATTCTTCCAGGATTCATTTTGGCTAATGACGGAGAAATTCTTGCTCGTGACTTTTTCTGGAGATTCGTACAAACATGTATACGTATGCAAAAATGGCCTACTCAGGAAAATGGCGCTTCTTTCCCATTCCGTATTTCCTCCACTGAGGAGATCGCCCGTTGTTTGCACGAAGGAATCGAGCATCAACAGTCTTTTCCTGAAGATAAGAACGGACGTGTTATGGGCTATGATGATGTTGACGGTAATGCGATGGTTTCAGCATGTGAAGAGAAACGAGGAGTGAAGATGCAAAAAGTTCCATTGTCTATTTGGTTGCAGGAGGTAGACAAATGTTTAGAAGCTGAAAAGGAGAGTCATCCCTTGTTTGCCTTGAGACATTTGACAGAATTTGCAATTCAAAGTGGACTATTGAACGATGGTACAAGTGGAACGAAACAGAAGTATCTCCTTAGTTTGGAAGCTTTCAAGAATGGACTTGAACAGCTTAATGTTTAAATTTTTTGAGCCAAGAAATGCCTTTAATATGAAAAGAAAAGAGAAAAAAAAAAATCGTTAGTATTTAGCTTATTAAATTCAATAGTTATTATATCAAAGTAACAACATACGTTACTTCAAACAGGATGCGACACTGAACGTAAAAAGAGTGAAGAGTAGCAAAAACCAATCTCTGGCGCTGTAAAATAGCAATTACTAGTCTTGTTCGAATCGTAGAAAATTCATTGTTAAAAAAAATTAGAAGGAAACGGAAAGGGAGCATGCGTTTCTCCCTAAATTTGTATTTAGTTGTGTAAAGATTTTGGAAAATTAAAGCATATATGCATTGAAATGTCCGTCAATCGAAGAGATTACGAAAAAGAAAGAGATGATTTCTCGCGTGATTTTCGTTCAAGTCGCGTAGAAAAGGACAAAAGAGGGAATGAGAGTCAATCGCGAACGTACAGGGATTCAAGAGAAGAAGGGAGACGACGCGAAGGACGGCTTCGGCGAGAAAGGAGCCCTGAAAGAATAAGAGACAGATATGTGCGATCACGGGATTCGTATAGAGGTGATGATGAGGACGTGCGATCTCGAGATCGAGAGCGTACGTATCGACGAGACCGATACAGTTATGAGGAAAAACGAAGGGAAGACCGTAGTGAAAACGAGTACGGAGGGAATTGGGGACGTGATCGAAGGCCAGAGCAAGAGCGATCGATTCGACGTGAACGGGAAATGCGTATGCGGTCCCCCGGATCGCCAACTGGAGATCAACAGCAACAAAAAGAAAGGCACCTCATTAGTCCCGAAGAGTCTCAAAAGAAAAAAGGGAAACAAGATATGAATCATTCTTCAGAAAATTATTCGGAAGATCAACCTTCGCCTCCGGCATCGGAAATGCGGGCTGGTGAGACAAAAACCGACAAGGACAATAAAGATGAGATTTTCATCGAACAAGACCCGATGGCAGATATGCAGAGTATGATGGGCTTCTCAGGGTTTGGAACGACTACAGGAAAAAAACATGGTGATGTTGGGCAAGTATTCAAGCAGAAAAAGGCTAAATATCGTCAATACATGAATCGACCTGGAGGATTCAATCGTCCATTAGAACGTGATTGACCTCTTTTTCAAAACTCGTTTGTTTACGAGGGGATTCCGTTCAAAATGTTATTTACCGAGGCGGGACGGCCGAATTTACATAACGTTCCGCGCCATAAAGTCTGAAACTAATATAACCGAAGTCTAATAAACGAGGAAGGGTGAGGTTCAAAAAAAATTTTGCAGGGCTGTCAAGAAAGAAACTTTAGTGTAGTTTACGGTGGAAAGAATACAAGGAAACCCGAATAAGAAAAATATACTCTTCATTTATTTATACCTTCTTTTTGTCTTAGATGTTATGGAAAGAATATCCCGAACGCAAAGCCTTGCAATGCATTTGAAGCTGAAATGTTTTTTCAACAACCTAAAAACCTACTTGGTTACTGTGAGAATATTTGAAATGAATATAACTATAATAAAGAATAAAGATGAATGAAATACAAAAAAAAAACTGAACCTGAAACTGTACAATGTTCTTTTTTTTGGTAAATACTCTCTCACCTTCCCTTTGTTTCTACCGAAGAAGTTCTTTAAACTTCCATCATTGTCGACATCATGGAGTTACAATGTTCTATACTCTAACCGAACGATAAGGAAAAATGTAGATGGCAAAAATATTAAAATATTCCACAAAAAGCTACCGAGCCACTTTGTCTTTGTCTTTGTTAAACAAAAATATGGCCAAGTAATCAAAGAAGGTCCAATCTTAAACGTTAAGGCTCATGAAAGGAAAGAAAACGACAATAAAAAGAATTTAAGCGGTAAGTAAGGTTTGGCCAAACTTGCATATTCCAGAATCTCCTCTTATCCCCGCAATAGGCGTGAAATGAGGGATGTTTAGTTTCATTATACCGTCAATTGTTTTCGATGAAAAGCTTTATCCGTAAACCTATCTAGAAGCATTTCGGACCATTGGATTGTCGGAAAATCTTAAATGGTAGTCGATGTCACCTATCATTCCACGATTACGTCGGAAATACTATGGTGTAAGAAGCGTATGACTTGAAGATGAGGTTTTCGGCAGATGATTGGCGGAAAGCTCCGACTTTTTTCGCCAGGGTTGCAGTCGCTCCGAAGCATTTAGACATGAGAAATTTTCGTTTAGCCTCTTCCAGAGACTATATATAGAGGGTCTCCCTACGAAGTCAATTGTTCATCAATAGTATATCAACATGACTATCCCCGATAAGCAATTGGCCGCTGTCTTCCACAACCACGGAAATCCCGATAACGTTAAGTTCGAGGAGGTTCCTGTCGCTGAACCCGGTGAGAACGAAGTCTTGGTTAACATCAAGTACACTGGTGTCTGCCACACTGACTTGCACGCCCTCCAAGGTGACTGGCCTCTCGATGTTAAGCTTCCTTTGATTGGTGGTCACGAAGGTGCTGGTGTTGTTGTTAAGGCTGGTCCTGGTGTCAACCGTCTCAAGATTGGTGACCGCGTCGGTGTTAAGTGGATGAACTCTTCTTGCGGTAACTGCGAATACTGCATGAAGTCTCAAGAAACCATCTGCCCTAACATTCAACTCTCCGGTTACACCGTTGATGGTTCTTTCCAACACTACTGCATTGCTAATGCTACTCATGCTACTCTTATTCCCGAGTCTGTTCCCCTCGAGGTTGCTGCTCCTGTCATGTGCGCTGGTATCACTTGCTACCGTGCCTTGAAGGAATCTGGTGTCCAACCCGGTGAGTGGATTTGCATTCCCGGTGCTGGTGGTGGTCTTGGTCACTTGGCTGTCCAATATGCCAAGGCTATGGCTATGCGTGTTGTTGCTATTGACTCTGGTGAAGACAAGAAGGAACTTGTCAAATCTTTCAACGCTGATGTCTTCGTTGACTTCAAGACTGACGATGTTGTCGAGATGGTTAAGGAGAAGACTGGCGGTGGTGCTCACGGTACCTTGGTCTTGTCCACCTCTCCCAAGTCTTATGAGCAAGCTGCTGCTTTCGCTCGTCCCGGATCTACCATGGTCACTGTTGCCATGCCTGCTGGTGCCAAGCTCGGTGCTGACATTTTCTGGTTGACCGTTAAGATGCTTAAGGTTTGCGGTTCTCACGTCGGTAACCGCCTTGACTCTGTTGAGGCTTTGGACTACGTGGCTCGCGGTCTCGTTAAGCCTTTCTACAAGGTCCAACCCTTCTCTACTCTCCCTGAGGTTTACCACCTCATGCACGAGGGTAAGATTGCTGGACGTATTGTTTTGGATCTCTCCAAGTAAACTCATCTGATAATCTTGTAGATGAGATGTTCAAGAGCTCAGTAAGGATTGCTCCAAGTCGTTTAAAAGAAGCTAATCTTCTCATTCACGTTATCAACAAATGTTTTCGTATTGAATGGTCTTATCTGGCGTTAATTTAAAATACTAGTCGTCAGGAAGTTCAAATTGGTTTAGGAAAAGAACTGACTCTGAACTCTTGCATGAATGTTTTTGTTATAGAAAATGAAATTTAGATGTTGTGAATACCTTGAACGAAGACATAGTAGAGATAGTAGGGAATTGTTTTTGATGTAGATCAAAAAATGCTAATCCTTAGTTGATACAGTTAAGGGGAATGATGCAGATCTTAGGTTATTCGTAAAGCGTGTGTGATTTTCATACAAGATGGATGTGAAACTATCGAGGTAGATCCTCTATTTATAGGGGAAAATCATCCGGATACATGATCGTCGATTATGAGTTGATTAACGTGATAAAGCGGTCTAGAACATCGCGATGGATGTTGATTGGCCGACTGGGCATGAGTCGATCTTTATCCGGGGATCAGCGGAGATCTTTGAAGGTGATCTGCTGAGAGAAAACCCTGTAGATCCTCAATGGCAAGAATCACGATTTCGATCCAACGTCGAGAGAAATGATACGTAAAGCAAGCAAAAAGAATAATTATAAAAAGGAAAATAAACAAGTTTGTGAATCTTCATGATTTGCAGTGCTATGAATGTAAATTTGGAAACCTCCTTAAACGAGTTAGTACCTTTAGACCTCAACCGCACTTTCGTCTTTTTGCGAGGGTGAAGTAGCTCGTTATTTTGAGTGAGTGCTTCTCGATGGAGAACTCAAAATAACGTTCTCTCTTACCAAAAGTTGTAAGCAAAAATGAAGCCCAAAAGAATCATTTTGATGGGTCTTCGACGAAGCGGCAAGTCTTCAATTCAAAAAGTTGTGTTTTACAAAATGCCGCCGAACGAAACTTTATTTCTGGAATCAACAGCTCGTCTCACACAAGAACACATTTCGTATGCAGTCATCCATTTTTGTTTTTTAGATTCCAATGTTTTACTAACACAATTCTTGATAGCTCGTTTATCGACTTTTCGGTCTGGGATTTTCCTGGTCAAGTGGATGTCTTTGATGCAGCATTTGATTTTGAAAGCATCTTCATTCAAGTTGGGGCACTTATTTTTGTTATAGATGCACAAGATGATTATCTGGATGCGTTGGCTCGTCTGCATGTGACTGTTGCTCGCGTCGTTGCCATTAATCCCAATATCTGCATTGAGGTATTTATTCACAAAGTGGACGGCCTTAGCGATGAATTCAAGATAGACACTCAGCGTGACATTCAGCAGCGGACCCAGGATGAACTTGCTGACATTGGACTTGAGAATGTCCCTATTTCGTTTCATCTTACTTCCATCTTTGACCATTCCATCTTTGAAGCCTTTAGTCGTGTCATCCAAAAACTGATTCCTCAGCTTCCTACGCTTGAGAACCTGCTCAATATCTTTTGTGCTAATTCCTTAGTAGAAAAGGCTTACGTTTTTGATGTGCTCTCCAAAATCTACATCGCTACTGATAGTTCTCCAGTCGACGTTCAAAGTTATGAAATCTGCTCCGATTTCATCGACGTTATTCTTGATATTGGCTCTATATATGGAGGTGCACGCCAGAAACATTCTGAGCGACACCCTGATGCTTTGGACGAAACTTCTTCTATCATCCGATTATCCAACGACTTGGTCTTGGTTTTGCGTGAAATGAATCAGTATTTGGCTTTGGTTTGCATCATCCGTGCCGATAATTTCAAAAAATCTGGTCTCATTGAATACAATGTGCAATGCCTACAGTCAGCCATTCAATCTCTCTTTTCTTCTAAATGATGAGAATCTATGCCTTACTCTAGCTAGGACTACCTTCTGTCTGTTTCCGATTATGTCTTATATATGTTGGAATGTTTTCTTTTAATTCTTCGTTTTGTACATCATGTTCTTGTTTAAATTCTATAATCTCTAATAATGTTTTGGCTCCGTGGCTTTAATAAAAACCACGAATTTTAATCTATGTGTTTATATTACGAAGCAACCGAAATAGTTAGAACTTGAGCATAATATTGAAAAAGAAATAACTTTTTAAACCCAAAACATAAAAAGCGTGAACAACATAATTTTACAACGTAAACGATTTAGACAAAAAATAAAAATAAGAAAGAATAACAAGTAAAGACTGACAGATTTGTCCTTCCTTCTCCGACCGTATTCATACACTAAACTCTACAATTTGGCCATCATACGCCGGCTCGGTAGGAATGCTCAGTTTTGAAAATTCTTCTTCCATTTCACCATGTTCGACTGAATGATTGAACCCGGTGTACAACACCCGTCTTGGGGCTGGTAGAAGAGAACAGGCAAATGCATGAGCCTGTTCAAAAGTAAAATGGGATGGATAAGGTTCTCGTCGAAGTGCGTCTAATACTACGACCTGGGATCCACTCATCAAGTCTTTAGTTTTCGGTGGTATATAGTTACAGTCAGAAATGTATGACAAATCACCAATTCGAAAACCCATATTATAAAATGGAACACTCTCCTTACCAGGAGAAAAATAAAAACCATGATGCACAGGTAATGGTACGGTTGAGAGTCCAAGCCCCTCTAATTCAAATGGCTCTTCTGGGTTGAAAATTCGATAGTCAAAAGTAGGCACACTACCACCCCCGGTGGCTCGTGAACAGTCGACCATATAAGGAAACGAATTTGCTATAGAATCATATGTCTCTTTCGTTAAGTAGATTTTCATAGTGCTTTGAACAATTCCCCCAGATGTCCAAGCTATAAATTATTCGTTAGTATCAATACTTTTTAACAATATCCACAAAAAATTTTGCTTCAAACGTTTCCCCGCTCTTAATTAAACTCCATGAGACTCTTTCTATCTCCTTATTCAAATGTAAAATAGCATACCTCTTAAATCATCCAATCCATTAATGGCATCAGCGTGAGCATGTGTCAAGAGAACGGCATCGATGTTTCGAATTTTATGCTTTACCATGAATTCTATTGCTGCCATATAAAAGGTCTTTCCGCAATCAATTAAGATCGTTTTCGGGCGACTCCAGCCCTCGGAATCAACTTGAACAATTGCTCCTGTATTATTTCTCTTGTTTTTACGTCCTTCTGGCGTCAGACTGGCTGAACACACACGACATGTAGGCTTTGGGACGTTCAAACAACACACATTAGGGATGCCATTGGACGTTCCAGTTCCTAAAAATAGAATCCTTGCATTTTCTTTATTGATCTTAGTTACCATACTTCTGACAATATCCTCGTACAGCAAGTAATGAAGAAACGACCGCTTCTTGCTTAACGTGGAAGGCAAAGGCATCTTACGCCAGAAATTGACTTTCTTTCGTCCAGAGTAACAGTGTCTTTTATGCGTATTCAGACGTGCACACTATTATGAATATTGACGTGGTGTACAGTTCGTTATATTACTTTCTTTGCTTTCGGTATACTTTGTTCACTGCCTGTTACCTGAAAAACGTAGGTATCATAAATAAAAAATCTTCTGGCTTTCCTGTTCGTTTGTCTTTGTTTATTTATAGTGTAAAAAGAAGCATTCATTGCTGTAAGCGCAATTGAAACCGATAGCTACGAAGACTGGGGAGCTTAACTTGGTTTTATTTATGAGAGGAAAAGCCAATCCTTGTAGCAAAGTGTGTAAAAGAAAAAGGGATAATGGAGCATGAAACGAAGAGAAACTCACTTTTTGTAAGTTTACTACTGTTGAATGTGACGATGGGATATAGAATTGAGATTTATGAGAGGACGAAATCTCCAATCTAAACATGAGTGAAAATTCAAACATTAGAAGATAATTCATTCTGTTACGTTACCACAAATAGTACCGTTTCATCGAAAAACCGACCTCTCAATGAGCAGCCAAGTTGAAGCTTGTCGTTTTCTCAAAATTTCTTTCAAAACTTGATGCGAAAATACTTTTGTACCCTTTCGTACTCTCATCCTCCTACTCGTACATAAGCGATCAATAAAAAAATAACTACTTCATTAGCCCTATTCGACTCCACTCGTTTCAGTTTTTGGATTTTCTGGCAGTGTAAACAAAGCAAAAGTAACACGCTAAAACGATATTTTATTATACACATCTGGCAGTAAACAAACGTGCAGAATATTAGCATTGTATGGTTTTAGGAAAGAAAATGAATGTTTTCATTGTAAAATAAAATTCAAAAAAGGATTATAAGTTTCCTTTGATGTATTTCCTAGACCGTGTCTTGATCAAATAGTGCATTTATTGGAAGGATGTGCAAGTATGCTAGACAAGCAAACAAATCAATTTTTGGTTTTCTAGCTATGACTTATCGTAAGTCTTCTCTGTTTAATGAATTGAATATTTATTTTAATCGGAATCGACTGTGATCTCTAGTTCAATAACAGAAGAATCACGAAATGGGTTGTTTACCCGTATAATCATTAATAACTTATTAATAATTGAGCTCTATAGTTGAAAAAGTTTGTAAAGAAGTTTTCTGCAACGAGCCTTCTCCTTCCACCCTGTGCTGTGAATGTTTTGATGGTTGACATAACCAAACACTTTAGGACCAAAGTATGGGGATATGAAACCCATAAAAAAACTACAGCATCTTATTGAAATAGACTTCAAAGCACCACCATACATAAAAATTAAACAACTAAACACTTTCAACAATTGACTACAAGTAAGTAACAAAATATTTAGGTAGCAAGCTTGACAAGCACTACCAAGACAAAAATTCAAAATCTTCCTTTTCAGAGCTTAATTAAGACTTATGTTACAGTTCTATGTCTAGATTTATAGTATTTTAAGTAACATCTTAAAAAAGAAAAAATAGTGTGTGCCATTATAGGTATGCTGCTTTTCATTTACATAATGAAAAAAATATAGAAGTATCTAACATATTGAAAACTAGAACCATATTGAACAAAGATTTTTCTCACCTTGATTCTTTGTCCAGTGGAATATCATCATCCTCGCTTGAATCGTTGAATTTCTCCTTTTTTTCTCAACCTAGTGAATCGAATTTAAGGTATCTTGTCCTCTTATATATTTTTCGTTCAACAATTTCCATTTGAAGTGTTAGAAATGTCTTTCTGATTCTTATCATACCATGGCTTCTTTAACGTTTTCTTACAGGTATATGCTTCTCTGGTTTTTCATCGTTTGGACTCCTATTGCCTATAAGTATTTCTACAAATCACCCCTTACTCTTACTGTTGACTATGAGCCTTTACATTTGGTAAAGCATGACCTGCCAACGGTAGATTCTACTTTAAACGACATAGAACCGGCCCTCATGAATGCTACCTTGTTTATGCTCTGCCGCAATAAAGATCTTATCGCTGCTCTTAGTTCTATCCAAAACGTTGAGGATCGATTCAATAAACGATATCATTATCCCTGGACATTCATGAATGATGCACCATTTTCCAAGGAATTTATCAATGCTACTACCGAAATGGCTAGCAGCAACACTACATATGTACAACTTGAACAACATGAATGGGGTCTACCTAAGAATCTTAACATGAATCGTGCATTACAAACAATCCGCGACATGACGAAACAACGCATCATCTATGGCTTTTCGTTGAGTTACCGAATTATGTGTCGTTTCAATTCTGGCTTCTTTTACCGAAATTCTGCTCTTAAAGATTACGACTATTATTGGCGCGTAGAACCAGGCGTTATTTATTCTTGCGATGTTCCTTAGTATGTCCATCTTTTAAAAACATTGAATAGTTGCTAACTGCACAGTGATCCTTTTCGTTTGCTTCGTGACAAAAAGAAAGCTTATGGATTTGTAGTTACTTTACCTGAATACCCGGAAACCATTCGTACTCTATGGAATACAACCAGAGACTTTGTCAAAAAAAATCCGCATTACCTTGCCCCAGATAATTCTTTAGACTTTATCGTAGATGATGAAAAAGGTTTAGATGGTGAATATAACGGTTGCCATTTTTGGAGCAATTTTGAAATTGCTGACTTAAACTTCTTTAGAAGCGATGCCTACACCGATTACTTCGAGTACTTAGATCAGCATTTTGGGTTCTTTTACGAGCGTTGGGGCGATGCTCCTATTCATAGCATTGCTGCTTCTTTATTCCTTAATAAATCACAAATTCACTATTTTGAAGATTTCGGATACTATCATCTGCCTTGGAGTCATTGCCCTTCGGATTACCTACTCCATGCTAATGGTAGATGCATTTGCGATCCTGCCAATACTGTTGAACTTGAGTATGAATTTTGTTATCCCAGATGGTATTACAATATGCGTGCTCCGGACCACAAACTTGAAAGCAAGGTTTAGACACTATCTTTTACAGTTTCTTTCATCATGACTTTTTATAAGTATTCATTTCATTAAATTAAGAAAATTAGACAGCCCTTAGCATAGTGGAAACAATTCTCCAGCAACACTGATTTGGTAATTATGTAGAGTGTAGGTGAACTCTCCAAAAAAAAAAAAAGGGATTGATAAGAAATAAACCATCCTAAACTGCAAAAGATGGATCAGTCATATTAACTTACAGTCAGCAGAGAACGAACTTTGGACGCAAGGTTTACCAATTCTTTTTCGTACTGGTCATTTGAATGTATACTTGCTAGCATACTCAATACTTGAAACAACCGAGCATAAGCACTCGTGAGTTGATCTGAGCGTGCCGAAGTCTCGCTCTGTTTGTTAATGATTCTTTGGATGCGATCAGTGGCAGGTAGAATCATGTAATCACGAAATGCAGTCAGCATAAGTCTTTGAACGTTTAGTTTTTCTCGATTTGTACTACAAAACTCATTAATCTCGTAAGGCAATAATGCTTTTTCCTGGATGTCAAAAAGTTTTGTTTTGATAGGCAAAAATATGCCCTCTATATATGGTAGAATAGAAGAGAGGAAAAATAGCCAGATTTCAAGTAATTTTGATAGAAAAACTTCTTCTGGGATAGGAGACAGCGATTCCGACAACTTACTGGTAGCTTTCGGAAACAAAGAATCTAAATGACTGGTAAAAAGATCCATCGTTCTTTCCCGAACACAAGACTGAAGATGCAGGACTAAAATTCCGTTCAAATCTTCAACAGTATAATGCAATTTTTCCAAATTGTACAGTGTAAAAACTTCTGATTCCAGGACAGACCAAGTATCATCCGCAGACATCGAATTAGCATTAAATTTAGAATCTAAGGGGGACCGTACTTTGCTTAATTTAGCAAAGGCAAAGGACGCTGCTCCAAAGCCATTTATCATCTGGTTATTAACCAGCGACTGAGGAATGGATGACCCAAATATTCCAAACGAATCTTTTCGACTCCTTAGAAAACTACGAGGCCCATAAATTGATTTCTGCAAAGCCGAAATGTCCAATCCTTCTTTGGCTTTTCGATTCTTATGGGGGGAAATATTCAATAAAGATGTCTGGTTTTTGCTATTTTTTTCACCCAGCTGGTCCACATTATTGGAAAATTGACTTACTGACGATGAGGGTTTCGTTTTTCCTGACCTCTTGGAAGGTTTTACCCAATGCTTGTCTTCCATAGTAAGCATAGAGCTGCTTTGACTAGATCTTCGACTAAAAGGCCATTGTCCATTAAATGGAAACTGTTGATTTTTTTGTTGTTCAGGAGTTTCCGGTCTGTTTGTGATTAAAGTATTGGTGTCAGTACCGGTATTTTCTGTTTCCTTTCTCTTTGTGTCTTCTAAATCTTGATTGAAAAAAGGGAATATATTTGTTGGACTTTCCAGACTGCTTTTCCTTGCACCTGGAGTCCAATTAGAGGATGTACTAGAAGTGGATGAAACGGATGTTCTATCTGGCATACTCGGTTTTGTTCTTATTAAAGCCAGATTATTTAATAAAGAAAGGATTTAAGATATGCAGTTGGATATCAAATTGACTTGGAAAGAACTTTTTAACGCGAAAAGAAGCAGATACTCCAAACTAGTTCGACATTGCGAATCATTTAACAGTAAATTGTAACTTTTACTTTCTCTTCTTTAGGATAAGATTGCTATAAGCTCATACCTTTGAATATAAATTCCAATTTGACAGGAGACTTTCAAAGACTCTGGGTATAGGATGTGTGCAAGTTTTACCAACATATATGCGCCAACAATACTACTAAACCAAACTACATACAAATGAAAGATTACATTGTACACATATTATTTCCATGACCAAATAATCTCCCAAAAAACTAATAACCGGTACAATCCACTCAAACTTGGTTAAGTTTTGCCAAATGTTTAAAACCAGAATTTATATCAAAAAAAACCACCAAACGGAATAAGACGAGGCAAGACAAACTCATTACTGATCTAAACCAATAGTTACAGGTTTTCATTGGTATGGTATAGTAAAATTCTTACTTAAAATCCAAAATCTCTATTTCCTTCAATTAAGTCTATATATATTTAAATTTAAAGCCCAAGCAACTGCATTCGCATACCCATAGTTATTATATAAGCACATTATAAATTACTTGGAAAGGTGCTTCAATGCATCATCCATGATGTCCAAACCATCAGCAATAACAGAGTCTTCAACATTCAAGGAGGGAAGAACACGGGTATTATTGTTACCGCCTGGCAAAAGCAAAAGACCCTGTTGACGAGCAATGTTAATGAAATCAGCAGGAGATTGCTTGAATTGCAAACCCAAAAGAAGACCACGACCAGCGTAACCACGAATTAAGCTAGGGTATTTAGTAGTAAACTCAGCAAAACGAGAAGTAAGAGTGTTGTGCTGCTTGCGGACGTTGTTCAAGATCTTTGATGAACTCAATTCATCGACGCAGAAAGAACCAACTCGGCAAGCGACGGGATTACCACCAAAAGTGCTTCCATGCTCACCGGCATGGAGAGTTTCAGCTACTTTGGAAGAAACGATGGTAGCACTGATAGGCAAGCCATTAGCCAAAGGTTTGGCAACAGTGATAATATCGGGGCTGGCCTGATCCTTGACGACAGAATGGGCCCAGAAGTCACCAGAACGACCAAGACCACACTGGATCTCATCATAAATTAAAGACGCGTTGAATTTATCACAGGCCTTGCGCAATGCCACCAAAAACTCAGCATTGGCAGGGCAGATACCACCTTCACCTTGAACAGGTTCAACAATAACAGCCGCAGTCTTGTCATTAATGACCTGCTTGATAGACTCGATATCGTTGTAAGTAGCTTGAACAACATCAGGAAGTAGAGGCTCGAAACCACGGCGATATTTGGGGTTGGCAGTAATACTTAGGGAACCAAGACTACGGCCATGGAAAGAGTTGTTGAAGTAAACAATTTGTGTCTTTTTTTCACCATGCGTCTCGTAAGCAGCTTTGCGTGCAAACTTCAAAGCAGTCTCATTTGCTTCAGTACCACTGTTCGAGAAGAAAATCTTGCTAGGTGAGGAAATCTTGCTGTTTTGAGACAAAGAAGTGTTTATTTTATGAGCAAGCTCAATGGCAGGTTCATTAAAGTATAAGTTACTGCTGTGGACCAGTTTGGTACATTGATCGGCAGCAAGGCGGGCCACTTCAGGGTGGCTGTGACCCAAAGAAGTAACGGCAACACCAGAGGTAAAGTCAATAAATTTACGGCCTTCCTTGTCAAAGAGGAAAGAGCCCTGACCGTGGCTCATGACGAGGGGATAGCGAGCATAGACGCCGACAATGTTACCCAGCTCTTGGTCAACGATGTTAGCTGAAGTGGTACCAGGCTTAGGATCTTCGTGAGTAATCTACCTTTTTGTTAGCATTACAAATTTCGAGACATTATGCCGATGCTCGTAGTTTGGCCATCCTTCATATATCGCATTTTTTCCATCAGAATCCATTATGTGTGAAAACAAAGACTTTTCATATATTTTTCACTGACATTTTAGCAGGTTTTCACACTTCAAGATTAATTGTTGCCTTCATTCAACCGGTCGGTCTTTAAGACAGTCAAATTCGCCAAAACCTTTGTGAACAACGCATTCAACTTACACTCAAGAAACGACGAGAAAGGGTTTGAAAGCCAGGTTGGCGGAGGCCTTGGAAAGATCGTTTGCAAAGCATTTTTTCTATAAATTTGAGGTGTTCTGTACAAAACTGGTGTTTGCGAAGCGCCAACTTAATATAGTACAGATACGGAGACGTAAATCCATCTCGCTAATGCCAATGGAAGCAAGATATGATTTTGATAAACTTGGAAAAGGAATTCGACTATATATATTTTTTTTTAATAAAGGTAAAAAAAAAAATGGATTACACTGGAATGGAAAAGGTGATTAATTTTCATGAAAGAAGAACATTGTCAAAAACATCACTTTGCACGGTTCCTCCTTGCATGGAAGATTTCACCCTCATTCCAAAGCCTCTAGGGTCATTCCGTAAATCAGCAGCAGCTTCTAGTTTCATGTTTGTTAGTACAGCCGAAGGGACATCAAAAACATAAAAGGTGGTGACAATAACAATGCTTAACCCTCGTCCAGATAATCTTCCAGAAGATATTATGCTCAAATTAATCAATAAATGAAGACATCATTCAGTTTGGAAGACTTGCTTGGTATTTTTCTTTTCGGGTTACGAGAAACCACTTGGACATACCTTTATTGAGTGGATCTTCAGCATTAGGAGCAAGGAACAAAAATTGGAGTCCTACTAAAATAGAATTTAGATTTAAAACAGGATTCCATTCTTGTCTCAATATGTTCAAACAAACATTTCCTTGCGTATCGATGTTGGGATGATAGATCTTATTGATGAATTAGAATTCAGGTCCATATCTCATTAAGAAAGTGTGTTAAGAGAGAGCAAAAAAAACAGTGAGGTTTTCTGCATCACTCATTTTCATGAACTTACCTTGTTAAGACATCGCACCTTTGGAGGATCATGCGGGTAATTGCTACCAATATGAATCGAAAACTGAAATTTCCCACCTTGATAGTATCCTGAAAATATGTTAATTTATTTGAAAATTATTGACTTGAGAAGGCACGGCTCAGCAGCTACTGCCTTTCTAAAATTGACAATCCTACCCTCATCTGGACGAATTTCCAGAAGCAATTCATGAAGTTTGGTTACATCCGGCCAGCTAGTCGACATTGTAGAGGGAACATCTAGTTCTGAAATGTCTATATGAAGATGATGGTTAGATTTCTGACTCGTTCGCGTTTCATAAAAAAACGCGTAGCAAGCATACCTTTTTGTACGCGAATCTGAGCAGGGCTAATTCCTGAAGAACTCTTCTCTTTTTCAGCCTCTTTTTTCTTCAATTCCCACAGTTTCCTCATTGTTCACGCGTTTCTTGTTTTATGTAGAGAATAGCAGTGACAACATGTCTTGATGTAAACAATACAGAAAGGCGTTTACCGTACTCGTTTGCGTTCTTTTAACGTATTTATGAAGTCGGAATAAAGTACGCTAAATTAGATACGTTTTTTATTTTATCTCACTAAATACTTTTTTGAGGTTGGTGGAACGCGCTAAATTAGATTTTTCCCTATCTGGGTGTCTGTCTGTTTACATCTGATATCCGAGTTGCTTTTTTTGTTGCATTCAAATAAAATATGAAAAGAAACAGATACATAAAATGTTTCTAAGAAGTGGCTCTTACAATTATTTCCTATGAGTAGAAATGGAAACATTTTTGTTTGTTTATTTGAATTACAACTAAAAAAAGCAATGCAAGGTAGGAATAGAAGTGGGCCCTAGAAAGTAGTCAAATGGCATTCGAAAGAAAAGAAATACAATGATAAAAAAACAAGTAAAAAGCTGTAGAAAGAACTGAATAACTATTTTACATAGGATGACACGTTCCTTTTCCAAGGCCGCAGAATCAATCTCTTCTCTACTAGTGAATTCACATGAAAAACAGTCTCTCCTTGTTTTCTGTTTCCAAGATTCCCAAATGGAGATGTAAGAAATCCTCATGAAAAGGGTATTTAACTCTTCGGTACACTACTAGTACAGGAGGGACAATGCTTTCGGCTTTTTCTATTTTTATTTTACTTTGTTAGAAATCTTTTTATTTACTAATTCTTCGTGTTCTGTCAACCTACAATTGCCATATTTCAAAAAAAAAAAAAAATTTGCACGAAAAGTCATATAACGAGTTTTGTGCTAAACTTGAACAGTGCTAAACAAACCATTTTGAAGGAATAACAGAAATAGCCTTTTTTGTCGCTAAATTCTTAATTAAAGCTGAAGTTTTTTTTTTGGAACACTCTATTCATTGTCTTTACTTTTCTTCTTAATTCCCAAATTGCCCATCAAGGATATCCCTTCGATTATACACTTGCGCACGAACCAATCGCAATGAACTTTTTAAAACCATCTTCCTTTTCATTAGCAAAACTGTTAACCGCAAAACCACCCGGTGATTTGTCGATAGAGGCTTTTCAACATTTGTTACAACTGGTCGCTATTGATGCACCTTCCTCGGAAATAGAGACAAAGGAAATGATTAATAAACTAAATGAAGGAATTGGAAGAATGCATGCTATGGAACAGGTCGATACTTCTCACGTCGATCATCCGTTTCGCACATTGAGTTTTCCAGTTGACGTGGAAGAATTACGTTGCCCGACTGAAGAAGATCAAACGAAATGGAATGTATTTCAAAATTCCAAAATGTCCGAACCTCCCTACTTCGTTTCCAAAACGTCTTTTCCCACTACTTCTCTTGATAAACCCTCTGGGAATTAAATTGTTTGCTTGAGGAGGACAATTCACAGCTGAAGCGGCTACAAAATTCAAATGATGAAACTTTTTCATTTTTTTCGAAGTTAAAAGTTAATCTACGAGTCAATACCTATGCTCTTCGTTAGAGATTTCTTGTCACGCATTGAGAATCACATCTCTCGTTGTCTTTTGCAACGTGCAAAACTTTCAAACGAGACATATACGGGACGAATCGTTGTTGCTTTCTTACTTTTCTTTTTTTATTTGCTTTCTTTGTCTTCTTCTCTTGTTTGACCTGTTAATAAAGAGCATCGCCATAACAAACATAGAAATATTAATCAAAAGAGGCGTATACGGACTGCTAAAACGACTATACAAAGCAAGGATCTTACCAAGGAACTTGTAAAAAATCATAAAAGGACCCACAAAAGAAAAGAATCCCTTGACTCTCTCAAATTCCGAGAATTTATGCTTTGAATAAGCCGTTAATGCCTTCTTGGCTGGTAGCTCCGATGCTGGAACAGTATAATAATTTGCTCCATTAATAAAATAGTAAATAGGGAGCTTTTCCACCAATAGACGAACAGCCAGTTCTGGGTTGTCATTTACATATACTCGGCCAAATTGGATATTGGGGTATGTTTCTTTCATGTGATGGGATAGATCCTGTAGGTTAGTATCTTTTATAATTTATAAACATTTTTACTCTTTCCGCATATTTTCTTCGTCCTCCTTGCATATAAACATGGAGGCAGTAGCGAAACAATTGTTAAAAAGAATACGTTCATACTTACATTGAAAATATAGTCTTCCTTAAGACAAAAATCACAAGGATTCAAAGTAAGTTGAACCAACCATTCATCAGACTTGATCGACTCATCCCAGTTTTTGTCAGTCAAATTGCTTACCAAGGATGAATCCAAAGCGCAACTAGGTGTTAGCTCAAGTTCTTTCCAAGCAACACCGGAAGCTTCTAATGCTTGAATAGAAACTGTCTCATCGGAATGGCAACTGACGGACTGCACTGCTTGCATCAAGCTCCCGAGAAAGAGACAGGATCCAAGTAGTTTTTTCAGAAAAAACATTCTCTTTTTGGTATACTCAATGGAAAATACTATAAAAAGGGATATGAAGAATCTTTCTGTACATAGAAACTGTTCGCCGTAGTGTTAGGTTTTTCTTCATCAAGGCTTCGAAAAGAATATCTCGATTCTATGATACTCCTTAGTTTTCAAAATCAACGACTCTGACACCTTAATAAAACATGCATACCTTCTGTTGAACTAGCTCAATTCTATAAAGTTGGTCATTTAATTGAAGTACACTACAATGCAAAAATAACTATATGACCATAAGCAATAGACAGTGAAATTAATTAATTAAAGACTTTGAAAGTCAGGAATGATTTACAAAACATAATTGGCAAAACGTCTACACTAGACATGGGTAGAATGGACTCGAATGAATATCGTGTTACCAACGATGAATTTATAATGTAACAGGACGAATCAACTTCAAGTTCCTTATTTCAACAGAAGAACGTTATGGTCAAGAAAAATACCGTCTTAAAGCATAAACTGTTACTACCCTTAATCAAAAAATAAATACTTGAAATCAATGAAAGTAAGGAGAGGATCGTAAGGGTCCTGTCACAAAGATGCAGAGAAGAGCAAAGAGGATATCAATCAACCTTTTAAGTCCTTTTTTGTCCTTTTGTTGAGGCAGACTCTTGCTCTGTTTCACCTTTGAGATCCACAGCACTGACTGCAAGTGCTTGCTTTTTGAGAAACAACACATTTCGATAATACCCTCTAGAAATTGGAATTACATCTCCTAGTGCAACGTGTTAGTGAATTTTAAGAAACCATGGGAGAACAGTTGAAAGACAGAGGGGATTTTGAGGATGACTTGTCACAACGCAAAGGACATTGGACCATCCATTATAATATTTTTCTTTCCTTGATTCCTTTGTTTATGAAAGACATACCCAGTTTACCAAGTTTTGGAGTATCATTGCTCAAGAGCTGCACCAAAAAAGGTTTTGATTTCCGATGATAGTACCGCTGAGGATTAGCAAAAATCCAGAAAAAGATAATTTTGTACCTTTTGAACCGACAAGTTATCGCAAACCAGCTGCTTCAGCATAAAAGGCCGAGAAAAAACAGAGGATAGTCTGCTCATAATGAATGCGTCTCAAGATCGGTTCTTTCCTATTTATCACTAAAAATAGAAATACAAAAAGAAGATAAAGAAAAGAATGTTCCTTCTAGCAAACAGCACAAGGATCCCTTCAATTCCTTTGTAACTCAACAGTAAATTGAACACGCGTCTTCCAAGTCCAACAAGAAAATGTAAATTCAGATATATTGGTAAAGTTTAATTTATTTTATGTATTTTTTCTTTCAAACTACCAATTTTGGGATAACTGTATCCAGAGATGATTAATTGTCTAAAGAGAACTTATGGTACTACATTGTATTATATCAGCGCCATAATCCCAAACTTCTCATTTAGCTTGTCGTTACCAATATTTCCTTTAAGTCTATAAACAGAAAGGATTTTCTTTTAATAGATTGAAAAAAGATTCGAGTTGACACTACATTCAGATTGAATTGAATTCATTTTGCAATTGCAACGATAGTTTTCTTGGGTGTTAGAAACAGAAATTCAGTCTAATGAATAACACTGTGCCGGTAAATGAAGAAATATCGAGACCTTTGGAAGAAACATTGGCAATATGCAAGCAATCAAGCCGACTGATGCAGAAGAATTTGCAGACTGGTAAATTAATGGACGCATTTCGAAACTGCAGTATCAGTCTGGTAGAGATGAGGAACAATGCTCTTTCTCCAAAGCAATATTATGAGTTATACATGTTTACTACAGAAACCCTGCGGCGACTTGGTGATGCATTGCTTGAGACACATCTGAACGGTACGCATCATTTGATGGATCTTTATGAACTCGTACAGTATGCAGGAAGTGTTCTTCCTCGCCTTTATTTGATGATAACAGTAGGAAGTGCATACCTGGAGACTCCAAAAGCTCTCGTTAAAGAAATTATGAATGACCTGATTGATATGTGTGCAGGTGTACAGCATCCTTTACGTGGCCTATTCCTTAGACATTATTTATTGACACAAACTCGAAAAGGGCTACCGCAGGATCCCGACGATGATAATGCCGACCCGAATAAAGGGACTCTTATGGATTCTGTTAAATTTTTGCTCTTAAATTTCACGGAAATGAACAAGTTATGGGTTAGGATCCAGCATTTAGGGCCCATGAAAGACTACATGAGGCGAACTCAAGAGCGAAACGAGCTTAAGGTTCTTGTCGGTCTTAATCTCGTACGGCTCTCCCAGCTCAGTTTCGACCTTGATGCGTACAAAAATGTCATTCTTCCAGCTATTGTTGAACAGGTAGTAGAATGCAGAGATCCTTTAGCCCAAGAATACTTATCCGAGGTGATTTGCCAAGTTTTCCCAGATGAAATGCATTTGGAAACTTTAGACATATACTTTAATACTATCTTGAACCTAAACAAAAGCGTAGATATTACGCCTTTGGTTATTTCTATGCTGGATAGACTTACTGCCTATGTTCAGCGCGAATGCGAAGCAGACTCTTCTGATGGAGAAGGCTCACTAAATCAAACATTGGAGAACATGGTACTTGAGAATGGTCCTTCCGATTCTGAAAATAAAGTGTGCCCCGGAGATAGAGTTATTTCTCCCAAGTTAGCCATTCAAGAGGTGCTATGGACTTACATTGTTGATGTTTTTAACGCCCGTAGTGGTATTTCTATGGGCAGTATTGTACAAATACTGTCAAGTATCCTAAATTTTTTCTTGCAATGCTACCCTTACAAAACCCAATATGCCGATAGAGTATTTCAGTTTATAAATGAACGCATTCTTCAACAACCGTCTCTTCAAAATGAACTGAATGAGCGGTCTCTTCAGAAATCTCTGTGTTCAATATTGTTGCTTCCTATTGTCGCCTTTCCTTCATTTTCGTACTGCTTAAACTTACCAAACTTTCTCCCTGTCTTCAAAGCACAGCCGAACAATATACGATATGATATAGCCAAAACAGTACTGGAAAAAATCATTGAAAAAGAACAGATTACTAGCGAATTGAAGGATGTCCAGGAGCTCCTTGGGGTTATTTCAGTGATAATCGAGAATAATGGCAATGATACTTTAGAAGACCTGAAAACAATAGCTACCCTGGTTCATTACCTACATAATGACGATCCTCAAATCCAGATTGAGGTATGTGTCTAATTTTCAGTTTTGAGTACTAATACTATAGATTTTACGTTGCTTGAAGGATAACTTTGTGCAAGCTGGTGAGAATGTTAAGTACTTACTTCCTGTGGTTGTGAACAAATGTATTTTTCTTGCCCGTGAATTTAGATTGTTTAAGGTAAATTAAAGAAAAGCAAAAATTAGTGGCTAACAACTTATAGTGTGTTGATTGGGCTGAAAAAGTTCGTGTCCTATGGGATTTTGTTAATGCTTGCATCGTCATTCTTTATAATCACGGTGATTCTGCAGAGCTGTCCCTTATCCTATACCTTTTTGCCGCAGAAATGGCCGATGTTGAAAACTACCCGGATTTTGCTTATGAATTCTTTACCCAAGCTTTTACTATTTATGAGGAGTCCGCTTTGGATTCTCGATTACAATACCAGCAGCTATTGATGATTACAGGAAAGCTTCAGAAAACCACAAACTTTTCTGTTGATGATTATGATACGTTGATTACGAAATGTACACTTTATGCGTCAAAATTGCTTAAGAAACCAGATCAATGCAGGTATGATCTACCAGTAATAATTATTGTTTACTAACATTTACCCAGGGGAATTCTTCATGCAAGTCATCTATGGTGGCAGAACGAAACGAATGAAGAAACAGTGGTATGTCCAATGAGACGTTATTGTTTTCCATATGTTGTCTAACACAGAAAAAGTTATTCAGGGATCCCAAACGAGTTTTAGAATGCCTTCAAAAGAGTCTAAAAATTGCAGATTCCTGCATGGATCAGGTAAGAGTTAATGATAAATGAACTTTTATTGCTAACACAGAATTAGATTACCAGTTTAAAATTGTTTATTAATATCTTGGAACGATATTTTTACTACTATGATCAACGTTGCGATTCTATCCTTGCCAAACATATTGGCGGTTTAATCGACCTGACTGAGCAAAACATGCGATCATTGCTTACTTCCTCCCCAAATGATCTTATTGCTAATGATCCCAATGCTTATGCTAGTTCCATTTGGGAAACAGCGGGTGGTTTCTCAGTTGATAGCATGAGAAACCATTTGGAGAGAACAACCAATCTAGCAGAAAAGCGCTCTGAAGATGAACGATGGGCTAGTATTTTTCAATAGTTTATTACTAGATTAAATCGTATGAGCTACCGTTTTATTACCGAAACTATGTTGTGTTTCATTTCACCTTAGACAAGCTTATGATTACAGCAAATATACAACTTAAAATTATTTATTCTATGAAGTATAAAACCAAAGGCCTACTCTATTACCTTAAAGGAGCATGAAAAACATACCTGATGAGTTTTACGTCTCTAACGTTTTGGAACTACTTGAGAGAAAGACAATTTTACCCACACACTCATTTATAGTAGAAAACGCCGTTTCTCGAGGAAGTTTTATAATCCTTCTATCAATTGTACTAAATTAACGTAATTTGAAGGACATTTGTATTCAGTTTTTGGCTCTAGGGCAAATAAAGCTGAAATACTAAACATATAGCGATCGTCAGACTTGACGCATCTGAAAAGTTTGTACTAATTTAATTATGAATGATAATCCATTGACTGAAGATGAAATCATAGAACAGAGACGGAAAAGACGGTTGGAGATTTTGAAAAAGCATCAAGTTGAAAGTTCCACCAATGCACCATCGCGAGTTTCAACGGAAGATTCTCTTACTTCAGAAGTGACGAATCCTTTTTCCAAACCGGAGACAAGTCGGTCAGAAGATGAACGACGCAGTTTGGATGGTCAGCAACCCAATGGCTTGAACGACTCAAGTTTAGCAAGACCAGTTTCAAATGAGCCATTTTCTGAAAAGACGGTTAACGAGAATGAAGATGATGAGGAAGACGATATGTTTGCAGATACTCCATCTCCCTCTTTAAAAAAACGGAAGACGGAGAAAAAGCCTTCTACTGTCAAAAGAAGTCTTGCTGGGATGCAAGACACTTGGGACGATATTGAAGGATACTATAAGGTTATTCTTATGGAAGAACTTGATTCACGTTATGTTGTTCAGTCCAACCTTGGCAAAGGTATGTTTTCTAGCGTGGTCAATGTAATGGACCAAAAGACAAAAGCATCGTTTGCTATCAAGATCATAAGAAACAATGAGGTAATGTATAAGGCCGGCATGAAAGAGGTGTCCATCCTAGAACGCCTTCAGGCTGCAGACCCCGAAGGGAGGAGACACATTATTCGTTATGATCGATACTTTATGCACAAAAATCATTTATGTATGGTATTTGAAATGCTTAGTCTGAACCTTCGAGATATTCTGAAAAAATTTGGAAGAAATGTTGGACTCAACATAAAGGCGATTCAAGTGTATGCTTATCAAATGTTCACAGCGCTTTGCCTTTTGGAAGAATGTAACGTAATTCACGCTGATATTAAACCGGATAATATGTTGGTGAATGAAAAGAGAAATATCTTGAAAATATGTGATCTTGGTTCTGCTTCTGATGCTTCTGAAAACGAGATTACACCTTATTTGGTGAGTCGTTTCTACCGAGCCCCGGAAATTAGTAAGTCAAATGCTTCGATTTGAACTAACGATTTTAGTTTTGGGATATCCCTATTCTTGTTCAATCGATACTTGGAGTGTTGGATGCTCCCTTTTTGAACTATATGCTGGACAGATTCTATTTCCCGGAAGAAGCAATAATCAAATGCTTCGGCTTATGATGGAATGCAAAGGAAAGTTTAGCCATAAGATGCTCAAACGTAGTCAATTTACTTTTGATAATTTTGATGAAGATTTCAACTTTATTAATAATGAAATTGATCCTGTTACTGGACAACAAACACAGAAAGTTTTGAATTTTAGCAAGCCTGTTCGAGATATAAAGTCCCGATTAAAGGATGTGCTTGCTTCCACGAATGAAGAAGTTGTGATTCAAAAAGACTTCATACTTTTGTTGGAACAATGCTTGGAACTCAATCCCGAGAAGAGAATCACGCCTAAACAAGCGTTGAAGCATCCATTTTTTAGAAATAATCAACCTTTTCGGTAAAATTGCATCCTACCATGGATCCCCTAATCCAAAACCTTTTTGTACTATGAATTTAGAATGAATTTTTTTGAAAATTAGACTTGTCTTGAAGCTTTGAATCCTCATGTAATTTAATACATTACTCCGTATTTACGCCTAAGAGGTTCAAATAAATGAAAACAAAAGCTATAAAAACGTGCGTTTGTGCTCAATTGGCTTCATACTAATACCATTGATTCCTGTAGTATTCTCTCATAAGACCTGTCTCATCTACTGAGAACTACCAACATCTAAAAGTTGCTACATAGCATAAAAATGGCAGAATTAGCGACTCGCGATCCTAATAAGCATCCAGTGAGAATTTTTGAAGCCCAAAAAGGCAAAAGGCCAGTCTATATAGCAGCTCCAATGGTCAGGTACTCTAAATTGCCGTTTCGACAGCTGGTACGAGACTATCAAACAGACATCGTATATACTCCTATGATTTTAGCAAACGAGTTTTTACATCCTAAAGGAAGATATTTTGATTTCTCTACAAACGAAAAAGACGCAAGTTTGATTCTTCAATTCGGTGTTGAGGATCCCGTCATCCTGTCGAAAGCTGCAGAACTCGCAGGTCCGTATGTGGATGGAATTGGAATCAATTGTGGTTGTCCTCAAAGTTGGGCAATTCACGAAGGGATCGGATCCGCGCTTTTGAAGGAACCCGAAAAAGTATATCAATTGATCAGAGCAGTTAAAAACACATTAGGTGAAGATTTCTGTGTTGAGGCAAAGATACGCATATCAAAAAATCTGGATAAAACCCGTCATCTAATGCAAACCATTGAACATGCTGGTGCTGACTTTATAACTGTTCATGGCCGAACCAGACAAGATCGTTCTTCATTTCCTGTCAATTTAGATGCTATTCGGGAGGTCCGTTCTTGTGTTAATATTCCTGTAGTTACCAATGGAGACGTTGCTTCTCTTCGCCAAGGCTACGAAATCGCTAATCTCACAAATACGGATGGTATCATGTCAGCTAGGGGATTATTAGAAAATCCAGCACTTTTTGCTGGATTCGAAGATACACCTTGGGGATGTGTAGAACGATTTGTTTCTTATTCCACTGCTTATTCTTTGAATTTTCAGCTGTTTTACCATCATCTGGTTACCATGATGAATAAATTGATCACGAAACGTGAGCGAATGACTATTCCCAAAGACAGTTTTGCTGCTGTTATGGATTGGCTTGATGCAAATTTCGTCGTACGTCGACCTGGAGAACCATTGTTTGGTGAAACAGTGCTTCCTGTGAGACGAGAAACTTAGGATGCTAATTGTTAAGGATTTTTCATGTAACTAGTCTTTTAGGTTTTAATGAGTATGAAGATAATGGATTTAGGTTTTGCTTTTGTTTTCCTTTTTATAGGGGTCCTAGTACATGTCTTAAAAATTAAATCAAGTTCGTTGTTTTAACCAAAATGCCTTACAGATTTTGTTCTCTCAGGATATGTAGTCATTTTAACTTAGTCGTTCTTTTGTTGCTAATAAAAAAGTACAAAATAACCTTCTTAAGCATCAGATCATGTGTATACAGTCATTTGCCTTTGGAGACCCGGAATTTACACCTTTTAAAGAAAAAAGTACGATAATAAAAAAAATTCAACTATGTATGGTAAGTTTTTGATTAATTCGTAAGTTTTATGTGATTAATATATCTCACAAATTAGCCTTCATATGAATCGTGAATTTTAAAACAAAAACTAAATCAATCTTAGGAAACCTTAGATATTTTAGATGGAAGAGGATCCTAAAAAGCAAGCTATTTTACTCAACACTGCTCATCTTCACAACATCCGAATTGATAACAAGTGTTTTCACATAAATATCCTTCCAAAGAAAACATGCGTCAAAAATGTACATGACAAGATCAAACGGATGAAAGCATTGCAAAACATTAGTACATTCTCGATCTAATATAAGAAGACTATAACAATAAGTAGTTCAAAGAAAAAAATTACACCCCGAAAATTAAAAAGTCGAACCGAATACTAACGCAAGTTTCCTCTTAACATGCAATGGCCAAATTCAAAAAAGAACCAATGCTGATGTCGAACATCTATCTGGACAAAAAGTTTGTAAACATGCAGAAAACTATCAACTGATAGATAAAGTAAACAATACTATTTACGATTCTAAAACATATGTTAGCCGTCCATTCTTTTAATTTCCTTTTTCCACTTACCAGTACAAGTCCTTCAGAATATTCATCCTCGGCAAAATCACGTTCACCATCTGAACTATCATTCTCGTCATCTTCATCGCTATCAGATTCATCCCGATCCGAACTACTTATAAAAAAATTAGAGCGAGGATATTTTTTGTCTTTACCACGGGAGACCCATTCGACAACCTCATCGTCTTCCTCGTCATCTTCATCCGAACTGCTACTGAACTCATCAGGGGGATTATCAGAAATATGCTGAGACATATATTGAGCAAAGTGGTCGCGGTTATCTTGTGCACCATTATTTGAATCGAAGCTAAGTCGACGAGACATTTCACGTGATAAAGGATCTTCTTCATTACCATCAGCATCCTCTTCATTAGATGAAGAGTTATTAGACAATTCTCGATGGACTTCAACCACATCATCATCACTGCTGTTACTGTATTCTTGTTCTAAAGCAAATTGCATTTCCGGCAGATTATTGGCATCTAACATCTCTCCATCATCCATGTCTTCCAAATAACCAACCATTGAAGGCTCAAGTCCACCAAGAAGTTGATTATCGCGAGCACGAGTCTCTGCTAGAGTATTATTGACAAAGTGTTGCCATTTTTCGTCATCAATTAATTCTTTAATTTCAGGGCTGAACAAATGAGAGTAATGCTCAATGAACTTCACAACTTCATCCGCAATTATAGTAAGATGTCCCATATAACCAGGTCTAAAACCATTAGGTTCAGAAGTGGCCTTGTCACTCATTTCTTGACCATGAACTATTTTTTCTGTAATTCTTCCACGCAAAAACATGTCAAATGCTAATGCACAGTTTTGTTCCTTCTCCATAGGGCCGTTCAAGACTTGTTGGACAACGTCATACACAACGTTGTGAAGAAAGTTGTTCCAGGGATATTCAAAGAAATGATCAAGTACTGTAGGAATGATATTATTCTCAGTAAACTTGATTTTAAGAAAATCTCCAATTACAGGTTCTTTTCTAAACTCATCAAGAACACTTTCAGGTAATGGCTCATACGAGTCGTTTGACGCACTTTCCTCTAAATCTGGCTGAATATATTTTGAAGTTTCACGAACGTCTTTGTACTCCTCATCCGCAACGGGTTCGGCGTCTTCCATCGGCGAATCCCCAGCAACCTCAGTAGGTAAGTCTTTATAGTCCTTTGAAATTTGAGGGATTTGTCCATGCATAGAATCACTCACATGCTTATCCGTATAGCTAGAATCAGCATCTTCTTCATCAGATATACTAAGATCACGAGCGCAATTATTATGACGGAAAAGATAGTCCCGTAAGTGATCTCTTTGCATAACAAGGGCCTCTGCGTTAATATCACTCAAAAGTGACATATTACTACAATGAAGAAGCTCAGCATATAACTCGCAAATTCGAAAACGCTCAAATCCTAAAGGCTTAATGGAACCAAAACTGGTAGCCACACCCTCAGGAGTAGAAGAAGGCTTAAATAAAATCTGTTGAAAAATTGGAATTTTTTCGGCAAAAAGACGAAGCATTGTACCCAAGTAAATAGGGTCACGTGTTGTAGGGGGTTGAGTATCAAGAGGCATCTGTAGAACAGGAGTCACATCGTAGTCGCTATTGTTTTTGCGAATAAGTTCAATGACGATGCTAACGCCATTAATCAAGGAAGTAGATGAATAAGGAGCTTTGGGATCAATCATATAGTCAGTAAGAGTGGTAATGGTTCGGCGTGACACCAATTCACGGGATAAAGAATTAGGGCCAATAACGCCAGGCTCATTAGAATTAGCAGAAATAGCGATAATAGCTTTTATGACATCTGCTACTGTGGATTGTACATCAGGATCAACATAAGGATTGAGTAAACGAAGCAAAGATTGTATTAAACCCTGAGAATACAACCAGTCGGCGATTCCAACGGCTGTATTGCAACGATCCATAGAAATAAATTTTAACAAAAGATCCATAATAGCGCTCGTTTCAGCATGGCGGAGAATTTTGTCGACAAAGTTCTCGATTGACTGTATGAAAGCTACAGTTTCTTCAGTTTTCTTATCAAGAAAATGCTCATTCACTTTGGCGAAATAGGAAGCTTGTAAAGGATTCAAGGGGCCTTCATTGTCCAAAAAAGACCATAATTTTGTCATAAGCTCCTTATTCTCGACGCAAGCATCACATATAGACCAAACATCACTACTAAGGATTTCACTAGCAACAAAAGAAAGTCTGCTTTGTTCCAACTCTTCGAATCCACCCTCAACAGGAAGGAAATCTTCTTCGCTTACCTCGAGAATTAAGTCGATCAGTTGGCTCAAAACCTCTGGTTTACAAAGGTAGTCTAAGAGCTTTGGATTATGACTTTTGCATTCATCTAAAAGGCCATTCTCTTCTAATAATTCTGGTAAATCGATCTCTTCTTGTGGTTTATTCAATATCGCCTCAATGGCAGTCGAACTTTGAAATCCAAACCCTTGGCCTAGTCTCCAAAACATTTTTTGTTTTTGTTCACTTGAGATCAAGCCAACTGCTGATTTTTTCTTCTATGCAATATACCCAAGTTAACGGGCTTTGTGTAATCAGATTCCGCGAACCTTGAATTTCCTGCACTAAAACGACGTATTCAACTTGAGTTTTTACCCTATACTGGTTTTCAATACCGGCACAATCGTTTCTTTGGGTTCCGAAACCTCAATTTCAGAGTTTTATTCTTTTTGCTCTTGAAACAAGCAGTTGTGTTTGTATGTTGTTGGGCAAAGGACAAACTTATATGAATGGTCAACTCTACGTATTGGATTTCCCCAGTTAAAGAGTAAGAAATTACGAGCTAGAACACATCAGTAAAGGATGAATAAGCAGGTATGCAAGCATAGAGCAATGTTCTGCGCAACTCGTTACTTTCTAGATTGCGCTACGTTGTGTTAAAGTGTAAACAAACCATAAAAGATCGACGAATCGAGATTGCTGTTCGGTAACGATTCGACCGAAAGTGACTCAATTTTTTCCAATGTTTTAAACAAGCAATTGTATAATGTATGAAAATTATATTCCATACCAAAGGGAAGCGGCATAATGTTATGTTTAGCGACTCTTTTTTTTTTTTCGAATTCTGTAGGAAAGATTCGGTTTTTCTTGTGCAATGAAGCGCTCAATAAAGCAATGTGTAGGAACCAAGTAAATCCCCTCTAATGAATCGAATCCTATAGATTATACAAGAAATATTTTCTTCTATATGCTTCGCACCCTATCGTAGAAATAGACTTTAATATTTCCTCTTATTATAAAATACATGGGTTTCTAAATGCGGTACGCCGCACTATAGAGTGCAATTCGTTTTAGGATACGTATTGTCTCTCTATAAGCTTATAATTTTGACTCGGCAGTCTACGCTATTCTGATTCTTCTAAGGAGAAGGAAAATGATACAACAAAGTGCAACAATCAGTAGGTAAATTGCTAAAAGGAAATGAAGTAAGTATACGATGATGATGAAGTATAATCTTTTACGATCAGGATACAAAAGCTTTGAGCGGGGTCTGCTGGGCTCCTTGTCGCAACAGAGGAACCATACAGTGTCGAATCAAGAAATCCAACATTTTGATGCATTGGCGAAAACTTGGTGGGATTGGGATGGTGAGAGTCGACTGTTGCATTTAATGAATCCCACTCGCATCGACTTTATGTCTCAAATCATACGCGAGAAAACCCCTTTTGCTGGAAAACAGGTTCTTGATATTGGATGTGGAGGAGGGATCCTTAGCGAAAGTATGGCTCGTCTGGGTGCGAATGTTACAGGTGTAGATGCGTCAAAAAAAGCATTAGATGTAGCAAAAGATCATTCGGAAAAGGACCCTAAGATCCGCGATCGTCTCAAGTACATCCATGGACCCATTGAAAAACAGAATTTCGATAAGCAGTTTAATATTGTTACTTGCATGGAAGTAGTAGAGCATGTTACGAATCCCCGAGACTTTTTAGAATCTTTAATGAACCTGGTCAAGCCCAATGGCTATTTGATGCTATCTACCATTTCGCGGACCTTCATGGCTCGGGTTTTGACGATCTTTTTAGCTGAAAAAGTACTCGGAATTGTCCCCGACGGAACTCATGATTATCAAAAATATATTCGCCCAGAAGAGCTGGCAGAATTCTTCCGTGAACACCATTGGAAAGTAAATGATGTCCGTGGGGTAATGTATCATCCTCTTCAGTCCAAATGGATCCTTGCAAAGCCGGGTGATAGTTGCTTGCCCCCTTTATGCAACTACATGCTATCTGCACAAAAGCCATAACTACATTCTTATTCATACCATATTAAAGATACGTTTGTTTCTCTCTTTATCGTATTTTTTATTAAATTATCATTTTTGTGTCGTAAGAATTGAAAATGAGTCCGCGCTTAAATGAAGGAATAGAATATCATAACACTTTTCCACTGCTTTTCACTGAGCAGTATTTGGAGCTTCCAATTGTTCTTCGTCGACGAAATTCGGAATCTCCTTCGATGGCTGTAAATAACTAGGTTGATCTTGCGTTATTTGGTCTCCGTTTAACGAAGCTTCCTGTTGTAAAGCTTCTAATTCCGCATCCAGTTCTTCTTCATCTACATCCACATTCGCCATGTTTTGCCCAAGAACGTCGTTGAATTCATCTGCCGTATCCATGTAATCTTGAATTTGATCCTGCAGCTTTTCAATTTTTTCTATGGACAGACTTTTACTTTGCGCCTTCATCTGTCGAGCTGTATCCTGCATCGTTTGAACAGTGGTCATGGTATTCTTCATAGACTCGGTTGTCATGGCCGCTTGCTCCATATTAAAAGACTGTTGTTGCAATTGTTGTAATTGAGCCTCATACCTAGAAACGTGTTAGTGAAAGCTCCTTTTTTGCTAATAATTGTTACATTTTCTTTTGTCGTAATACACCCATAGCGCGTTGTTTCAAAGTAGTTTGTCCTGGCCCAGGCCGAGTATTTGCAATCTTTTGTTGAAATACAGACAATTGGGAGTCTAATTTTGAGATCTTCACCTCAAGTGAATCGCTTCGTTTATCGAGCTATACACCTTGTAAGCAGTTTTTTTCCAACTTTAAGCTCTTACCGAGTCAATTGCATCTGTTAATGAAGGGCTCGTTCCAGCTGCTGGCTTTCTTCCAAATAACCTGTGCATCTCAAAGCAAGTCTATTCTCCATGATGTATTAGCAAAGGTCAATTCATAACGTTGGAACAAGTAAGAATTCCACTTGGCAAAGGCTTTTCAAGTATCCATTGTCAATCCGATGAAAGCTAAAAAAGGAATTATAAAAGGAAAGAGCCCGATGAACAATGCGCTTTCTAGCAAACCCAAGCTAGCAGTTACACGCAAGTTTTCGTCCTTTCGGTAGGATACCTGAATCAAAAGTACCATTCCTTTAAGAATTCCTTTCTATCGATCTCATTAGTAACTTACCGAAAAATAATGAAATGAATCCGCAATACAAATCCCAGGTCTATTCCTATGGTAAACCCGATTTTGTTTCCAAGATAATGAACTGCATTATGGTATGCTAGATTTCGTTTTGGTTCACAAAACAGTAAACAAATCATTTTCTTCCAGGTTGCTTCGTTTGCTACACGAAGGTGATACTTTAGGCTGTACGAACGTTTTGAATGCTTGGTCGGTTGGCATAGATTTTTTAAGTACTTAGTTTGGTTTTTTACCCTCATTACTTTCGAGAAAGGTTTTCTAAAAGGAGGGAGAAGTTTGTTACATAGTTGTAACGTACGATTTCAGCACTGAAAAAAGATTGGTAGTCAAACCTTTTTTTTGGTCTCTTCCTACAATTTACCAATCCATGGCTTTCAAGTGTTCATTTTATACTCATTCATATGTTATGAAATTCTTTAGCTATGGCACAGATCATTTGTATACACATTGACTTTTATCATAGCCAAGTGTTTTTTGAGATATCATTTGGCCAGGAAGTATTTGATTTTGTTTTCAGGACTTAGAAGAGTAAAGTATAAACCGCTTGAGAAAAATTGCAAATTCCGTTTATCTCATTTGACATCTAAAAAACCAAAATCACCTTTTATTTATTTACTTTATAGTGCAATAGCTTGTTATTTATAAGACTTTAGTGTGCATTAAGCACAGTTTATTCATTCCTTATTTTAGATATAGCGTTTATAATATGCCGCGGTAAAGATTTTTACCGTTAGTTCATTAAAAGTCGTTATAACCGCGGTATAACCGTACCATTGACGAAATTACCGAAGTCTTTAGGACAACTTGGTAAACGCACATAAAACACCACAAAACTTTTACCATCACCTATAACTGTAAAGGAAACTGAATTTAGGAGGTTTGAGCTACTTGCTCTAATAAATAAACGAAGAATTGAACAATTTGAGTTTGAGAGACGACTGTTCGGTTTTGATCCGTGATTTGTCTCTTCTTGAATTACATCGAGCATGAAAGCCGCTGTAAGATCCGTGTATGTAATGAATTATCAAAGACTCAAATAGAGTGGAAGGAAAGAAAGTGTTGACATGAGAGGTTTGCGAAAAGTACGATGTAGCAGAGTGTCGTAATTGGTCGACTTCATTTTGTATGTATGCTGCTTCATTGCTGCATGGCAAGAACAATGTTCAACACTGACTTCACTTTTCTTTCCTTTGTTTAAAATGCAAATGAAAAATTAGGGTTTTGCTGAGAGTTAGACCTAACTAACCGCTGTTTTAGGAAAAATTTCTCAAAAGGTTACACAGACACACAGGTCAAGGTTCGAAATGCCACCACAAATGATGCATGGGGACCGAGTGGTAGTGCCATGGCAGAAATTGCTGCTTTGACATTTGACCAAAATGAAATGTTAGAGGTAATGGACATCATCGACCGTCGGTTGAATGATAAAGGAAAAAACTGGAGACACGTCTTTAAATCCTTGTCTCTTCTGGAGTATTGTCTGCACAGTGGATCCGAAAATGTCGTTCGCTGGGCCAAGGACAATATATATGTTATTACAACGTTGCGGGAGTTCGTCTATGTCGATGAACATGGACATGACCAGGGTCAAAATGTCCGCAGCAAGGCGAAGGAAATTAGCGCACTCTTAGCCGATGACGACGCTTTACGTGAAGCACGTCGAAATCGTGATAATATGCAATCTCGTCTCCGTAATGACAGCGTGAGTCCTCCTCCTTTTGAAGAATCTCGTTATTCGCGCGCTCCCAGTCGCTTTGATGATGACGATGAAGATCGTTCTCGTTCCAGACATCGTAGTCGATCACGTCGTCCTTCTGCTCGCTCACGCTCCCGTCGTAGTCGTAGACCTTCACCTAGTAGCGATCAAGAGGATGATTCCGAGCTTCGCCGAGTGATCGAAGAATCCAAGCGACAGGCCGAGGAAGATGCTCGTAGGCGTTCAGTGAATAACAATTCTGAAGCTGATCTTCAAAAAGCAATCCAACTTTCAAAGGAAGAGGAAGAAGCTAGACAAAGACACGAACGCGAACGTGAGCAGCAATCGTCCGTCACGCCTGCTTTTCAGCCTGTTGATTTTTTTGGCAACCCTGTTCAACCTCAACCCACTGGCTTTTTACAACAGCAACCGACCGGTTTTATACGTCCGCAAAGTACCGGTTTTGTTCAGCCACAACCTACTGGGTTTGTTTATCCACAAAATACTGGGTACGTTCAGCCTCAGCGCACCGGGGGTTTCCCTCAAAATCCTGGCATGATGCGTCCTCAAAACACTGGCTTCATGCAACCGCAATCTACCGGATTTATGCAACCACAACGCACCGGGTTTGCTCAGCCATTTGATTCTAATAATCCCTTCCCATTTATGCAACCTCAACGTACGGGTTTTACGCCTCCTCAGGCCGTTCAACCTATGCCGCCCAATCACACTGGTTATGTTCAACCTATGCCACCTAATCATACTGGTTATGTTCAACCTATGCCACCTAATCATACTGGTTATATTCAGCCTCAGAGCACAGGGTTTCGTCCGCAGAATACGGGATTTAATGCAAATAATCCCTACTCTCGTCCTCTGCAAACTCAGCCTACGGGCTTTATGAAACCACAAGTAACACAGCCTCAACCGCAATCACAACCTCAATTGGAAACCACGAAAACTGGATCCAATAATCCATTCGCGCAATTCGCCAAATTGCCTTCCCAACCAACTGCTCCTGTGAATGCTAAACCCGTAAAACCTGTACGAACTGGAGATGATAAACATGCCAATATTGCTCAAGCCATAGCATCTGGTAATCCTATGGGTATTGATAGTTTTGGTAATGTTGGTCTTGCTCGATTACCTACACAGCACACTGGCTCAAGATTCACGAACAGTGCCGGTCAAACGATCCAGTCGCAAGCTACTGGAAATACACTCAATCCTTTCCATACTCAACCTACTGGGGCTCAGCAACCTATGTATTCGTATCCACAGAATATGATTAATGGAAACTCGCAACAAAATATGCAGCAACAATCTATGCAACCTCAAGTTGGTTCGCTCATTGATTTATAATTTTAATCCCTCCCTTTTAGGTCCTTTTCATTTGTTAATGAACGTTTTTAATGATGGTCCTTCTCTTTTTGTTTATAAATTTTATGAAAGTTTGCTATCGATTTATCTTGTTTCAAGCTATGTCATTACAACACGTGCTATCTTCCGCCCGTTTTTTTTATGATTTTTAAGACATAACTCAGTATAGAAGATGTTTTAATGGTTAATTTCGCGTTTGTTATACTTCCTTGTTTACTGCTGCTTTCGTTATATTGTAGTGCTATATAAGCGGAATGGTTATTTCTTTCACTCACTTCATTACAAGCTGTGTCTTTACTTTTGGATTGTATAAAAGTTATAGTACTGAATATTATATTATTTTCAAAAATCTTAAGGTCAGTCCTAAATTAAACGTAAGCAATGTTAAATATATTAAGATCTTTAAACCCCATCACTTCATAAACGATCAAATTTTATAGCTCTTCATTTTATATTATCCTGTTTGTTAGAATCATCACGTTGGCGCTTGGCCTGACCTGCATTTTTACCAGTTGATAAACGTTTGGAAGCACCCGTGATAGATAATTTTCCACCTTCTGGTTTCATTGGTACAGGTCGAGCTACAGCGGGTCTAGCAACATTTGGCTTCTGTTTACTGCCAGTTGTTTGTAACCTGGAGCTTAGAGACTTAGTAGACTGATCACCTTGATTGGACGTTTGAACAGATTGTTTGCCCTTCGCAACGTTAGGTTTTTTTGAGCTTTCTACGCTCTGCTGTGATTCCAACTGCTGATTTAGACCGCTAAGTGTTCCTTCAAGTTCTGCAATCTTTGATTGTAAGTCTCTAGTTTTTTTCTCATAGATTGATATTTTCGCTTTGTTACGAATCTCCGTCTCAGCGACAGCTCTATTAAGCCGATTGCTAAAGGCCTCGTCTTTTTCATGTAAGGCTTTTTCAAGTCGTTCGTTTACTAGACCTTCAAGTTCCGGCTCAGATTTATTCTCCATTGCACTTTTTAGCGATTGTAAATCTGATTCAAGCCTTTGTATTGTTGTCTGACTTTCATCCAGCTCCTTTTGAAGACTTTCGTGCTCTTTAGCTTTTTCTTCTAAAAGCTTCGAGCGCGTATCCTCTAAAGTCGCATCCTTTTCTTTACTGAAGTCGTGCTTTAATGTCTCTAACTTTTGCTGGAAATCAAAGGCTTCAGGATGATCTGACGGTATTTGCTGAAGCTGTGCGTCTTTGATAGAAGTCAGTTCTTGAGAAAGAGTATTCAACTTTTGAGAGAGCGTTTCGTTCTCCTGTATTTTCTGTTCTAACTGCTTTTCTAATTGCTGAAAACGACTTGTATTAGAAGACAACTCAGTTTCTTTTTCTTTCGTCAATGATTGTAAGTTTTCCTTAGCAATAGAGAGCTCTTGTTCTAGTGAATTTTTTCGTTGCTCTATTTCTTGTAGTTTATCTTTAGAAACCATTTCCGTCGCTTCGACAGTGTTTGTTTTCGCTTCTTCACGAACATTTTCGAGCTCTTTAAACAGGCTTTTATTTTCATCTTTCTTAGAATTTAATTCTTTATCTCTAGTTGCGATCTCCTGTCTCAATTGAGAGAACCTGGCTTTACTTGAATTGATAAGACTTTCATAACGTTCATTCCAAGCGCTAGCCAATTTGACATTTTTTGCATTAAGTTGCTCAATCTCTGTTTTAAGTGCCGATATTTGCTCTGAATCTCCTTTTAATTTTTCATTTTCTTCCTTCAGCTTTTCAAAAGCTGACTCTAGATCTTTCTTTTCAGCATCAAGATTGTCATACTTGGCTTTAAGTTCTTCATATTGGGATGGATCCATTCTTTCGTATCTAGTCAATACAGATTGGAAACGTGATTTCCATCTCTCATTATCTTCATGGAGTAGCTTAATACTCTCATTCTTGGCATCCAACTCAATTTTAAGGTCGTTAATTTCGATATTCAACGGCTCAAACTTGCTTTCAACGTCAGTGACTCTGTTTTCCATACTATCGATCTTTGAGCGCTTTAATTCATTATCTTTGCGAAGAACTTCATTGCTCTCATATAATAGACGGAGTTCGTCAGATCCACTAAAAACCTCTGGTTTTCCAAAGCCATCGGCATTTGTGGGTCCCTTTAGTCTAGCAACCTCAAAACTTAAAGAATCTATGGTCCCTTGAAGACTTTTCACTTGCTGGCTTAACCGCTTATTATCCAAGGAAGCCAGTTCATGTTTGTTAGCGGTGATTTCCTTTTCATGTCGAAGATAATTAACAAGCTCACGCAACTCAGAATCTCCAGTAGAATCCAGTCTGGATACAGGCGCTTCATTTTGCCAAGAATTATTTTGTAAAAATTCAACTTGATGACTGACTGAGTCAAATTGAGAATGGAGTATCCTATTTTGCGACTCTAGACCCTCCAACTGTTCTTTCAATGAAGATACCTCCGACTCTAGATTGTCCTTTTGTTTCCTCCAATTCTCTTCTGAGTTTGCGTGCGTGCTCGTCCATTCCTCGCTTTTAGATTTTAGTTCAAGGTATTTTCCTTTTATTTCTTCGTAATCACCGCGCATGTCATAAAGTTTCTGAGTAGTGGAACCATGATTTATGATTTCGGTCTCATAATTACAATGTGCTTCCTTAGTTAGCTGTATTTGTTTCTCCAAGTCTTTTTTGAGAGAAAGAATCATTTTCTCGAATTCATCACGAATAAACTGGTTTTCCTCCTTGTAACTCAGCATTTCATCTCTTTCTCGGGTTAAATTCTCAATTTGGGTCATTTGCTCCTGATATTTTAAATCCTTGTCTTGTCGGGCCATGTTAACATCTTCCTTTAATTGAGATGCTTCCGCATAAAGCCTTTTTATCTTTTCTTCTCTCTCCCTCAATTCTGATTCCATAATATTTTTAAACTGATCATGGGTTTCATTCATCATTTCTAATGTTTTCTCCGATGCTAAACACTTTTGTTGGACCTTTTGATACTCATCCCCTAGGCTTTGTAGCTTTCCTTTAGTTGTCTCTAAATCTTTCATAATATTTTCTGTTTCAGCAGTAATTGAACCCTCGGATGATCTTGAAGATAGAATACTTGTTTGTAAGTTATTGCATCTTTCTTGAGTCAACCTTAAGTTATCCTTAAGCTCCTGGTTTTCAGTAACAAGGCTCGCGCATCGAGTAGCTTGGGAAGTGAGCTCTTGTTTTAATTCGGAAACTTTGTCTCCCATGGTATTCAATTGCAGCTGATAGTCTTTAATATCATAAGAATTCTGTAGAGTAATCCTTTTTATGTCATCAGCGTATTCAGAAATTTTAGCATTAGCATTTCTCAAATCAATGGAAGATTCAGAAAGACGGTTATTCAATAATTTAACAACTCCATCATGATCTTGCTCGTGGGATTGTAACTGTGCTTTCAGTTGATTGTTTTCTTGCTGAATAGATAATAAAGAGGAATTTAGTTGCGAGCATTCGAAAGTTAATTTCGATTCGACACTGTTCCAGAGATTCTTCTCTTTGTACAAATTCTCCAAATCAAATCGATAAGTTTCCACTTGCTTATAATAAACGCTCAATTGACCAGAGATTGCCTGAAATTGTTGTAAACTGTTACTGTGCTGTTCCTGTAATAACTTATATTTTTCATATAGTTCACTGTGTTCTTTTTGGTTTGTTGTCAATAAATGATCATAGTAACCGCATTTCTCGAGGGTTTTAGCCAGATCTATTTTTACAGCCGAATTAAGATTTTGTAGGTCAAAGTTAACAGTTTCTAAGGATCTAATCTTCTCCAATAATTTGGTTTCTTTTTCACTGGCAACGGATTTAAAGCTTTCCAGCTCTTCAGTTAGTAAGTCAATTTGTATCGAAGATCGTTGATTGCCTATCCTTTCCTTAAGTTTCATTCCTTTGTGGATATCCAACGAATCGTCGTCAATTTTTAAAAAAGATTCGTTTTCTTGAACTAACGTTCGGAAAAAATCCCGTTCCTTTATGCAACCGTTAAATTGTTCATTCATAAACTCGAGTTGCTGGGAGAGTTCATCAATAATGCGATTAGCATTCATTAAAGTATCATTTTGGACATTGGAAGCGTTAGAAATGCTTTCATTTTTTTCTAGCTCTTGGGCGAGATCGCGAATAACTGAAAGTAATTTTTGGTTTTGTTGCTGTAATTCAGCTATATTTCTGAAGGAAACAAGACAATCAGATATAAGCTGATTAGTATCGCTTTCAGGAGTTTCTACCGACTGCTCTACCAAACTTCGAAAAACTTGACGCTCTTTATTGGTAAACACTGTTCCGGAATCACGAAGGTCTATTTCATGTAGCAATACTTGAACCTGGCGAGCCAAATCACGAATTTGTTGTTCAAAATGTTTGTTTTCTTTAGATTTATCTTTAAGCTGTACTTCCAGAGCCTTGAAGCCCGATTGCGTTTTTCTGAAATCTGCCAAAGACTTTTGGTATTGCTCGCTCATTGCCGCGATTTCCTTCTGCTTTTCGTTAAAACGTTCAAACTGTTCTTTAATGAGAGGGTGTTGAAGATTTACCTCGTTCATAGTTTCGTTCAAGTTTCGTTGTAAACGATCCACTTGCTGTTTGCTATGCTCATACTTTTGCTTAAAGTATAGTCTTTCTGTATATAAATCGGATAAAGATAATGACGTCTCTCTAGGTTTTAAAGAAAAAGAAAAACCAGAATCTTCAGAATTAGCAAGCCTTTCATTCGCTAAGGAAAGCTGCGATTCCAAGCTTGCTATTTCCTTCTTTAGAAACTCTACATTTGACTGGCTAGAAGATAAACTTTTTTCGAAAACAGAATGTTGATCCTCAAGGGACTGTTGTGCCTCTCTAAGTAGTGTATCCAATTCAGAGTTCGCATTTTGAAGATGTTCAGAATGACCTTGAAGCGTCTTGTATTTATTGGTCCATAAATCGATAAGTTGTCTTTGAGATTCTAAGTCTTTCTGAAGTGAGAAAACTGTATTCTCATGCTGTTTCTTCAGCTCAGAAAGTTCATTAAGACAAGTTTCGTGCTTCAGTTGACTTTCAGTACATTGTTTACTTAAAGAATCCACTTTACGTTGCAATACATCCTTGTTTAAATTTGCATCCGTCAATTGCGAATTCAGCTGTGATTTTTCCAACGAAAAAGATTGATGGAGTTTCAATAACTTCGTATTTAGATCTTCAATAACTTGATTGAGCCATGTATTGTTGTTATCCAATATTGAGTTCTTTTGTGATAACTTTTGCAGCTCGAATTCGTAAGAAGATTTCGATGATTGTACCACCTGTTGTAAATGTTGTACCTCTATAACCTTTCGATTGTACGTCAAAAGCTGGCTTTTATAGCCATCAATGACAGTAACTTTCTCTTGTAAATCTTTCGAATTTTGAACAAGGGACTCTCGAAGCCGTACATTTTCTTTGTGTAGCAGTTCGTAATCACTTTTTGTTTCATCGCGTTCCTTCTTCAATGCGTCTACTTCTTTCTGTGCATTTTGATAAAGATTATAGTTCTTAATAGAATTCTCTTCAGATGAAAGAAGTGACTTACGAACATTTTCGTTATCAAATTTTGACGCGTCCAGTTGTTTCTCAGACTCCAATAACCGCTTTTCTAAAACTCGAGATTGCTGTTCAAAGTTCACTTCAGCAATTAATTCATTATTTTTTAAATTTCCGTATTCTTTGTATCGTTTTATTAGAGACGAAAAGATGGATGAAAACAAGTCCTGATGTAGTAAACTATCGATGGTAGTTCGCGATACATCAAGAAACTCTGAAACTCCATGGATATCTGCTGTATCCCAGGAAGAATCGTGCATGACGACAAACAGAGAGCTTCCTGCTAATTTTTCTGTGTTGGAAGCCTCAACTTTGTTTGAAACACGTTCTTACCTATTGCTGTGGTGGTTAAGTGTCGCGATGACCTTGATCTTTACAATACATTCATAGTTACTTGTCTTGCAACTGCAAATATCCACTTCAATAAAAAATATAATTATTAGATTAAATTTAGTTGATTAGACGTTTTATTCGTTTCTTGTGGGCTAAAACTGTTAACGCTTTGATTGCTACTTACTGAATCTTACTTCAAGTGCTACAGGAAATCATAAAAAAAAAAAGTTTGTTTTTTTACTAAATGTAATATCTTTAAGGGTATAGAACCTAGAGTCATTAATGTCGAGATAGTGACTAATATCAGTATTGACGCAAACGTATAGTTGATTATAATATGACAATTTTAAGGAGGGATATTTAACGAACACTTAAATGAGGAGCATTCTGTTTGGATGTATTTGAGGATTGAGAAGCTTTGGAATCAGCTGGAGTGTTTATTGCACTGCGGTTGAGGCCAATGTGAGACTTTACCAAGTGGCCACTTGCAAGTGCAGAACATAAAGATAATTCACCAGCCATAACGGCAGCAGCAACAATTTTTGCAAGTAAACGAGCATTGTCACCAGGAGATGTCAAATGTGCTCCTTTGACACCTAGTAGGTCAAGCATTGCTTGTTGAGGTTCTAAAACGGTACCACCACCAATGGTTCCGACCTCAATGGAAGGCATGGAAACACTAAGCTGTAGATTACCGTCAACATTATCCATAAGAGTGATGCAATTGCTGCTCTCAACGTTTTGAGCAGGGTCTTGTCCCGTTGCGAGAAAGACAGCAGTTACAATATTTCCCGCATGCGCATTAAAGCCACCGACGCTTCCAGCCATAGCACTACCTATAAGATTTTTGTCAACGTTTAACTTGACTAAATCTTCAACGCTTGTTTTTAGGATGGATTTCACGGCCTCTCCGGGAATAATAGCTTCTGCAATGACACTCTTTCCGCGTCCATCAATCCAATTTATAGCGGCCGGTTTCTTATCAGTGCAATAGTTTCCGGATACACTGATAACACTCATATCCTCGAATCCAGCTTCAGAACTCATAACAGTCAATGCATGCTCAACACCCTTTGATATCATATTCATACCCATAGCATCACCTGTAGAAGTGCAAAACCGAATAAATAAGCGAGTTCCAGCCATAGCAGTTTTTATCTGCTTGAGACGAGCAAATCTACTAGTAGAGTTGAAGGCCTTGGTTATAACTTCTGTTCCTTCAGGACTATCCAACCAAAGCTTAGCACGACCTGCGCGCGTTAAATTAGGGAAAGCGATACAAGGACCACGAGACATTTCATCACGAGTTAAAACAGTAACAGCGCCACCGCCAGCATTAATGGCTTTACAACCACGCATAGCTGAAGCAACCAAAGCACCTTCCGTAGTAGCCATAGGAATGTAGTATGGCTTACCGTCAATAACTAGTGGTCCAGCGACACCAAGAGGTAAAGGTATATAGCCAATTACATTTTCACAGCAAGCGTTGAGTACTCTTGAATAGTCATAGTGATAAACGGGACAGTTTGAGCTTTCTAGGGTTTGTGTTCTTGATAAGCGAGAAACAGCGGCACGGCGAATGACGACTGCTCTAACAATGTCCTTCAAAACACGTTCTAGAGCATACAAGGGGATTTTACGAGCAAGGACAAGCTGAATCACCTCTTCATCATTCAAACTCAAAACTTTTCCATCATTATATATGGAAATACATTCTTCCAAAGAACGAGTTATTGTGCTAACATTATTTTCAGTAGTAGATTCAGAAGAAGGACTCTCAGAAGGAGGAAGATACTTCACTACCTCGACAACTTTCTCAACAACTTTTTTATCATCCACGTTTTTTACAGAATTTAGCCGGGCAGCATTCAAAAGGAAAATGTTTGCACCGATGCTTAAAGACAAGCCGAAAATAACCCACTTTGATAGAAAAGATCCACCAATTGACTTAGTCCAATTATGTATAAAAGAATGAATTGCCTTGAAGATAGAGGATTGGGCTAAATCAGTGCCATAAAAAACGGCTGGCAAAACTCTAACAGAAACAGTGTCCTTGTTATAGGTAGAGTCAAACAAATAAGAGAGAATTTCATCAAAGACATGGTCATCCAAAAGGTCTTGGGGGTTAATTTCTGGATACTCCGAGCGAACCAAAGGAATCAGTCTAGCGGCCGCAGCAGAAGTCACTGCATAATGCTTGAAAGGAATAGAACAAAGCTCGAAAAGATTAAAAACAACAAATGCTATGACTAAAAGGAAACGAGGTTCGTAAAGCCAGCTAAGAGGTCGAGAGGTATCCTTCTTATTTGTCTTAGCAAATTGATTGGTTTCAGCAACAAGACGAGCGGCAGGCTCAGACAAGCCTTCTTCCATTAAGACTCGTCGCACGTTTTCGTTGGCATTGTACCTGCACATTTCTAAATTGAGAGTCAAGATAGAGACGAAAAAAGTGAAAAGTAGAAGCAAATCATAAACCATGACGGCGGCAAATAAAAAGAACTGTTTTAAACCAAAGTTGCAATACGAGAAAATAGCTAAAACCACAATTCCAAAGGAAAAATGACGGAGAATTGGAGGAGCAGCATCACGGCAAGCTTCAGCAACATCTTCATGTGTGGCTGAACGAGAATCAGAAGAAGCACAACGAGAAATAACCACTCTCGTAAGGTTTACTGCCTTATCCAATGCAACCACGTTTAGTAAGAAAGGCATGCTTTCGATCAAGGATACAAGGCTGATTCGAACGCCAGAAAAACGTGTTAAAGATAGGGAAAATTGAACAGAGAATAGAGTAGAGATGCACACACTGAAAAATAACCAGAACTTAGAGCCTAGCCTTCTCATTTTTAGATAAACAGAGATTATAGAAATGAACATACAGGCATAAGCGGTACCAACGATGAGAAGTTCCATTTTAGAAGCTTGGCTCGTAATTTTTAAGGTATTCATCCAAGTGCGGGCGATTAGCTTTAAAAGCCAAGACCAGGAAATGCCATGTTCACGGATTGCAGGAAGGATTCTTTGAACGACGGTACTGGAGTCATCCAAAAAGTAGTCAATGGGAGGATTGGCCAAATTAGCAGGAATGGCGATACTTGAAACTGTCCAGTTACCGACTTCTTTTGAGAATATTTTACAAGAACCTGACGAGGAATCAAGCAAGAGACAATCATGAAGGTAGGGTTCCGCAAGCTGCTCGACATTTACACTGGCTGAAGTTTGGTGATACCATTGGGTGATGTCAAAGTCGACGTTAAGATTGTCTTGAGCATGGTCAGATGGGATAGGCTCCCATACAGGAGCATTACCGATAGAAGATTCATCCTTTGAGAGCTTCAAAATTAATCCAGAAGGACTGGAAACACCAAGACCACCATCTAATATACCAGATCGCTTCAATGCACGAAGCAAGACGGGTAAATCTTCTTGTGTTAGAGTCTCAAGGAAAGAGTAATATGCCATTGAAACAAGGATGCACACTACTGCGATCACTTGAATGGGATACCTAGCTGCGATTCGATAAATCATTTTGTAAATGAGTTATATCGTTCAAACTAGGAAAAGGCAATTGGTGAATCGTCGGTATAATATTCGAAAAACGATGGACAAAAGATTGTCTAAATGATGCAAAAATAAAAAGAATAAACAAACAGCGAAAAGAATGGAAAGGATAGAAGAGATTCCTTTCAAAAGAAGAAATTTTTAGAAAATAACCTTTCACCAGACAGAGAGAGTCAAGCTTGAAGACAGTACTAAAAGCCAATTTTGCTTTGTTTTTCTTTATACACGCGATAGAAAAGTTTCAGTTACTTGAATACGATTCCAGTAAAGAAGTGCGGGTATTCTGTAAGACTGAAAACAGCTCTTTAAGGAGGTATCGAATGTGTTTCACAAATCTATTACGGGAAAGAAAAGACAAGTAAAAACCAGGGTCAGCAGAGAACCCGATCAAACTTATTTATGTACGACCGAAAAAGAGAAGCAAGAAGCTAAGCCTTAGGAAGCAGGTAAATACAAAAATAAGAAGGAGGGGAATAAAATTAATAATAAACAAACTATAGTGATCAGTTTTTAGGGATCAGAATATCTTCCAGTTGAAGTAATATGTGCATCAAAACGAGTGAATGATCAAGTCCTTCGTTAAAAAAATCCTTTAAGAATAGAAACCCAGTCACTGTAAAGAGTAAAATAAAATTACACGAGACGAGCCCTGCTTCTTTTCTATGGTATGCGTGGGACCTAAAGGTTTTGGGGTAGGACAAGGCAAGGTGAACGGAGGAGAATTTTGAAAGTCATAAACACGAATTTTGTGGTCAAAAAAAAGTTCAACATTTTAACAAAGTTATCTTCAATGGACTTTTATTTCGATTCCATCAAATAGAATGAAAACAGTAATAAAAGATCACTAGTCGTTCAAAGAGTTTCGTAAAAAAGACGGTGAAGACGTCGTTTCTCCATTTTTTTTAAAAAACTACGGTCAAAAAGCAAGCATTTTATGATCTATAATGACAAAATTAGAAGGTTATTTTATTTCTATAAGTGAGATTAAGCCTTTTTCTCTAGTAATGGACAAACAAATGATTCTTTTTGTTTACAGTCCATTAAATTTACCAGTCTTCCATTCTTCTCCAATTATCTCTGCCCAAGTAATCTTTCAGCATTTTCATACGCTATTACTTAAGGTCTTTTGTAGCGAAAGGAGATATGCCATTTATCTCATGCACTGCTTTAGACAACGGTAAAAATATTTCTTTGTTCTCTGTTTATAATAAGAACGAGAGCTGAGCTGCTTTTCTTTCCTTCCTTTCAGGAATTGATCTATCCTATGGATGTCGCTTTCATTGAAGTTTTAGAATCAAAAACAAATAAAGAACACGGACGCCTTCAGATATCGAAACCAGTTGCGAAATCTAATTGAAAATTTTTCCATCTAGAGGTAAAATTGTGTTCCTTTTTTTGACTTGTGTAAAACTATAATATTTGGATTCTACAACATCAAAAAATTGGCTCTGTCTTGCTTCAAAACAAATTTCTAGAGGATTTTGATTTTGATTACCAGAAAACTCGTTAACTCGAAATCTACAAAAGAAGTAGCCGTGTTTCTTTTATTCCATAAATTTTTCTTTCTAGTTTTTAGGTTAAAGCTCATTTGCATTAGACATTTTATGGGGAATCAATCGTCGAAGGTGAAACCTGCCGAGCAGCCATGGATTGAGGAGGGACAAAAACACTTTTGCAGCATCTCTCAATTTAAGCTCTGCAACGTTGTTGGAAAAGGGAGTTGGAGTACTGTTTTTGTGGTAAAAGATCGACGCAGCAAGCAAAAGTTTGCTTTGAAATGTATCAACAAGAAAAAACACAATCCGGGAAAGCTAAAACAACTTCTCACTGAAGTCTCGCTTTTGCGTTCTTTAGATCATCCTCTTTTGTGTAGATTCTATTCTGAGTTTGAAGACGATAACAAAATATACCTTGTCTCAGATCTTATGTTGGGCGGTGATCTTCGATATCATATAGCGCAGAATCGCTTTCAAGAATCGGTCGTGTGCGTATGGATTGCTGAGTTAGCTTCTGCGCTGATGTATATCCACTCCAAAGGTATTTTACATAGGGATATAAAGCCAGATAACATCCTTCTTGATGAATATGGCCATTGTCGACTTGTCGATTTTAACGTGGCAGCCCGCCTTTCCCATCAAACCCAAGATGGAAAAAGTTATGTGAAAGGTCGAGTTGGCACTCCAGCCTACATGTCCCCAGAAACGCTCGTGCATTCCATAGGTTACAGAGAATCAGACTGGTGGTCTTTGGGAATCACCATGTACGAATGTCTTTTACAAAATAGACCGTTTTCTAGCACGATGGTGGTCAATTGGATTCGATCCTCCGAAAAAGAAAAATCATCTCTTCTGGAAACAATGTGCTCTTCACTCGAAATTCGTAACAACAAACAACTAAATACCTTATCCAAAGAAGCACATGCCGCTATTCTCGGATTTTTAGAGCCATCCATAAAAAATCGATATGGACATCAAGAAAAAGACATTCCAAATGTATCTTTCTTCTCGTCTGTTTGCTTCGAAACTATTTCTCAAGGAAAGTGGGCGCCCAAATTTAGACCGAAATCTGGCAAGCTATACGCCGACCCTATTTTAGAATTAGAGGCATCCTTTTGATTTCTGGTTTTTGTGTTTTAATGCCTCCGTTATAATGAAAATTTCCTTAGCTAAGGAAATCATGACTTTATAGATCGTTCATGTTCGTCTTGCTACATTAATTTTTAAATCTCGTCTCATGTTATGATAAAATTTACTGCCAAGTATTATAGAGCTTAATGAATTTTTTTTCTTGTTACAACGCCATAATCCACAAACTTTCATTCTACTATATGCGATAATACATGATATATTTACCTCCAACCATATTCATTGTATAAAACCTAACATCCATAAAACGTCTTTTCTAAATTTAACTTACCCATTACTGCTTCCTCAGCAGTCTCCAAAAATCCTGTAACAATTGTGACTTTGGGAAATATAAAAGCCAGTGTCTTGATGCTTTCAACAAATGACACGTAAACTACAATAATAATGTTTTCTTCTGGTACACCAAAGTCAACTAAGATTTGAGTTGCCATCAATACGTCCGTGCTGGTAGTCAATTGGGAAGCTATGAGAATTACATTGGTTCCAGCAATACCTCGGGGAAGTTTATGATATTGTAGGCTTGGTTCATTGGTGATTTGATTAACGCGAACAAGGACTTTCCCTAATCGTACGTTAGGATATTGGCGACAGAGAGCTGTTTCTAGAGTACCACCAGACCCCAAAACAGAAACACCGCAAAGCTATAATGGTTAGCTCCTTGAAAACGAAAAAAAAGTAGCTACGAAATAATGTCAATGTTGAGTAATACCTCTTTTGCTAAATGCAATCCTTTCCATGTATTTCCATTATGAAGGGTAATAACTTTTTCTTCATAAATTAAAGAGTCGCCGGCCAAATTCATCAGCATTGTTCCTATGCGGCTTAAATAAAATTGCATATTATCTGCATCCGTTTCTTTGTTTACCAGTATGGTCTTTATAGCTTCAATCTCAGGAGTTTGCCGGAGCTGAACAAGATTTAAAGGTAAATTTGGAATGGTAGGAACGATCTGCTGTAAAGAGTCGATGTTTTCTCGGTGGCTTTGACTTTGGACAGACAAAGTTCTTTTAATAAATTTGATTACCATTTCTAAAGAGATCAAATAAGTTAGTAAAAAGAGATAGAAAACAATAAAAGGTATGGGGTTTATTTCTACTTACCAATGGCCACTTTGTTATCACGACCACGAGGAACAATTATATCTGTATATAGTGATTGCTTCCGTACAAAATTATCATAGCTCGGTTTGACGAAGCGATCATATTGATGAAGGACACCTCGAATATCACGACCACGGTAATTGATATCTCTATTCAATCTACGAGACAAGCAAACATCTGAATCAGTCTCAAGGAAGACAGAGACGTCAAGAAGAGAGCGAACTCTTTCATCGTATAATGCAAAGATTCCCTCCAAAACTATAATACTTGCACCAAACAAGGTGGAAGTTTCAGGAAGACGATCATGTTCGTGGAAACTGTATATAGGAATGTCAACTTTACGACCTCGTTTCAGCTCCAGTAACACACTGTACAACAAACTCCAGTCAATGGCTTCTGGGGCGTCAAAATCATATTCGTTTCGGAAAGCCTGTTGTTTTTGCTCGATGGTCAAAGGCTTGTAAAAGGAATCCAAGGATAAAATCACCACGTTGGGTAAATTCAATGCTTTCACAATTAATCGAGCTACTGAAGTTTTCCCACTTCCAGAAGGGCCTGCAATCCCTATGAATCGTATACGTCTCCAAGGAGGCTCGTACAGGTTTTTCATAGATTTGTCCTCATTTGCTTGAGCCATTTTAATGGTGTTTTAAACAAAAAGAAGGGAAAGAAATTTTTAAAAAATAGCACACAAAAGAATAAAAAGAATAAAAAATAAAAAATCTATATATAGATATATAGATATATAATGGTGTACGAGCAATAGAGGACAGGTGTTTCGAACAGAAAGGAAATATCCTCGCGTTTAATGGCAAATTTCTCTCCAAAAACAAGATAAAAACGAAACAATCATGAACCTTTCTCTTCAAAAAGTCTTAAAAAAGAAAGTATACCTTTAGTCCGAAATTCACCTACTCAACGCACCCAAACGAAAACGGAAATGGAATGAATAAAGAAAAACGAAAGAAATTAATCGAGAACAGTATTTCTTTTTAAACGCGTGTTTGGAAGGTGTTGTGGTTAGTAAACAAATGACTATCGCAACTTTTTACAAGAAGTAACAGAACTTCTGTTACTCGAGTCCATGTCTTGTGCCGCGGCATATCCGGAAGTAAGAAAACGAGCAATTGTAGCATGGAAAGCATCGTATAATTGTTTTTTTTTACTTTTGTATGAATCGTCTGCAGTAAGGAACGTGGTTTCTTATGTCTGCGAATCTAATTTTTTCCTAGGCAAAAAGGTGGACGGAAAGCATAATGTCTTGACACATAGACGTTTCAGACTTTCTTCAGAAGCTTTTATCATAGTTTTAATCAAATTTCTGTTTCCTTTCTTCAAACAATGCAAACAAGGATAAATTCTCGACAATCCGAATCGTTTGTTTACGTAAACAAAAACAAGTCGCTCTAAAAAAAAAAAAAAAAAAAAGAAGAAAGAAGAAGAAAAGTAGAACACGTTACAGAGACGCAAATATTTAAATCTTTCCATCTAATGATTTCAATTCAGGTTGGTTTTTCATCATGAAGGATAGACAAATCGGTGCTGTTCGTTCATATAATACTATGATCCTGAATGCCCTTGTTCGTCTCTCGTGTAACCCAAGAAAAAAATAAATTAATTTAACAGAAAAGGAGAATTTTCTATTGTTTATATATCCCTGTTATGAACTCCTAAATCTGGTAAATTTGGTGGTTTGCTAACTCGAGACCATTCTTCATTTTCATTCCTTCTATGTGCTCAAGTTTCTTATAACTTTCATACTTTTAATCTCTTCTTCCATTCTTCGCTTTCATTTTTGTATTTTTTCTTTTCGCCGCAGAACCAGTGCACTATACTCCCCTACCTACCCTCTGCTCTATTATTCTATCAAATTTTCAGCTCTTCCTGGCATAATTCCATATTGAACGGAAAAAATTACTTTCATTAGTAGTTCATTTTTAGGATTATTAAATTGGAACCTGCAATTGACCATGGATTCGGGTCCCGGTCACGTTCGCAAAGGTTCTACCTCGACAGTCAGCACTGAGGGAGGAGATGGAGCTTCTTTGAAATCTTCTAGGGATAATAAGAAAGGATTTATCGTGAATAGCAGAATAAAAAGAGGTGGTGGACACCTTCGACTTGGACGACCTGGAAAAATAGCCGCCGCAAATACTCGTCCTAATGTTTTAACAAGGACTTCCTCCCATAATCCTAATTACGATCGTCATCACCATACGCATGCCGCTATACCGAGACAAAGATCACTTAATGACCTTAATGACTTGCATGGGTCGAGGGTGGTCGCAGCGAGGACTGGCTTAATTCCATTGACTCAAAGGAAGCCTAAACTTGTTTGGGAAGAAGTTACGAATGATAATGACTCTACAGCTGGAAATATTGACACCGAAAGCATTCGCACTGATCCACCCAAACCAGAATCTCATAATCCCCCTCCATCCGATTCTGCGCAGTTGAAACAAGAACAACCATACAAACTGCATGAACAAAAACCTTCTTTTTATCCAGAAGCAAAACGAGCATACAGTGAGAGTTCTTACGAAGTCGAACATCAAAACTTTCCTTCGGTAGCTATTTCACCTTCGCAAGCTGCCACAGGTGAATCGTCTATCAAAGAGGAAACGATTCATCCAAATGCTATCTCCAATTTACCTCCTTCAGATCAGCATGCAGTCATTCCTGACTTTTCTGATCGTCCCCTTGCACCCACAGAGATGTATCCACGGTACCCACTTGCTGCTCCGAAAACTCCTAGTACAACACAATCAAGTCCTGTTCATAAAGAAGCTTTACTACCAAAGTCTTCAATTGAGCATGGACCCCTTACTTCTAATTATCAAGCCGCATTTCACAATCAAGGTCAGGAACCGGTCCCCCCTAAGACACTTATTAATACTGGTATGTTCTGAAACTTTTCTTAATTTCGGTAAAATCTAATCAACCATGTAGATCCTTCGAAAACCGTCGATTTAGACGCACAAAGTGTCACTACTTCTCTTCCAGGAGATATACTTACGAACCGCAAATTTTCTTCAAATGTCACCAAATCACCAGCTCAATTGTACGACATAGGTGCTTCAACTAGTCGAACACAACAGAAGCTTTTAATTCAGCGAGCTTCTTCCCGATTTGATACCGTGGAAGATGATGCCAATACAAATCCCGCCAAACGCTATATACATCCTCAAGCAAAGCAAATTACAGACTCAGTGCGAACAAATTTCCGCAATGTTAGAAGGAACCGCGAAATAGTATATGAATTTTTGATTAAACTTCGTCCTTTTGTAATTTCTTCAGAAATTGAAGATTTCTCTTCGTCTTCCAACCCCTTTACCTCAAGTCCGCATGCTCCGAGTTCTTCAACCCCGGGTCTTTACTCGGAAAATGCGGTTGGCTTTTCTTCGACATCTCACTCTGTAAATCCTACCGAGATACTTCATCCCTCTCAGCCGTCGTATCCTTTAGCTAATACACATAGAAAATCCATTCACGTTCCCAAAGTTCGAAAAGGAGAGGAACCAGAAACAGTGGAGAATAAAATTTTGGAATTATGGAAATAAAAGTCACTCCTTCATATCTTCTCTTTGTTATAATTCGACTCGGTCCTAACTATTTCTCTCATACTGAAAAATTTTGGCTAAAAGTATCTTGTGTGTACTTATTTATTTTTAATTTAGTTAAAAATTATTTAATAATTTAATAATAACTTATCTTTTCTTTTCTTTTCTTTTCTTTACCTATCCTATTTGCTGAATATCAAGAGGTAAATTCATTTCTTGCTCCATTATTACAGTCTTCATGCTTTACCGAAGTTCTTGAAGAAGATTCAAAGTTAAATCATTCCAATGAGAATATTCTGTGATTTTATCCACTTCCTGGAATATTATTTCTCCCGTGAACAGTTGCAAGATGATCTGCCACCCATGTAATTGGCTATTCATAACGGGCGTTCTCCAAGGGCAGTTCACCTTATGTTGGTCAATAATATCAAATAATTGATTCTCTTGACTTAAATTCCAAACACCAACTCTCCGATGACAATACTCGCACTCATACAATTGACCTGACAATTGCTCCGTCCAACCAGTCAGTGCGATCCCAATTAACGAGAAACCATGATCATTACTTGTATCATAATTTAATCTTTCAGCAACTTTCATCAATCGTTCTTGGGTCATTTCTTCCGGAAGACTTACTTGAACTGAGCAAGGTGATGTACTTTTTATCCTTCTTTTGGTATTCAGAAGCTCAGTAGCAATTTCAAGCTCGTATATGTTTTCTGGGAAAATCATGTGCTTCCACAGACAACCGTCCTGATGTTCATCAAGCAGAGACTTCTCAATACGATCTCTGATGTTTTGAGGTAACTCCCAAGAAAGCTCGTTTGACTCAATTATATTCTGTAGAAAGCTTAAATCAATTTGTTTATTGCATAGATCGCATGCTAACTTATCATAGGAGTCACAAAGCCATCCATGTTTACAGCAATTGACTTCACCTAGCTGAGGATCATAAGTCAAAGACCACCGATTTCGGTAAGTTTTTAAACGAACCAAAAAGTTTTTTAGACTCCATGGTTTGTATTTGGAAGAAGACTTTTGTACTGTATTGACTAAAACATGTTCAGTTTGCTCATCAACTTTATCTAGTTGAACCAAGACTTCATTTAATTCCCAATCCGACGGAATTGCCATTTTCTAAAGTAAAGCAAATATTAGTGTTTATATACAGATGGGTTTAAGGGACACATCCCAACAAAAGAAAAATGAAAACGGTTGTCAAACGAACAAAAGCAAGTTTAAAGTTGCAACTTTTCCAATCAGAGATAGTATAATTCACACGAAAAACAACGAGTTTTACCAAAAATTTTCTTTATTAAATGTCGTTCTGTATTCAATGTTTATTATGTGAGATCTCTCTGCCAGCTAGAAAAAAATCATTTTATCGAGATTTGCTTACCATTTAATAAGATATTATCGTATTACCATGCCGATTTGAACTATTTTTGAAAACGATAGCTTGAAAGCTTTACTACCATTGAATGGATTTTCTTTTTTACTATTTAAATCTAATCTGGATAAAAATTCGTTCAGGAAAGGGACAGAGAATGGAGAACATTACGATAACAAATTTACACTTCTTTTCCTGGATAAACAAATAAAAATTCAGTCGTATAAGATCTTATATAACAAAAAGAAGAGTTAATCTGCTTTTATGTCTTCCTTCTTCAGTTTATCTAGACCTTATTGAAATGGGGATCTTGAGAAGTGACGGCACGCGTAGCATCAATGACATTTTGGAATATGCCTTTGTAAGCAGCAATAACACCGTTGTTACTCTTCAATGTACGACCAACGCCAAAATCCAAAGGTTTACCAAACATATCCGATACGATACCGCCAGCTTCTTCGACCAAGAGGGAGCCTCCAGCGTGATCCTAAACTAAGTTAGTTACGTGCTTTTTAAATTGTTATTCATCTTCAACATACCCAAATTTTCTCCTCAAAGGTCATGCTGGTAGGAAGACGAAGATATATATCTCCATCACCTCGAGCGAGACTGACATACTTGGCTTGAGAGTCCATTTTTGTAGGTCCATGAACAATCCCAAGCTTTTTAGCGATTTCTTCTTGGGTTCCTTGCATAGAGTGACCCGCTTCGACTCCTTCACAAAATTTAGAATCCTTTGGATCTTGGACATCCTTCATATAGACTTGGGAGGGTTGGACAGTCAAATTATGAAGGGAGTATTGAAAGCATCCTTGACCACGAACAGCAGACATGATGATACCCTTAGGACTTGTTTCGGGCTGCTTGAAGTCAAAAGGGAGGTTGGGACAGCTGATGGCACTCACCATTGGCTTTCCATTTTCGATTAAAGAAAGGCAAATAGCATATTGGGCACCACGAAGGAAACCTTTAGTACCATCAATGGGATCGAGTGTCCACATACGGCCTTCACGACCGCCGTTGTAATTTCCTTGATCGATAACGGCCAGCATTTGCTCGGCGTCTTTAATTTGACCCAACTCTTTATATTCTTTCGATTGCTGAATCGATTCTTGAACCAATGACCAGACACGAGAGCAGGTTTCTCCATTGCTTCTCAAATGGTCGGCATCTTCCTCACCAACGATGGGGTCTTTGGGAAAAGCATCTTTAAGCAATGAAATGACAACTGCTTGAGCACCAAAATCACCGATGGTTACAGGTGACTTATCTTCCTTTGAGTGAGCACCTGCGGCGCTCTTCTCTTTTATAAGTTGGTTGAATACTTTTTCGGTCAAGTAGCTAGCCCTACGGACAGCGACAATAGCAATTTCTTTTTCAAATTGAAAATTCATATTTGTTTTTATAAGTTACCAAAAATTTAGGAACCACTTGCGTCTAGGATACGAGAAAGCAAATGCGTTAAAGATTTTGCTGTAGACGAACTATGACTTGAGTGAACGAATCCAAATAAATATCCAAGTAAATAAACCTTCTTTCTTCAAATAGCTTGGTTTTTAGAAAAAATTCAGTGCAACTGATGGAAACTAAAAAAGGAATTTAAGAGATTCATACAAGAAGAGATATGCTCCTGGAAAACGTTCAAGAGGAATAGGAAAAGACTAAGAAAGTAGCATGGATGTTCAACATTCCAATCATTTAAAATTCAAAAACGCCGGGAAACGCGTGTAACGCGCACTCACTGAGAAAATACTTGCCATGGCTTTCCTGAACGAAAACAATACAGGGGTTCCTATTAAATGAAAAGAAAAGGTATATAAGAATTCATTAGAAGAGTAGGACGCGTTTCTTTCTTTTTATAGAGTAACAAAGTGAAACAATAAATAGACTTACGCGTTACCCAAGAAGTCAACATAAACACAACCATGAACTTTTATCCAATTGCAAAATACTCTGTTGCGCAAGACTCTTATGGATATGATTCAACATCTACAAGCTGGTCTCATTACTCAGATGGTGGATTTACAATGTCACTGACATCAGGATTATTGCAAATTCGTAGGCGCGAAGAACTAATTGTATGGTGATGGTATCGCACATAAAACTTTCTACTAACATGTTATTCTACGTAGCAAAGTATAAATTTACTAGATTCATGGCACCAATTCATCCCAGGGACGAAAGAACGGAGCTTGGTCCTATTGTCTAAGGCACCTTGCATGAACTTTCGCGTATATAGCAACAATGTAAGACGTAAAAAAGAATATTCTTTCAAAAAATGAACCAAAGAAATGGGATTGACATGGTTCCTTTCAGTCTACTAACAAACTGTCCTTAGCTTACCAAACGGTTTCAAGTAAAGTTTCCGTCAGATGTGTTTTACATGAAAGCAAAGCTTGAAATAGAGAACCTCGGATTATACTTCAAAGATGCAAGGTCATCTTCGGAGAAGAAGCAAATGTCAAACTCGCAAAGCCAGATTGGGAATTCACAAGAGATGTATATGGTACCACCTATGAATCCAACAGTTAATTCTTCATCTCAACCGGCAATTTCGCTTCACGCACCTTCTATTATGTCCCAGACAATTCCAGGGACACCGCCAATTGCAGCAGGAGGAGGTGGTGGTGTAATACCACCATCTTCCTCATCACAAGGTACGACATTAAACAACGGTGCTACCGACATAGCTGCCCATACTCCTTTCAAGCGCACTAGGGTCGACGACGTAGCATCGTTAAGCTATTCACAAGTGCCAGCAACAACGCCATCATCATCATCATCTTCAGGTGTGTTGGCTTCTATTCGGCCGTCTCAGAATCCCGGGACGGCCGGACGACGAGAAACGAATATGGAAAGCATACACATGTCGCAACCACTTTGGGAAGATCCTGTGGCTATTTCGTCATCGCCGTTTCACCCATCCCAGTATTCTGTTGTAGCAGCTACGCCTCTTGGATCGCAAAATCAAGGATTACCTATGGGATCTGCAGTAACGCCGAGACAGGACAATAATAATCAGGTTTCTTCTTTGATGAATTTGTTGCCATCGCCTCCGACAACATCGTCACCATCCGTACTTCCTCCCAACTTGACGGAAGAAGAGAAACTCTTGCGAGATAAGATTCTATTTTACCTCCAGCAGAACAGCTTTCTTCAACTATGCCAAAGCTTGGATCGTGTATGGGCTACGATCCAACATACGTAAAGCAAATCAGTAAACAAACAAACAGGAAACATAAGGAAACCTCATAAAGCAAAGAAAGAATGAAAGGAGACCCTGTCCGTTGGTAAAGGATTCATTTCATCCTTGGGGGTTTTTTTTTCTTTCTTGTTTTTTTTTCCTGTTCGTTTCATCGTTTCATCGTTTCATCGTATTATCGTTCTATCACATAAAACGAACTGCTTTCCTGAATGTCGTGCGATGTAATGTTTTCTATGACACGCGCCATGCCCTGCCATACCATGTAAACAAAGCTCAAGTCTACGGCCGAAAAAGAGCGGTTTTTGGTGACGATGGTATGGTAGAATGCGTACAAATTTGAATCCGTGATGTCGTCAAAAAGAAGAAACCAAACAGACACCAGAAACCATATTCCTTCTTTTAGGTAACTTCTTCCAGGAAAATTTCCACAACCCAAGTATGCTCCTATTGATATAATATGATCCTTTCTTGTTTCTTACTTGCCGAAGTGAAAACATATACAGAATCCCAACGTAAACCGTTAAGCAACGTTTAATGAAAGCTAACACGCTGGCCCGTTTTCTTCTTATTTGCAGAATAGTAGACTGTTGTGTCTAGTGTTAGGTCAACAGACTCTCACCTTCCATTGATTTCGGTTATCAGGTTCGCCTTTCAATTGAGAGTTTATTATCTCTCTGGTTCATTTTTTCCTGTACAAAAGAGGAGGCGTTTGGTCATCCCGCTCTGTGTCTTTATCTCTGTTAGAGTTAGGGTGCAAACCTTTTTTCAAGAGGAAAAGGGAAGGCGACAACGGCAATAATAACTCTTACAACGAGGTTATCTTATTCTTTTGCCGAGAACAAGATCATTTCTCGAATAGGTTAATTTTCGTTTAAAAAACCGCATAACAATGTGACTTACTTTAGGTAGGATTCTTTTTAAGAAAAACCATAAACATTTGTTATATTTTCTTTGAAAAAAATCCGTTTATTTTTTCACTTCCATCTTTATTTTCACGTTGTATTTCTCTCCCTCCCCGCTTGTGTTTCACCCCTCTCTTGTCTATGAGTGATGTAATTCCGTCGTGAATGACCATTCCTACTTCGTTTAATACCTCAAAGCCAGTGATTTCAAGCTTCGGATCAACCTTCTTCTCCAAAGCTTACAGAGCTGTATACTGTTTGTGTGGATTTTCAACCAAGTTGTTCCCATTCACTATTGCCCTCTTTTTTGCGTAAGGGTTTGGCCAGGGTTCTTTTGTTTTATAAAAGGACCTTCTTCCTGCCTAGATCAGCCATCCTTTTCTGTTCTCCAAAGTTGACTTATCCTTAATTTTTTCTTTTTTTTATCTTACTTTCAATTCTTTCCTGATTGTTTGTATCAGACTTTTTTCTTTCTTTCAAATATAATAAAATTTTATTCTACTGTTTGGACTAATCTGTTTCCTTTTCCTTTTACCTTTTTGCAGAACTCTTTAAGAAAATTGATTTTCGGGTCTTATTTGATTTTGAGTTCTTTTCATTTCTTTCGCCTCATTCTCTGACGTCTCTGGCTTTTTTTCTTCGTTACTATTCCTTGCTTATATTAACCACTTCTTTTCTTCCGCCTATCCCAAACCTCTTTCTGTCTCTTTCCTTTAGTTGTGCTCAATTCACTTTTTTTTCTCCCTACGTTTCTAAAATTTGCATCAATATTTAATTTCTCGTTGGGGACTCCAAACTTTTCTTTTTGTGATTTTCTCTCGTGTTTCGATGTGCGCTTATTATCACCTTATGTTGGATTGAGAACATTGATAAGCCTTTCTTCTTATGCAATTTACTTGTCGGAGCGATGTTACGAATTCTACTGGTGTAGCCGATGCGCGACACCATCATCGACTCCATCGAACTAACACCACCGGCACCTCAACGATCATCGTCTTGACAGGCATAGAGTTGAAACACCTAAGATTAATGGTTATTGGTGCTTGTTCCGTTTCGATCGCCTTTTGTATATTTATAGTTTGTTTACGATTTTTTCGTCAAAAAAAAAAAACTTTCCGTGATCATATTCATATTACCCTCTTTATAGTCCTTTTAATTCGTTCCATAATTCAGCTTCTTCACCCAAGTTTATCTATATATTCAGGTTATTTTTGGATCCCAGCGAGACGATGTTTTACCTTAGGCTTTTTTCTTTTGGTCATGCTTCGGATGTCTGATTATTGGATTTTGATCAACGTATTACATAACTCCCTTATCGTACTTCACCCTAGATCTGTCGATGCAGATCGCGGAGGACTTTATCGCTTTCGACATACCGTATATGCCTTGTCGTTCATCTTCCCTCTTACAGTTGGTGCTCTTGCTTTTACGAATACAGATAATACGTTTGTGAATTTCCAAACTCGATGTTTTCTTCCGTTTCGACCCGTTCGATTCCAGTGGGCTCTCAATTGGACCTTTGATTATGTTCTTACAGGAATCATTTTTGCACTTCATCTCGGTATGTTTATTACCATTAGAAAAAAAATTAAGCAGTTTCAAAAAATCTCTCCTGATAATCCTGATTCGTTTCCCATATATGACCTTGAGGTCGGTCCTCAAAACCCTTCTCAAATTTCGCTGCCACCTCTCCCTCAAAATTACTCTTCCTCCTCCTCAACTTCCTCCTCTCTACATTCCCCACGAAATTCTTTTTCAAGTCATACGTATAGTTGTGCTCATGAAGCATCCTCTTTGCCTAATCCTCAGTCCCTATCGTCCCCGTCCGATTCTCATCAACAATCCTACCGTTTTCCTAGCTTGTACAATCGCCCCAATCCATCAAAATCCTTTATACCTGGGAATTTAGAAAACCGACGTTCTCCAGACTCAAATTCCCAGTCTCAAACAGAACTTAACGAAAGAAATGAAAACAGAATACATAATGAAGAAGAGTCAATCGATAGTGCAATGGCTATTTACGATAAAGACCTGCATGAAGATCCGTTAACAAAACAAAGGAGTCGTATTATGCGTCAATCCAAATTTCTGTTTGCGTATCCCGCTGTTTTCTTCTTAATGTGGTTCCTCCCTCAGGTTCGTTATATCATCACTATAGCAAACATTCACAGTGAATGCGTTGGTTACTGTAAGGGATTTGCTTATCTAGCTGTGTTTTGTGACAATTTTGTTGCTATAATTCTGACCCTTTGTGATTTACTGTTTGCTTGTTATCAAGGCTTTTACGTTGTTCTCAAGAAAAAGAAATATCTACTAGTCACGAATTTCATAAAAAAAAATTTTTTTGGGAAGAACAGTTTAATGCATGAAAAAAGACGATCTAATGACTAAAAAATTTCTCCGTTTACGACTGCAACATTGCAGCTTTAATATTTCTAGTTCATAATAACACCGTTTGTTATACGTAACCTCCGCTTCATTCGTTTAACCTGGTGAATTATTGCAATCGCAAAATACTTAACAGTAACATGGTTTCCATTAAACATAATGCAATCAGATCTTAACTTGCAATTTTAGTTAAATCTAATCGAGAAATGTATTGGCTTCTGAAAATCTACTTTTGTAATAAATATATTTAGTAGGCTATAGAAAAAAAGGATATTAGCATATGATCAATTGAGAAGTAAGTCTGAAAAAAGAAAAGCAAAAGTTAGAACAATTTAATCTCTAATGATAACTATTTTAGTAAGTTATTTACATGCAAGCATGCCGAACAAAAGAAAGAGTAACATAGTCAGCGACGAATGAATTTTTTTTAGATTCATTTAGTATTACTATAAAAGATAATTTATATTCATCATAACGTATAGCAATAAATATCTTTCTATATTGAAACATAGATATGCAAATGGAATATAAGAGCATATAAATTTTATTATATGCCATTGTAAATTGCTTCTATTTATAAGCATACATAAAATATCATATTAACGCGTCACGTAAAGTATGATAATATGAAAAAGCGTGTCGTGAAACTTACAAACAGCACACTAACTACCAGCGATTACCAGACTTAATTGAACGACTTGTTTGGTTGGATCTCTGTTTACCAAAAAATAAAGAAAAGAACAAATAGATCCAGGTTGTGGTGACAAATTTCCGTGTTATCTGAAATTAACCTTTTCTGAAGTTAGCAACATCGAAATCATGGCTTTCGATCCCTATAATAAAGGAGGTTATGGTTCAGGTTTCAATGGAACCTTTTCTCCAGGAATGGGAGGAGGTGGATTCAATGATTATGATCCGTCCAGTCAGCCTAGTGTTGATAGGGTATGTTTGAGATGCTTATTCTATACGGCCTAGTTTGCTCAAGTGATTTCATTGAAACAAGTGACTGACAAATATAGCAACAAGGAATTGGCAATAAGCTACGTCCTGTAACTATCAAGCAGATATTGGATGCTACCCAAGTCCATGCTGATGCAGAGTTCAAAATAGACGGGGTCGAAGTTGGTCAAGTAACCTTTGTAGGAGTTTTGAGAAACATTCACCAACAAACGACAAACACAACGTATCAGATTGAGGATGGCACGGGTATGATTGAAGTCCGACATTGGGAGCACATTGATGCTCTTTCAGAATTGGCTACTGATACATATGTTCGTGTATATGGAAATATTAAAGTCTTCTCCGGGAAAATATATATCGCTTCCCAGTATATTCGGAATATAAAGGATCACAACGAAATTCACTATCACTTTTTGGAAGCCATCAGCGTTCATGTACACTTCACCCAGAAGCCCCAATTGACTGGTACAGCGCCTTCTGCTTTCGGTAATCCTGTCCCCAATGCTGGTTCTGCTCCTGCTTCCAACTCTTTGGAACAAAAACTGGCAGAGTACTCTTTAACTCCCACACAAATGATCGTCATGCAAGCTATACATAATGCTCCTGACACGAATGAGGGCGTACATGTTCGACAACTTGCCCAAAGCGTTGGTCCTGGTATAGATCTTACTGCTGTCACAGATTTTTTGCAACAAGAAGGCATCATTTACACTACAATTGACGAAAACCATGTATGCTGTTTTCCCTCTTTCCTACAACCATTTGCTAACATTCTATTTAGTTTAAGAGCGTCCTGCAAGACCAATGAATGCTCTCTTTTCCTAACTTATAATCAATGGCTTTATGATCCTAGATTCGGTCCTTTTGGTTTTGTGTTCACCTTGTCATGTTCTATCTAATTAATTCTCGAATTTTGTATATACCTAGGCTTTCCTTGATGGGATTTTTTATTTTTTAAAACTTGAGTAATAAACATTCCCCTTACAAAAATTGACACTTTCAAAGCTTTGTTCATATATATCAATTCAAAGTCATTAACTGTAAAACTCATTATAAATCAAAAAGTTAAAATCGTAAAAAACCTCTTGTTTCTATATATATCATGAGACAAGGTCAAAAAAGTTACTTCTCAATTCGCGAAGAAAACTTAGAACACACCAAACTTCTTCTTCTTCTTTTTATCATTCGATTCCGTCAAAACTTTATCCTTGTCTTTATCCTTCTTCGATGTAGACATGAGTTTTCCGAGCTTACTAGTTTTTCCTTTCTTTTTATCAGCTTCTTTACTAGGCAATGCAGTAGGAGCCGACGTACTTTCGAATGGAGATGATGGTACATCTACGGTCGGCTGTTTTAAGAGTTTACTCGGTTGAGCTTGTAAACATGGAATAGGCTCAGAATTATCTTCCGGAAATTTCAGTTCTTCCCTAGACTTTCGGAATTTCGAGAAGAACTCAAGCCATTCATTAGGAGAATAACAGGATGTGCTTCCAATGAGGATATTTTTATTGAGTTTTTCAGAAATTTCATAGCACGATCGAAGTTCGCTATAAGTAGTACCACCTGCTACGAAAACTAAAAACTTTTCTTTGGGTAAGCGTGTCGCTATGGATCGTGAACGAGTCCACGATGGTCTTGAGCTTCGCAAAGAGGTTTGCTCTACCTCCAACTCTGTCTCCGGGTTGAGATCACGGATAAAAGGAAACAATTCCTTATCCAAATCATCCTGTACCAGAGATTCCATAACTGCTTTTAAAGTAGGAACAAATCTTGAAAGCTCATAGGTTTCCTCGCCTGCAGGTAACGATTTTGCAACCTCCTTTCGTTTCGTACTGGAATCCGATAATCGCTTTACATTTCTTACCCCAAGCTGTTCTAGATTCTGCAAAATCTCTTGACGATGACTAGGCAATTTGCTATGTCGAAATAGTCTCATCAGATCCTGAAGAATAATACCATCTCTATAAGTGATGTAAAGGATGAGAAGACGAAGCTTATCTGCCTCAGATGTTGAATCATCTTCTAGTAAAGGAAGTAAATCATAAAGCACGTTTCGCGGAGTTTTCCCCTCAGGGTTGGAGCCTGTCGATAAATCCTGTTCAACAGAACCAATGGAAAGTAAATTTTCCTTTTCAAAAAGATTCATGCACTCCTGTGCCATGGCTAAATGAAGAGAATACTCGTTACGGAGTTCTTGAAAATCGGACAGACCAGCAAGCATGCTTCGCATGTCATTAAGAGAGGAGGCTTGTCCTTTATCAAGAAAAATAGTATTTTCTTCGCAAAACTTATTAAAATCAGCCATTAACCGTTCAATCGCATCGCGCATATGCATATGCCGTATCTTAACGTACACAGAATCATCATCAGATAACTTGCCAGTCCGGGTTTCTAAACCGTGAGGACCCATTATCGTAAAAGGATAAGACTCATCTTTAATTTGGAGTAAATCATGAATCATAGCCTGATAGGTGAATTCGTGCACAAAAGGACATACAACATCTAAGGAACGGTCAACAATTAAGCAAGTAGATTTCTGAGAAGATTCTTGGAACCCGGGATGAGTGTTACAGTATTCATCAACTATGTCACGAAGTTGTGACGCTAAAATAAAAGACATCGTCTTTGAGGTATGTTTGGCTGTTTTGGGATAATAACAACGGATGTTTGGGGCAATTCCAAGACTTACACAAACGGAAAGAATTCCATGTGCAATATTTGATAATTCTTGCCGAATAATAGGACCAGAAGAAGGATGATAAAGACGCAACCCTGAATACTCGTCGTGCACTTGAAAATATCTGGACTCAAGAGCAAAATAATCCAAATATCCAATCTGTACTGAACGAAGTTTTGAAGTGATACTAGAATTTTTTAAGCGATCAACAACTTGAGGCTTAATTCGATCAATAAACATGATATGAATACCAGAATAGCTGTTTGGATACTCTTGGTCTTTGTAAATACAGTCGACTAGTTTATCTTGACAGTGAAGGATATATAAAACCTCAAAAGATGAGTTTGGAGTCCTTGCATTTTCTAAAATCTCCACCGCTGCAATCTTTTCTTCCAAAAGTCTATGGACAGAGGTAAATCGATTGATAATGTCTGCAGTTTTCCTGTCTACTACTAACACCTTCCACTGATTAGAGTTAGCAAAGCGTTCTCAATCTGACTATGGAAATTATGGCAGGAGTCTCAAACTATTCTTGCCAAAAAATAGTTTCAATAGTTCATGAACCCAATATATATGCCAAATGGTAGACAGTGGGATGGGATTGAAAGTTTCGTTTCGCGTTTCCTGACTAAAGCTTGCTTACCTTTGTTGCACATTCTATAGCATTTATTTTTTTAAAAAAGACTAGGCAAGATGTTAGCACTTCTGATTTGCAACCGTAACATACCTTCTCTTTGCGTCTCTAACAAAACCATTTGCTATATTTTCACCTGGTGTAATTGAAATAGGATGACTATATTCAGACGTTATTTTGCTAATTAAATCCACAAAAAGTCATTAGAAAACTGCAATTTCCACAAACAATAAAACCAATCTGACATGTATAAGGTAAATTCAGCTTTGGTGGTATTATTTACATCATCGCGGAAATTCCGAGGGTTTACCGAATTCAGTATATGTAGAGGGTACTAAGATTGAATAGTAGGTTCTTAGAAATGGATTCATAATCGAATTTTTGAATGCTTATTTATTGACTTGTATAATATTAACGTATTTTATATGGATTCTAAGGTTTCTGTTACGAAGCGATCAAAAGATTATTAGAGGAGAAGGTTATTCACGCTCGGACTTATATTCAGAAGGGCATACTTATGTTCAAAGTCCACATACTCAATGAAAAACAAGATACCGTACATTATCTAGCAATGATAACATTAACCATTTTTAATAACGAAAACTATACAATTAAATTTAAACCAATTTACTCCAAGATTTTAATGACTTTACCAACAGCAACCGTAGCACCTTGATCACGCAAGGTAAAACGGCCCATGTATTGATAGTCCTCAAATCGTTCCATACAAACAGGCGTTTGAGTCTCCAATTCAGCGATAATCTTCATACCCCTGGTAGCAAACATAGGAGGTTTCTTACTCTTACGATTAGCTTTGTCCAGCTTGTGAAGAAGTTTAGCAAAGGAAATTTCCTCGACAGCAGTATGAAGATGCATAACACAAGTATAACCGGTAGTCAAAATAGAAGGTAACTCCAAAATAGCAATCTGAGCAACAAAACGAGTGGTAGCATGAACAGGATTTTTGGTAGAGGTCAAAACGTAACCACTTTGGACATCAGAGTCATCACCACGAACCTTGAGACGAACTTGATCACCACAGATAGAAGAAGGAATTTCTTCATCTGCTTCGTCGTAGATACCAGTGACCTCAAGTGTTTGATTAATGGGCATAACTAGAACATTTTGGTTCTTCTTGACGGTACCAGCCTCAATCTTTCCTTCTAAAATGGTACCCAAATCCTTGTATTTGCTGGCAATGGGCATGATGAACGGCGCATTAACTTTACGTTCTAAACGGGACATGGTATCCAGATATTCGAGCAACGAAGGTCCACTATACCATGGACAGATAGATTTTTCAACACGATCCCTGATGTTCTGGCCTGTATAGGCAGAAATAGGCATGTACTTGACATCTGTCTTGGAGTTGTAACCAGCAACACGGCGCAAGAAAACACTCAATTTATCGACACACTCCTTGTAACGCTCCTCAGACCATTCTACACTGGGTTCATCCATCTTATTAATAACTACAACAAGATGGTTGATACCTTGAGTACGGGCCAAGACAGCGTGCTCACGAGTTTGACCACCACGTTCAAAACCAGCTTCAAATTCACCACGGCGAGCAGAAATAACCAAAACACCAATATCGGCTTGAGAAGCGCCGTTAATCATGTTGGTTACATAACCTTTATGGCCGGGAGCGTCCAAAAGGCTGAATCGACGATGCTCAGTTTCAAAATAGGCTCGTCCGACTTCGACAGTCTTACCCTTCTCACGTTCTTCAGAAGTGCTATCCAGGGCCCAAGACAAAGCCCATGATTCCTTACCAGCTTCCTTGGCATCCTTCTCAATCTTTTCCATGGTACGCTTATCAACCATTCCAGTTAGGACCAAAATGTTACCACCCAGAGTAGATTTACCAGCATCAACGTGACCGATGAAGACAATGTTAACATGCTCCTTGCCATACATTTCTTTTAAGACTTCTCTGTCAACAGTGGTCTCTAATTCAGTAGGAGACTCAGTAGTAGCGGTAGTCTCCTTGTTACCAGAAGCTTGTTTAGCAGGAGTAGATCCTTTGTCCTGCTTGACCGCTGCTGGTGCTGGAGCCTCGGCAGGCTTTCTCACTTCAGCTTTCGCAGGGGCAGGAGTGGAATTATCTTCAGCAGACTTTACAGGAGCATCCTCTTTAGTAGAGGAAGCAGCGGGAGCGGAAGTTTGGGCAGCTGGCTGAGCAGCAGGTTTAGCACCACCTAAGCTGATGGAAACAGGCTTGTTCGGCTTCTGAGCACCAGAAGAACCACCAAGAGACAATACCTTACCCTTGGGTAAAGCAGTTTTAGGAGGGACAAATGATTTCTTCTTAGAAAAATCGGGAACTCTGTTCTTATCATCAGTTTGATCTTGCGCTGCTGGGGAAGCAGGCTTTTGGTAATATTGTTGGTAGCTCATATTGGGAGCTCCCATAAATTGATCAGATGGAGAGCTTGCTGCATCATTGGATTGTTGTCGCTGTTGTTGTTGAGGAGCAAAGCTAGGGCCTAAATATGCGTTAGAACAACCTTATATTGAGTCGCGATAATATCGTGAGAAAAGTATCGATGATTAGGTATTGACTTACGTTGGAAAGAAGGCACAAAGGCGGGGGCTGTAGGCGTGAACGAAGGAGCTTTTAAAGAAGACATCGACAATTTCGAAGTTTGTTTGGCAAGATGCTCATCCTGTTCACCATTCTTTGGCTGATTGCTAGCCATTTTTACCTATATGTAGGAAGAGGTGTGGTAAAGGAACGCTGTGTTGGTGGTAGAAAATTATTATATTCAGGTAACAATCAGTAGCAATCCAAATCGTTGAATGTCTTTAAGAAAGTCGAATTATAGAAAAAGAGACTTTTTCATCTCTTTCTTTATTCTAGTCTTTATTCGTAAATGAAATGAAAAAGAAAACATTGAAGTGGCAAAATAGTGGGTTACTATCCAAAGGTAGATTTTGGTTTGTTATGCTCTGGCTTGGATTGAAAAGAAAAAGAATATAAACATCAATAAATTTTCATTAATTTAATTGTGCTAGAACTGAAAATGCTCCTCTAAGTTTGGATGTATTTGGGTTGATATTTAGGCAAGTTCTATAGACTCTTTCAAGGAAGTCCACATGTACGCTTTTCTCTCAGTTCAAACGTGCCAAAAGCTTGCAGAGAATCAATTTTAATATATATTTGAATCCCATAAGTAAGGCATTTTATGAAGCAACTCAAAAGGAAAGACATTGACTAAAAAGTAAGTACGAAAGACTTTTTTTAGACAGAATTGCTTTCCATATTCAATTCTTACATTTTCGTTTACTCATTTAGAATTGACATCAATAATTATTTCGAAACACTCGACAACCTCAGACACCTTTTCTCAAGTAGAAATATGTTAAGACGCGTTAACTGCTTTCTATAATTTAAAGAAACCTTTGAGATTTTCTTAGAAAATATTCTTTCTGAAAAGTAAGTTTTGAAGAATTCGAACTAAAGGAATTATAATGGATGAATTGTTCCACGTCGCATCTCATGCAGCAACGTTTGCTACTAGCTTTGCCATCAAGCACAGTATTTCATTTGCTGGAAAATTTGCTGTCCAGCAAGTAAGTAGCTATATTAAACGCATACCAGATGCTGATCGCAATGAATTGGAATTCATGAAAGCAAAGTTGCTTGAGATGATTCGTGTGGTCACACCAGCCATAGAGTTGATTGATATTATGTCTTCCAGCGGAAATCAAAGTTTGCAGAGCACTCGCCAACTTGTCGATGCGTTGCGCTCAGACATTGAAAAGTTCAGTGTGCACATCTTAGGTGTTGCAAGTTCGGACTCGGGAGAAGAAGCATCGAACCCGAAACGCGCCGAAGAAACGAAGGGAAAGGTTTTGCAGGAAATAAAGACTTTACTTTTACGAATTCAAGATGCCATCCCTCTACTCAATTTGTCTATCACCACTTCAGGGCTTTCTATCTCGTCAAGTCTACCGAAATCTACCAATTTTTCTCAGCTTTTTAAAGCAAACTCTTTTGTTTTACATTCAAACCTTTCCTTTACAGGGGAAAAGCCTTTACAGGTTGGTCCGACGTTTCGACTTCGCACTTACAAAATCTTTGAGAGCCATGCTCAATCCAAGTTCCTAAATCATGACTCAATCATTTGGCAAGAAGATTGCTCTGTGTGTGTAGCCAAGGTTTTTCGGGTGCCACCTCAACAATCTCATAACAAAAATTCCCTCCTCTCTTATAAGCTCTCTCTTGTTCAATCATTCGATGATAATCGTTATCACGAAGAAGATGAAGTTCCAATGACCAAAGATATTCTTTTAAGTACTATTCAAACTCTATTCTATAGTGTCTCGGGAAAACTTCTTCGACTTGACGAAGTCACGACACCTGTCATTCTGCTCAAATACAAGGATAATCCTTCAGAGACTTCTGAAGAACAGGAAGCATACAAATGGATAGCAATGGAGCTGCTACCTGAAGAAGAATTTGAGAGTGAGGAAGATGATAATGAAAGCCAGGATTCTGACAATACGACTGAAGAATTCAGTGATGAACATATGGCAGAAATGCAACTGCTTGGACTTACACAAAAGGATCTTGTAACAAGAAGAAAGAAGATGAAAGCATATCAGAAAGAAGACACAAATCTGGTCCTATTAGAATATCTTCTTCGTTTGTGTGCCTTGGAGGCGAACGCTCAAGAATCTGTTCTTCAACTACCCGATGAGCAAATCTCTCTGTACTTACGAGATGACCAAGGACGTGAGCGACCTCGCGATCCAGGTTCATATCATGCTTTAGAGAACACTGGTGACGCTCGTGTTTCCCCAACTTCTGCAACGTCGTCAAGACGTTCTGGCGTGCGCGCTAGTTCAACTTTCCTTTCTCCTTGGGTAAAACAAGAACCTTCTTCTCCTTTGAAGCACGTATCGAGAAACAAAATATTAGACGAACGAGAAACAACGTCGGGCTATGCTAGCCCTTTGATGAATAGAAAAATAAAGGAACCTTCAAGGCGAGAAGATATGATAGGTGCATATTCTCCTATGTTTCTTCGATCTAGGAAAGATTTGTTCCCGGAGATAGATCAGATGCCATCCTCAAAGAAAGAGTTGTTTGCTTCTGAAAAAAAAAATTCAAGATACTGCAACAAATACGAAAGAGGGTACGAGATTCCAAAGAGAAGAACTAAAAAATGATAAAAATTAACGAAAAGGTCCTGAGAAAAGGAAACAATCCGAAACCTAAGAGGAGGCCCCGACAAAAACTTCGGTATACTTTAATGTTTATGTATGATCTATAATAGTGTAATTAGCAACGAAGAAGATTTTTTTTCCTGCAAGATCATTCATAATTATTATTGAGCGGAATCTTGAGAAGTTTGAGTTTGTACTTTTCCCCTCCTACGTCGTTTAAGTTTAAAGAATAGTGAAGAGTTTTACGTTTAGGGATAACTAAAAGCCTTGTGGAACGATGGTTTCGACTTTCAGTACGATGATGTTCTATGGATACTGTGAGTCTTACTCATAATAAAATACCCTCCTAATACAAAAGTACAAAAGGTTACGATTATTAACGATGGTATAATACATGGAATGAATGAATCGATAATTTCAGCGCAATGAATTTTCGCAAACTAATCTCTCCTCGAATTTTTTATATCGTCTTACAAGGAAGTTGAAGACTGTCTTCACCCCTAGTTTCCCTATCGAATGTGAGAAACGCATGTTTTAACGGTGCTTTCCATTGAAGAGTATAACATAAAATTCCGTCCTTTATAACTATAGGATAGGATAGAATAGAAAATATTATTGATACCTATAGAATTATATTTATCTAAATACAAACTATAACAATCCCATTACATCCTGATAATCTATGAAAGTAAGGATAAAATTGTGCAACCATATTCTTTATTGCTCGACCCTTTTAGGCTTGTGATATTTGTTTGCTGATTATTATAAGGATAGTTGATATGATTTGTTAACTCGTAAATAAGGATACCCAACTTTTATTACAGTACACGATAAGGAATTACAAAGAGGTATCCTGATCAAAATAATGATAGCCTACGAGCACCGTTATTAACGGCTACACCAAATTCTCAGAGGGTTAAGCTAAACAAAAGTAGTGATCACGCAAGAATTTCGATTATCAGGTGATCGCAGACTAGTAAAAATTTGGCCGCGTTTTCTAATATTAACCCTTTCCAACATAAACAAATTCGTGGCGTGGAAAAAAGCAATAAAAAAAAAAGGAGTTTTTTGTACTCAAATTTTGAACGTTTTGGTGGAAATTGTACGCGTCCGCTGTTTACTGTTTTAAAAATCACCTGCATCAAATAAGATAAGGGTTACCGCAAACCTTTTATAGAGACGATTTTAATTACTTGTTTAGTATCAACTTCTGCAACATTTATCATGACTAATACCCCAGAAACTTCGGTGAAGTTTGATACATCTCATCAAGTCATAGAGGATATTGTATATTCGCTATCGAACCATATTTTTTCATATGCTGAGCATGTTCCTTTGAACCGCTACTTAACCCAGTGGAATGACAGTGGTCGTAAAAACGGATTCTCAAATAATGTGGAATTGTTTAACTTAGAGGCTCGTTCTGGCGCCGCTGGTTTATTGTTGGGATCCTATACCGCTGCCATTTCCTCTCCTGGCGTGTATGCAATGATTACCCCCTCCAGCTGCCTTTCTTTAATGAATCCCTTGATCTCGAACATTGGTCTTTTTTATGGTACTAGCAAACCTCTTGTTTTGCACGTTGCAGCTTTGGACTATGTCGAGCAAGCCTATCGCACAGACAATACGAGCGTGTTGGACTTTGCCTACTTGAACAATTTTACTGTGTTCACTTCTCAATCTAACGTGGAAGCTGCCTACATGGCTCTTGCAAGCACTATCGCTGCGAAGAAAAGTCCTACTGTCCACGTCTATGAACCAGATGCAATTGTCTCAGCCTTGGCTCCTAGTCTTCCTACTCTCGATACCGAAGCCGTAATTGATTGTTTCAATTCGTTTGAATCAGATCAAGATCCGATTCAAAATGCCGCCAATGCCCTGACCCATATCAATAACCATTTCTCCACTAAATACAAGCCAGTTGAATACGAAGGTTCTTCATCTGCTTCTAAGGTTATTGTTACTTTTGGTAAGACGGAAACCACAGCGGCTCGTAATCTACTTGCTGCCAACCAGGATTTGGGATTACTTTCTATCCGTACTTTCCCTTTCTCCGTAGAGGAGTTACACCGTAGCCTCCCTTCTGCTTGCAGAAAGGTTGTTGTCCTTTCTCAAGTCCGCTCAACTTCTGTTAGCTCCCCTTCTTTTTACTATTCCTCTATCCTTGCAAGCTTGTTGGACACTGAAAACCTTCAATTCTCTGTAGAAGAGCAACGTTATGCCGTCAAAGAATCATTGACTACTAACTCTCTTTACAAAGCTCTTTCCGACTCTTTGGGTCTAAATTATGCTTCTCCTGTAGCTTCTAAGGTTGAAAAGAGTATTAGTTTCTGGGAACTTGACTCTTCTGAATATTACATTCCCTACTTGGTGTCTGCTCATAGAACCGACAAATCAAGGTCTGTCGCTTTTCGTACACTGTACGACAATTTGGTGCTTGCAGGTGTCCGATTTACCACTATTCAACTTTCTGGTCGAGACGTTCTTCTTACTGACGTTGCTCATGATTTGGAAGCTGACGTCTCTGTGGTAGCGAATGATAAAATACCTTCATATTATAGAGTTTTAGCCAATGCTGCTAAGCAGTCTATTTGTTTGCTGCAGACTTCTATTTCTCATGAAGAAATCACTTCCAAGCTTCCTTATGAGTTTTTGACGGACATTACAAATAAAGAAATTAAATTAGTTCTCGTTAATCCAAAGAAATTTGCTATAAACGGTTCTAATTTGCCTATTTTGAGTGCTTATGTCCAACTCTTCGAGCCTGGATTAGGTGCTACGGAAGCTTTCAACGTTCTTTGTAAGGAGAAGGGATTTAATGAAACTATTCGCAACAGTGCCATTGATTCTTTGAAAGAGGCCTTATCTTTTGTTAATGTCGAAGAAGCCTCATTAAAAGAACGTGAACCTAGTGACAGACAGTTACCGTCTGTGGCCGCTGAGACATCTTTCGGTTCTAACCCTATCAAATCTCTGGAGGAAGACGTTGCACCACGCACTTCTAGTTGGGAGACTGTTGCCCAGCAGATGATGTTCCCCGAAGCTTACAAAAAAGAAGATGTTCTACGTCCGGATGTTTCTGAACAAGTTTACACTGTGCGAGTGAAATCCAATAAGCGTCTTACGCCCGCCTCATACAGCCGTAACATTTTCCATATCGAATTTGACCTTGGAAATTCGGGCCTTACTTATGACATTGGAGAGGCTCTTGGTGTATATGGTGTAAACAATAAAAAACACGTTCTTGATTTTATTGAAGAGTACGGACTAGATGCCGACGAACTCATTCAAGTCCCTTCTACTTTTTACAAGGGTCATTGGGAAACTCGCACTGTTTATCAAGCATTGTCTCAAAATATTGATATCTTTGGAAAGCCGACGAAGAAGTTTTATGAACAATTGGCTCAATATGAAACCGACGAGAAGGAACGCAGTGATCTCGAGACTTTAGTCAGCCCTGTCGGTGCACCTGACTTTAAGCGTCGTGTTGAGGTGGACATGCTTACATACGCCGATGTTTTAAAGGAATTCAAGCATGCAAAATTGAGCGCATCTGAGTTGGCAGTTGTTGTACCTCTTATTAAACGTCGTGAATATTCAATCTCTTCTTCCCAAAGAAAGCACAAGGACAGTGTGCATTTGCTAATCGTCGTTGTTGACTGGAAAGATGGTATGGGACGTGACCGTTATGGTCAATGTTCTCATTATTTGTCTAGATTGCGAGCTGGTGATCCTGTAACAGTCGCGGTGAAGTCTTCTGTGATGAAGTTACCCAAGTCTCCAGAAAAGCCCATCGTTATGGCAGGACTTGGTACCGGATTGGCACCTTTCCGAGCATTTTTGCAATTCAAAGAGTGGCAGCGACTACAGGGCATTCCCTCTGGAGACATTGTGCTTTACTTGGGTTCACGTACACAACGTGAAGAATACTTATATGGTGAAGACTGGGAAGCTTATCATGCAGCCAATTTACTGACATTCATTGGACAAGCTTTCAGTCGTGATCAACCTTACAAGATATATATTCAAGATGTTATGCGTTCTTCTAAGGAACTTTTGAAGAAGACTTTGATAGATGAAGGAGGTTCTTTTTACTTGTGTGGTCCTACTTGGCCATTGCCCGAAATTACCGGTGTATTAGAAGAGGTGATTCAAAGTTCTGCTTCTGAGCCAATTGACGCTCGCAGGGTCATAGAGCAATGGAAGGAGGAACGTCGCTTCGTCATTGAAGTTTATTAAAAGAAAGGATTTTGCAGTGTTATTATAAATGGTTATTCTTTTTTACTCTAAATTTCCGCATAATTGCAAAACCTGTAAAAGGGTTTATTGAAACAGTCCATGCAATTTTATTGCATAAAGTGAATCAATGTTTATTGAAGCAATTCCTTAAAACTTAGAGTACATAAATTTTGTTTATAATAGTTTGAAAATCTCGGTTATAAGGAAACTTAAACAAGCGATACCTTAACTTAATCAAAATAAAATACCTTTGAACGAGGGACGGAATATAAAAGGAAGCCGAACCGAAATTAAAATTGGGGTCTCTTACGCTTTTGAGAGTGATTGATCAATCCAATATGTCTCATGAATTACATTTACAGGAATTCTTTTCTTCTAATTCAAACAATCTAAAGGACGACGTAGCACTCCGAGCAGTTCTTACCTCACACTATGAAATATTTAAAAGGTTCTTTAAGTGCGAGTCCTTGCTTATGCGCTCGCCTCTTACTATATAAACTTCGGTAAACTATACTCAGCAGAATGCGAAAGCTCAAAAATTTCCTAAGAGATCCGATTTCCGAACTTCCATTGGAAACCGAAGCAATTATCTTAACTGTTTTCCTCATTCAAACTTCTGATTAACCCGAACCTCCAATTTTTTTGGTTATACTCTTCCATGCCTCGGACTTCAGTGGATTCGGCTTTTCTACCTACCCCGAATAGAAAGTGATGGGTAAGGGATAAACTCAAAATAAAAAGGAACCTGTACCCCGTCATGAGTTCCCTCCTTAAATTTTAAAAACAGTAAACAACTTCTAAGTGTTTCCAACTATCATCAAACATAAACCAAATCTTTTTATTTTTTTTTATTTTCTTTTTTAACCTACTTGTGGCGCCAATAGGATATTGTGCTGTTGCCTTCGTATAATATCATACCTCTGTCTCGTCCGATTAAAATATTTCAATAGAACACCGCGTGCGAACATTCTTTAACTGTTTTCGTATATATTTGGATTATTGCTTAGGCATCTTCTTTTTTGTGAAATTAGCTTATTAGATATCTTCAATTTTTTTGTTGAAGACAGTGCGAATTAATGGTGTAAAGGATACCATTGCAAATTATTAATCGATTCCACAAACTCATTATTATTTTTTTGTATGAGAGTATTTACACTCGCATACTTTTGATCAAAAAAAGCGAGGATTTTCATACTATATCATTTGATATCCAATACTCATTTGAAATAGCAAAAAGGAGTTGACACTTCTCATCAATAGGTGTTTTACTTTTTATTATGCAGGTTTCACCATCAAAGAAGACCTCTCCAGTTGTCACAGGCGATTTAAAGAACTTAGCCCCGGCTTTACCTACCTTCTGGATTGCCTTTCCAGCAAGCCAGCCTTTAGGCTGTTTACGGCCTCGCATAAATCGTCGCATTACTCAAATAAAACAACGAGCAGAAACAGAAGAAGCGGTATTTAATTTGTACCAAAGATGGAATCCTTTATCGTTTTCTTATCGTCTCATTTTTACAGATGCCATAAGGGATGACAAGAGAATTTTCGCTTGGTTTTTTACAAAACGATTTAGATCTCGAAAACTTCTAATGAAAACTACAAAAAGCTTTGCTGATGGCTATATGTATTGGACAATCACGTCCACTGAAGGAAGGGTGGTATTTGATTGCAATACTACCAATTTAATGGAAGTCAAACAAATTGTTTGGAAACCACAGGACCGAAAGTCGAAGGAAGGAAATGCTTGGAAAGCAGATTTGGTTTTACCATTGCAAAAGCAAAGAATGTCCGTGGCTTTTCTAAACGGACTTGAAATTAAATTTAACCCTCAAATATTCGAATTTACTACACGCTTCATAAAATTCCGTTATCTTGAAGCCGCCATTTTTGCCATGGCTCTCTATGTGAAAATATACAACCTAAATATACTTCATCCCTCTCTTGTACCTTGAGTCATTCTTTTGTTATTACCACTTTCCTCCTGTCATGACATCCATGGTTCTTTAGGACTTTCTCCCATTTTGTACAAAGCATCCTCTTGTTGATATCTCTGTTCCTTGTTTAATATTCTTTTTTTTTTATTTGTTCCTTTTGTTACGATAAAGAAATCTCGATTCTTAAAATTTTCTGAAAGCAACTCACTCTTTCTGGTTTAATATTTAATGAGAAGACTCTAATCTAGAAGTAAAAATTAAAGAATAACCGTTTAATTGACTGAATCCATACGTCTCGTTTGTTTTTGTTTTTTCTTGTTTTTCTTCTGTAATTGAATCTTTTTGTTCACTCATTTTCATCCGATACTTTCACATATCTACATTCGTATGCGGTATCACCCTTACCAAACTATAATGCAGATTTCCTTATGACGGGTGTTCTTCATTGCCAATTGTTTACAACAAGAACCGCTACTGAGTGAATACGACAAAAACTGACATTGAAAAGAATAATTAAGTTAAAATCTGCCTCTGGTACAAGCCAGACATTATTATGAATGAATACGAATAGTCTAAGTAATCGTCATAAGAGTCCCGTGAAATTATTTGAAGTTCGGTAAGTAAAACTACAAATTTTAGGAAAAAGAAGGGTATGAGGACAGAAGAATGGTGTTTCAAAGTTATTTTTTGAACTTTTGAAACAAAAAATCCCGAGTTTAGCTCAATTGACGTATCACGGCTAGACTGTAATTTTGAACTAGCATTTGCCGCTGTTTCAGCCTGCTCTGCAATTATTAGTTAGATCAATTTTTCTTTGGAGAATAAGCTTCTCTGTAGAGCATTGGTTTCGTATGGCTCAGGATAATCAAAAACTGCTTCGATGAATTCGACCTAATAGTAACAAATCTTCCTCTAACATGCCTGCTTGATTCATACCAAAATATCTTTATTTCTTGTGATTTTTTTCCTTTTAGATTTATGGAATACTAACCTTTCATTCTTGTTTAGGCTTTACAATGCGGAAGCGAATGTAATCGTGCTGTATGGTAATTCACTAGACTCAGCCGCTAGGCTTTCAGGCATCGTAGTCCTTTCAATCTCCCAACCAATCCGTGTTCGAAATATAAAGCTTCGTCTTACTGGTCGGTCTTTTGTTTGGTAAGCTACATTTTGCTTGTATGCATCTGTCGCACTTACTGACCATTTTCTAGCTGGTCAGATGAATCTCGGAATAGCTCCAATGGTGGTACTAAAATCCGGCGGCAAGTAAACCAAATCTTGGATAGGCAATGGTCATTTCTGTCGGGAGACGGTAACAAGACAATTCAAGACGGTAATTACGAATATCCTTTTGATTACCAACTTCCACAAGATGTTCCTGAGTCAATTGAAGGAGTTCCGGGGTGCCATATTGTCTACACTTTGACAGCCTGCTTAGAAAGAGCAACGATCCCTTCTTCAAATTTGGAGTCTGCCTTGCAACTTCGGCTGATCCGAACCATTCCTCCTAACAGTCTTGACCTCATGCACTCTATGAGTGTAAGTGATATATGGCCATCAAAAGTCAACTATGAAACGAGTATACCCTCCAAGGTATACGCGATTGGCTCTGAGATCCCAATTAACTTGAAATTATATCCTCTCCTAAAAGGACTCGGCATCGGGAAGGTGACCATTGTTTTGAAAGAATATTGTTCACTTTTTATAACTTCGAAAGCCTTTTCCTCTACTAGTCGAAAAGACTTCAAGCGTGTTTTGGCTAAAAAGACTGTTCCTGGCCTTGCGATGATCGACGACTGTTGGCAAGATCAAATAAAAATTCCGATCCCTGACTCTTTGGGTGAGTGTACTCAAGATTGTGATTTGAATTGTATACGCGTTCATCATAAGCTTCGTCTTTCCATCTCTTTGTTAAATCCTGATGGTCATATATCTGAACTTAGAAACTCCTTACCTTTGTCATTAGTGGTTTCTCCAGTTATGTTTGGAGCTAGACCTGTTGAGGGTGTCTTTTCAGGAAATCACGCTTCTTATATAAACGAAAATGTTCTGCCTAGTTACGATCGCCACATATTTGATGTCCTTTGGGACGGTGTTCCTACCGAAAGCACTCCCGTACTCAGTGAACGCACTACTCCTATTACAAGCCGTCGAAACTCTTCCGATTTTGGACCAACGAGTCCCATCCTTAGTATAAATACGAAGCCATTTGCTTCCAACCCGTCCGTATCTTCGCCTTCTTTAGGATCTCAACCAAGCTTTTATATTGAGAATTCCACTCAGTCCCCAACTGATAGAACCGAATTTCTTTCTCCTATAACCTCTCCAATAGCACCGTTTTCTGGTGCATGTCGTAGAGCTGCTCGCTCTAGAGCCAGCAGTACTTCATCATCGTTTGGTGGTTCTCAAATTCAAGGTTTACAGCCTGAAAACCCTTTTTTGCGTTCAACATCTCCTAATCGTGCTCTACCCGTGCGTAGCGTTTCGACGTTAAGTTTACAGGAATTGGGTAAATTACCACCTTACTATGAAGCACATTCAGCTTTCTCGAATGTGCTTCCTCTTGACGGGCTTCCTCATTATGAACAGGCTACAAGGCCATCAAGTCCTACCCCTTCTCCTTATGGCAGTCAAGCTTCGACTGTTGTTGCGACGCCTACGCCTACTGTGCGTGTCTCACCGATAGAAACTCCTAATAGAAGTTCACCACGCTCGGTTACAGTAATAAAAAGTAAGTCCTCAAGTAACCTTACTCATCACGGGCTTCATTAACGTTCTTTCGTTGTTCGTTGTTTATCCGTTCCCTAGTTGTACAGTACATGGCACTGACTTGCTATATCTTAGCTAAGATATAAGAAAACTTCAACTACTTATTTTGTTTGTCACTTTTGAGAGGAAATTTCTTTTTTTATTGTGATTTTGTTTGGTTTTAGTAAACATTCATGTGCTTAATATATACCAACAAAAGAACTAAGAACTAGAAAGTCCAACTTTAGGGATATATGATAAATCCCTATAATTACAAATGGTTACCAACAAAGAATAACAGAAAAAAAAGAAAAAAAAAGAAAAATCCCTTCGGCATCTCCTTTTATAAATGAAATATCTAATGACTGCATAAACAATACATTAATAAAAAAATAATCATTATTCGTTAATCTAATTTGAGTCACAAAAATGTAAAAGTACCTAGATGTATATAATAAAATAAAGTCCATTATAACGAATGTGTATTTCTCATACTGATATCCTGATGAAATTATTTAGGACGATTTTTTAGATACTAATTTCACCTTTCCATCATTGTCAATTTGAGAGTCATAGCCGGCTTTTTCCAAAACCTCAGATTTACTAACACCTACAGCATTTAGGTTAGCAACATAGGCTTGATTCTCAGGATTGTTTTGCAACAAGTGGCGGATACAAAAAACAGAAACCTCACGAAGGTACGGATTCAAATCATCGATGTTACACTGAGATAATATCACTGACAGACCGTCGGCATTTCTAACAATGTCCTGAGTAGCTGGATACATGTGCGAGGCAAAGGTGATGAAATGGACACATTCGCGTTTAACTCCTCCTACAGCTTCACAAAAATCGGAGAAGCTTCCGGAAGGAATAGGTGTTTTTTGAACAAGCGTTTTGCGTGGAACTTGTTGATCAAGGATGCAAAGTAAAAGAAGTACTTCCTTGGTGGCCAACGAAGAGTCATGAGCATACCGCTTGAATGCGTAAGGGATATCAATTCGTTGAGTTGGGTCATTCTGTGAGAGGGTGAGTCTCTCATATTGAGTGAAAAGAAGACTAACAGCTAGTTTATAGCTTTCAGATAAGTAAGTGATGATGGTTAGATCAGCTTCTGAAATATTAGATTTATCCATAAAAGAAATACGCTCATGAAGTTGCTTAGCTATTAAGCGAATAATTAGGTAAAGAGTGGGAAACAGGGATAGATCCACTGCACCAAACGGTTCACGAGTCATGGCATCTACAACGAAGTAGATGGATCGAAATCCCAATAAAGCTGCACGTTTGATAAGAACTTCTGCATAGCCATTACTTAAAATATGACTAACAATACGAAAAAGAATACTCTCTCTCTGCCAATCTGGATGACGATCCTGATCAACCAAGATATCGAGAAGGTATAGTCCAGCAGGAGAGGTGCATAATTGGTGCAACCTCTGTTTACTGTTCAGTATAAGATACCAAACCGAAATTTCAAATGCAGAACATTGAGCGCTTGTGACTGGCAAAGGCAGCTTGGGAGGAAATTTGGTAAGATAGCTCCATGCCTCATCCTCTAAGGGTGAATCACCAGCAACAGAATTTGCAAGTATTTGCCAAGAAAGAGGACTGTATGGTTGTTGGGATACAGAAGCTTCGAGCTGCGCAGGAAGAAATTCTGTGAACAAACCTGCGGCCCCCGCAGCTTGTTGGATATGTTTTCCCGAGGCCAAGCGGTTCCTTACGGTTTTCAATTGATGCTTTGGGTCCTCATTGCAATTATAGAAAATATTAAACCACTCCAATTGATGATTATTCATGAAGACATAGACAAGAAGTTTCTATGTACAGACACGTTAGTTTAATCTGAAAAATCAATAGTTATCCGTTGGAGTATTGTAAACGAAAAGATCAATAAATTTGAGAAGCGTTTTTTATGGATGATACAGTTTGTTCAATATGCCAAAAAAAATTGTTGCGACCCACAACAATAATTCCGATGACTTACACTTTAAAAACTCAAATTTTTACAGTACCGTACAAACAATAATTCACAAAATATACGTTCTTTGTAGAAATAGTGAGTATTGTATTTGCCTTATCGCATAAGTGATGTTTTAAAAATTTTAATATAATAAACAAGTTCACTATAGTAATATGGAATAGATGTGGACAAACTTGTTTTTGTAAGCGACTATATGCCTTATGATATTGTCACGGATAAGAGTACAAAACCTTCGTTCATAATAAGAAGCGAATGAGATATATTACTAAATTACAAAACCAAGAAAAAAGGACACAAACAAAGCAAGTAATATAATAGCGATCAATTGAGAGGAGAAGAGAATAAAGGTCCATAAAAAGAAGCGAAAGATAGGAAGGAAATCATACATTAAAACATTCATAACAACACTAGAATGAGAAAGAACCAATGGTATAAAAAACGGACGAAAAGGAAGCATAAACAGATGGGATTACGAAAGACATCATATTATATCGAATGGAAAGGGGTTAGATTAGGCATCAAATTTTTTTAAAGATAAAAAGACAGAGATGAAAAAAAACAATTTAGGGAAATTCCAGGAATGTGGTTACTGGGGAACGTAAATTTGCTACTTTTTCTTGGTAGTGGTAGTGGAAAGACTGGCTTCATCGTCATAATTGGATACACCTTCCAAAATAACTTCTGGGCTTGCGGAAGACGTTTCTGTAAGGCAAGGACCTTTAAACCATTTGTGGGCTGAGAGAATCCACCAAATGATAATAGCAAGCATAGGACCTCCGTACACCACACAGGTCCAGTTCATGCCTTCTGCATCCAAATTCTTTCCCTTGGTTTGTGGAAAACATAAGATGGGAAGCATGAGCACGACAAATGCACAGGAGGCATAACCTATGGGCTTTGAAAAGCGGCCCAAGTGAAAAGGGCCTCTTTGGAATTCAGCGTCAGATACACATGTGATCCTAATGAAAATAGGAATTGTAAAAGCAACAAAAGCAGCGATAGCACCGACAGAAAAAATAGCATTGATGGCTACATCACCAGCGAAAATTAAGAGTAGCAACAGGATACCAACCACAGTATTCATCCAAGTACATCGGTTTGGTGTCTTTGTACGAAGATCGACATGAGCAAGGATGTTGGAAAAGGGAAAGACGCCGTCTCTTGCATAAGAATAAGTAACGCGAGAAGCAGCAACCATACATCCTTGACCCATCATAAAACTGCAAACGATGGTGATGGCAGTTAACGCAACTGTTGTTTTGTGATCACAGACTTGCTGAAGATAGACGACATAAGGTTGACTTAGACTGTCGTTCATGACTTGAGATACATCAACGATGGTATATGCAATGATGAGGTTCAAAAGCCACCCTACGAGACCGCCAAAAGCAGAGGTCATGACTATAGCTCTCGGAGCAGCGACACTGGCATTGGAGCATTCCTCACTTAAATGGAAAGGAGAGTCGTAACCAGACATGGTCCAAATGACACCGGCAAAAGACATCAAAAGGGCCATTCCGTTACTCCAATCGGTCTGATTATCGAAACTCGTCCAAACTCTATGATTGCTATTAAAAGTATGGTTTTTGCCAGCGACAGCTAAAAGGGTAATCATGACAATGCTAAGGAAGAGCATGTTGATGGCCGTACCCCAAGTATTAAAATGGGCGATAACTTTTGTTGGAAGGCACGAAATCAATGTCATGGCGATCATAGCAGCGCATGCTAATAAAAAAGTTTGATAGTTTTCGGGGGTATAGTTGGGATTCTTGATTTGGATTAGAGAAAGAATCATTCCGGAAAAGGAATAGGCAACACTAGGAGCTGCTGTGACTTGAACGAAATAGTTGGACCAACCGGTAAGCCAAGCAGCCAAAGGGCCCCAGCGTTTAGGAGCCAGACTAGCCGCGGCATAATATAAACCACCCGAAGTAGGCATAGAAGAACACAGTTCTGCCATACCACAGGCAACACATTGAACAAAAAACATTGCAATCAGCCAGCCCCACACCATTGCAGGAGTGCCGGCGTAACCTGTTGTATAATACATGGTAGAAGCGAACGAGGGTAATAAGCCAAGAACGGAAAAGGAGACGCAGAATGAGCTAAAAGCAGAGAATTCACGTTTGAATTCTTGCTTATAGCCCAAGGCAGCGAGCTCTGCAGCGTCTGCATTTAGACCTTCTAAATCGATTTTGTCGGATCGAGACATGGTATAAAGATGTAAACAATCAAAAAATAAAAAAAGATATGGAAAAGAAACAATAAGAAAAACAATAAAAAATGAAAAATGAAAACGAATAGAAAGAAAAATACGTAAAAAAGAAAACCAATTTTTCCGGTTCTCTTTGAAACGGTTCTTGGAGAATCTCTTTAGATTACTTATTTATTTCTTTCTCAATTATTAATCAATCTATTTCTTGATTTCTCCTAGATATACTAAATCAGATCAATGCACAAAGCCTTCAACCCAGCGAAGGATGAAGATAAGGGAAAAAGGAAAAGAAACAGTGAACGAGAAATACCTTTGGATCGGCCTTTATAAAAGTGCATCATTTCTCTTTTTTTATATTTGCCTTTTCTCTGGTTTGATTATCACTTGTGATAAGCAAGTTAGTCTTGCCTATTAAAGAATCTTCCTCGGTGAAGCCTTCCTACGGCCAAGACAAGGCAAGACTAGGCTATAAAAGCATGAACGAAGGGCAAATCAAAGAGTCAACGTTCGTTCAACTAAAAGTACCTAGCGTGGAGGAAGCGTCAGTTGGCAAAGATTTATCTTATCATTCTTCGGCCAAAGCAAGGCCTTTTTCGGAGTAAAAAACTGATGCGTCTTGTGTCCATGATCATGAATCAATTTAAAAGTGAATTAGAAAGTAGAAAGATAAAGAAAGAATAAATAAAAAAAAATTCTATAAGACTAATTCAATGGCTACATTTTTCTGAAGAAAGAACCTTTTCATTTCATTGCAAAGTCTTTATTATAGTTTATGTATGACTTACAGACGATCTATATACGTAAAGAACTGATAAATGGATAGATAGATAGATAAATAAATAAAAGTATGAGTAAGCAAGAAGCAGACAAATTGTCCGTTCTTAATTGGGAATAAACAAAGAAAGAAACAGTGGGGATGCTTGGTACTTAGCGAGGGGATCTATGAGTCAATTGAAAGCAGTTCGACATGCGTAGACGAGAAGAAATGAAAGAAAGAAGAAATGAAATTCATTCTTTTGTTTCTTTGAAGCGATCATCGTCGATTCGCTTCATTGTAAGAGTCAAAATAAAAACTGCCTTCCTTCATAAGACACACGAGTGGAAATCGTTTGTTTATGACACAAAGGATAAGCTCCACATACCATAGAATATGATAGTAAACAAGTGAGGATAGAATCAAAAAGGGGAATTGTACAAAAGATGGAATGGAATGAAAGTTTTAGTTGTTGCATAAAAATGAATCATCATGCTTGTTTCGCTCTTTGAATTTGTTTTATTACTGGCTTGTGTACAGCATTGTAAATATTCTAATCTTTAGCCTTATAAATGTCAGACAATATTGCATAATATTAAATCTTGTATGACACGAACGAAAAAGTATCGTCTAAAGAATCGGGAGTATAGGCGATATCTGTTTCTATCTCTTCGCCCATACCTCCACGCTTTTCTCTATTTTCCTTTATATGCATACAGTAAATATCTTTAGAATACGTAAACCCTCGATACTGATACCGTGTCGGCCTCGATATTCGAAAAGAACGAAAAGCGAAACTCATCCCGTATCAAGTGGGGGTCGTTGTAGATGTGGATCCATCCTAAATGGTTCTTTTTATATGATTGTGTATTGATTTGTTTGTAAACAAACAAATCAGATTTTGTTGTCTGTTCTTCAACTCTTCCTCCATAGGCAATTAACATAGGCAATTAATTTTAGTATATAAAAAAAAAGTGATTCTCTTATAGAAAAATAACCTCAAAAGAGAAATCATCAACTTCGAATCATTCATCCATATTGTTGATTCAAACAGTTTATGTTACGTTCCATTATACTCATTTTCATTTTTTTTCTGATGTAAAACTTTTCATATCATGATTTCCATTCAAAGTAGATCAAACGATTCTTCATCAATCCTAAAGTTTCACTGTCAAGCTGATTTTTCCCAACATCTCCTGATCTCATCCATTGGAACCAACAAAACACCATTTTTCTATTTTCATCTATAATAGCATAGCCTTGGGTTCATCTTACTCTTTTTCTTTTTCTTCCTCCCTCCCTCCCTTGTTTTATTCCGTATTTCTATCTCTTCATCAAATTTGCAATTCTTCTGTGTTAATGTTTACTATTGGAAAATAAGAACGATATACTATACTTCAATTAGGCATTTCACTTCCTTCTCGGAAACGAGTTTAGCATTCCGCAGCACGACTCCTTACATCTCTCATGTTTGGCTTTCTTTAATGCAAAAATAGACTTGGCCTTTACCAACTATTCACCACTTTATTTTGGCTATTCTACGTCCTGCTTCCAGGTGCTCTTGATCCTGTCGTGTTATTGACTTTTTACCTCTGTTGTAAAATTCCACGGTTTTTTTAATAATGAGAGCCTGGCTTCAATCCAAGTATGTAAGAAACAGGCTGAAAAAAACCTGAATTGCCGAGCAATGTATGAAACTTGGTGAGAAATGAAAATCTTAGAAACAAATTCTCATTTTTATCGGGAATATGAATCTTGTTTCTTATCTACCTTCAATTTCCACAAGTCCAGAGGTTTTATTGTCAATGTCCTTATAAGAAGATTCAATGCCGTTTCTATTTGTGATTTCTCATATTTCATATCATTCAGAGACAGCTGAAATATTTTGAAATAGCTTGCTAACCCACGGTTTAGTATATCATATTTAACTGGTACTGCAGAACCTGTTTACGGCGCTGAAGCAATTCAACCCGTCACCGCTACTGTACAAGGTATCAATCCTTACCATACATTGGACGATGATGACTACCGGTGGTCCACTCCTGCCTCTAGCCATGTTGAAACCCAAGTCTTTTATATTCGTCCTAATAATGGCAACCTTATGTGCTTTGTTCAATTGATTCATTCTAACTTGGGGTATGGACTTAAATTATTATAAAAAAGCTAATATTAACCTTATTTTTTAGTTCATGGACAACTACAGCTCAGTCTACATGTCGAATTTTTGATCTAGACAATCCTGAAAATGATTTATGGACTTCTACCAATTTGGATCAATTCAGCTTTGAGAATGACCACACTTGTTTTAGAGCCGCTAATATTTCTATTGACCTTGAAGGAAAGTCTGCATATAGAATCCGCTCATCCGTTAATATGGATTCTATTATTGATCTTGTTATTCATCAAGAAAGTCCCCCTTTTAAGATTGGTGAGAATGGTACTAGTAACTACGGTACCGACCCCTCCAAACCTTGGGCAAGCATGAAGCATGTTTTCTGGCCCCGTACCCGTGTTGAAGGCAATATTGTCTCAAAAGGTAAAGTAGTTGATGTAACAGGTACTGGTTTGTTTGTTCACGCTTTACAAAACGGGAAGCCTCAACATCTGGCTTCTTCTTGGGAATTTGCTCTATTGCAAAATCCCAGATATACCGGTGTTATGATGCAGTTTAAGACCCCTCCGAGTTATGGATCCACGATCGTTAACGTCGGTGGTATCGTATCAAAGGATGGGGTTTTGGCCGCTACTGTTGACAATACAATTGAGCATGTAGGTGTAACAATGGACCCAGAAACAGAATGGCCTGAACCTACTCGTATTGCCTATGAGTGGGACGGTAAGGATGCTGAAAATTATGAAAAGCCTGTCCATATGTCAGTCGATGCACCTTTGGGTAGACGTTTGCAGCGTATCGACGTTCTCTCGGAAATCCCCACATGGCTCCGTGGATTTGTTCACAATGTTTCTGGCACAAAACCTTTTATTTACCAGTACATGACTCCTGTTACATTCAGACTGAAGGTTAACGGTGAAGAGATTGAGGAAAAAGCTACTCTGTTTAATGAAACCACATTTATCTCTTAAAGGTGATGTTTAAAAAAAAGCTTTATTCTCTTTTTTACTGTTCTGGTGCATTCTGGTCAATTCATGAAGTCTCGTCTTAAACAGTGGTTTATTGTACCAATTTTTTTAAAAAAATTATCAATGCTTTTCTTCCTTTTGACAGTGAAAGTCATTCTATTTACAGTGCATAATTCCTTATTACTCGTTCATATTTACGATAGGGTCACGTTTCTGCATATTTCCATTCCTGTGTACATTCGCACTTGAAGTTATGGTTTATGTTTGGATTAATTAAAGTACATTCATTTTTTTTTCGACAGGATAATCGGTGTTAAAAATAAAAACTTCTGGTTCTGAATTATATCTGAATTATATTTTTTATATATGTTTAACTAGGTTGGATTTTTTCTGTCCCCAACTTTATCGAGATTTGAAACACCAAATTTGTATTCATAGATGTATTATTTCTAAAGGTTATTTCTCTTTCTGGTTTGCGCATTTGGTTTCTTCATTCACCCGTTTAAAACATTGGATTAAGAATTCAACTGTGCTATAAGTAATAAGATTCATTTGTTAGAAACCTTTATAATTGCAAATTGTCTCTTACATTATATGCAATCTGCTCTATTCTATTTATGCCTAATTAATGAAAAGGTCCATAAAGAAAGCGAATTTAAAACATGTATAGACTGTACAGTAAGTGTATTATTCTAACCTGTTTCTACTCCATGATTCATTTTATATTCAGCTTCACTAGATAACTGCGCTTATTTACAAATCTTCTGATATTAGAGATGGCAGCCTAAGAGCTAAATTTTTCATCATCTTAAATTTTAGAAGACAGATCTCTTCTTTGTCACGCAGTAATACTTAATGAGTTTTCAAGTATATATGAGTGAAAATAAGTAAAGGTTATTGAATTGGTGAAACAAATTAATTAGTTCAACCAGCTAGATCTTTTTAACTTGGACTATCAAAAACTACTCTTTCAGCACTCGTATATTAATGACTTGTTTACTCGTTTCGATTCAAGTAAACTTGTAAATATGTCTTTAGTTTTTCAATTTTTAAGTATCATTTGAAAAATTCATAAGTTTCTTAATGTCATGGTAGAAATCCTACATCATTCCTAAGGTTCTTTCGTTAAATAGGGATAATCTTACTTTCGGTGCGATTCTTGTGATGAGGAAGCGCGTCTATTAAAGCTCTGATATTCCATGTAGCCTTTATGCCGAATCGCCATTACTTTCTGGATCACTTGAAGTTACATAGAAATTAGCTCCTATATATGGATCATATGAAGCCTTAACCATATTGAAAAGATCCGTGGTAACCCGCTCTGCCGTTCACTTCATCAAGGACATGATTTATTGTGTTAAAGTGAATAGGTGATGTACCATCATCAGCAGTGATTCCAGCGAAATCACTGTTCACGATGATATCAAACCGATCACCAAGTCTTCTTGAATAATTGTTTACTTGTAATAGGTCTAGCAATTGTGTTCTAGACATAGTACTGTACTTAATAGGCGCGACACTCACGACGTTGTTCATATAAAGCCGAACCGGTCTGTCCCATTTTAGTTTTTTTTTAGATACACGCAAAAAGTAGTATTAAGCGCTTAAGAGAATAGTACGAGATATGCTTTATTGCTACAAGAACAAAGAACAATCGGGGTTAATATTATTCTTAATATATAAGTAAAAGAATTCCAAATTCTCAACAACAATTGATAAAAAAGAAATAACTACGAGAAATCCAAAAGCAACCTTTAACAAGTTTTCAATCATAGTATCGTGAAATTACAACCTCAATAAGATACTCCACCAAAATTGATACCACCAACATATCCAAAGAAGTAATAACCATGAAGGGACTTGAAGTTTAGAGGTTTTTGATTCATTCTTTCACTAACGTGTTTGTGCACATTGTTCTGTTCTTTCTCTACTAGTAAAGTGCACACTTCAAACTTCACATGCTAAGACTTTCTTTTCAGTTTACGGGTTAGAGAATCCAGTTCATGTAAGTTAGGGCTTATCATTTGGTACTATAAACTACAAAAGTAAAAACGAAAGTACCCCAAAAGTGATAGAATATCTGAATTTCGTGATCAGTATATAAGCAACGAGATATATGGTCTCCCTTAATCAACTAATTAATTATGAAAGAAATAACATCTTCCCAAATTTTAAGGGAGTACCAGCGAGATGTATTTCACGTTGCAAGGAAGCAGAATACTTTGTTAATTATGGCAACTGGGGCCGGCAAAACATTGCTAGCTGTAAAGCTAATTAGAGAAAAACAAGAGGAACAATTACGAGAAGGAAATGGACGACAAAAGCGTTTGTCGGTGTTTCTTGTTAATACGGTTCCATTGGTTATACAGCAAGCTGATTATTTACGATCACAGCTTCCGTTCCGTATAGGAGTATGTTATGGGGAAGTCTCAATAGAAATGTGTGAAAAGCTGTTTCATGATATAAAGCAGAATTACGAGATAATTGTTATTACAGCCGATCTGTTCTACCTCTGCTTGGCACGAGGTTTTCTATCTATGTTTGATTTTGATATTCTTGTTTTCGATGAATGCCATCATGCCATCAAAAACCACGCATACGCTCGTATCATGATTGACTTTTATCATGTCGCAAAACCATTAGCAACACCTATAAAGCAGCTCCCAAGCATCTTTGGTATGACAGCTTCACCCTACGCTGGGAAGGCTACAAATCCGCTAAAGAGGATTTTCGAATGGGAAGAGTTACTCGATGCCAAAGCTTATGTAATATCAAACCAGCGTCTCTTTCATCATATGCCTGTTACAAAAGAACTAGTTGTCCCTTACATAAATTCACCTATTGATGCATCTCAAAATCCAATAATAAGGATGTGCGAAACTGTTTTTTCAAACTGCAAGTATATAAGCAGGGTATCTAAAGCTGCACAATACGAAATTGTAGAATCAGGTGTCTGGTTTGGTGAACAAGTTTGGCAATTCTTAATTGACGAACTTGTTAATAAGCAATCAAGAAAGAATTGTGACGGAAAATTGTCGGCTGAGGAAAACCAATGCATTAACAATTTCATACATGAGGTACAGAGATGGTCGCAAAAACAAAAGAAGCTGTATTCTGGATTAAGGGCCCCTATATTGAATGGCAATGACACGAGCAATAAGGTTTTAACACTTTTGGAATTTCTTGAAAACTTCTATAAAGACAATGATACTTTTAAGACTATAATTTTTGTTGAAAGAAAAGTGACGGCTTATTCGTTAACGAGATTTATACGAACGTTAAAAAAACAGACAGGAAGACTTAGAAATGTTCGGCCTTTTCCATTCATCGGACATGGAGATTCGGATGTGGCAGCGTTGTCTATGCACTTTCGTGAACAAAGAAACAACATTCGAAACTTCAAGCAAGGTATCTATAATGTTCTCGTTGCAACCTCCATAGCAGAAGAAGGAATTGACATTCCGACGTGTAATCTTGTAATCCGTTTTAATGTTTGTCAATCTGTGACACAATATGTGCAATCAAAAGGTCGAGCAAGAGCTAAAGATTCGAAGTTTGTGCTTTTAGTGAATGGTGTAGAACAGGTTAAATATCAAAAGCTTCAAACCGAGGAGTGCTTATTAACAACAGCATTAGAGAATCTTGAATCTACTCGTAGAGTAGACTTTCACGTCCCTGATTATAACACTATAACTCCGAATGATATTGTTAAGCACAGGATAGAGGAAACTGGTGCTTTGTTAATTGAGTTTTTGGCAATAGGTCTTTTGTATCAGTATTGTAATACTTTGCCCGCTGATTATGTGACTTTTCATTATCCTGTTTTTACTTGTATCTCAGAAGTTCAGTCATTCATATACAAGGTCGACTTACCAGCTATATGCAATATACCTGCTAAGCGAGGATCTCCAGCTGCTAATGCAAAAAAGGCGAAACGCTCAGCCGCCTTTTTGATGTGTTTGGAGCTTGTTGCTCGTGGGTTAATAAATAAGCATTTGCAACCCCTAGATTACCGAAATAAATTAGCGGATATTGAAGAAAGAGATGAGAAAGCTTTACGAGATGTCGAACAGGATGAATCTTTTGAACGTAAAATCCCGCAATGTTGGTCAAACGATAAAATTAAGGAAGTTTTTGCCTGTATACTATTTCCTACGTGCGAGTGTAGAACATTTCATCCTCTGTTGTTCGTCCAGTCACAACGAATGCCTCAGTTCGATATTCTTCGACTTCGCTCTAATTTTTGTGAAGTCACAGTTAAGCCTGAATTATTAGAAACCTCTTATATCATGAACGATGAGCTGCAAAATGTCCTTGAATACTCTACCAAACGGCTATTAGAGCTTGGTTTGTCTTCTACACTTGAGACAACCGATTCCACTCGATCATATTGGATAGCTCCTTTAAACATGGAATGCTCAGACAATGGTATTCTGAAAAACCTTATCGATTGGTCAGCAATTCGAAATCTTTCTTGTAACCATCAGGTTGTGAAGGACGCTACTATGCTTAAACCCCAGATTCTATTAATGCACGATCCAGAAAACAGTTTCGAGCTCTATTCCTTTGAAGCTCTAGTTAGCCAGGATAGGCAAGAACATACTGCGATTTGCAAAAGGATGCCATTCAGACTTAATTATTCATTGGATAAAAAACAATCTATGATAACTGCAAAGCCAAATTCAATAAAAGAACTACGTTTACATCAATTATATCTTACTGATTTGTCAAAGTGTTTAAAAGAATCAGCCTTACTTCTTCCTTCTATACTCTATCACATGGAAGCTCTTCTTCTAACGTCTGAATTTATGAACGAACATAACTTGAACTGTTCATTGAAAACTATGGTGCAAGCTTTAGCAACTGAGAATGCTTCAATGGGTGAAAATTACGACCGTCTAGAATTTTTGGGGGATTGTTTTTTAAAGGTTTGTGCATCTTCTACTGTTTTCCTAAAGTATACTTATGATCAAGAATACCAGTTACATGTCCATCGAAAGCAAATTATTAGCAACTACAACTTATATATGCGTGCGAAAGATATACACATACCGAACTATGCTTTATCCTATCCTATGGTTATTCGCAAGTGGTGTCCGTTCGGCTTTTTGAGAGAAAACAAGCACGAAAGTACATATCCATTGTTTCAGCAGTTACCAAAAAAAAGGATGGCAGACTTGGTTGAATCTACTATTGGGGCTTGTACCTTGGACGGTGGATTGGACACGGGACTTACTTACTGTAGAGGTTTGGACCTTGGGTTACTGGACGTGAAGAAATGGTCTGATTGGAATAAGTTTTTAGACATCGATTTTTATACGAGCTTAGTCTCGCGAACAGTGTTTCCCTATGATAAATATATAAAGGATACTACGGGTTACAGCTTCACCAATAAAGCATTTCTACATTTGGCCTTTATACACCCAACCATGTTAGCTTCACAGGAGGTATCAGGAACATATCAACAATTGGAATTTTTAGGCGATGCAGTTCTGGAGTTTATAGTTGTTCGGTATCTTTTTCATAGATATCCTAATTCAACTGCTGGTGAACTAACCAACTATAAATCCTTCTTCGTATGTAACCATAGTCTTGCGTACTTGGCTTTAACACTTGGCTTGCACAAATATCTTCAATATGACAATTCCGAAATGTTTGGTTTGATTTATGAGTACCAGGAGATGATTGAAGAAGCCAAATTAAATAACGTCCCCTACTTTTGGCTTGATATTGACCCTCCCAAGTTTGTAGCGGATATTTTTGAATCACTGATATGTGCTATTTATTTGGATTCTGGATTCTTGTTTGAAAGCCTTCGATTTTTATTACCGTTATTACTTAATGTCCTCGGAGATCCGATAGATTTGCAAAAGAAAAATCTGGTCCTAGTCAAAGTACATAATCTACTTAGTTCTCAAGGGTGCTCGGATTATAAAGTTATCCACAAGGAAGAAATAGAGATAAAAGAAGAAGAAAATTTTAGATTGAAAAAAGAGAGCTATATATTTCACACCGTTTCTTTTGTTCGACATGATAGAGTTGTATGTTTAGGTACTTCTCGGAAACTTAATAGTGCGAAAATTAATATGAAATACAAACTGAAAGAATTACTTGATAAAAACTCAAATTTACTGCTATACTCTTGTGATTGTGCTCTTAGAGCGTCGGATTCTGTAAAAACATCAGAGGTGTCTAACCAGAAGGATAGGATATTTGACTGATAATATCCTTAGGAATTTTCTAAAAACTCTCACTTATTTCTTTAGGTTCGATCCCTTATAATTTCGAAGTGCATCTAGTTGAGTTTCAAGAACGCGCACTTTGTCATGGTACTCAGCAAGCTCCTCATTCAAGTCATCACGAACAACCGTAAGTTTTTCTTCTCTCTCCTTAAAAGTATTCTCGAGCTCCATCGACATTTCTTCAACTTTCTTCTGGATAAATGCTTTTTCCTCGTTTAAGCGTTCATAGTGAGCTTTATTAAGCTTTGGGATACCATTTTTTCGGTTTGTTAATTGCTCCTGGCGATAGCGTTCATAAATCACTTTTTCCGTGGATTGTACCAGTTCAAGCATATGATTGTTTATAATTAGGTCCTTCAGCTTTAAGAAGTCGCAGTGATCATTATTCTCAATTTCTGACATTCCCCAAGGATAAGTTCGACCAATCTTCCCTTCGTTTTTACGGTTTGCAGCTTCCGTGGTTGCAACAATTGCGAATGGGCAGGCTTGTGAAAGATCTCTGGCTATTTCATCAGCAGAGTACACAGCCGAAGGGAAGAATAAATCAATTTTTTGAGCCTGTAAGATCCTGTTTATTTTTCCTTTAAGGCTGTCCAATTCATTTTTGGTTAAAGAGTCAGCCTTGGCGATGACGGGGATAATGTTTACATGCTTCGATAGTTTTTTCATCGCTACGACATCTAATGGAAGCATACCATAAGAAACTGGTTTAATGAAATACAGACAAACATGAACCCTGCTGTCCTTTCTCTGGATTCTTAATGACTGCTGATCATGCAATAGGTATTTCTCGTGCTGGTCATCTAGGTATTCAGTTACTACATCCCAACAATCCTTATTGTTTATGAAGTCCCCGAAGCCCACGGTGTCAAGAACCGTCAGGTTGAGTCGAAAGTCATCTTCTTCGATTATAGCTTTCGTCTTCTCTATTTGAACTTCCTTCTGCTTGTGCTCCTTTCCGAAGTTATCGTCTGTTTTGGGAGGCTTTACCAAGCTAGAAAACAGAGTATTGCAGAAAGTAGTTTTGCCGGTTCCTGAGCTACCGCAGAGCATAACAGTGAAAGAGCATTCTTTCTTTTTTATGAAAATCTCTCTAACGTGTTGTAATGACTTAGTAAAATGATCTTTTGGTTACAAGTTTGACTTACCTGTTTGGAGGTAAACTCGTTTCATTGTAGAGCAATTGAGGTTTTTCTACAAGTGGCATTTTACTTATGAAATTTTATCAGTAAACGAAATAATAATGAATCCTTTTTCAGTTGGATTTTGGTTGATGATTGCTGGCAATGGCTAAGTTCAGTTCTCTGTAAACAGTAAATTTCAAGCATATGTAAACAAACAAGCGGGTGTCCCATTCCATAAGTTAAGGGAACCAACTGCTCTAGGTCACTATCCCATAAGTGAAATAAAATAAATGGAAAAGTGCAAAACTTATTATCTTTAGTCGTTTCTGATACTTTACATCCTACCGAGAAAGTAATCAGTCTAGAATGACTTGAAATTTTTCACAGCCTTAGAATATCTGTATACCCTTGTAATCCTTTTAATTTTATTTCTTTAAATAATTCTCTGTAAATTAATCAAAAAGACCACGATTTATCATGAAATGCTCGATAAAGCCCATTAGTCCACTAGTCATAGCATATTATACAGAAATCATTAACAAGCTTCAATAGCAAGCTTCACTTTTTCGAAGAGGAGACGGTATCCAAAAAGTTATTTACGCCAAAAGGATCAACATCCTTTTCAAAAACTACAGGACCGGATGCATTCTGTAATGTTAGCAAACAAGTATCATCTAAAAGCATCTATTTATACATACCTGAGATGTTTCATCCATTCCTTTAAACTTTTTGTGAACTGATCCTAGCACATCATAACGATTTTCTGAAGTTATTCGTTCTAATTCTGCAGAAGCATCAACATGCCGGCCCAAGCTAGCACCAGGTCTATAAAGAGTGGATGCTGGAGCAGCCCTCCAAGGCTTGTCGTACACATTGTAAGAGTCTTCGTCCTGAAATCCTGACCCTAATCCTGAAGCTTGGTTGAATAATCTACTATCAATCATTGTTTCACTAGACATAGAAGGTTTTGATAAACCAAGTGCTACTCTTTCAGATACATCACGAGGACGGTCAGCACCGGTAAGCTGGGCTCTTTTCTCAGCACCCATTCTATTAAGTCGAAGCTCTTTCTCATATTGGCGTCTTCTTTCATGACGAATTTCCTCACGTCTGCGCAGTCCTTCATCCTCTTCCTCGTTTTCAGGGATTTCTGATTCACTGTTTGCCGGAGACTCGGATGGATATCTTTCGCCAGACGCGCTAGGAGAGCGAGGGCGGGACTGATATTCAGCAACATGACCCGTCCGCTCTTCTCTAGCCTTCTGCGCAAGCATAAATAACCGCTGTTCTTTCTCTTGTTTCTCTTTTTCTGCCATTTTTTGACGCATTATAGCTCGATAACGTACTTCTTCACGAGCTTGACGTTCCGCTGTAAACAGAGCTTCAGAAAACTTTGCAAAACCATCGCTGATTTCCACATCGTTTAAACCACGTCCATCAGCAGCCAGACGTTTATCCAAAGGAATGGTATAGCCTTTGGGGTTCTTCCAGTTGGATATACTCGGAGGAATCTGCCATTCCTGTTGTTCTTTTGCAGTCACTTTACGAGGCGGAGATTGCAATACTGGCACAGGAGGAGAAGGAGGACCACGTGGAACTTTTTTGTGGCGGAACTTTGGTGGCTCCATGGGATCTTGCTCTTCTGTAACAAGTTTAATGATCCTCTGCTTGCTAGGAGCTTGGCCCATCTGATTACTTGGCGTATAACGAATATAAACAGGATCATCGGGTTTCTGCACGACAGCACTTTTAGGTTGAGACTGCGAGATTTTACCAGTTACAATCTTTTCAAGAGCAGCTTTAGTTTTCTTTGCAACCAGTTGCTTTTCTTCTTCGGGGGGTTTTTCGACTGAGATTTCACCCACACCGATACGAGCTCTCAAAGGAATTAGGTCCTGAAAACTCGACTGTACAAGCTCGCCATGTTCATGTCCTTGACGCGCAATAGCACCGTAATCAACACCTCCTGAAGAGGTGACTTGAAGAGCAAGTGAGCGCCCTGAAGATGTACTCTATATACATAATTAGCAAACGATTTTGGTACAGTTCTCCTCACAATATACGTACCATCGGTTTCCTTCCCATATCTAATGGATATTGAGCTACATTAATCTCTGGATACCTAATTTCTGTATTAGTCCTGGAATTACCACATATTCACACATACGCTCCACCGTCGCCGAAGTCTTCTAAAGAGGATGGAATCCATCCCTTTCTATGTAAGTAAGGAGGAACGGATTTACGAATGACATCCTGGCTTTCTTTTTTTGGTGATTCTTCAGGGACATATATATCTTCCTCTTCCTCGTCGGACTCAGGATTAGGTAAAATCCTACAAATGTTAACAAACGTACAGAAAGTAATAATATCATTTACCTAGCCAATTCACTCGATAACAGTGACATTTTGCTCAAATTGAACAATTTCGTAGTTGCTGGTTGATATAGGCTCTGGTAAGAAATACATCGCGTCTTCAGAGTCCGCCCTCCCACTCTTGTTGAAGATAATTGAGACTACATTTGTGTAAGGAAGTTCAATAAAACTATTTCATGCAATGAACACCATGGATACTCTTATTTTCAGTATGATTTTGCATGTAAACAATCATTTTGTATTATAAGCCATATCTGCTTCATTATATACTTTAGCACGCATACGTTGTTCCTCTCTATAGTTGAATAAAGTAGTATACTGCACAACTAGTCGAATTATTACGGTGGCCTCGACCACCCATTCCATCTGAAGAGCGGTTTGTCTAGCTCTAAAAGCCGTGACCAGAGCCATTTTTCTCGGAGGCCATTCGTAACGAATTAGCCTTACCTGCTATTTTATGAGAAGATTTAATTGAAAAAAGGAGAACTATAAACGGTCTCATGGTATGTTGCTTTGTTTGCAATGACTGAATGTTTACTAACGAGTTGATGAAAACAGGCCAATGGTGAAATTGAATTGAAATCACAGGAGACTCCTCTTGTCGATTTAGATACAAAGACAATTGGATCCGTCTCTAGTTTAAATCGGCACTCGCAGATAGGTATGAGAATGTTTTTTAACCCGTGTTTTCGTTTATATCATCTAACTCAAGAAGAAGAAGAAACCGTGAAAGAAGAACTGACGCTTGCTCTTCCGGATTATGATGATGTTGCTTATGGAAGTTATACTTGGGAAATAAAAAATTGGCATGAACTTGATAGTCGCGCTTCAAGTCGTATATTTGAAGTTGGTGGACGCCAATTTCGCATCGTTTACTTCCCACAAGGCATTTCGCAGTCTTCTGGATACACGTCCCTTTTCTTAGAATATATACCCTTTAAAGAAGAAAAGGAGAAACAAGACTATGGCGTGTGCTGCCAGTTCGCACTCATTATCTCCAACCTGAACAATCCTTCTTTACGCGTAGCAAGTGCTGCGCATTGTCGCTACTCTCCGGAAATTGCCGATTGGGGATTTACCCAGTTTACTGAAACAAAACGGCTTCTTTCGCGCGAATCTCCCGTTGCACCCCCCATTGTCGAAGATGGAGCATTACGCATAAACGCTTATGTTCGAATTCTCGATGATCCCACCGGCGTACTATGGCACTCTTTTAATCATTATGACTCAAAATCAATGACAGGTTACGTTGGCTTGAAAAACCAAGGCGCTACTTGTTATATGAATTCTTTGTTACAGTCTCTGTACATTATTGGTGCTTTCCGTAGAATCGTTTACCAAGTCCCCACAGAAAGAGAGGAATCAAAAAACGGTATTGCATATGCTCTTCAACGCTGTTTTTATAATTTACAATTTATGAATGAACCTGTCCCTACAACTGATTTGACAAAATCATTTGGTTGGGATTCTTTAGATTCTTTCATGCAGCATGATGTTCAGGAATTTAACCGAGTTTTACAAGATAATTTGGAGCGAAGCATGGAAGGCACCATGGAAAATGCACTAAAGAATCTTTTTTCTGGAAAGATGAAAAGTTACGTTGCTTGCATGAACGTTAATTATGAGTCTGCCCGCACCGAAGAGTTCTGGGATATCCAGTTAAACGTTAAAGGAATGAAAAATCTAGAGGCTTCGTTCCGTGACTACATCCAAGTTGAGACTTTAGATGGAGATAACTGCTATTACGCTGATACGTATGGTTTCCAAGAAGCAAAAAAGGGTGTTATTTTTGAATCATTTCCTCCCATCTTACATCTTCAACTAAAAAGATTTGAGTATGACTTTGAAAGAGATATGATGATAAAGATTAATGATCGTTACGAATTTCCACTTGAATTTAATGCAAAAGCCTTCTTAACTCCTGAAGCTGATCAAGATCAAAATTGTGAGTACGTTCTACATGGAGTACTTGTTCATTCTGGCGATCTCGATAATGGTCATTATTATGCTCTCCTAAAACCCCAAAAAGACGGTGGGTGGTACAAATTTGATGATACTAGAGTAACGCCTGCGACCTTGAAGGAAGTTTTAGAAGAAAATTACGGTGGTGATTATATTGTTCATCCACCTTTTCGATCTGCTGTAAAACTTAAAAGATTTATGAGTGCTTATATGCTTTTGTATTTGCGAAAGGACAAAATTGATGAGTTAATGGCTCCTGTTCAAAAGGATGAAATTCCTAACCACTTAAAAGAGGTACTCGATGAAAATATACGATTGGTCGATCAACAGCGAAAGGAACGTTTAGAAAGCCATCTCTATACCAAAGTTGAAATTATTACTCCAGACTATTTCGCTAATCATCACGAATTTGATCTTGTAAATTTCGGTAATACAGTTGATGAGGAAGCTATGCTTCACTTTAGAATAAAAAAAGAATTGAAGTTTTCGGATCTTGTACCAATGATATCCGAAAAAATTGATATCCCTGCGAAGCGCTTACGCCTTTGGTATGTAGTTCGCCGACAAAATTTTACTGTACGTGTGGAAGAACCTGTAAATGAGTTGACCCTTTCAATTGAAGAGGCTAAGGATAAATGGAACTCGCAAGGCGAGATCCTTCGTTTATACTTGGAAATATTACCTGAAAATCAGACAGTCGATACTCTAATTAATGTTTCCTTTGATTCTCATGATGCATTCTTATTTATTAAATATTTTGACAGAGAAAGTCAAGAAATAATTGGTAGTGGAACGATTTTTGTCAATAAATATGACAGGATTGATTCCATTTGCCCGGAATTGTGTGAGCGCGTTGGCTTATTGAAAGATACCCCGTTGTACTTATATGAGGAAATTAAACCAGGTTATATTGAATACTTAAGGTTGAATAAAACCTTTAGTGAGGGTGAACTCGGAACAGGTGATATTATTTGTTTCGAGAAAGCAGTTTCGGAAACGAAGGATTGGAAAGACAAAAGATTTCCAACGGCCGTTCAGTTATATGATTTCATGGCAAACCGTGTACTTATTACTTTTCGACCAAGGTTTATTGATCAAGAGAGCATTCTTGAGTTTGAACTTGTGCTTGATCGACGCATGAAACTAGTAGAGCTTTCTGCGGAATTAGGTGAAAAATTAGGTACACATGCGGACCATATTCGGCTTACGACATGCAGTCCTCTTACATACTCAGCTAATATGGTTATCCCAAACAATCCAAACATCACTCTTTACGACATAATTCATAGTTCTGACGAAGATACCGTATCTAATATTCTTTTTTACGAGATTATGGATGTTAGTCTTTCTGATTTAGATAAAAAGCGACTTTTACGTGTTACTTGGCTTTTTGAAGGACTTGCAAATGCCGAGCTAATTGATGTTTACATTTATAAAATTGGGAATGTTTCCGATGTATTTAATGCTGTCTGTGAAAAGTATCCAGAACTAGAATTGCCTAACCAGAAGGTACGCTTTTATGAAGTTTTGGAATACAAATGGTATCGGGACATTAATATGCGAACAATGATAAGATCATTGAACCCTTTTGCTAGGATTATTGGAGAGGTTATACCCGAAGAAGAAATTAATTTACAGGACGATGAGAGAGTAATAGTTGTCTATCATTTCCATAAAGATATCGCTCGAATGCATAGCATTCCTTTCAAATTTGTGATAAAGCCGGGAGAGAGATTTGCTATTACTAGAGAGCGGCTGCGTTTTCGAACCATGTACCCGGACAATATTTTCTCTGTAATAAAGTTCGCTATCATTGATTTTGATATGCACTCTGTTGTGTATTTAAATGATGACGATGTTGTTTTCGAGATTCTTCAACAGTGTAACGGTACCTTGGCTCTGGATAGAGCTAAAAAAGAAATTAGAAAGCCTACAATTCTAGATCGGGCGATACAAATGAAAGGCTAAAGTATGACAATAATAATGTTTATTCTTTGCAATCAAGATTTTTACTTCACATTCACTCTACGTCCAAATGTCTTCAAAGCAGATATCCATATTCACTATGTTGAGATATACATAGGTGAAACGTATATTATTAATGGGTTAGACTTCTCTAACAATAATCGTCTAGATGATAATCATTAAAACTTACATTAACTAAATAGCTGAGGATCTTAATTGATCAACTCAATCTTTTAATCGTTTTTTAAAGAGGTGGTAAGGTCTTTTTCTTTAAAATAGCGAGAGACTCTTCAAGGGATGAAACTTTAGCAAGTAAAGCATCAGCTCTGGCGTCACTGTAGGATTTGACTTCTTCCATAGCTTTTCCATTAATCATTTTAAGTCGTTCGTTTTCCGCTTGTAGTCTAGCAACTTCCTTAGTTTGTTCGCTAGCAGAGACGGAGGCATTTTGATATTGCTGCGTAATAAAATCCAAATCTTCTTTTTGGGTTTTATTAAGCTGGCCAAGTTTGTATTTCTGTTCATTGGATTCTAGGAGTCGAGCACGAAGTTCGTCTTCTTGCATATCTTGAATAAACTTGAAACCAAAATTCAACTGCTTAGACAAATTTGTAATTTGTTGCTTTAAATCGGCAACTTCTTTTAACCTTTCGGTATCATTCTTCTTTCCTGCTTCGAGATTTTTCTGGGATTTTTCAAGTTCAATTTTAAGTCCTCGCACTTGTTCTCGATATTCTTGTAAATTATCTGTAAGTTTAGCTATTTGTTGTTCCAATTCATCAGCATGACTTTGCTTTATGTTTTTCACATTGACGGCTTCATGTAACTCATCTTCAACCATTCGTAATCTTCTCTGCAGATATTGAACAGCGGCTCCCTGTAAATCGTAATTGTTTCCAAAATCAGAGGCGTCTGGATCTTGCTGTGATTGAGATGTTTGAATCGTCGGTTTCGAGATTGACGAAGCTACTTCCTGAGATCCTTTAGAAGGCGTTTGAGATATTTGGGGGGTGAAAAGGTTATCGTCCGAAGACTTTAAGATAGTATCATCGATACGGGACGGAGACCCTTGAGAAGGTTTGGGTTCGGCAACAGCTAGGTTCGCGAGGTCTACTAAAGGCTGTAACGGCCACGAGTTAGGTGCGCTATCATTAACAATCCACTCAGCTACCTTATCTGCGGCTTCATTTGCAACGTCGAAAAGGTGTGAATGATTTGCACTGGCGTCAACAATAGCGCCGCTACTTTCGGCACGGTTCGAAAACACATTGAGGTCAGCGACTTGGGCGTTTTCTTCAGTAGAAGAATTGAGAGCAGCCAATACGCCGACAATGTTGACAAGAAAGCTTGCATTATAAGAAGATTGGAAGCTTCTGATGACATGTTCCACAGAATTGATATGAAGAAGTCGAAGAATTGGACAAGGAAATGAAGAGAGAGTGCTAGTGACACCCATATAGGCATCCATATCGTAGAAAATTACAGCACCAAAACGGACATCAGACTTAAACAGAGTAGCTGTGGAGGGAGCGTGTCTTGAAGAGCATACCCATAATGAAACATCTTTATTATCTTGCATTTGTGTCTCTGGTGACCAAGATTTTACCGAAAGAGATGTTGAAGACAGCCATGTAGTGAGTAAAGTAGCAAGAACATCGTTTGAAACAAAGCAGAATAGAGGTATCCAAAGCTTTGATGAAATCGATTCTAATAATTTCCCGATAAAAATGAACTTAGAGGAGGCTTCGGCATGGTCTGACATGTTCGGCACGGAAATAGGCTTACCCTCATCTGGTTTAGCAGACAACATGTCTGAATCACCTCGAACCTCTTTTTCGTAAAGCCAAGGATGCTTGGCGATTTTATGAGCCGATTGCAAAAACAGGCGAATCTTTTCCTGTATACGTGTATCACTTGGACCCGTGCAAAAGTGGTCGATGCAGAAAGCAAAATACTGGACAAGGCGATGCATCATTCTGCGTTGGATGGAAGACATAGGGAGTCCGACATCAAAAACGGAAGAGTTTGTTTTGGAAAATCCTGGGAAAGGTAATGACAGCGAATCCGAGTTGGACGATTCGTTAATAGGGAACAGTTGCTGCGTTGATGGATACTCGCCCACATCTTGCGTCAGAAAGTCATTTTCTGCTGGGTCAAATCCTTGATGAAGAAAATTTACCTCGTGTTGTTTAAGAGGAGGTTGCTCTGCATCCAAAGTAGCGTCGAGCGAGTGGTCTAGCTTGCGTTTATGACTTGCTGCCTTCAAAAGCCAAGCATCTTCCAAAAATCCAGGACATTCCTCTTTGGAAATCCATTTTTTGGAGCCATTGGATGGAATAAATATCTCAAATTTGGAATCACTTTCATTGACAATCGTAGAATCCATCAGTTCCTGATACTCACTCATCGTTCCAAAATGGTGCGATTCAATGCAGTGGTTCTTCGATTCGCGAGCTCTACTTTTCAGGAACAATCAATAGACGTCAATCCTTGAAACGCACCTTCTATGCATTCAATCTATGGCACTTAAGAAACCGATGTTGTTTAGGTAAAAAACGCGTTGAAAAAGCGTTTGTTTGGAACTTACCGTGTTTTACCATAGTCGTGAAATCGTATTCTTCACCATGGTGCGCATTTGTTAACCACCTAATAAGAAAACGTAAAGCTGCATGCTAATAGCTTTGTTTGCTTCAGCTCTTTCGGTTTCACTAAAGAGTAAACAAACAATATCTTGCTCCTTTTCGTGTAGCAATGGACAAATCCATATGGAGAATGTTTCAATCAAAAAGGCCGTCTTCTTCTAACTCTGTAAAGTGGAAAAAAAAGAAAGATTTCCGACTTATAAAGGGTTTGCTAGATCAAACTCAGTACTCTGTCATTTGAAATGAGCGAGGGACTAGTATGCCTTTCTTGTAGTGTGGTCTGCAATTTCCCTTTCAAGGTTTTCCTACGTACCGCTGTCTGTGGAGTTTTCCTCATACGGACATCATGTTTACTAAGGATCGTATGTCCAGTTGCGCAACAAAAAGATACTGTAGGATTAATCGTTACACTTAGTCCCGTTAAGCTTATTATCGTGCTCTTTGTCAATCTCACTATATAAAAAAAACAGGATGAAAAGAAAAATTAGAAGTATGGTTCTATGGATTCATGTATAGTTGTTTTACGGTGTAGAATGTTCTTATGGAGGTGCCTGTGGTTTGAAAATTCATATGCGACGTTCTTTGTACGATGTCAACAATACGATGTCAAGGCCTAGCGTAACTTGCCAACTACCAAAAACTCAAAACGACAATTCAGCTCCTTTTTGTCTCTTTAAATCACCGAAGTTAGATTTAAATTGACAAAATGGTATTCGCAGATTTAGGGCGTCGTTTAAATTCTGCCTTGGGGGATTTCTCCAAGGCTTCATCTGTCAATGAACAGGTAAGTAGTTTGGTTGGAGTGGAGTAGACAAGCTCTAGGATTATTGTTAAACTTTCTCATTGTTGTTTTTCTTTTTTTTGGCGAATGTTGTCTTGTACAAGTGGGAAGACTGTGTTGAGCTTGTTGGAAACAAAATGTCAGGGAGTATACTTCTCTTGTGAACAAAACGACTTGTTAGAATATATGCTTTGCAGCATACAATTATCTTGATTTGACTACTTTTCAGTATCTCATTTAATTGCTTTTTTGACATTAATCATCAGTTGAGCACTGCTCTTTATCATTCTTTATTTCCTTGTAATAACTAACTAAATTAGCTTGTTGATACTCTCTTAAAAAATATCTGCACTGCTTTATTGGAAACAGACGTCAATGTTAGACTCGTCCAAACGTTAAGGACCAACATAAAAAAGAAAATTAATATTAGCAACCTTCCTCAGGGCGTCAATGGAAAGCGGATAGTTCAAAAAACTGTATTTGACGAGCTTTGCAGTCTCGTTGATCCCCAAGTGCAAGCTTTCACACCTAAGAAAGGAAAGCCATCGGTAATTATGATGGTTGGTCTTCAAGGTAGTGGTAAGACTACTACATGTACCAAGCTAGCTTTACATTATCAAAGAAGAGGCTTGAAGTCTTGCTTAGTTGCTGCGGATACATTCCGTGCTGGTGCTTTTGATCAATTAAAACAAAATGCCATTAAGGCTCGTGTACCCTTTTATGGTAGCTACACTGAGACAGACCCCGTTGTTATTGCTCAAGAAGGTGTAGAGAAATTTACAAAAGATCGATTTGACGTTATCATCGTCGATACTTCCGGTAGGCATCAACAAGAAAAAGAGCTCTTTGCTGAAATGGTTGAGATCTCCGAAGCTATTCAACCGGATCAGACTATTATGATTCTTGATGCTAGTATTGGTCAGGCTGCCGAACCTCAGGCTAAAGCTTTTAAGGAAAGTGCCAACTTTGGGGCTGTTATCATTACAAAATTAGACGGCCATGCTAAAGGTGGTGGTGCTTTGTCTGCGGTGGCAGCTACCAATACGCCTATTGTCTTTATTGGTACTGGTGAACACATTAATGACTTGGAGAAATTCTCGCCCCGATCCTTTATTTCCAAGCTTTTAGGAATGGGTGATATGGAAGGTCTCATGGAACACGTCCAATCTTTAAATTTAGATAAAAAGAATATGGTCAAAAATCTAGAGCAAGGAAAATTTACTGTTCGCGATTTTCGAGACCAACTTGGTAATATTATGAAACTCGGACCATTGAGTAAAATGGCCAGTATGATTCCCGGTATGAGCAATATGATGCAAGGCATGAATGATGAAGAAGGAGCTATACGTATGAAAAGAATGCTTTATATCGTTGATTCAATGACCGAACAAGAACTTGATTCTGATGGTTCTGCTTTTATAGAGCAGCCCTCTCGTGTTCTGCGAGTAGCAAAGGGTAGTGGTACCAGCGTCCTTGAAGTCGAAGAAACAATCTCTCAAGTTCGTATTTTTGCTCAAATGGCAAAAAAAATGGGAGGAAAAGATGGTATTTTGGGCAAGCTCGGTGGAAATCCGGCTGCCGGTCTCAAGAAGGACCCCCGCCAAATGGCAGCTATGCAAAAGCGTCTACAATCAATGGGCATGGGTGGTGCTGGTATGCCCGACTTTAACCCTGGTTCGATGAACTTTGGTGACATATCTAAAATGGCGAACATGTTGATGGGAAGTGGTGGTGAACCCGGAGGATTTGATCTTAAAGGCATGATGAATCAATTGCAAGGCGCAACAAAGCCACCTCGGAGACGCTAATTATGTTTCTGTTGTACTTTAGTAATTTACTCTTTTGGCATCTTTACTTGTTTTAATTAAATGAATATCAACGGTAAACTATGTTTCTTTTCTTAGACCTAAGAATATCTATACTTTTACTTTCTAATTCTATACATAAACAATATTAGCAGTGCATTTTATAAGCAGTAACCAAAAATCTAACCTGGCAATAAATAGAAAGAGCGAGCGTATTTTAGTTTATGCAAACACTATAGGAATGTTCCAACAATAATTGAGTGACCGCGCATTAGTCCTCTTCTTCTTTGACGTACACCTCTTCATCAGAATCAACTGTCATTGAGTGATCTTGATTTGTTGTTTCAGAATTTAAATCGTTATAAGCAAGAGGCTCCTCTTCTTTGTTCTCACTTTCTTTACTTTCGTCCACCTCTGGGTGTTCTGCGTCACTCTTTGCTTCCTGTTCTTCCCTTTCAAGTGCTGCTGCTTCGTTATTTCTTAAAGTTGTTTCAAACTTTTTTAGAATATTCATACTAGTAGAGTCTAACGTTAAGCCATGCTAAGAAATTAATATCTGGTCTTGTAAAATAAAAAGTTTTACTTACATTCTCAAATGTTTGTAATTTCCTAATCGATTTGCTAAAGTCGTCAGAAGGCAATGTGTCAGGGATATTAAGTTTTCCGAGCAAAGAAACCATGAGTTTCCTATCTTTTCCTACAGACGTTTAGTAAAAGCCAAAAATACCAACTACTTACCTTCAGGTGCACGAGGCAAGCATTCAAAGATATTATTCGCCAAGTGTAAGTGAATCTTATTATTTAATGTGTAAGACTCACTATTGACTTTCTTCTCGAAAAGCTTTTCGTTATCAGTCCAATCAAGCATTTGCAAAGAAATTTGGGAAGTCGATAATTGAAGATCATCCTCATCTATATCGCGGTATACTTCCATTAAATTCAATAACGTGTCGCAAAATACCTATTTAATTGTTAGAATAAGCATTATAGAATCTAATACCTCTGCGACTTTCCACTGGTTTTCAGGAGATCCATATACATAAACTGGAAAGAAATAACCTAACACCTGACGTAAAGCAAAGTTCTCAACAGTATTTGGCTCAAAATATTGGATTATTAAAGGCTTAAGAAACTGTTCATAGTTAGTATTATTATTATGGAAACTACTTTCACGTACTAGTTCATCCCGATAATGAACAATTACTAAAAGTTTCGCAATTGCTTCAGCACTAAGGGTTTGCAACTCAGCCTCATCGATGTTGAAAAGAGTTTCAAGCAACAACGACGAGAATTGCTCATCGTATGTGGAGAATCTATCCTTCCCGTGTTGAAGAAAGATATCGGTCAAGGTTCGAAGGGCAATAATCTTTAAATTATCTGTTCCTTTTTCCAAGCAATGTAAATATAAAGGAACATTTTCATAAGCTAAATCGCTATTTAAAAGGCAGACAAGACTCAAACATTCTAAACCTTTTTCGCGAATTGGCAAATCATGAGATTTTACAGCAGGTATAATTAAAGATTTTAGTAAATCAATGACATATAAGTTTTCATTTAGTGGGGAAGATATATTTTCAAACAAGGCTTGGACATAAGAAAGGCATCTTAGTTCACTAAATGCTTCCTTATATTCTTCGGTTTCTTCGTTAGCTTCATCTTCTTCCATGTTTGAAGGAACGGGAGATGAAGCAGCTTCAGGTTCTTTTTCCTGGGGAGACTTTGGTGGAGCCTGTTGGAGTTCAGATTCCTTCGCGGTTTCAGCATGTCCTTGTTCGAATATGTCCGTAATAATTTCTACCAGCAAAGAGCAAAAATCGGTTTCAGTAGAACATAATTTTTTCAATAATTCCACATGAAGAGATATCAAGGTTTCAGAAAGCAACGAAGTGGAAAGACTGTTAGTTAAACTCTTTAATAGTTTACGTCTTCCAATTTCATCAGCCATATCTTGGTTTAAGGCAATTAGCAAAAGTTGTTCAATGATAAAAGAAGCCTCCTCATAAGTAGATCTATCACGTAGAGCGACGTATTGTTTTTCAATGAAATAAGTCAATTGACTTACTTCAGGTATTTTTTCTGCAAGTTCTCCAAAATTCTTCTCAGCACAAACTTCGCTAAATGATCTAGCAAGGAGAGCAGACTCTGCCGTCAACTCCAACCAAAACTGATCGGGGAATTCAATTTCAGTGAGTGTCTCGAGGCGAGTTGTAAAAAAGCATTTTATTGCTAAATTAGCAACTTCCGAATTTTGGACGACGTCCAAACGCTCCAGCAATTCTAACAAATTATTATCTGCGCTCTCTATCCATTGATATGCTAACATATTGGACGCTGCTTGTTGGACACTATCATCTCTATCATTCATACCCCATTTCAGAATACGAACTCGCTTTTTGATACTGAGGTATCGAAAGTCACCGATTTTAGGAAGTACTTTAGAATAGACACATTTTCGATTGGTCGCATCCACGTCTCTGGCACGTTCAAGAATAAACGGTAGAGTAACTTTGCTCACTTCAATATTCAGCAAAACAGCTCTTCGAACATCAGGACTAGGATCATTCTGTAATAAAAATAATAGCATGTTACGAACATCATTCTCCTCATCTTCAGTATCCTCTTGAAGACGAGAGAGGGCAATGACGGCTTCCAGGCGTACAAACGATTCTCTGTCTACTACACGATCGAGTAATTTTTCACGAAGAATACTGTATATGTCATCATCGATTTCTTTCACGCAATTGATGACTCTGGCCACAACCTGACAGCTGCGAAAGCGCACTGTTTTATCTTTCGCATCCAAACCTCTTAAAGCGTGCTTTAAAACTGGTTGAGCAATGTCAGTCTTCGGATCCTTTTGCTGAAGATAATTAATGAACGTGACAATAAATCGAAGGACGCGATCTGCATTGCTATTTCCCTTTTTTATTGTTAATATAATATTTATGGATTGAAAAACATCCTGCAAAAACGCTTCTTGCAGTCGTAAAGCGAATAATTTATTACACAGTTTTCTGTGACTAGAAACGGAATTTTGACTGGATGCAATGATTTGTAAAGCAGACATCTTCAATTCATGGACCCTCTACTTAATATATATAATGCAACGGAAGCTAGAGGAGCTGCTGAACAGCCTGACTCAATGTTGGTGATATTGAGGTTTCTATCACCTTGGATGTAAACATATGAATCTAACGATCGTTTAAGGGAGGTTATTATATTCTACCGTCTGCTTGAAGTAAACAGAAACTAAAGGCTACAAGCTAAAATACGTTTTAACTGAAAAAAGAAAAAATAATAATAACACAAATAGAGCTGATTAAGGTTAAAAATATGGCAATAATAAGTAGATGCTAGATTGCAGCAAATTAATTAGATATAGAAGAGAAAAGAAATAAGTTGTAGCATATAGAGAATCATTATTAATAATGCAAAAGGCCTAATCGCCTGGAGTTTCAATAGAGATTTTTTTAAGTTGTTCCGTAGTTGACTGTACAGATGTATTTTTTGATGCTTTCATTTTAGAAGCATTTTCAGTCGCAATAGACTCAAGAATAAGCCATCTTTCTTTCCTTTCTTGTTCTTCCTTTTCCCTTTTGAGTACTAATTCAGAATATTCTGAATCAACTTCGTCAAATAAAGAAGGATTAATATCCATAAACAATTTCAAAACGTTACAAACCATGGAATTGATTACCCTGCAAAAGTTAGTTATTTGAGGAACAGTGACGAGAAACAATTTTTCTTACCTGTTCCAATGGCTTTTTGATATTTCAAAGAGGGCTGGATATATAATGGGCAAAATAACATCAACATTTTCTTCAACCAGATGCACAAAATAATCATTGTTAAAAAAATATAAAGCGCGCTCGGCAACCTGAAAGTTCTGACTAGATATGCAAGAAGCTAATTTCTGAAATAGCGGCATTTGTATTTTTAGGAATTCGGAAGGCTCCATCACTTCAATGATATCTTCCAATTCATTCAAAAATAAAACTTCCTTCCCGCTATTCACCTTGGGCCAGTATCGAAGAAGACCAAGGATGACCTACACATTGTTTAGTAAATGAAAAGTATAAATGTTTCAAAAAACCTACCTCTTCGGTCACGGAGGAATCTTTTTCCACAAATTGTACAATACCATATGCAATCTGTGGATAATAAAGGGCAAGAGATTTTGCCTTGTGCATAGGAATTAGAACACGGGATAAGAATACCTTGTGTTCTTCTTTTAGTGGAAGTGCGAATCCATTAATAATACTGCCCAGAATTTCGAGAAGTTCCGCAATTCCACTAAATTGCTCATTTTCGTAAATGTATTGTAAAAACAAATTACTAATAGACCTTCGAATAAAAGCACGCAAAGAGAGAAACTTTCCGTATATCCTATGAAGAATAGTTTTCAAAAAATCCCTTTCACGAGGATCTTCACTATCAAACAAAACAAGTAGTTTACGAATAAATTTTTGGTTAATATATACTTTGGCAATAGAAGTGTTGAGAGATGGAGACTCAAAAAACCTCAAAAAAAAGTCATAAACAAGATGTAAATGAGGCCATGCCACTTCTAGCGCTGGTTCGTCTTCTTCTAAATCCACAACTTCACCAAGAGGATTGGAAGGAGGCGGTAAAGGGCGAAAAACATTAACGGAGAACATATGTACAATGGAAGGATACAAGGACTCATCTATTGCTTCTTTCCGAACAGAAACCAAATCCATCAAGTCTTGTAGAGCCTCGCGCTTAACTTCCTTACCATAAAGATCGGTGGAGGGATCATTAAAATCAAACAAAACACAGCATTGTTCTAATTTTTCCAAAGCCAAAGAATGCCATGCAGTGACGGGTACATCTGAAAAGTTAGTAAAAACAAGGACCATAAGAAGAAGAGTCGTTGTAGTGTTTTCGGCTACGATATTCTTCGATAAAAAGAAAAAGGAAAGAAGAGAACATCTCAAGTTTCTAGGGTTTCAGTATTATCGCTCCGATACGATTGCAGTATGTAAAAACACTCATAGACGATTTTTAGTAAAACAACATACCTGAAAAAGAAGGAAGACGAACTAGCATTCGATTCTCAGATATGTGATATAAAGAAGATCGCTGTTTTCGTACAGTTCGAACATTTTCCAGTAAAATCTCGTCTCTCGGAGTGGGAGTCGTATCAATTGGGACCTTTTTACTTGAATGCTTGGGGACCAAAAGATAATCATTCTGTGCACCCATGACAGCGTTGGAAGGTTCAACTGATGGTGACTATAACAGTATAAGTGTTAATTAGCTTTAGCTTAATAAAAATGCTAGGTCTACTAAGGCATCTAGCACAAAAAAGCATACCTCTTTAGGTGATGATTTTAAAGATTCATGAGATGAGGACTTTTTACTTTCTTTCTTTTTGCTAGACTTTTGTGAGTCCTGCGTTTTACCCCTAGAGAGCTATTAAACTTTGTCAACATAAATTCCCTTGTGAAATTACTCACCATTTTGCTTTTAATTCCCTTCATTTTATAAAGTAATTGGGAAAAATCGAGGTTAGTTTCCTTGGAGCTTGAAAGTGAAGCTTAAAATTCAAGATGAAGAAGCCTTCAGGATGTGGTCCCAAAACAGGCTATTTGAGATGACAGAATCAATTTGCAGTTTCACGTAATCTCTTCCTATTTCCTTGGTTTTTGAAAGTCTATTTCGTTCTTCCTTAGTTGGTATTTACATGATGGAAGCCTGCAGTAACGAAGAATAAGAAAGCGCAGAACAATTGGGATGTACGGTACGATTCGTTAATTCCTATACCGGTAAGAGCAATTTTATCTCCAATAAACGAACTCATCAGAAAAGCAACCAAGCAATAGAAACGACACTCATTTGACAGAATAAAGCTGTAAAAAAAAATTACGATGGATCTTTTGGCTAAACATTCCTATGTCTTATTACGTAACGTGTATATTAATTTAACATAAATCATGTTATCAACAAAAGCTCACATGGTCCAGTGGTTAAGACTCATCGTTGTGGCCGATGCGACCCAGGTTCGATTCCTGGTGTGGGCAGTTTTTGACTTTTTTGTAAATTTTATTTTCAATTCCCTTCCCAATTGTTATGAGTAAAAAAAAATGACCATGCGGCGGATACTCATCAATGAAGGACGGGAGAATGGGTTATCAAAATGAATATAAAAGTACTGAGTACATTGGTTGTTCCTCCATAAGTTGTAGATCCTAAGTCTCTGAAAATGTTTACGACGAATATGGAATGGATTTCTAAGTGTATAGAATTTTCTTTTGTTTGTTTTGCCTGATTTTTTGAAAAATTTGTTTGTAATAAGTTTCCTATTTACTGAAGCTTCTTGGAGTCATTGACAGAAGGAATACACATTTCTGTAAATTCCATTACTGCAAAATAAATTGCCAATTTTTTTAATATCTATTTAAATTTAGTAATGAAAACGAAAAATATTCTAAAATTCAATGAAAACGTCAATAGATTCTAATTTTTTTTGACACAAAAATCAGTGTACCCTTACAAGTAACAGTACATTCTATATTGCAGGGAAATACGTGAATTTCATAGATGATATTTATGTGATTTTTATTTTTTCTTTAATTGTGAGAGAATGACTGGAGATGGAAAAGGCTGCTCTGAAAAGCAAATTCTTTTTTTCCTCGAATTTAGTGTTATTACTCTTTTTTTCCCGCTTTTGCAGGTAGGATTCAGAAAGTAAGCAAATAAACATTAAACTAAAATCCTCCTTTCGCAATATTAATTCCATAATTAAAAGTATTACCAAACGTCCATATAGCGTTTTTTGTCCCCCCCCCCCCCTCAATAAGAAAAAAACTCTTGTTCCTTTTTTTAGTTTATTTCATATATTTATTGAATATTTTAGCCGAAAAAAACTGTATATTTCATTTTTATTTATTGTATGCACCTACCTGGTATGGTTTCTTTCCTAAACCCTTGTATTTGCTTTTTTTTTCATCGTATAACAGGGAATAAGAAAATTTTTCCAAAAATAAAGGAAAAAGCCTTGCATGTACATAGAATTAAGTAATTAAAGCATTTTCGCTGAATAACTATATGCCTGTAACACATTATCCTTTTTGAAAGAAGTGAATTGTCCTTTCGAACATAAACGATTCATATCTGGATTCATATTCCATCGTTGTTAATCTTTTTGAATATTATTCTTTCTCCATTTAATGGAAATTGTGCATGGCGCTTTGCGTTCACTCTTTTAGGTCGACAACAATTGATACAGCGATATCAAGCCAGTTCTTTTCTTCTGAACCATCTTTGATCCTTGTTCAAAATCTGAACATTAATATTTATCGCATAACAGATAAAAATGACTTAGATATTTTTACTACTATTCCCTTATGGTATGCAGTAAGGCATTTACAGACCTATCGACCTCCCGGTCTTAGTCGGGATTATCTTTTTGTTGTTTTACAGGATGATACGTATTTTACTCTTTACTGGGACGAAGACTTTCAGAAAGTAAATGTAGATCATCCTCCTCTACGCTATCGGGTATCATTTCCTTGGTGTCGTTTCGCCAAAAGCTATTGTCTGGTGGATAAGAGAATGCGCATGATTTTCCTAAGTATAGATGAAGCCTTCATGCTATGCATAAATGTCTTGTCCGCTGAAGAGAGACAAAAATCTGGTAATTCCATTGATGATGGCTTCCCCATCTCTTTTCCAGTTCACCTTATATATGACATTTGTCTGTTAAACTATCCAAAGATTCCGACTTTAGTTGTTTTACATAGTGAAGGTATTGAATCTGCTATAACAGCTTTTCCCATCGACGTGGAGTCAAAAAATTTAGAGAATGGAATTCGCCTCTTTGAGTCTGTTTTACCTTCCAAAATTCTCCCTTTTGGAAAAAGAGGATTACTAGTATTAGATAAAAGATCCATCCATTGCTTTTATCGTGGTGGAATAGTTACCATTGAGTCACCGCCCACAGTGTATAATCATTGGGTTTCTCTTGAAGGTTATGAAAACCATTTCATTGTGTCCGATATAAATGGTAATTTTTATGCAATTTATTCGAGCATTTTGGCCGGGAAACTATGGAATTTGACCTTTGAAAAGCTGGAAATATCACCCGTTACTTGCATAACGAGTTTGGTCTCGCTCAATGATTCCCTTTTATTTATTGGTAGTCATGGAAATTGTTCGAAACTTATTTCTCTTCGAGATCTTAGTGATATCTTTGTCTTACCAAGTTTAGGACCTATTCATGATATAAATATATACTCAAACGATCAGAGTCAAGGTATGCTTGTATGTGCTGGGACATTTTATAATGCGTCTTTGTTGTACTATAAACACGCTTTGTCTATGAAAGTTCTCGGATTTTATGAATGTTCTGGTATCGTCCGCATCATGGTTCTCTCTTCGCATCCGGTTGATAAATTGTTCATTGTCTTTGTCGATGAAACTTTTGTCTTTGATCTAAAAGAAGGTCTACATTTAGAATTCGTTCCTGAGATGTCAATAAAGGAAAGAACGATCGCGCTATCAGGAACCGACAATCAATTTATCCAGGTAACCTCAAGATCTTTACGTATTTATGATTCTACGAACTTACCAAAAGCAATACATTTGGAGAAAATTACAAATGCCTCTTGTTATCAAGATTACTCTGCAATTGTCATAGGCGGATTGGAACTTGTTATTTTTCAGAAAGACACTGAAATATCTCGAACTAAATTTGATAGTGAAATTAGCTGCCTAGAAATGGCCAGTGAATCAAAAATTGCTATTGGTTTTTGGTCTAAAGAGGTTCTAATTTATAGCTTTATGATAAATTCTAAATCCGGACGCGTTTTCAAGTCGAAAATTTCCTCCTTGCCTAGAAATGTTATATTGGAACATTTAGACCCTGAAATGAGTCTCTTCCTTGTTTCCTACGGCGATGGATTTTTAGTTTCATATGTCCTATCTAAAAATGACTTGATTTTTACTGAGGTAAAGAAACTGGGAACTACCCCAATTATATTCTCTCGGTTGAGTGTGCATGTTGGAACTTACATAATTTGTAATAATGATCAGCCTCATATGGTTTACGGATTTAATGGGACTCTTGGATATATGCCGTTAAATATGCCTGTTTCTTACGATGTGTGCCAGTTTTCTATAAAATTAGGTACTAACGGGATCGTTGCGGTCTCTTCAAAAGGAATTTCCTTTTTAGAACTGGATTCAAGTCCTCATTTGTATGCGAGTAAGTTTCCCTTGAGTCAGGTTCCTTTACGGGCAGTAATGTTAGACGAAATACTGATAACCATAAATCTCCATCCACACTCTGAAGGTACGGATGGTTTTACCGAAAAGTATTCGTTGTCATTACTAGATTTTTTTAGCGGTAAACAACTTGAAAAGTATGATTTTCCCCTGCAAAACCGATGTGAAGAAATACTGAGGATAGACAAGGAAACGGTAATTGTTGCTATTAATAACTATCAACCACATGATTTATTTCCGTTGAATGGAAAGTTGTTGCTGTACCGGTTTATACCTAAACTGACTATACTCAACTGTATTAATACTTTCCAGGTTGCTGCTGCTGTTAGCTGTCTAGCAGTGTATGAAAGAGGTTTCATTGCTTCTTTTGGACAGTTCGTTGGTTTTTTTGATATTATAAATGGAAAAATGGAACTGAAAAAAAAATTTTGTGTTGGCAATTTGATATCCCAAATAATTATTGACGAAGAAAAAAATATTCTAGTCGGGGACGTTGTTGGTTTTATTACAGTTTTAAGACTGGAAAACAGAAATTTCGCAATGTACACAAGATACTACCTTGGCGAACGTGTAATTAATGCTCTTTGCTTTGAGAAAAATAAATACATCTTTGCATCCGATAGCGGGATATTACACATTTTAAGATTGGATAATATATCACACTCGGAACGACGAAATGGTCATTCAAGACTTATTGCAGAATCACAATACCGACTTCACGATAGGGTAACCAGATTCTGTTTGAATACGATGCCTCAAACTTTTTATCCGGTTAAAACACTAGAGTCCCGTTTATATTTTGGTACAATAAAAGGTGCCTTTGGAAGTATATTTTCCTTAAATTCCAATATTGATGAATTTGACGAACTTGCAAAAAAGATACGACAGCTTGAACTCTCATACTTGCCGACGGCCGATTTTGAAAGTATTGAAGAGGAAGAATCCAATGAGATTCCGTTTGTAAATGGAGATATCATTACTGACACAAGAAACTGGTCTTCAACCCAGATAATTCGATTGTGTCGACTTTTGGAACATGTTGAACATCTTAATTCTCATGAGAAAGTACGAATGCTGCTGGATGAAGTACAGCTTTTGTCATGAATATGATATAATTTCAGTCTTAATTTGCTATTCTAGATAAGTGAAATTGAGCCTACGGTAGTTATGATGAAGGACGATAATTCCTGTTTATTAATGCATAAACGCGAATCAATGATTGAGAAATTTGCGTCGAAAACCTATCTTAGGTAAAAAAACCAGCAATGAATATTTGTGACATGAGTTAATCATTTACTTTCATCGGGTACTAGCAACTATTTATGTTAGAAAACCTTTTGTGAGAACATGAAGATGCATACCAATGGAAGCCCATATTTAACGGTTAAATTTAATATCTTTTCAGTGGCTTGTATACGAGATTGGGTTAAGGCATCCACGAATACTTGATTTGTATGTGAAGAGAAAGAAGATATGTCTATTTGTATTGTTTTTCTCATTTTTCTTCCGCCGTTACATAGAACAAGAAGAATTCCTGGCCTGTAAAATGCGTAGACCCTGTTGTCCACATATACCATTTGAGAGAGTTGAGTGCAAAATTTTGGATATTTGGCAACCAAGCGCTGTCGAAGACGAATAAATAGTGAGATACACTCAAACACAAAGTTTGAAGTGTCGTACTTACTTACCCAAAGTCCCTCTCGATTATCAGGATCGTTACCACCGCTGAATCTCTGTTCTTGGCCATAGTATATCACAGGTATACCATCCGAAAAGATGGTGGCAGCAAGAGCATTTAACGCCAACTAAAGAGTGTTAATCATACTATATTAAATATTTTGTGCGAGTAAATACTAGGTTAACTGATGACTTACAGCATTATCTTGCGTTTGAGAAAAGAATCTGGGCACATCGTGGTTTTCAAGAAAGTTGCATAGTATGGTAGTATCTCTAAAGCTATGTCTGATATCCAAGACACCTTTTTGATAGTACTCAAGCATGGGTTTTCTGGGCGATGAAAAGGCTTCGCGCAATTGATAGTAAAAAGGAAAGTTTATGATCGAAGGCATATAATTTTGATAAATCCCTGCGTATTTTGGATTACCATGGAAAATCTCGCCTGTTGTGAAGACATTCGCTGTTTCAATGAATGAGGGATAGAAGGATTTCTCAACATGTTTAGCAGTGTCTATTCTTATACCGTCAAACTTATAAGTGTTGATCAAATCACTAATCCATTTTTTAAAGAATTTGCGTACACTGGGCTTTTCTGTTTTAATGTCAGGTAAGTTCACACAATTATCACCAAGCCATCCTTTAACGACCTCCTCTTGATTATTATAATCCTGAATGTACTTCCATGGGTGGAAATCGTTAGCTTGGTTGAATGGCTTGAATTGCGTGTAGTCAATCGCCTGCGTTCCAGCATGTCCCATATGGTTGACAACGATATCAATCATACATAGCATTCCACGTTTATGAAGGCTGTTGACTAAATCTTTAAGGTCTTGAGAACTACCAAAATGATTATTCAATTCTGTAAAGTCCTGCGCCCAATAGCCATGGTAAGCTTCTCCATAACCTGTTTGACTTTCGATATTTTTGACGATGGGACTAATCCATACCGCTGTACAACCAAGTGATTGAATATAGTCAAGCTTTTTTATTATACCCCTCCAAGTTCCTCCCAAGTATTTTCTTCCTTGAGATGGATGTTCGAAATCATCTTCATCCCTGGCAAAACGATCAGTAAGCAGCTGATATATTACTTGTTTTCTCCATAAGTCGTTGTATTCCTTTTCTTTTATAAAAACTTGTTTCTGATAGAAGCAACAAGCCATTGCATACCCCAACGGAAAATTATACAGGAGCGTCCAAAAGGTGAATTAAGCGTTGCTGCTTAATAGTTGAAATTTGAAATAAGCCTTAAGGGAGGCAGACAAGGAAGAGGTATGATACTCGGAGGCTATGACTCACAGACTATCAGATTTCTGAACTCTGAATTGGTAAATATTGGTTCTATCTATGATGACTATGTTGCATATAAAATAATATATTTATGTTTACAGTCTTCTCATTCTGTTTTGTTTGTCCTATATTCTCGTAAATATAAACAAACATTAAAATGGCTGACAATTTCAAGTATAACAAATATAAAGGGGAATAGATATTAAATTTAATTTTAAAAAAAGTAGCATGTAAGTAATAACTTGACTAGACTAATCTAAAGTCTCGATTTTCATACTTCAAGTTAAAGAAAATAGTAACCCGGATCTACAGTATATGCTTTCTTCAGTAGGGATGTTCTTGTTCAACGAATCAACTATTTCTTTGAGGCGTTAACTGGAACTCTTATCGGGCATGCAAACAACATAGTTGTGATGTTTATTTTATTTCTGAGTCTTTTAAATTAGTAGCATTTTTGTTCTAAAAACGATGAATCCTCTATAATATGATGATTATTGTTCTAATGGATGATACCGGATTTCTGTGGTTTGCCATATGATGGGAACCAGGTTCTTTTAATAGTTTCTAAAGTATTAAGTAAGTGTAGGGGAAGATAGGCTTGTGCTAAAAATCTTCTGAGGTAGCTTCGAAACTATAAACAATCTGGTTGCGAAAGTTTTCTATTTTAGCTATCTCACACTTTCATTAAGTCTTGTCATCACCTTAATAACATTGCTACTCATACTGTAATTAAATAACCAAAAATTTTAGAGTCACTAAAAAAAGCTCATTGTTTCTCTCTTAAGAGTATCTATTTATTTTTAATTTCTGCCTTTACTTTTTTTGTTTGTTTGTTTTGATTTCCCTTAAATAACGAATTGTTAAGTACTTCAACACGGATATCATGAACTCTCTTTCACGTCTGTTAAACATTATTCGGTAGTGGTGTTACAGAAGCACTAAAAAAATAGCAACATCGCTGCACTGTCATGTTTTATCTTAAAGGAAAATAGGGTGTAGAAGCAGGTTAACATTTACAAAACATGGAATCGAAATCTACAGGGATTGTTCGGCATTCACAAGGAGAGTTTGACATCGTTAAGATTTATAGGAAGTTCTTAGAAGATGATCCTGAGATTACCATGCCAGTAGCTGCCATCGAGGCTCTTGTACAGTTACTGTCGCGTTCACAAGGTTTGTTAAAACAGAACTGTATAGGGTAGCAAAGCTGATACATTATTAGCAAAAACAATTTCAGAGTTTATGGACATTTTACAAAATGGATCCAATGCGTTAAAGGCCGGCGTAGAAAACAACATTTCCTTGTCTGCTGGTTGCGACATATTCCAACGTTTCGTCACACGTTCTTTGCATGATGTTGGGGTACGATTGATGTTTACGACGCAAAGAAGGGTTCATAGTGTATTAACAATATTCTCTGTAGGATTTTGAACAATGTAAGCGTCACTTGGTGGAAAACGGGAAGCTGTTTATTCAACGTGCCCGGGCTTGCCGTCAAACCATTGCAAACCTGGGTTATCCTCTAATTCGTGATGGAAACGTGATTTTAACTCACGGATTCTCTCGTGGTGTAGCAGCCATCCTCTTAGCTGCTGCTAAGCGTCATGTTCGATTCAAGGTTTTTGTGACCGAATCTCGACCCAGCGGATCTGGTTGCCTCATGGCGGACACACTCCGTAAAGCTTGTATTCCAACTTGCATGGTCCTTGACTCTGCTGTGAGTTTCACTATGAATCGCGTTGATCTGGTGCTTGTGGGTGCCGAAGGCGTGGTAGAGAACGGCGGATTAATTAATCAAATTGGTACCTTCCAGCTCGCAGTATTTGCCAAACATGCTCATAAGCCGTTTTATGCCGTTGCTGAAAGGTAAGTTTTTAGTCAAAAAAGTTGCCAATGTCACTTTACGCTAACCTTTTCTTTAGCCATAAATTTGTTCGTATGTTTCCACTTTCTCAATATGATATCCCTTTCAGTCGATCTATTCTTGAATTCGATGATCCATCTCCAGAAACACTGGGCCCCATTCGCGATCCAGTGCCGACGCCATCAGATGCTATTCACAATGAATTAATTATGAATGAAGAGCAAATTAGAAATAACCCTACGCTGGACGTTACTCCCCCGGAGTTTGTCTCTGGATTAATCACTGATTTAGGAATCATAGACTCAAAGAGTGGTGTCAGTGAAGAACTCATTAAACTGTACCTTTAAAGAAAAGTAAATTCGCATTTCATGTTTATTAATCTGTTTGGGTTCTTTTTGGATAGATACTGGTCTTAAAAGGTGGATGGAATTTATATGCCCTTTGTAAGGTCTTTTACTGACAAATAATTGCAAAAGCGACGAGTGAGGGTTTTTTTTCATAGTAAACATGTACATACGCTATTCAAGCCAAATTCGTTTCGACAATTGAACTTGTCTGATGTGTCCGGTTAATGAAGTTTGGTAAATTTATTACTATGTTTTTTTGTTTTTTTAATAAGATAAATAATCTAGAATTCATTTATAATTTTTTTCTAGCACAGGTGCTCTTCCACCGTTCCTTTGTAAAGTTGATAGACTTCCCCTACATGGGTGTTATATTCGAAAATGTCATTTAAGAGAAAGACCGCCGTACAAACGGCTCCTGTAGAATTGCCAAAAGGCGTTCGTTTGTCTCCTAAGGACGGACGGTGGATAACTAGCTCTGGTAGTACTTCTTTTGACTATTATCTATTAGGAGGAATTCCTTTAAGGAGTCTGCTGGTTGTGGAAGAAGATTCAACTGATTATTCTTCAGTTTTATTGAAATTTTTTGCTGCAGAAGGGCTTTTACAAGATCATGCCGTTTGGCTGGGGCCTTCGATGGGCGAACCATGGTTTCGACAACTTCCTGCTGAAAATGAGCGTGCCGCGAAAAGTGAAAGCTTTTCATCCGGCTCATCTTCTTCTTCTAATAAAGGAGAACAAAACCGAATGAAAATTGCATGGCGTTATGAGAATACCTCGAAAACGAAAGTTCCTGCCCCCGACGCAATCCCTCCAGGCTTCACGCATGCTTTCGACCTCACAAAGAGGTTAACAATAAGCTCTAAAATGATGAAGTCTGTTTCACCTTCTCCCCTTGAAACAGGCTCAAATCCTTTCATCCCTGTCTTGGAAAGTCTTACCAAGTTCCTAGCCTCGCTGAAGCCAGGAACCGTTTGTCGACTCGTTTTACCATCTTTGCTTTCCCCTGCATTTTATTCTATTCGTGCTACAAATCCACAGCATTTTATTCGCTTTATCCACTCGCTTTCGTCTCTCATCAAATGTACTACGTCTGTGCATCTCATTTGTATGTGCTCTGTCCCGTCAACTTTGTTTTCTAGAGATTGTGAACAAGTCTATTGGCTAGAGTCTCTTGCCTCTGGTGTCTTCTCTTTGCATCCCTTCCCTATAACTGAGACTGTGAATGGGTTGGCTACTCAACCTCAAGGACTGTTTCGAATTCATAAGCTTCCTCTTCCGTTGCCTTTTACAAATACAGACAATTCCAGCGAGGCTGGTGATTTGTCATTTACGGTGTCCAAGAGACGATTTACTATTGAACCATGGGTTCTTCCTCCACTAGACGAAGAACAGCCTCAAGCCAAACCAAGCAGTAATGAAAAGTCTCAGCCATCTCTAAAATCCATTGACTTTTGATTTTTGTCGCATAAATCACACCCCCTCGGGCTTTGGCTACTTGAAGTTGGGTTGGCATCAATGACTTTCTGTTTTTTGTTATATGTTTATACGTTAAGGAATGAGGAAAGGTTTTTGGTTTCTATTTTTTGTACGAGTATGATTTTGATTTTGGTATTGTGAAAATAAAATAATAGATTTCGAGATCTTGCTAAAGCAGTTAACCAATTTCTTCATAAACTATTCCCTTAGCACGTCTTCACGAACTGGTACAGCCTACTGCAGTTACTGTTGTGTTGTTCTCGAAGGACTAACCCATGTATTACAAGACATCACTATCAGCTAGAGTAAGCATGCTAAAGCGGTTTATTTCATTATTGTTTATTTTTTTTCAGAAGAATTGATTCTTTGGTCATTTTTGTTTATGCCAAATTGGGTATAATATTACTGAACTGTTACCCAAATGATGTAGAAGTTCATAATACTAAAGAATATAATACAACCCGTTACTTCACTGATGGCAGAGGTAAATAAATATTGTGTTCAAAAACGGTGACAAACTACTACTGGCTCGTATTCAGAATGATCGTCTTTCTGTCAAGTCAATAAACAGTTCAATTATAGAAGCGTATTCGAGGTAAGCCTTCATAGAACAATTTCTGAGATGAAAAAGCTCAACTTGTGTTTAACTATACTTTCGTTAGACAACCAGGATCTGTTAGAGTGGAAAATTCAGTTCAAGATTATTAAAGATTCATGAAAACTCTATTATGTACTTACACACTCATACGAAAATTATCCCATCTTACCATGTCAGTTTCCACCTTACTTCATAGTAAAGACATTTTATTACGATGATTGTTGACTTACCAGGTACCTTCCATCGGACAAGCAACCAACCTGGAAAATTGATTAAAATCATCAAAAGATCCTTCATTTTTATCAAATAAGAAGACTATATATTAATTGATTAAGGGTTGACAGAGAATTCACTGAAAAAATTTTAGATGACACGAAGCTATGGCATTTTCATTGACGCTGGCTCTAGCGGATCACGACTCCAAATCTACTCATGGGCGTTTCCTGGAGATAGAAATGGTGTAAAGAGAGAGGCTAATCTTCCACTGATTGAACCTGGAAATGGAGATGAAGGAGACTGGTCCATAAAGGTACATCCGGGCATTTCCTCATTTGCCGAGCAGCCCAAGCATGTTGGGAAGAAACATTTGAAAAAACTGCTTGATTATGCTGAAAAGGTCGTTCCTGATGACAAGCACGAAGAAACTCCTGTTTTTTTAAGTGCTACGGCTGGTATGCGACTTTTGCCGCACAAAACACAAAGGAAAATATTAGATAGCGCTTGCCATTATATAAAAAAAGAATATAATTTTTCGCTCCCTGATTGTGCATCAATGGTTCGTGTTATTGATGGGAGAGCTGAAGGTATGTACGGTTGGTTAGCAACGAATTATTTGCTTGGAAATCTTGATAAATCTTCTGCAACTTCTACGGGCTTTTTGGACATGGGCGGTGCCAGTGCTCAAATTGCCTTTGAGGTTTCTCCTGAAGTGCAGAAAGCATACGGCGATAGCGTTAGCACGGTTCATCTAGGCTTGGATAATGGTGAACAAATAGAATATCCTCTCTTTGTTTATACTTGGTTAGGTTTTGGGACAAGTCAAGCATACAATCGGTATCTGAACGCTTTGGTTGAGGGGAATCGTAACTCTCCTTCTGAGACTATCGATGAACCTTGCTCCCTTCGGGGAAGACAGTATTCCAAAAATGGACACTCTTTTACTGGTACGGGAGATTTAGAACAATGCTTAAAACATACGTATACCCTTCTTAATAAAGAGGCGCCTTGTTCACAGGATCCATGTGGTTTTGACGGTATATCTATTCCGCCGATTGATTTTGTTAATCACGAGTTTGTCGGCGTTTCTGAATTCTGGTATACGACAAACGACGTATTTGATATGGGTGGCAGCTATCATTTCCCCAATTTCTACCAAAAGGTTGGTGATTACTGTGCTTCTGATTGGGAATCCATGCTTTCACGACTTTATAATCACCAGTTGTCTCCATCTACAGACGAAAGTAAGCTGGAGAAGCTTTGTTTTAAAGCTTCTTGGGTTTTAAATTTTCTGCATGAAGGATTCGGTTTTCCTAAAACAAACACAAGTGGTGCTGATGACCAACAAACGGATGGACTTGACTTGATGCCGGCATACCATTCTCACTTTACTAGCCTTGAAAAAGTTGATCGGACCGAAATTAGTTGGACACTTGGTCAAGTTCTTTTGTATTCATCCAATCAGCAGTTTCTCCAAAGTCCCAAATATGCAAACTATCAATTGGACGCATTTGGGAAATTAATTCCTTTTAAAGATTCCTTCCAAGATAATATTAATGGGTATATTTCTGCTCTGAGTGTTCTTCTTTTAATATTCATCTTTGGCTTTTTATCCTTTATGTTGGCTCTTAATCCTAAGAGAAGGACAAGGTTCAAAAATTTTTTGCTTCGAGTTCGCGGTATGAAGGGTCGATATATTGTGAACGCTCATGGCGATTACGAAGACATCGCAGATTTTGACGATGATCTAGAAATGACTAGCTTTTCAAAATCGAGAGCTGCTCCTATTCGCACTACTTCCAGTCATATTCTTGCTGATCATTTGGCTTTCAATTTTAGTCGAGAGCGAACACCAAGATCTCCTTTACCTTAATTTGTTCCTACTGTATGCTTAATTTTGCCGCTCGCTATCAACTTCTTTCATTATAGTTTTGCCTTAATATGTTCTTTACTCTGTCATCTAAAATTAGGGTTTCATTTCTTTCCCACCTCTTTCTACCAATTTGGCATATATGTTTATTTATTTAATTCTTTTTCCCTTTCAATAATCTTTGGATACATCATTCTTTAATGCTGCCTTTTATAGGCATGTAGATTAGATACATTTTGACTTCTCATAAAACACCCTTTAACTGGTTGTAATTGTCAATCAAAAGGAATTGAGTAGTATCTAGCTATTTTATTTTTTGTTTACTTTCTAATATAATGTATGCTAATTTGATCCTATATTGCTTATATTTTACCTTATACTTATTTTCAATGTTTTTTTAGACTCATCATAATCCTTTTCCAAAGATATTTTTCCTTAGGTCCTTAATCCTAATATATAGCTAAATATACATCCATGTAAAAAGGATATCGTATTCCCTAAATGCAGTAAGCCAAGGAAGAGAACAGATATAATAAACAAAACGAAAATATAAAAATCATGGGCATTCCTGGGTTATGGGACGAATTTCGAGATTGCTATCGTGAAACGAGTATGTCAAATTTATACGAAGTAATTTTTAATCGCTAACTTGTTTATAGATCTTTTAGAGCTCTCTACGACTTGCTGGAATACCGAAAAACGCTGCCTAAAAATTGCTGTTGATGCAGCTATATGGTCGGTACAGATTCAGGCTAGTCAAGGTGGTACCAATCCAGCATTAAGGACGCTATTTTATAGACTTTGTCATTTCCTTGAATGGGGTATTAACGTTGTATTTGTATTCGATGGTCCAAACAAACCTCCTTGGAAAAGGAATCGCCATATTCGATCAGATGTCTCAAATGACTCAGGGAATTACCGGTCAATGAAGCATCTCATTCAGCTTTTTGGAATGCAGGTATGGAATGCTCCAGGAGAAGCTGAAGCTGAGTGTGCGAAACTTCAAAGACTGGGATTGATTGATTATGTTTTGACGGAAGATGTTGATGCTTTCGCTTTTGGAGCTACTAAAGTTATAAGAAATGGTTCTGACGCAAAGAAACCATTTTTTAAAGTCAGGATTTACGAAATGGAGAAGATAACTGAAGAACTCAGCGTCAATCATACTGGTATTATATTGATCGGCTTGATGAGAGGAGGAGACTACCATTTAAAAGGTATAGAGCATTGTGGTCTTCAAACAGCGATAGGAGCTGCTAAGCTAGGCTTTGGTGATTCTTTAGTTTCTTCAGACAGTCTGAATAGCTGGAGGAGTCAATTACAAAACTGCATCCGAACAAATAAGAACAACACTTTTGGCTATAAACGGCCAAACTTCACTATCGAGCAAGGGTTCCCAGACCCTTTAGTAAAGCATTACTATACAAATCCAGAAATCTCTTCCGAACATAAGTTAAAAGCTCACTTTTCCCAAGTCGAGTGGTCTCAAAAACCTGATATTCAAGCTTTGTATACTTATGCCCAAAGGCGATTTCAATGGATAAACCTACATGGGAATATTAAGTTTGTAAATAATATAGCTTATCCTTTACTCATTTTTGAAGTTCTCCATTCTACTGCTAAAGACTCAAAATACTATAAGGCGTCTCATAAGACACGAAGACAGAAATCTACCGGCATGATATTAGAAAAACAAATTACTTTCTATCCAAACAAGTTTTTGAATTGTGAATGGTGCACCGAAACGAACGTAAATGATAATGAGGCCAATACTTCACTAATGAATCAATGGAGGTTACTTTTGAAAGAGAGTACAGCATGGGTCCCCGCCTGCTTCATAAAAACCGATTCATATGCAAACATTTCCCAGTTTTTTGGAAGAACAAATTCAGATTTAGGACGTTTAGTTCAGAAAACCAAGCGACTGTCTTTGGATCCAGAAGAAAGTGGTAAATCCATGTACGTTGGGAGAGAAAAAACTACAGTTACTAGAAAGCCACCAACTCTTCTTTCAACAAACTTGTTTTCAAAATCACATAAGGAATTACCTTCTTCACGAACATTACTGCAAGCAACCGATGATTCTTTTACGGATGATGATCTTCCAAAAGTTCATGAGGTCCTTCCTAAAAGCCCTAAAAAAGCAGGAAGCAGCAAACAAGATCAACTTGGCAGTCGACATAGTAAAGATTCGACTATCAAATCCATGAAAAGTTTATCAAAAGATCAATTACTAAAAAGAATATACATTAGAGAAAGCCTTAATGGGACTTGGAAGGAAGATTTAGGGACAAGCGGACGGAGGAAAATGTATGAGAATATACCCATTATTGACTTGTCTTGATGTTTTTATATAACTTTTTGAAACGCTGTATGAAAATTTATCGTTAAGATTCTAAAAAGACCTGTAACCGATGTAACAAATTCATCCATTTAACACGTATCCGATTCTGGCTGGAAGCGTTACCTTTTTTGTTGTTATTTATAATGAAAGAAATCTCTCGAAAAAGCAACTCCTTCTGTCTTTCTTTTTCTTTTGGTGATAGTAATTTTTGTGAATGCATCAAGTGCTTCATCCATCTCTGACAAACTCTTTCTAGTAAACCTGGCTTCTTAATTTTTTTATAAAATGCAATTACCTTTTGATATATTTTAGGATAAGGGATTCGATCTTTGTTCAATAGATAATACATTCGAGAATATATATCTGGATAGCTGTTATTGGTAATTCCAGCGGCAGACTTAAATTTTGGAGCAACAGTAGACCAGTAAATTATGTAACACCATGCTAATTCAGAAAAGCGAATCTCGTAGGTTTTTGCTAGCTCTTTGCACAAATCAACAGCAGTTGGTATGTCGCCAAGGAATCCGAAAGCGCTGGCAACCGAAAGAAGAGTATGTGAAGTAGGATACAAAGAATTATTTCTATTGACCAAACGTTCTCCAGGTTTTCCTTGACTTATACCCCAAACCCTTTGAAGTAGATCGCGGATTTCCTCAATTTTCCCATCTCTTGCTAGTCCGATAATAAGATAGTCATAGGTTGTCGAATTTGGTGCTAACCCATTTCTTGGAAAATCAACGTCTATTGCCTCCAGCATTGCAGTTGATACGGGCTCTTGTGTGGGAGTTCCTTTCCAGGCAGGACTAATGAATTTATTCATTGACCACCTACACCCTCCATAATTTCCTAGAACACTATTTAAATAATCCACGGTTGGTCGTAATTCGTCCTTCTTCACTATTTTGATCACTTTATCAGCAACGGGCTCGTGTCCAATATACATAGCAATTCGGAGAATATGTGTAAAATCTCCAATGTTTAGTCGTATTCCCAATTCATTAGCATCATGAAGAATCAATTCTAATATCTTTACAGTCGTTTCCTTTTCTCTCTCAGTCAATCTATTTCCACTGTTGAGCAGCTTGAAAGAACGAAGAATCACTCGAAACTCGGTAGGTTTCAACTTGCTTAAACTGTTATTATTACGAAGTTTTAAGTAATTCAAGAGATAGAATGAAGGAGTCAGAGGTCGGAGGAAGGTCTGAATGGGACCTGTAACGGCTGACTTGAACTTGCGATCTTCTGCATTGTACAACAGTTCCTCAAAAGAGCGGACATGTAAACGTCGGACCAAAGTTAAAGGGGATAATGCTTCAAATCTTGAATTTGTACAAAGAAATCTTAATATTCGCATTGTTTCCCCATAACACAGCTTGAAAATGGATAATAATTATGTAGTAGGTAGAAGGAGGCTACCACCGGTAGGCGACAAAGTGAAACAGAAAGAAAGACGATACCTTTGATTCTTAATAGGTACTAGATGAAAATTATTAGTTTCTAAAGATTATGCTTGTCGTTTTTTTTTTTTTGAAATTAACAAGGAATTTATAACATTGCACTGAGTAATTTATTCGGATTCGACAGTCAGTTTTAGAAAACGAAAAGGAAGAAAAGGAGAATGAATTAAACAATAACCTGGTATTTTGTAAGATCAATGCAGGGTTTTCAAATCAGCTTTCGATTCAACTGCTTTCATTTTTGGATACAACATTTATAGATCTGTAGTTCATTATCGTTAGCTAATTATAGTCTTATCCATTTATTTGCAAAGTTCCTCAAGGTTAGAGATGCGTTTATAAAGCGTTTGAATTTCGTTCATGCTCTGTTCGGGAAATGAAGATGTTTCCAAGCGTTTCAGTAGCTGATTCCATTGATTTAACGAATTAGATGTAGATTCTAACATGCTTTCAAGGGTTTGCCAGCGGTTCATTGTTTCAGCTGTTTCCAAATGCAAGCAATGCAAAGATTTTAATCGTTTTAGCAGAGCAGGCATTAGAGTTTGATAGTTTTCCATATCCTGCAGATGGACAAAGAGAATTTCCGAAAGTAATCTGTACTCTTTTTCATCTAATAACTCACCAGGAGCCAAGTTTGCTGGTGTAGAAGGATTACTTTTATAGCCAGCTTGCTCATTAACATTGTCACCGGTCCTTGGCAAACGGTTTCGAATCGTTTCCCAAGTAGAAATTTTTTCTTCAAAAATCAATGGATTCTTTTCAAATGCTTGTAATCTCTGCAAACAACTTTCAATTGTCATGCTTAAGGGCTCTTCTGCATTACCTACGCGTTTCTCCAGCATTGAGATTCGAGATTCAAAATCTGCCACTTTTAACGGAATAAAAGTTTCATTATAGTCATTCCGTTTATTTTCCGGAAGAGACTCCACAGGAGGCTGTTTATAAAGTTCAGGATTTTCTGTGCCGGAATTTGGGATAGAAGCAGACTCTGGATCTACAGAATAGCTCTTTCGAAATCTAGACAGCTTTTCCAGCCATAATTTATCTAGTATGTTTGATAGAGAATCTACTTCTTGCTTTTCTCTGGTAGATTTCGCTTCATCCCATAAATCCTCCAATTCGCGCCGAATCCGAGTAAGTTGCATATAATACGGCTCTTCAGAAACATCATAGTCTTCATTTACACACGACGTCAGCTCATCAGGCTTGCACACTGACATAGGCTTTGGTTTACTAGCTTTTTGGATAGCCCGCATGCATTCTTCAACAGAATATTCAGTTTCAATGATATTTGTTGGTTCATTGGATAATACATTATCACAAGGCTTCTAAAATATGAATTAGAATTTTCGTTTCTTCTTTCCTATAAGGAATTTGAACTTCATACTTGTTGATTAGTTTTCGACGCGTCAGAGGACTCAATAAATTCAGATAAATGATCCATCTCTTATTTAACAAAATAGATCTCAATGATTATGAATAGGATACGATCTTTCTAGTGAATAACTGAAAGTGGTTTTAATGGGCAATGTGTAAGTTCGTAATGAACACACAACACTTACTCAATAAAATCCTATGGGTAGGAAAAGAACCTTTTTGTTGACATAACGTCCTGATACATTTCATCTTCCTTTCGTCTTACTAAGGAGGTTTGTTTGGATTGACTTGCATTGTTATTGTTGTGCATAGTGAATCAGCAGGGCTTTCTATAGTTGAAGTCCCGAAACTCATGTGTAAATTAAGCTTATTTTTTTTTAAAGGTTGTTTTTCTAATATCTCTGCATTCATGTATCGTTTACTCTTTCTTCTATTCCTATGTCTCTTGTTTGTAGCAACAGGAGCCGAAAGCTCGCACACGAATAATTGGGCAGTACTAATATCTACATCGCGATTTTGGTTTAATTATAGACATGCAGCTAATGTTTTGGGTATTTATCGTTCCGTGAAACGGCTGGGGATTCCAGACAGCCAGATTATTCTCATGGTTGCAGATGATTATGCCTGCAATTCTCGAAACCTTTTTCCGGGAACCGTTTTCGATAATGCTGATCGTGATATGGACTTGTACGGAGAAGATATAGAAATAGATTACAAGGGTTACGAGGTGACTGTGGAGGCATTTGTTCGATTATTAACTGAACGTGTATCTGAAAATACACCAGCTAGCAAACGATTGCTAACAAATGAGCATTCTAATATTTTGGTTTACATGACAGGACATGGAGGAGACGGATTTATCAAATTTCAAGATGCAGATGAGCTCAGCTCCGAAGATTTTGCTGATGCCCTGGAGCAGATGCACCAACATAAGCGATATAATGAAATTCTGTTTATGGTCGATACTTGCCAGGCGAACTCTTTGTATAAGAAGATTTACTCGCCAAATATTGTAGCAATTGGCAGCAGTGAAATTGGCACTTCTTCTTATTCCCATCATGCAGACTCAGACATTGGCGTGGCAGTGATTGACCGCTTTACATTTTCAAATTTAGAGTTTTTGGAAAATCGTGTGGATATCAAAAGTAAATTGACCATTCAAGATCTTATTGACTCTTACGATCCGAAAGAAATTCGATCTACGCCTGGTGTCCAATCCACATATACGCAAAAAGGCTTGGACGAAATTTTGATTACAGACTTCTTTGGCAATGTTCGTGATATAGAACTTCATAGTGAGCCTACAAAATGGATTCTACCTGATGAACAAAATGATACATTTCCTAACTATTCAGATTCATCCTTCGTTAGCCACTCCCCTTCTGGTCTGACGAAACCCATGAATAGGAAAAACAAAGGGAAGAGTGTTCCTTTACGTTTACATTATTGCACCTTTTCAGAGTTCTGTTCTGCAACTTTCTTTTTATTTATTTTAATACTCCCTTTCTGCTTGCAATTTGCTTTTAAAATGAGGCGATGAAGCAAATATATCCATAAGTATCATGCACTTTTTAGTTTATCATAGATGGTATATAAACATTATTAATTTAAAAAATGTTTGAATGTTACACTAAATTTTGAAAAGGATTTTGATAAACTAGAAGAGGAAAAAGGAAAAATAATAGGAGTCATATACATAATATATACAACATAATGTTAACGACATGTTCTAAAGTAATTAAATTAAGAGTGAAAATTATAAACAAACACGACAGGAAACTTGTTTTACAAAGTATACGGTCTAGACGTGATTGATTCACAACTTTTTGAACTTGGCAATGGTTATTGCATTCTCAAAATCAGCTTTTAAATCCTCAATATCTTCAATACCGACGCTAATACGGATCAAATCTTCAGGTAAACCACGTTGATCACGAACCTCCTTTTTAATGGAAGCATGACTCATGTAAGCAGGCATACTAATTAAAGATTCAACAGAACCGAATGAAACGGATATTTCAAAAAGCTCCGTACTCTCAACAAGGGTCTTGGAAAGCTCTACGCTACCAGTATGAATAGACATGACAGCACCTGGGCCACGAGCAAAAGAGTTGAAGATGACGGTAGACTTACAGTTAGGATCTAATCCCGGAAAGTTGACAGAAAACCCCTTAGATTTCAAAAATTTTGCAAGCTCAATGGCATTTTGCTGGGCGCGTTCGACTCTGATACCCATGGTTTTGATACCACGAAGTAAAAGGAAGCTTTCAAATGGAGCCAAGCCAGCACCACAAGCATTGATGTTAAAGAAGACTGCCTTAGCTAATTCATCACTTCTCATTGCAATAGCACCTCCCATCATATCATGATGACCAGAAAGGAACTTGGTAGCAGACTCATAAACAATATCAAAGCCGAAATCTAAAGGATTACAAAGGATGGGAGAAAGCATAGTATTATCCATAACCAACACGGCATTTTTCGCCTTTTCGCGAACAATCTTGACGATAGCACGAACATCGCAGATTTTAATGAGAGGATTTGTTGGACTTTCGATTAAAACCAGAGCAGTATCAGGTCGCAAAACGGCCTCAAAAGCAGCGAGATCACAAGTATCCACATTCGAAACATGAAATCCGTACGTAGCAATGTTGAGGTTCAGTAAACGATCAGAGCCACCGTAAAGATCGTCACCAGCGACGATGTGAGATCCAGCCTTGCAGGTTTTGAGAATCATGTCCAAGGCCGACATGCCATTGCTAGTGACAAAGCAATGCTTAGCCTTCATTAATTTGGCCAAGTGAACTTGTAAGGCGGTACGTGTAGGGTTACCAGAACGAGTGTAATCGAATTTGCCCATTTCGTCCAACCTATTCTGTCGAAAAGTAGCAGATTGGTAAATAGGAACAGAAGAAGCATTGTACTGATCTTGGTTACCTTCGACGCGAACCAATTCGGTTTCGACTGAGTATTTAGAATTGAAATCCACCATGATTGTCATTTATTCAACCTTTCAATTACGGACAGAATTGAAAGCGATAAGCAAGCAAAGCAAGACAAGACAAGAAAAGAATGAAACCGAATTCAAAAGAGTTTAGCGAAAAAAAAAAAAAAAAAAGACTTTTATGTAAAGGGAGGAGGGGAACGATCACGAAAAGCCAATAAATTTGTTTAAAAAATAGACAAATAAGATGCCTTAAATGTCTTTTTGACAAGGAGTTGTTTACTTTTTTAACAGTAATGGCTGTTACTTCGGAAATACCTGTTAAAGATAGAAGAGTTAGGCAAAAGCAGTAAGCAAACTGAAGGTTACGATAACTAGTCTTCTCGTGGCAAATGTCAGATGTGAATCTTTCTGTAAGTAATTACTCAACGAGCAAACGAAGTCTAAGAGAGTAAAACAATCAATCTGCAATAAATAGGTGAAAACAATTCACTCTACACTTTTTCTTTTCTTTTTTTTATAAAAAAAAAATCTTTTTTAAAAAAAAATTCCGTCAATAAATCGAAACATAATTCAGGGGATCTCGTTTATCTAAGACGTACGTAAACAGTCATTTATTGTAGGGCTCTACCGTGGGTTAAGCAGCATTGATAAACGAGCTAGATAAATTATGGGTCGATGATTATAGGGCAGAGAAGGCGTTTTCTTTGGTGGTAAGTACACAAAGAAGAAAAAAATATTCGCTAGGTTCAAGAAGTTGTTCAGTTCCGCTGGAAAAAAGAATTGATCATTACTGGATTCTTTCATCACCTAACTCGCTTTCAATGGTCTTCATGTTCCCACGCAGTTTTATTTCGCTTTAAAAGAAAAAAGAAAAAGAGAATTATAGGACATAAACAAAAATATATCGGCTGATAACCCCCCTTTTATTTATGCTTTTGTAAAGTTGTACCCCTGAGGAATAATTGAAAGAACGATAGATACGAAATTTGCTATAGCGAAATAACTCAACAAAAAAAAATCGTGCGATTAAAATGCGGCCAAAGAATGGTTGAATTCTCACTTAAACTCAGATCTCGTTTATTTTCTCGTTTATCATGACAAAATAATGCTGTTCCAAAAACAATGCTTCTGTGGATTAGTTCTATGAAAGGAATTGAAATGGAGAATGAAGAAAAAGTTTATTTTAAGAGCTTTTTTTTAGAAAAGCCGTATTTCAAAAGACACCTAACCCGCAGTTATAGCGTCCGTTCGTTTTAAGTTTTTTTACATTCTATATACTCATCCATGCTGTTTTTTCAAGTTGTTTTTTCCATGTTGTTTGATGAATTATGATACCTTTAAACAAATTCAGTGCATTCTTTTTCAATTCTCTCTAACTAGGAAATATTTGGTTCTAAGACACGATTGTTTTTAACGCGTCGCGTTTTTGTTAATGAAGCAATTACCGAATTACCTTTTACTTTGCTAATTCATATAAAAAGTCCCTGTGTATCGCTAAACGAGCTCTCAGATCGTTTACAAAACATAACCAAATCTCGTTAAAAAAAAGAGCGCTCTCGAAAACTGCATGGTAAGCGTCCATGTAGGAAATACGTCTATTGTCATTCTCTTGTAAAGAGAATGACAATGACAACAAAGATGAGGAAACTTTTCGTTAGCAAACTTGCTATTGCCTTGTCTTATGGAGGGTCTTGTGCATATGGACGCATACTGCAAGTGGAGTTGAGAGTAAAAGTGCCGTATGCAAGCACCAGGGTAAGGTTCCTACCCTCTTGTTTCCATGTTCTTTTCTTATTCCTTTAATCTTCTGGATGAAAATGTTGTATACTCAAAATTTCTTGCTTTATGTCATACATATAGAAATTGGGTTGTTTACTAACGCTATTCAAGCAAGTTTGCTATCCTGAATTACAAGCGAGTTCTAGCGTACAAACTCACGCATTTGACAGGAAATTGCAATCCTTGTAAGGATCGAGATTTCTTCCTTGCTTGAGAAAGAATAATAGTTTAAACCATGCAGAATGAGCTAAATCCGCTTTTATTATCTCAGAACTCGATTCGGTTCGCTACTAGAGTCGCTATTTTCTTCATCATCCGTGACGAACTTGTGGAAGCAATTACCTGGAAACATCCTGTGAAATCTGTGTGTTTAGGATTAACGATTACTCTATTATACTTGCATCCCGTATCATTTAGTGCCATTCTGATCTTGATTTTTGTTACAATGATGCCCATAAGCCTTACTCATGATGTGACCACAAATTTGCGCGATCTACAGAATTTCATGGCTTCGTACAGTTCATCTTATGACCAATTGGTCCATTTTCGTCAAAATTATTATCACTATATTTCGCCGTCTACGATCTCCTCCGTGCTTCTTACATTTTTGGTCATGGTCTCTTTATTGGCTTTTTTGAGAATTTCCATCGACCGTTATTTACCGATTGGACTGTGGATTGTCCTAATTGCCTTACATCCTCAGTTTCGAAACTTTTTCTACGAATGGTATTCGACGAAAAGAGACAGACTTCCTTCATTGCAGCTTCGAAACGAAGTCGCTCAAGTTTGGAGACATGTAGAGGAAAAAGAAGGCCAAACAATGACTTTTTATTCTCCTTCCCCAAATTCTACCAGACTTCCACTGGTACCTTCTTTGGAACTCATTGATCCTCCTGCTAATTATAGTTGGGCCCCTGATAGTTCCTGGACGTTTCATTCTCCAAACGAATTTCGTCGGTTTGTTTACTGGAACCCACAACCCGTCAAGCTCAAGCGTACCTCGTCCGTTCATACATAAAGAACGAGGCAGCCAACCGAGATATACACATGCTAGTGTATCTCTTAAAAGAAAATGTATACTAGTTTAATTTTTTTGGGCACCAATGAGACACCTGACAGTACACCAATCTTCTCGTTGTTACGGTTTGATTTCATATAATATGCTTATGGAGAAGGTTCAGTTTGATATTGGATTGTATTGTAGTTTAATGAATTCATGATTTTTTTTACGTTATCAACACGAATGCCAATAGTTGTAGTCCATTGAAAAAACGCTAGACTGAATCAAATACACTTCACAAACAAAAGAGGAATTATAAAACCAGGATAAATTTGTACATTAATAATCAGCTATATTATAGAAGTTAACAATCATAAAATATCCATGTCGACCACATAAAGCTATTATACGCACTCTCAAAAACGTGCGTTCATTCAAATTAAACTTCCTTTCACGAAGTAACTAAAAGAGAATCGAAATTAGTGTTTGCAACAATAATCAAACATACCCTTTTCTGTGAATGACAGATGTTTTTCTAGAAAGAATCGTATATCGCACAACCCAATCCGCACGAGCTCGTATTGGGAAATTAGGACATGCGTGACGAATTGCTTCCGTGATTTCCTTTTCATCAATTAACGCGGCAGGGTCTGAATGTAAGAAAACTTTTAGACGTTTCTGCTCAGTATACTTTGTCAAGTCTAAGGGAAGCTCACACAGACCTCCAGTGTTGATTTGAGTAGATTCAGGAGAAATCTCTACATTGGGAATTAATTGCTCCAGCTCAGGAACACCAAATTCACTGATTCCTAAAGTCCCTATTTTCCCCTGGCGAACTTTTTCTTCAAAAATTTTCCAGGTATCGATCCAAGACTGGATCTCTTCTTTAGGAATTTGGTCTATGGAAGAATATACCTGCGAATCTGGAGTATCCTTTAAGTTTTTTTTTGAAAATGCCACGTTGGGGAAAGAGACCACAAGTGTGGAAACTTCCTGGATACCCAACAATTGGTTCAGATACTGGAATACTTGATCGGTCGTCTCACGCCTATTCTCAACATTGATATTTTTTCCATCCAAAAAGAACAGCTTCGCTAGTAAAGTTATTAGATTACATCCAACGCTCGTAGTCTTTAATGATAAACATACCAATTATTTCATAGTCGTCAGCTTTACCATCTAGGTTTTGAAGGGGATCATTTGGGGCGACAAATATTTTAGTGTGAGAGTCTGCGACGTCTCCAGTATCCTTTAATTCTTGAAAGTTGCCATTTTCTAATGCCTTAATTAACTAGTAAATATGTTAGTACCCCTTTAAATGTCAAAATGTTGTAGAGGCATCTTTTGCATTAGTTCTTGGCAAAAGGTCAAATTTCATCTTACCTCTAAATTGGATGCTGAACGAGAAGTATTCCAAATCCCTGACTTTAAATTCTTGGTCACATCTCCAGTACATAAGAGCAATTGCTTGACATCTGCACATCCCATTTTTCCTGTTAAAAGTACAACAGTTTCTAAATGTAAAGTAAAAGAAAAGAATAAATCAAAACTGAAACTGCTATAAATATCGCGTCTCTTCTTGCTCAACGAAATTTCCAATAGACCACGGATTCAAGCGTTTTTTGAAAACAGTAACGTAGTGTCCAAATCCACAAAATCTTGAAAGGAATTCAAAAAATCCAAAAACAATCGAAAATATTCTGTGAAGTGGAATGTAGAGAAATTCACAGTAATGAAGTACGGAAGCTGAATACGGGAAATGCTCAGTTATCTGAATAAAAGGAGCATGTTTGCTTACATAAACAAAATGGTTCTGTCAATAAAATTGCTCATCTATATGAATGTTCTTTAATATATATAAATATGTAATATTGTTTTTTTTTTTTTTTTTTTTATATATTTACATTGACTCTACTACTTGGAGTATGAACTTGAGTAGCTTTTGTATTCATCTATATCATTTTTAGTTCATAATGTCATTTTTTTAATTAAAAGATGATAAATAAAGAAGGAATGGACAAGCGAGAGATTCAAAGAATGAAAAATATGAATCCCATCGTTCCAAAGTAGAATCTGCTAAAAGATATTTAATGAAACCAAAGGTAGCTCAGATAATTTTATGTTTATCTACTCAAGAATGGAAGGTTCTACTTCCAATACGATTGCTTCCCCCTCGAGGAAATTCATCCATCTTTGAAAAAAGTCACTCGTCCATTTCACAGTATTTCCATCTCCAACTACGCACAAGTGTCTCTTTGGTCGAGTGATTGCAACATTTAATCGTTTCTTTTCGGCCAGAAAACCAACTTCACGGAAGTCATTGCTTCTGACCAGTGAGAAAATAATGGCTTCCTTTTCTCGCCCTTGCACCCGATCCACACTGCCCATCTCGATTTCGATGCCTCGAAGCTTTAACATGCTTCGAATTAAAGCAACCTGAGCATTGTACGGCGTCACAATCGCCATGTCCTCTTCCTTTAGTCCAGCACCCAGTAGTTCAGTAACATGATGGCACACAATTTGTGCTTCCCATTTGTTGCTTTTACTATCACGGTACAATGAGGTACCCATATCTTTAGGATCATCCTCCTGATAATTACCATCCGTATCATAAAAATATATAGGAGCATCCGTTAGTTCAGTTTCTTCAACATAAGGTAAATCCATTAGTACTCGCTTCGCTACCTCAGGTGCTGGAATAAGCTTGCCATCATAGAATGTATCTGAAGGAAACTTGTTAATGAGCTCATGCATTCGATATTGGACGTTCAAGAAACATTTTACTTTGTCTCCTTGAATCTTCAATAGTCGCTCAAACATGGATAAATATGGTTTTTTTGTTTGCACATTCGGTGATAGTTGCATATGGTCTCCTGCCAAGATCGCTTTTTTCGCTCCTAAGAGTGGTATCCAACATTGTGCTTCTAAAGCCTGTGAGGCTTCATCAATGATCACTACATCAAACGTTTCATTTCTTAACTGACGAGACCCGGCACCATGTAATGTGCAAAAGACAATACTACTTTTTCTTAAACACCCTGAAACGTTTTGCGCCTCATAACGTCGATAATCTTTTCGAAGTTCTCTCACGTGCTTATAAATTTCTCTTCTTTCTTTCCCGCTCTTAGTCTTTCTGATTTTGTTAAGCTCTGTGTCAATGTCTTCGCTAATACCATTAACAACTTCTCCAAAATCACCGCTTCTAGATATGACATCCAAAGAATGGTTTAAAACGCTGGGCAAGAGACGGGCAGGATGGCCTAAACGCACCATCGGTATTCCATAATGACTGATTCGGTCCACAATATTGTCAACAGATAAATTCGAAGCACCACAAACCAACACTCTTTTTCCTTTTGCTACAAGCTGACGAATAACTTCTACCAGTGTATGAGTTTTACCAGTTCCAGGAGGCCCATGGATAAGTGCTAGTTCTTGTACACCTAAAGAAAAACGAACTGCTTTTTTTTGACTATCATTCAGCTCGTTATTATAAAAAGTCAACTCGTTAATCATATCTTCTGCAAGGTTGGTATTAGCTTCTTTCTTTCCTGTTAACGTGTAGAATAATGGCATCCGATATTGAGGTAGATTTTTCCTCCACTCAATCATCGTATCTTTCATTCGTTCGTACGTTATGCGATTCGCAAGTTTTACTCTATAAATTGATTGATCAGTATTGGTCTGCAACGGCGAAAAAAAAGCATACATTGACAAACCCTCAGCCATCGGTGGAGCATCCTCTTCCAAATTAAGAGCAATCGAAACGCTTTTCTCTTGAACGCGTGTAATGACACCTTCCGTAGAAGGGTCTGTTTGTTTAGAATTTTTACCAACGGATTTTGAAGCTCGAATATCTGACTTCCCTCCTCCCTGGTTCAGTCTCACTACATCTCCAGGAGAGAAAGAGTTCGCCGGCAAAGTATCTGAGTTACTGAACGCCGGGTCTCTCTCTAATTCAATGACCCTATAGTTGTCGTACATTTAGTCACACCAACTTTCATAAACTGCATTGTCTTACGTTTTTCCACCAAAACCAGTTCGTATAGAACTCAAACGAAGATTAACTAAAGCAATCCCGTTCTTTTGTAGAGTGGGTAATGGGTATTTTTTCAAAACGGCTTCAGCTTCCTCAATTTCAATCTTTTGGATTTCCTCGATAAATTTGAGTTCTTTTTCGGAATATTCTTCAATCTTTCATTATTTGTTAATAAACAAAGTAGTATGTAATAATTTTACCCAAGCTTCCTCTGACATGCTGCTTTCTTCTATTTTTTAGTAGTTCGAAAGTTCTAGGTGAAAAAAAAAATATCAACCAATATTTCCCAATTATTTCTTCTTGTTATTAAGTTTAATCATCCAAACTTTTCGTTTTTAAGCAATTTTTTTTTTTTATACAAGTTTGTGGTGAAGTGGTGGAGACCACAAATAACGAACTGGAAGAAAATTCAATTTTTCAATTAAACGCCAGTGAATATTAGCAAGCAAAATTCAGCTTTTGCACTCTACCAACGCTCAAGGGGATGGACGAGTTGATTGAGTGGGTTGCTATATACCCTCAAATATACGATATTTTAGAGCATATTCAATATGTTCCAACAACTCTTTTGCAGCGAATTCGCTTGCACCGCTCTTGGTCAGAAGTTGACTACGATTTGTGGTTTTTGTACGCGTCCGATGAGAAACGCAAGAGCTGCAAGATTGATTATAATGGGCAATTGTGCTCATATGATGAATTTCTCGTACTTGAGGATCAAAGAATTGCCAGATTAAACGAGCTAGCTGAAGCTCGTAGTTCTAATGAGAATGCAGACTTTTTGCGACAATTGTTATCAAATGCAAATATTAATTCTGTTCCACTCATCGAGTTAGGTGGTAACCTTTTTTTCCAGTTTCATGAACCTCTGCCCACCACTCTTGTGCAAACAGAAAGCGCCAAAGAAAATCTAAATCGTGTAAGTCCTTTCCTTGTAAGAAAGCAGCCTTTGCTTCTGGCTGGCCCAGAGGGCATGGGAAAAACGTATTTCATTACTCAAATTGCTGCCTTGCTTGGACAAAGGATTGTTCGTATCCATCTTACGGACTCTACTGATCCTAAAATGCTAATAGGTACTTATACTTGCCCCCGACCAGGTGAATTTGAATGGCAGCCGGGTGTTTTAACACAAGCTGTGAGGCATGGCAAATGGCTTCTGCTAAGCAATATTGAAAAAGCACCTGCCGAGGTTTTAAGTATTTTATTGCCTTTGCTAGAAAGACGACAGCTCGTAGTTCCCTCCCGAGGGGAAACTATTTATGCATCGAATTCGTTCCAAATGTTTGCAACGACTTCTACGAAGTCCACTATATTAGGACAAAGGCTTTGGAAGACTGTTGAAATGGTTTCTGCTCCCCATGAATGCATCGAAATTGTGTCAACTATCTATCCTGAGCTTTCTTCTATTGCTCGTATCCTTTTTTCTGTTTATAATGATATTTATGAACTCTTTTTAAATAGAACATTCCTTGCAGTTTCTAGGGTGTATCGGCGGTTATGCCTTCGTGATTTTTACAAATTTACGAAGCGTGTCGCTTTTCTTTATAGACATTTCAATGTGTCTGTTGATCACGCAACAATCCCTCAAGAACTTCAGGATGCTATTTTTAAAGAAGCTATTGATGTGTTCAGTGCTTTTATACCAAATAAACAGGGCGTAGATCATGTCGTCCGTAATATTGCTATTGAATTAAATGTGTCTCCTGAAAAAGCTGAGCATTTCTTTGAGACCATTCCCTCTTTCCATGATTCCGAGACTACGGTTAAGATTGGTCGATCGAAGTTGCCCAAAATCTCGTCTAACGTTTTCTCAACAAGTAATTCATATGCTTTTACTTCTTCCTCTTTGTCGTTATTAGAAAAAGTATCTGTTTCTGTTCAAGCAAATGAGCCTTTGCTGCTTGTTGGCGAGACGGGTACTGGTAAAACAACCACCGTCCAACTTTTGGCTAATTTGTTAGGTCAAAGGGTTACTGTTATCAACATGTCTCAGCAAACGGAATCTTCAGACATGCTTGGTGGTTATAAGCCCATAAACGTGACTACCTTGGGGCTTCCTTTACATGAAGAATTTATAAGTTTATTTGAGGCGACCTTTAGTGTTAAGAAGAATATGAAGTTTTTAGCAGCAGCATCTACTGCTGCTAGAAGATTTAAATGGAAAACCTGTTTAAAAATATGGAATGAGGCTTTATCCCTTTCGAAATCACTGTTCTTCAAGACTCGGTCGCAGGAAAATCCTATGAAGCGTCAAAAGAGATTAGCAAATCAGCCAGCTCTGGAAGCTCGTTGGAAAAACTTCAGAGAAGAAGTCGAGCAGTTTGGTAAAATGCTTGAAGGTGGTTCTAAAAGTTTTATGTTTTCTTTCGTTGAAGGTGCCTTGGTTAAAGCTATACGTTCAGGACACTGGGTTTTGTTGGATGAAATAAATTTAGCATGTATGGAAACATTAGAACCTATTGGACAGTTGTTAAATTCTTATGAACCTGGCATTTTACTAAGCGATCGTGGTGACGTTAATCCCGTTGCACCTCATCCCAATTTTAGGCTATTTGGTTGTATGAATCCTTCAACTGATGTAGGCAAGAGGGAGTTAGAAACTTCGCTTCGATCACGATTTACAGAAATTTATGTTGAGTCCCCTGATAAGAACCTTTCGGATTTGTTATCAATCATAAGTAAGTACATAGGAACCCTTTGCATTGGTGATGATCTCGTTATTCGTGACATCGCTGAGTTATATCAAACTGCAAAACGGCTTTCTATTGATGGTTCATTAGTCGATGGTGCAGGACAGAAGCCTCATTATACAATTCGTACATTGAGCAGAACACTTTGCTATGTTGCGGAAATTGTGCCTATTTACGGTCTTAGACGTTCCTTATATGAGGGTTTTTGTATGTCTTTCTTAACCTTACTTGATCAAAATAGTGAAAATTTACTGTACAAATATATCGAACGCTACACATTAGGGGAATTAACGGTCCAACAGAAAAATGCTGTTCTCAAACAAATTCCAAAGCGACCGGAAGTTGGTGATTATATAGCGTTCTGCCACTATTGGCTCAGTAAGGGTTCATTTCCTGTCAGAGATCAGGAACATTACATTGTTACACCTTTCGTACAGAAAAACCTCTTAAATATCACTCGTGCTTGCTCAACTAGAATGTTCCCTATTTTAATACAGGGCCCTACATCCAGTGGTAAAACTAGTATGATTGAGTACATTGCTGGTAAAACAGGCCATAGATTTGTGAGAATTAACAATCATGAACATACCGATCTTCAGGAGTATCTTGGCTCATATGTAACTGATGACAAGGGATCTTTGGTATTTAGAGAAGGTATCCTCGTCGAGGCTCTTAGAAACGGCTATTGGATTGTACTTGACGAGCTTAACCTAGCCCCTACTGATGTCTTGGAAGCCTTAAACCGTCTTCTTGATGATAATCGTGAGTTATTCATCCCCGAAACCGAAGCGCTTGTGAAACCACATCCGGATTTTATGCTTTTTGCAACCCAAAACCCACCGGGTGTTTACGCTGGTCGTAAGCACTTGTCTCGTGCATTTCGCAATAGATTTTTGGAAATCCATTTTGACGATATCCCTGAAAATGAGCTTGAAACCATTTTGCATATGCGTTGTAAAATAGCTCCTTCTTATGCTGCAAAAATTGTTCAAGTATTTCGCGAACTTTCTCTTCGTCGTCAAAGTACTAGAATTTTTGAACAGAAGAATTCCTTTGCTACCCTTAGAGACTTGTTTCGCTGGGCTTTTCGTGAGGCAGTGGGTTATCAACAACTCGCTGAAAACGGATATATGCTTTTGGCAGAACGAGCACGCGATCCTAAAGACAAGTTTGCTGTACAGGAGGTAATTGAGAAAGTGATGAAAACTAAAATTAATACTGAGCACTTATATAATTTGGACTTTATAGACTCAATTAGATCTGATGCCACAGTTGGTCCCCTCAAAAATGTCGTGTGGACCGCGCCAATGATTCGGTTATTTTCCTTAGTTTGGCATTGCCTTCAAGCCAGGGAGCCTGTGTTGCTAGTTGGTGATACTGGTTGCGGTAAAACCACTGTCTGTCAGGTTTTGGCTGAATGTTTCTCCAAACAATTACATATCGTCAATGCTCATCAAGATACGGAGAATGGTGATATTATTGGAGCTCAAAGACCATTGCGCAATCGATCTCTCATAAGCAATACTCTTCATATACAACTATCTGAGAAGTTTAATGTTGCTCAAGAGCAATACTCAGTTGAAGAGTTGATTTCAAAATTTGAAAGCCTTTCTCCCCTGGAAAAGAATGATGACTTATCTGTTGTCATTGAAAAACATATAAAAAAATCTAACTCCTTATTTGAGTGGCATGATGGCGCCCTTGTTTCGGCTATGAAAGGTGGTGATTTTTTCTTGCTTGATGAAATCAGTCTTGCTGATGATTCTGTACTTGAACGACTTAACAGTGTTCTTGAAATTTCAAGAACTCTAACTCTCGTCGAACATAGTGATGCCGCTACTGTTTTAACTGCCAAAGACGGATTTGCATTTTTTGCGACTATGAATCCTGGGGGTGACTACGGTAAGAAGGAACTTTCTCCTGCTTTGAGGAATCGATTTACTGAAATTTGGGTCCCTCCAATGACTTCGGTTGATGATATTTTTCAAATTGTGCAAGGGAAGTTAATTCCTGCCAAAAAACACCTTAGTGAACCATTAGTACAATATGCACACTGGCATAGTAAAGTCTACCAGAATGGCACCAACATATCAATTAGAGATGTTTTATCTGCAGTTGATTTTATTAATTTATCTGAGCTTAGCGACGATAAGCTTACGTTATTCCATGCTGTTTCAATGGTATTCGTTGATGCGCTTGGCGCGGTATCAACGTTTGCTTTTGGTAATAACAGAAATATGCTTTCTGATGAACGTAAAAAATGCGCCTCTAAATTAGGAGAACTTTGTGATTGTGATTTTTCATCTTCTGTTACAGAAGACTTAATGATAAGATTCACCGAATCCTCTTTCTACATTGGTGATTTTGGTATAGAATTAGGACCTAGCGTAAATCCTGATTCTACTTATAATCTTAAGACCCACACTACCAAAATCAACGCTGCGAAAGTGGTGCGTGCTATGCAGGTTAGAAAACCAATCCTTTTGGAAGGTAGTCCCGGTGTGGGTAAGACAAGCTTGATATCGGCTCTGGCTCGAGAGTGTGGTTATCCATTGGTTCGAATTAATCTATCCGATCAAACTGATTTAATGGATCTTTTCGGCTCTGATGCGCCTGTTAATGGGGGTGAAGGTGGCCAGTTCACATGGCGTGACGCTCCATTTTTATCCGCAATGCGTCTTGGACACTGGGTTCTTCTTGATGAATTGAACTTAGCTTCTCAAACTGTATTAGAAGGCTTAAATGCTTGTCTTGACCATCGTAGTGAAGCCTATATTCCAGAACTCGACCGTGTATTCAAAGCGCACCCTAATTTTAGAGTTTTCGCGGCGCAAAATCCACAGAATCAAGGTGGTGGCAGAAAAGGACTTCCTAAATCCTTTGTTAACCGATTTACTGTAGTCTATGTTGAGCCTTTGTTACAAAGCGATATGCTTGAAATAGCTGGTCAAAATTATCGTCAAGTTGACGAAAACTTGCGACTCCACATCATTCAGTTTATGTTCAAGCTTCAGGAGTATGTGGAAAATGATGCTTCGTTTGGTATTAGTGGTAGACCATGGGAGTTCAATTTGCGTGATGCCATGCGTTGGTTACAGCTTTTGTCAGAAGCCGAAAAGTATACGTGCGTTTCTCCTGCTGAATATTTAGAGGTTGTAGTGCTACATCGAATGCGAACAGATAACGATCGTCAACGCGTTATCGAGCTTTTTGAGCAAGTGTTCGGTGTTAAGTACGAACCACGCACAATTAGTTCTGAGATAGATGTAAATATCTTGAAAGTTGGCCATTCATTTTTCACGAGGAATTCGGTTACTCAAAGGACAGCATTAGACAATACCAAGTTGCTACAATGCCAATATGACGTGCTTGAGTCCATGATTACTTGCATAAACAAAAATTGGCCTTGTATCTTGGTAGGTCCTTCGGCTTCTGGTAAAACGTGTACTATTCGACTTCTAGCCGCCGCTTGCGGTGCAGAGTTGAAGGAAATGGCAATTAATTCTGAAATTGACACCATGGATTTGTTGGGCGAATATGAACAGGTTGATATTTCTAGAAAGATTTCTGCCTTTTTGTTGGACTTGTCCCATGAAGTGTTAAATCTTCTGATACAGTACAGAGACTTTGAGGAAATTCTCAAAAGAACGGCTCTTCTGAGAGTTTTACAATCCAACTTTCTCACACTTGATGAAGGTCTACATATCTTAGAGTGGGTAGTAGCCGAGATTCGATCTATTCGACATCATACCGCCCTCTTTAAGCATTTGCGCCCCTACTTTACGCTGGCTGGTAAGCTAATTAAAGAAGCTTTTGTGCCTGCTACCGGAAAGTTTGAGTGGATAGATGGTTATTTATTAAGAGCTGTTGAAAATGGTCACTGGTTGGTTCTCGATAACGCCAATCTTTGTAGTCCCGCTGTGCTTGATCGTCTTAATTCTTTATTAGAGTATGGAGGTACTCTAACCGTAAACGAAAGGCCAACGGAATCTGGCATGCCAAAAGTCATTAAGCCGCATCTTAATTTTCGACTATTTTTAACTGTGAATCCTTACTATGGAGAACTTTCTAGAGCAATGAGGAATCGTGGTGTAGAAATTTATATGTTGAACAACGGTCTAACTTCTTTTGATCATCGTCAACTGTCCAAGTTATTACCTTCCCCCATATGCTCTGCGGTAGATGCTCGATCATCTAGCTTGTCTTTTGTTATTGATGTTCATAAGCGTCTAAGGGATTTACCAGCGGGTCTCGTTTCACCATATGTTGTAGCAGCTGTTGTCTTTAGCTATTTCTCGAGCGATCAGTTGGATTGTCTAAGAAACCTTTGTGATGATCAGAAAATGCTCGCAATAGACAGAACACCTTATGTAAATGCGTTGGATCGGGCCAATTTTTCCAGTGGACAGATCCCTAACGAGGTGCTTACCTATATTAAGACGTATGGCTATCCGTTATTACCAGCATCAATGAGTCTTGTCTCCCTTATGAATGATTTCTCATTTATAACATCTTCTAATCGTGAGTCGGAGGTATTCTGGAAAGCTTATTTACTCAACATTCTTTATGCTGCTCAGTTTGATTTACAACAAATTAATCAAGACGTTTATTCTTCTGTGCAGTCTGGTTCTATTGATACTTATGTTCTAAAAAGTGCATACGCATTTTTGCATGGAATTTCTTATTATAGGGGTGCTTTGTCGTCGGTGTGGAAACTCTTGAATGATCTTAGCGTTTATATCTTCAACTCAATCGACAAGTTACGTAAAGACAGCTCGTTAGCGAGTAGTGCGGATCTTCAAAATCTCATTAGTTTGATCGCGTTGTGGAAGAGCATGTATGAATGGACTGGAACCGCTGAGTTTGATTTCAGCAGGTTTCATTGCTATTCGTTAATGCTTAAGGAATGGTCATCTAAGTTTATTGCCGACCATAATTCAGGATATTTGGATGCTCCTCTCAATTTAATCAATAAATTCTCTGAAGCCTTGCAGTTATCTACTGGTGAATATATGCAAAACATCTGGTCCGAGTGCCATCCTCTTGTACCTAAGACGATGGATCATTGGTCATTATGGTTGAGAATCGACACATTGCTAAAGGAATATTTGCGTGCAAATACTCCCTCTTTAGGTATGGAGGCTACTGCTTCTCATGTAGTTAGCACAACTCTATCATTGCTTATGAATGTAACAAATCAGCACGAGTCTCAGGACCTACAGTCGTACATGCAAATTTTGGAAGAAGGTGTATTAGCACTAAAAAAGTCCAAGCAAGACCAGCTTCCTGAAGCGTTTTATTCAGCGTTCAATTGTTTAGCGGCATTAGATCTGTTGACTATATATACCGCCGATTACAATAATTTTAATGTTTCGTCAGAAGCATTTACAAACTATATACGTGCTGCTCTGTATACGAGAGGGTCAACAAGTCCATTATCTATCATCACGAGTCTCAACTTCAATGCATCTCAAATCCCATTTGTCGTCCTTTTTGATTATGACTTCTTTTCTCTGGTTAACGGAACCACGTTTGATTTAGTCACACGTGCTTTTGCTTCAATTGATGAAAACCTGAATATAGCTTCTGTTAAAAGATTTGAAGATGTACGCCAGACATTAATGAGGCATATAGCTGAACGTTCCGAGCAACTTTCTGAAAATCCTTTAGAAAGAGCTAGCATTTTACTGCTACAGCGAATTCCAATGTTCATGATTTCTGGAATCAAAAGTGGTAAACCATCTGCTGATGAGGATACGATTTTAAGGCCATTAGCATTACCATATGGAGAGTTGAAAGAGCAGTCCCTTTCCATTATCGATAATATATTGTCTTATGCAGAAAGAACTACAGATATTAATGCCTCATACAAAAAACATTTTCTGAATGCATTAGAATATCTGCAGTTGTCTTTGACAGCTGCTAATCATGAGACGGCTTGTAAGAATCAAGCTGCTGCTTACATTCATTTTGCATACGGGTTGTTACTAGCTTATGTTCCTGATAAGCCTTATGATCCAGCTCTTCTTCCTTTGTTATCTTCCACAAACTGCAAAGACGTCTTGAAGGCGCTTTCTGGAGAGCTAAAGGTTGTGGAGATGATGGAAGATAATAAATCTGGTAAAAAAGAAAACCTACTCACTAAATCAATTTCCTCGTGCATGGAGGAAATAAATGAGTCTACTCCCACTACTACTAGTGTTTTCCGTTCCCTGGAAAGTAATAGCACTTCTTTGTTTGACGAGTTGCAATTCTTAATGGACAACGTTGTGAATAATTCATATGCCCTTGAGTTATCGTTAAAGCTTATGCAAAATCCAGATGACTCGTCATTGGAGGAGGCAAAAATATTTAAATATAAGTGGACTGCTTTTGTTGAACGGTTGCGTGAAGCATATCCTTATTACACTGATATATTTGAAATTGTTATTTCTCTGATTAGTTATATGGTCTACGGCATCGATATACTCGTGGCAGCGGCTAAGCGGTTCCTAGATAATCGGGTGAATGCATCCTCTTCTTTGATGTCTCATTTAGTTAGTCCTCAGAAACTTTCAAAACTTCTTATGTATGAAGATGTGCAAGATATTATACAATTGACTTCGGACTTACAATTGAATGCCGCCTTAAAATTTGAAGTTTTATTATTTGCAACAGCGAAACTATGCAAGGAAAAGAAAGACCTTCCTCAGTCGTCTGCGGCTAATTCATTCACTATTTTAGCAAACGAGTTTTTTACCTATCATGCCAAATTAGTTCAGAAAGAGCAAGAAGAAGAGGAAGAAAAAAACAGACTTTTCCGACAAAGAGGCTTGAACCTTGATAATAATGAGTACATGCAGATTTTTATAGATTATGATGAAGAAGTCGAACCACAACCAGAAGAGAAGCTAGAGAGGACTAGATTTTCTCAGCTTCAATATGCATTCTGGTCTCTGTATAAAAGTTTTTTTATCGGGACTGAAGAGGCATGCTCTACCGACCAACTTCTAGACATCGGCTCTTACTTGGTTAGGAAACTGGGACTTTCTGATTTTGAAAAATCGGTTCCTGCCGATTTCGATATAGTGGCTGCCATCCTCTGTTTAGGTGTTAAATCTTCAAAGGACGTAGATAACTATTGGTCACCTCCTGTTTACAACTTTTACTCCGATCCGCTTCCTTACAAATTAATTGAGGTTCGTGAGATACTTGTTGGATTACACTTACATACGAATTCGTTATTGAAATTATGGCCAGACAATTTTGTATTGAGAAGTTTAAAAGAGGCTACCGACTTGACATTAGGCATGTCAGTTTTTATTCCTGTAGCACAAATGTTAGCAAAATTTGAGCGTTTGTATCATTTATTGTCAGAATGGGAGAAGCTTGCCAGCCGGCAGTTTTCTCTGGAAAGTGATATGGATCTAGTTAAAAGCAAGATTATTGAGTGGAGACAATTTGAGCTATCGAATTGGAAAAATTTATTACAGTGGGAAGAGTATAAACTTGTGGAGAAAACGTATCCTCGACTTTACACTATTTTGGATTACGTTGTATTGCAGCCTCTATTCCAGAAGTATAGTTTGGACAGGTCATCTTTGAACGAAATTGCTTCGGTAATATTGCAATTTTTTAATGGCTTGAGTGTTGGAGAATATCGTCCTTGCCTCAGTAATTTGCTTACTTTCGCAAAACACGTGGAAGCCTTGAACGAATCGGGAGGATTGTGTGCTACTCTTCAACAAATTTATTCCTATCTTAAGTTGTTTGAAAATAATGTAACCCACTTTATTACTGTGCAGCGTCGAGATTTAGAGAATAGCATAAAGGAAAGAATATTACTTATGAGCTGGAAAGATACTAATGTCTATGCTCTCAAGGAGAACGCCAGAAAGAGTCATATGGAGCTTTATAAAACCTTGCATAAATACAGAGAGGTTTTGCGCCAACCTGTGACTCCTCATCTGTCTCAAAAGCTTAATTGGGAAATGTTACTCAAACCAACTAGCTTATCTATTCACAATTTTAAGGATGAGGTGAAGGTGGATTATTCCGGTTTGACTCTTGATAATGCTGTCTACGCAAACTTGCCTGCCAGATTTTACAATACAGAGTCGACTGTACGAGTGATGAAATCACTTTTGAAATTTTCTCACCCTGCTAATACCTTGTTTACGCAAGCAATTGATGAAATAGTTAGTAGCGCCCATGAATTGTTTAAGCTTACCCCATCTTCTGCTAATGATGAGAATATATCAGAGATCAAACACTTGAAAACTCGAAAGCATCTACTGATGGTAAACGCTTATAAGACCTTGCATGCTTTTGGCTTCCAGTACAGAGTTAAGGCAGGAGTAGAAGAAACGATGAAATCTCTCCAAAATCTGTTTTCGAATATACCTTCTTTCCCAATATCTTTCGATTTGATCGATGATTCAAACACGTCTCTTTCGACTGTTCTAGACTTGATTCCCAAAGTGCATCGACTCCCTGGTAATCAGCATGATGACCTTACAACTCCAGAAGTTACAAGGGCTATTGGACTTTTTGATAGTGCCCTAAGCTGGTTGCTTGAAGAACGATTGACCCTTGTCAAGTTTGCCGAATCTTTGAATCGTATTAAGCTTGCATATCAAGGTGTTGGAGTTGATGGATCTTTGAAGCTTAACTTTACGGCATCATTATTTAAACACTCCGAAAGTTTTAATTATAAAGACTTCAAAGATTATTTGAAGGAGCTATCAAGTTTATGTTCGATTTATTCTGTGGTTTTATCAAAACATCATCAAATAATGTCAAAAGATACTTATGCTTCTGTGTCAAGTTGTTTGTCAGAGTACAGTACGCAGTTCACAGAAGATACGATTGGTTCACCAAACCCTCTGTTTATATCTAGTGAACAGTATGATTGTTTAGAATCCATGAAGATGGCAGTAAATGGTTTAGTTTGTTATTGCAAAAATCATGCTTCTTCTATGCCTGAAGCCTTGTATTGGTCAAAATCCATGCTATCTTCTGTGAAGCCAGAGTCTGCATTTTTGGGCAAGAAGGTTACAGACTTAGATATTCGTTACTCTACATTTGAGAAGTTAACTGCTTTATTTGATCAATTACTGTCATCGGCAGAGGAGGTTTCAAAATGCGTTGATTCCCTAGGAAACGAAAACACTGACAGTACTCTATTTGATGAAAGTGCTTTAGTTAGCAAGCTTCTAGCATCATTTAAGCTTGATTTATTCGCATCTAAATTGTCCGATCTTAAAAAACATTTTGAAGATAAATATTTAGATGAGGATAGTACGCGTCTTTTCGTACACTTCCTCCCTGTATGTGAGCAGTACATCTTCTCAGCTGAGAAAGCTCTTACACATTTCTTGGTTAAACATGTGAAAGAGTCGCAAAGTTTGCATAAGATTGCATCCTTGTTTTTGATGGTGGCCACCAATGGTTACTGTACTCCTGACATTCCTCAAGACGATAATGTTCAGGAGGGCGGTAGTTTAGAATCTGGTACTGGCCTTGGTTCTGGTTCTGGTGCAAAAGATATCTCAGAAACATTGAATGAAGATGACGATCTTGAAGAACTTGCAAATGAAGAGGACACTAATGAACAGGATGAACTAGAAGAAAACTCCGAGGCTCGTGAACTTGATACAGAAATGAGTGGAGCCACTAAAGATGCGCCTGCATCTGACGCTGAAGAGAGCAATTCAGAGGAAGATGAAGAACTCGATGAGGAGATTAATAAAGACAATGAGGGGTTATCCGAAGACTTAAACGAAAAGATGTGGGATGAACCCAATGAAGAGGAATTAGGTGCGAATGAAGAAAAGTCGAACGAACAATCTGTTCAGAACAATACTGGCGAACTTGTTTCTAAAGAAGAAGAGAATGGTGATTCCAATGAGCTGGAAACCTCGGAAAACGAGAATAAAGAGGAAGAAAGTGACAATGAAGCTCCAGGGGTTGAGGATGAAGTTCAGCAAGAGGCTCCTGAAGATAATCAAAACCAACCAGAAAACAATGAAGTTCTTGAGCTTCCGGAAGATCTGAAACTTGATGAAGGAAATGAAGGAAATGAAGAAGAAAGCGATGGTGACGAAGATATGCCGGAGAACGTTGAAGATACTAAAGAATCGGAGGAAGCTGAAAAAGAAGATACAGGAGAGCAGGTTGACCAGTTTGAAGAATATGATGCACAAGACAATATCGAGGAAGATATAAAAGAAGAAGATGGCTTTACTTCTCAAGATGATGCTGTGAACGGAGAAGAACAGCAAGAATCGCAAGAATCGCAAGAAGTGGAAGAAGCGGAAGATAAAGAATCCCTCGAAAACGATAAAGGGCATCAGGAAAGTGAACCTGATGAGGAAGTTCCGGAAGAAAGTCATAACGAAGATGTTGCGGACGATTTTAAAGATAGTACGACTGGGCAGGACGATCAATCGAAGTCAGCATCTGCTCAAATGGATACTGATGAGACAGTTGAAGGTGCTGATGAGGATGTTACCGAAGGTGCTGCCGAGAATGGTGAACAAGGAGCGGGTGCTACTGCTGGAGAAATGCAAGCTGATGTTCAAGAAACAAACGATCAGGAAAATAAATTATCAGACGAAGCGGACTCTGCTGATAGACAGTATCAAAGTCTTGGCGATCAGTTGCGCGAGTGGCAACAAACTCGTCAAATACATGAGCGCCAACCGGAGAATGCTGAGAAAGAAGCGGCTGACCAGCAAAAGAATATTGACGAAAGCACAGAATTTGCCCACATAGCTGAGGAAGAAGAAGAAGATACTCAAGCTTTAGGCAACGCTGATAAAGACCAAGTCAAAAGCCTCAATGTAAATGAGAATCAAGAAGATATCAGCCCTCCTGAACCTATGGAGATTGACTCTCAACTAGATTTGAACGATACTCAGCTCAAAGAAGAACAGGAGGCGGGCGTAGAGTCAAAACAGGTATCCGAAAGTACAGATAAATCAAAATTTGATGAATTAAATACTCGAAATGTTATTCATCAACCTAATTTTGATCAAGGCTTGGAAGAATACGATGATACAGAAGATGCCTTAGTAAATGAAGGTATTATCACGACAACCAAACTTCCTCCTTCCATGTCAATAGATGAGGCTCGCGTGCTTTGGCAGCAGCATGAAGAATCTACCAGACAACTTTCTATCGAACTTTGTGAACAACTTCGCCTGATCTTAGAACCAACTCTAGCAACTAAAATGCAAGGTGATTTCCGCACGGGTAAGCGTCTGAACATGAAACGTATTATCCCATATATTGCATCTCAGTTCAAGAAAGACAAGATCTGGATGCGCCGTGTAAAACCTAGTAAGCGAACTTATCAAGTTATGATTGCAATCGACGATTCTAAATCAATGAGTGAATCTAAGAGTACGAAGCTTGCTTTGGAAACTTTAGCGTTAGTGACAAAATCTTTGTCTTTGCTGGAAGTTGGACAAATTGCAGTAATGAAGTTCGGCGATCAGCCGGAATTACTCCATCCTTTTGACAAGCCTTTCTCTTCTGAAGTCGGTGCTGAAATGTTCTCACACTTCTCTTTTGAGCAATCTGGAACAAATGTTTTATCTTTAACTGATGCATCCATGCGCCTGTTTAATTACGCCAGTACTAACTTGCAGGTGCGCAATAAGACCGATCAAAGACAGCTTGAAATTATTATTTCTGATGGTATCTGTGAAGACCATGAAACTATTCGAAGGATTCTTCGACGTGCTGAAGAAGAAAAAGTGATGATCGTTTTTGTTATCCTTGACAATGTTAACGATATGAAAAAATCATCCGTGCTGGATATCAACAAAGTTCACTACATTACAAAAGATGATGGAACTATGGAACTGAATATTCAACCGTACATTGATGAATTTGCTTTCGAGTACTACTTGGTAGTCAGGAACATAGAAGAACTTCCTCAATTGTTATCTTCTGCTTTACGACAATGGTTCCAACAAATGTCTAATACATAATCACTTCCATTTCTTTTTTATTTTTTTGTTAAAATATATACTAAGAAAAACATAAACCTATATTAAAAAGGATTTTTGGGTTGGTTTGGAAATTTTGGAAATTATAAATTAATTTAATAAATAATCATATTTGATCATTATAAAATACTAGAGACGTAGTCAAGTTACATTATTAGAGAACTTTATCATCAATAATTATTTTGAAAACAAAAACTACTCAACTGAAAACTTTTTTGAACTTGGATCTTTGTTTGCCTGTTGCAACCACATTTTCTTGTATACACCATTCTCATGCTTAAGCAAATCCTCGTGCGTACCGGTTTCAACAATTTTTCCGTTGCTAATACAAAGAATTAAATCAGCATTTGTGATAGTAGACAATCGATGGGCGATCACAATAGCGGTGCGACCAGCGGCAAGCCTGTTTAAAGATGCCTGTATGTGGCGTTCAGTGTTCGTGTCAAGTGCGGAAGTAGCTTCATCCAACAGAATTATAGTCGGGTTTTTAAGAATAGCTCTAGCTACAGCCATTCGTTGTTTCTCACCGCCGCTGAGTTTCAAACCCCGCTCTCCTACACGGGAATTATATCCGTCAGGGAATTCAAGAATCCGGTCATGAATCTGAGCTGCCTTAGCGGCTTCGTACACTTCTTCATTGGAAGCATCTGGCTTAGCATATTTTATGTTGTACATGACAGTATCATTGAATAAAATGCTATCTTGAGGGACAACACCAATTGACGAACGTAAGCTAGATAACGTGACGTCTCGCACATCTTGACCGTCGATAGTTATAGATCCATTATTTACATCAAAAAATCTCAATAGAATTCTCATGATAGTAGACTTTCCACCGCCTGACTCTCCTACAAGGGCTATTGCTTTACCAGGCTCGGCAACGAAATTGATGTTTGACAAAACAGGTTTACGGGGATCATAAGCAAAAGAAACGTCTGAAAATACAACTCTTCCTTCAGTAACCTTCAAAGGAGTAGCATCACACTTTTCAACCACAGTAGGCTGTTCTTGAAATATTTCAAGTAATCGCTCTGCATCAATAATACTATTTTGTAGAGAACGGTATAAGGTTCCAAAAAAGTTAAGAGGCTGTTGAAGTTGCATCATATAGGTTAGGAGTACCACAAAATCACCGACTGTATTATATCCATAAGAAACTTTGTAAGCACTTAACAAACAAGCAACACATAAACTAGTAGTGAAAATGCCACCCTGTATAATGTTTAAGAAGCTGAGACTAGAAAGAACAGTTTTTTCTTGACGAAGGTACGCATCTACGGCATCACCGAAACGATGATTTTCGAAATCATCAGCATCGAAGTTTTTAACAGTTTCATAATTCATAATGGCGTCGTTTTGAACACCATAACTATCCCGCCAGCTATTAACCATTCTTCTTCTGGCTTCGGTACGCCAGGAAGTGATTTTTACAGTAACGTAACAGTAGCACAACGTCATAACAAGTACTATAAGAGAGAAATAAACATCAAATTTGATGAAAAAATAGATGATCGCTACACCCAGATCTGTAAGAACAGGTCCAATCTGAAACAAAAGTTGCTCAACAAAGGTATTCACGGAGCTTCCCTTGGTTAATGCAGCCAAGACTTCACCTCCTCGTTTATTCAGATGAAAATCATAGGACAGATTAAGAACATGCTGTAAAGCTTTCGTAGAAAGTGCACGATAAGCATACTGCGAAACTGGAATCCACAGAAAAGAACGCAAAGAACCAATTAAACCCATATTTCCTTGGAGAAACCGGTAAAAAACGAAAAGAAAAACTTCAAGCCAGGGGACACCGTTATCGTTTTGAGAAAGTTTCTCTGTAACTACACCAAGTTGTCGAGGAGCAAGAATATTAGCTATTCTTCCGACAACTAACAGAGCAACACAAACAAAGACATGAAACTGCAGTCTAAAGTTTTTAACGGGCCATAAGTAAGGGAAAAGTATGGTGAAAGATTTAAAATAAGCAATCCAAGAAGTATTTATTTTTGGTTTTTTAGAGCCGTTTTTCTTGGCATTGGGAAGCGACTGGGAGGATTGCTCTTGAGCGAATTCTGGATCCAATTGATTACTGCTTTCAAACATTCTTCGTTCTTCGTAATCCATCGGGTCACGAGAAGGCCTCTTGCGACGATAAGTTACATAAATGGCAAAAGCAAAAAGACATAAAAGAAGACGAGCCAGGTGATCAGCCATAAGAATGCCCTGAAAGGTATCACCAGGGATAGGTGTCAATGCAAGGAAGACGGATTCAAAGACTGCTTCCGTTAACCAAGCATATAAGACATTGACCCTATAAGCAGAGAAAAAGGAATCGGCATATCTTGGTAGTTCAGATGTGTCTGTGCAGCTGATTAATACGATACCCCAAAAGAGTAGAGACAAAACAAGACACACCACGGAAGACTTATGGGGCCACCAATTAGGAGTCCTCAAAGCATAGATGACTAAATTGGCGATATCAATTACCTACAGAAAATGGGTTAATAAGTGGTACATGTAAAGACGAGCCCTTCAGTTTCAATTTGTGATACTGTATAGAGAAAACTGTCTATAAATTTCTAATAGAAGTATTCAACGGACAAAGGGCTGAATGTCCTTTATTCACAGTTACCATACATAAGTCAAAGCAACACCGAGAATCCACCAAGAGACGATTTTCAAAGGTTCTTTACCAAAGCGACTTGTCCTTGACAAAGTTTCAGAGCCCCGCCGTTGTTGCTTGATGGCCTTCAAAGTCCCAAGACCCAGAAAACCTGCGTACAAGCAGGCTACCTCGGCAATATTCAAATGAGGACTATCGTATCTCAAAACCATTTTTTGAAAATACAGTTATTTCTTCTCTAAAAAAGAAATAAAATATGAACAAAAAACTCACTGTTTTCGTTCAATTTCAATCGATTCTATGTTTTGGTCCGTTTTATATGGTTAGGTAATGATGGAAGAGTTATAGCCATATTTGTCTATAACCCACAGAAGGTCGCATAAGATCACAATATTCTTAAATCAGTTATTTCTGTTATAAATATCCCATTAAAATTACAAAATATGTAAAACTCAAAAGAGAGAGGGAAAAAAAAAAAAAAAAACACACTAAGTACGACTGAACGAAAGTACTTCGATATTAAACGAAACGAAGAGGACAGGAGCCATTCGATTACAAATTCTTTCCACTTTTCCTTTTGTATTCTGCGCATAAGTATTTAAGTAATGAAGAATATATCTGTGTCTGAGGATATATGTCATTAAAGGCAATGAAAATAAATGCAGAGCAGAACAGGAATTTCGCACGAATCTTTTTACTCTTTTAACGAAATTTATAAACAAAAAACATACACTTTCATCTGATTCAAAAAGTATCGGTTTTCTTGTTGCTTTCTTTTTCGGGCCTTTTCATCTGATATGATGTAACTTTTTATCTGCTTATTCGCTTGTTTTATAGTTTATATAAGATTTAGGGGTTCGCGCGTTCGACGAGTCATAATGAATTAAGCAAAACAAAATAATTTGTTAAAGCAAACGGAAACAAAACAAACAATAGCTGTGCAGCTTTTGTTCGAGCAGAATCTTTATAATGAATGAGCTTTTTCGTTCACAAATGTAACCATTTTCATGATGTTTTATTATCGGAAGCGATTCACTGATCATTTAGCGAGTTAATGAATCAACACCAGCAGGATGAGTGATCTTTCATTTTTGTAGCCATCGTTTCAACTGGTCAAGAAATAAGAGATACCATGGCATACTGGAAATTATGAATTTTATCGAACTGAAATAAGATTGCTCTTGAGCCAAGCATTTATTCATGCTCTTCTATTTCATTTCAGAAGTGATTATTTGATACTCTAGGTTATGATGAGATATCAATTACTAGGGTTACCTCATGTTGAAGAATGCATTTAATACCGCATTATTCAAAGGTGCTTAACGAGCGACCGATCTATACACCACATGTTTGTTGATATTTTTACAAAAAATAATGAAGAACAAAGTACAAAATTAAGTACTAATATATATTAAGCTCGAAATCGAATACTTTACTATAAGTATAGGCCATGTTTTGCCATTGCAATTTATTGTCACCTCTGCTACCTACTTTCAACACCAGCATTTTGTGACTTCAGCTTGTTACTTGATTCTTCCCTCACCTTTTTCTACAACGATTAAAATTTACATTCAAAAGGGCGAATTCAAGAGATATTGCATATTTTTTCATGTACATATAAACAAAGAGCTACATTTTTATTCATACGTGGTTTTTTAAAAAGATCTCTTCAATATAGGCCTTCCTTTGAAGATTTGGCTGGTTATTCGAATTCTACGCGCAACAGGTTTCCAAAAGATCTGTTTTTACTTCATTCTGTTTTTCTTAAAAACTACATACTTTCTCCTTTATTTGTATTGTTATCTCTTGTTATATTTCTATAACACCTAGCTTTACTTCTTTTTGGGTAAGTCATCATCATATCTTTCATTGTACGAAACTTCTTTCATGTCGACACCTTATGTGAATCCAAGCTTTTTACGAGGGCTGACCAAAGAAAATGTACGGACCATATACCGACGATGGCAATTCTTGAGAAGTCAGGGTGCTACGGAAGAGTCGAACCCAGAATTTTCGCATCTGACTTCTATTTTAAGGACAATTCAAAAGGTACAATATACGGCTCGTTTACAGCAGATCTCTCAGCAGAACCAACTTTCTCAGACTGCAAACATTGGGTCTTCAGCTATCAATGAAAATATTAGTAGAGACCAAAATCCGATACTTTCACGTGCGTCTCCGGCTCTACCTAACATACATCATAATCATGCTTCCAATACTGTCGCACCTTCCTCAGTCCCCCCAGATGCTTCTGCAAATCTCATAAACACAGGTGATGAGGTGTCTCAGCCCGATTCATCCTACCCTCTTCAAGGTAACACTACTACTTCTAGCTCGCTTTTTCCTAATAGTTATCCCGCAAACGTTTCAAGTGGTAATGCTATGAATCCACTTAATTATTATCGCTCCAATCTTCATAATACGGATTCGCCCATGAATGCAAATGTTAGTAATATGATGCCCAACCAATATGTTGGCCCCCAGTCATTAGATTCATCCTTCAGAGGTAACCCTTCGGGTTCTATATACGATAATCCCATTGATTCTACTTCATTAGGAAATGGAAATCGTCCTCCATCAGTGCCTAGAAACCAAACTCCTTCCTTTGATCAGAATTTAAACATGAATTCATATACTGGTAAAAGGTTAAGTAGTACAGTTCCTATGCAGCCCATCGTGGACAGACGAACCTCTTTATCCGTAAATCCTCGACGTTCTTCGACTCCTGGGTCATCTATGCCAACTCCACCGTATACAAACTATAAAGGAGAAAGTCTTCCACCGCATCCTATCACTTATTCTCCTTCTTTTCCTTCTCAACCAAACTTTCCCACCCCTGGTAATGTGAGTATGGACAGCGCTTCAGTACCTCCTCACTATTCTTATGGGCGTCCATCAATTTCTTCAAACTACCCTGGTGACTCAATGAATGGAAATCCATATGTTCCCTCAGAAAATACACTAAAAACTGGTGCTTCGGTAGCTTCTGGTGGTCCTCAAGTGGCCCCAGCGTCTTCTCCTTCTCCAAATATGTCTTCTTTAGATTCCACCTCAAAAAAAGAGTCTGTTACCAACCGTTTGCAACTGAATCAAGGTAGATCACCGGCTATGAACGCAAGAAATCCATATACACCCTCTATGCCAAAACCATCTCCCGTTCCTTTCAGCCCCGCTCAGCTTTCCTTGCTAAAGAATCAAATAATGGCTTATAATTCCTTGAATTCTCCATTCGGCCAAATTCCACAGCCTATTCAGAAAGCTGTATTTGGTAAAACCCTTCCTGAGGTTCCGGAAAATCCATTGGTAAACCAGCAAACCCAGTCAAAGCAAACGAAAGTAGCGAATCCTTTGACTTCTTCACTGTTACAAAAACAACCAACATCTGCAGATATGCACTTTGCTCGAAAGCCCAATTCCCAGCCCCAGTTGGAGACTGCAAGGTTAAATCCAAAGGCTGAGAGAGGCTCTTTTTCACCTCATATACCCAAAAGTGAAGATACTGTGAAACCAGTAGTTCCTTCAGTTGATTATTCGTCTTGTATCAATCCTAATAGCTACATTCAAGCTCCTATTTCGTATGAGAAATTTTCTTCCGGTGATAACTTAAAGTTAATTCCCTCTTTACTTTCTTCTGGACTACCTTGGGATTTTATTTTTCGTAATTCAGAGGTGGCTATTGCCTGCTCAGTTGGTAATAGAATTAATTCTCTGGAAGATCTTTCTGTAACTAAAGGGGAGACCAACTTTTCCGAAAAAGAAAGTTTAGATACAAAGCAGATGATAGAATTACGATGTCTACGATTATTACAAAAGCAAAGAAATTTACGCAATGCTGTTTCTTCGACAGTTCAACAGTCGGAAACATTGGCGGCTGGTAATCTAAGGAGTATGTTTCGAACAGTCAAACATCAAAGTTTACGGGAAGCAAATGCAACTTTAGCTGTTGCAGAACAGCAAAATAATGCCCATGTTTTAAAACAAAAGGAAAAGCTTTTTTCCCAGCTTAGGTCAATATTGCAACACGGGCAGTCAATAGCAAAAAAAGCGTCTGTACGAAAGCAAAAGTCTACTCATATAGGCAAAGATGTTATGTCCTTACATGCTCACTTAGAAAAAGAGGAGAAGAAACGTATCGAAAGAAGTGCCCGGGAAAGGTTGCAAGCATTGCGTGCTGACGATGAGGCCGCTTACCTAGAATTGGTTGATAAAGCTAAGGATAGTAGAATTACTCATTTACTTCGACAAACCGATTCTTATCTTGAATCTTTAACTGAAGCGGTGAGACTACAACAATCAACTATTTTTAGTGGTGACACTTCTGGAAAAGGATTAAAAGAACCTTTTACTGCATCAAATGAAGATGAAGATAAAATCAGTGTGGACTACTATAATGTTGCTCACCGGATTCATGAGGAAGCTGAACAACCCAATATATTTGTTGGAGGTAATTTAAAGGATTATCAGCTTAAAGGCTTAGAGTGGATGCTATCTTTATATAATAACAATTTAAACGGTATTTTAGCCGACGAGATGGGTTTAGGTAAAACCGTACAGACAATTGCTTTCATCACTTACCTGCTTGAGAAAAAGAATCAACCAGGCCCTTTCCTAATCATTGTTCCTCTTTCAACTTTAACTAACTGGAATCTTGAGTTTGAAAAATGGGCACCGAGCGTTCAAAAAATTACTTACAGAGGACCCCCGCAGTTAAGAAAATCATTACAAGCCCAAATCAAAAGTAATAATTTTCATGTTTTGCTAACCACCTTTGACTATATTATTAAAGACAGACCGTTACTCTCAAAAGTTAAATGGTTACATATGATTATTGATGAAGGCCATCGAATGAAGAATACTCAATCAAAGTTGACTAGTACTCTGTGTTATTATTATCATTCACAGTATCGCTTGATTTTGACTGGTACGCCTTTACAAAACAACCTTCCTGAACTTTGGGCTCTTCTAAACTTTGTATTGCCGAAGATTTTTAATTCTGTCAAGAGTTTTGATGAATGGTTTAATACCCCTTTTGCTAATACCGGTGGTCAAGACAAATTTGAGCTTACTGAAGAAGAATCTTTGTTGGTTATCAAACGTCTTCATAAAGTACTAAGACCGTTCTTGTTTCGGAGACTAAAGAAAGACGTTGAAAGTGAACTTCCCGATAAAGTTGAAAAAGTTATAAAATGCCCTCTTTCCGGTTTGCAGTTAAAGCTTTACCAACAAATGAAAAGGCATGGTATGCTGTTTGTAGCTGGTGATAGGGGAAAAACCGGGATGAAAGGACTTCAGAACACTGTTATGCAGTTAAAAAAGATTTGTAATCATCCTTTCATATTTGAAGAAGTTGAAAAAGCCATTGACCCCCTGGGTACCAATTATGACTTACTATGGAGATCTGCCGGTAAGTTTGAGCTTTTAGATCGAATCTTCCCGAAGTTATTTCAGACTGGTCATAAAACTTTGATGTTCTTTCAGATGACTCAAATTATGACTATAATGGAAGATTACTTACGTTATCGTAATTGGAAGTATTTGCGGTTAGATGGTTCTACTAAATCTGAGGATCGCTCTTCGCTTTTATCACAATTTAACGATCCGTCCTCTGATGTCTATGTGTTTATGCTTAGCACCAGAGCAGGTGGTTTAGGATTAAACTTGCAAGCCGCTGATACCGTCATCATTTTCGATACTGATTGGAACCCGCACCAAGATTTGCAAGCTCAGGATCGAGCTCATCGAATTGGTCAAACCAAAGAAGTTAGAATTTTGCGGCTTATCAGCGAAAAATCTATAGAAGAAAACATCTTGTCTAGAGCACAGTTTAAATTAGATCTCGATGGTAAGGTTATTCAAGCCGGCAAATTCGATAATAAATCAACACCTGAAGAACGCGAGGCTTTCCTTCGTTCTTTGTTAGAACATGATGGTGATGAGGATAATGACTTGAGTTACAGCGAGCTGCAAAATGATGAGTTAAATGAACTTATTTCAAGAACAGATGACGAACTTGAACTGTTTCGTACGATAGACCAAGAACGTGCTATTAAAGACATCTATGGAAAGGGAAAGCCCTTCGATCGCTTACTTTCTGTCAATGAACTACCTGAAATTTATAGAGCCGAAGTTGATCATGTTGTGCAGGAGGCATCAACAGATATGCCTTTAGACGCTGGACGTCAGAAAAGGCATAGAGCTTCGGTCAGTTATGCTGAACCAGGTTTCGAAGATGTATTTGAAGAAGGAAACAGGAATGATATGCCCCGTCGTCGTGGTAGACCGAGGAAGAAAGTTGCTTTGGATAATCTTAATTATTCTGGACCTTTGGTTTACGAGTCGCGTTCGAACAAAAGAACAAGTGAAGTCCCTTCTACGCACAAGTACAAGGCTCTTCAAAGGTGTTTGAAAGAGATCTACGAAAGCCTCTTTTATCTTCAAGACGAAAGCGGTCGTATGATTAATGGATTATTCTTGTACCCGCCCAGTCGTAAGCTATACCCAGATTATTATGTTATCATCAAACATCCAATTGCCCTTGGTAAGATTGGACGAAATATAAAGAATAATAAATACACAGATTTGCAGGGTTTGGTTTCGGATTTCATGCTTATGTTTAGCAATGCCTACACCTACAATGAAGAGAATTCTCCTGTATATGAGGACGCCAAATACATGGAGCGAACTCTTACGAGCTTGATGAAAAAAATTGAAGAAGAGAACATTCTTGAGAATTACGAAAAGGAAGAGTTAGCTAAAGAGAAAGTTGAGCCTAAAGATGATTTTGAAAAAGATCCTATAGAAATGGAAGAATCCAATATGGATATTGTTGCTAACGAGACGGAGTTTGAAATGGATCAGGATTTTGATGAGCTAACTTCTGAAGAGTAATTTTCTTGTTTATCTAATAGACTCGATTCCCTTTATGCTCGAATCTTAATATTTCCGGACGATGATAATGAAGCATAATACGAAAAGTGGTTTACTATAAGATTGCGTTCTTAAGATTTGTCTCTAATACGCGCCAATCGCTGAGAAAATGTGTATTTTAGTTCAACTTAGAGTTTGTTTTAATAGTTTATTAATGTTTTGAACAGTTTAATGATCATCAAAAATGTTCAGAGACTAGTAATAATGAAAGCCAGGATAAGTTTTCTTTTATTTTACAAGCTTAATTTATTTTTTTGCAGAATTCCGTAATAGGTTTTTGCTTTGAGTCGTAAGTTGTACTGCCTAAGTTTCGTATTCTTCGAACTCCTCGAAGATGGGAATTCAAATTCATTTCTACAGTCGTATTACCATCTAAATCGATACCAATCGAGGCATAGGAAGCATTACTCCAGGGAATAATCTTAGAAGGAAGAGGGGTTCTAACAGCTGCCAAGACAGCTCGCAAAAGAAAAGGCAGAAAAATACCATGTGAAACGATAACGACTATATCTGAAGTATCAAGTCCCGTTTCTTCTGCTTCTACTAATAAACTTTCGGCAAATTCCCGTGCTCTGTGTAGTAGTGAGTCTCGATTTTCTAAACCATGAATCTTCATGGGCGGTTCATTCGGTCTATAATTAGAAGTGAATCTAAAAGATGTTCCTTCCAATGATCCTAAATCTTTCTCACGGAGTAGACTGGAAGTGTAGATGGGACAATTCATTACTTTGGCAATCTCCTGAGCTGTTCTCTGAGCACGCTTCTGAGGAGAAGAATAAATGCAGCGAACATTCTTTCCCTTTAGAGACTTAGCAAGCTTCTTTGCTTGATTATATCCGTGTATGGTCAATTCACTGTCAATGCTCCCAGCCCTTATTCCACGAACGTTGTGCTCAGATTCCGCATGCCTTACTAATAAGCATGTGAATTTTTTTGAATTTGCGTTTGATGTATCTCTGCTAGTTTTCGAAGAAACATTTCTTATAGGACTTATTAACCGCCAAGATTCAGATTGCCTGCGCAAGGATACCTCAGCTAGTGGTTCTTCTTCAGCATAATCAAAGGGACTTTGTATAGGGCTGCTACTTTCTAAAGATTCCATATCCTTTCTCCTTTACTGTTACTGGTTTTTCTGAGGCTCATGAAACTCTCTTCACAAAGGCGTAAGTGCTTATATAAACGATGCCGGTGTTGTATTCGAATTGGGATTTGATAGAAAATTAAATTCGTCTTTCTTAACGGAATATATTAACTTGAGACACTAACGTATTTCAGCTAAATCTGACACAACCAGATTCTCTCCAAATGTTCTAAAACACGTACCTAAGGCTTGCTTTGAATTTCATTACCTAAGGATTGCTATCTTCCAAAAAATAAGTAGTTTAAACTGAGTGCTTTTCGATATTCATTTAAACGGGAGATTTTATAGATTTTGTGCTAAAGTCAGGATGATACCTAAAAAAGAAGGACTGTGTCCATGCTGCTAATCATGAGAAATAGCATCAGAAGTTTTCAAGAGCTAGAGCTTTATAAGATACATTCCTGTTATTCCATTCTGTGAGGGGTGCTTTGAATGAAAGAACTGTTTCCCTTGTGAATTGTCCAGTTCGTAAACCAGAAGTTCACAAGTCTTATTAAGCTAAATCACAATTACTTAAGTTTATAATTGATTCATGATCACTTAGAGAAAGTGTGAGCTTGATCCGTTTTTCAAACACATTCCATCAGCATGGATGTTTCCATAATACCAGCTAACGAGGCAACCTATGTTTTCTTGGCTAGGTGAGAAACTCACAAAGAAGTTTTAAATCAAAATACAGCCGGTTACTTGAACTACCTTGGTTTTCGAGATTGAGTATTGGTTTTCTTTCTTATATTCCCCATCTTTTCAACGGTGCTGCTATACTTTTTTAATCCCAGAATCTATCATAAAAAAAGAAGATAATAAATATTAAGGAAAGGAGTCCAAGCACATCTACACCTCCGATGCTTTTGATAGTCTAGTCTGTTTTCAAGTTTTCAACAGAGCTGGCACTTTCGACCATGAAATCGCACCAAAGCCTTTACTTTTATTAGAAAAGGCTTCTATTTTCGAGACCGTCCATTCCCTCTTAAAAGATTGACATTGACTTTAGAGATTGTATGCATGGTTTTCTGGAAATTACATTTCTAGCTTCTTCAAAGGTTTTTTTTTCAATGATTGAAATTCATTTTTTCAACTCAAAGACTTAGTTGGGTTACTCGCTGTTCTCGTTACTGTTTATGGGGTTGTTTGTATCTTCATCTTTCGCCTGCCTACAAGGAAATAAACCAAAGGAAAAGACATCTTGTTCTTAACATCTATCAAGCAAATAGCTCGTTTCATTCTGATCCTAAAGTTTTGCTTTCGATTGTTCACCTGCACGACGCATTGTACTCTACAGAATTTCCATGTATATTCATAACGAAACATTCATGTATTGAAAAACCAAATTTAACAGTTTTTAAAAGAAATAAAATGACGAATATGACCATACTGGTAGAATTTCATCCTTCAAATGGTTTGTTTATTAAAAGTGTTTTGCTATACCCTTTTACACTATACTTACAGTGAAACTGAAAAACCAAATTTTCACATTGTTGGAGGCGTATTAGGTGTTTTTCTTTCTCTCTTTGTTTATTTGTTTACATTGGGGTAATTCTACTTCAATTGCATTGCATTACACTCAACGACAAGGAAGGCTGAAAACATCTTTCTTCAACATTGTATCGTTTAATTTAACGAAAGCTACATTCTTACTATAGAAAACTCTCCTTTAATGAACGTAAGTATTGTTCCTTGAGCATAATTATTGAACTATTGTCTAAATCAGCTTTGGTATAGGACTCAGCATCTGAATCGTATTCTTCAACCACTATAGTTCCCTTAGAAAAACAGCATGAATTTACTGAAGAAAAGGAGAATTTGAATACTTTACAAGCAATGTCAATGGAATCGGGGAGGTCCTCAAAATCATCTGAATCTTCCTTAAGGGAAATTAGCTTGGATTACTCATCTCCTGGTCTCCAAGTGCAAGCTTCTATACCAGAAGAAGCAAATCCGCAGTTTACTAACACAAGTATGCTTCGTCCCACTTCACCTGGTGTTCGCAGCGAGACCGGCGCACATTCAACACAAGCAGAAAATCCTGCGTTTGGTCATTTTCGTCCTAATCCTTCTCCTGCATCCTCTTTTCTATCCACTGGATCAAATAAAACTTCTTCATCCTCTAGAGCTCCTCAATCCGAATTTGAGCAACTGTGGACTTTATTCCGCAGTCATGATGATCCTTCAAAAGCGATAAATGATTCTCGTATTCAAACCCTTATTTTTGATTTGAATCAGCAATGTGAAAGTGAATCCATCCCGGTGAGTCAGATTGACTGGCTAGAGTGGGCTTGTCTTCCATTGTCTGCTAATGAGTACTCTGCAAATTCAGAGACAGGTGCCTCAATCGCCTCAATTCGAAATCTCGTTTTAAAGAACCACTGGAGCGTTCCTTCACCCTGTAGAAAATCTGTCTGGCAGTCTCTTGTAACTGCAGAGCGTAATGAGCTTTTAACGTTGTATGCTACATTGAGTACCTCGATAAACTCATTGGATCCTATAATAAAAAGGACTATTCGAAATCATGCATTCCGGGGTCCGCTAGAACCATTCAAATATGCATCTCCAACTCGTGCAAAGGTATCAACGACTGGATTACTTCACGTAATCCATGCGTTTACATTGTTTGATACTACTGTTGAATATGCTTTAGATGCTTTACTGTGGCCTACTGCATCTCTTTTATCATACATGCCACAGGGAAACGCATTCCGAAGCCTTGCTTGTTTACTTGGAAAATCAAATTTAAATGAATTGTATGTAGCTAACTTGAGCTACTCTGAAGAGCAGCTATATGCCCTTGTTTGGGGATGCGTCAGTGATCTTTCACCGAAAATTGCTTTATCATTGCAGAGGATTAAAGCGCAATCTTTGAGACCTTTGTACCCGTCATTGGCTTGCTGTTTTGCTAACTTTTTACCACTTCAGAATGCCTTACGCATTTTTGATCTTGTTTTCTGCTATGGTTTGGAAATGTTTGTTCGTCTGATTGTAGTTATTTTCCTGAAAGATGAAAGTAAGCTGTTAAATCTGATGAATTTAGATCAATGGAATCGATACTTAAACTCTGATTTTGTCGGTTCTTATCGCCTTCCTACAACTCAAAAGTATACATTTTATACTCGCACACCTGTCGACGTTGATTCATGGATTCAAGATGCTTTCAATCTTCAGCTTTGCATTGATCGTTTTCCTTCTTATTTATCTTACCATGAAACTGTAATGTCTCGACAAATGTACCGCAGTAATATGTTAAACGAACTAAAAATTCAAAACAAGGATTTGGCTGAACACATTACTGAACTGGAGAGCAGGATGGTACTTTTAAATAGAGAAAACACCAAGCTTTCCGCCGAACTATCAAGTCATCGTGTTTTAAGAAGTGAAAGTGAGGAACGAACTGAGTACTTACGAAATTCTATCGCTACATTGGAAGAACAACTAAAACATCTACCCGAGCAATTACAAGAATCCCTGCAACAAGAAATAATAGTCTTGAAGAACCGAAATCGAAAGTTCGAAGAATCAAACGCCTCTTCTATACAACAAATCACTTACCTTAATGAAGAGTTAGAAAAAACTTTACGACAACTTCATGATCTAGAAGATAAACACTCTCAATTGCAGGCCAGATGGGATAGTGTTTCTAATATGTTCAAGAAATAATTTTTATTATAATTATATTATACATTGATGCATTGCATAAATACACTTCCTTAGATAACCTGATTTACTATAGACGCTGAATTTATCAAACCAAAAACAAAAACGTAAGAGAAAGAGCGATCTAGGTCATTTCAATTTCACAGCGATTCAATTGTTCTAACACGTGAGAAGGCATACGAAAATCTATTAATGAGCTGTACATTACAATTTTTCGTGCCTTCATACGATAGAACTGTAACTTTGTGTTCGCTATTGAATCGTTGTTGTAAGCAGACAACTTCTGCTTTTTATAAAGCTCATTAATACTTTTCATAGCGACCAAAATAATTCCGGGAATATTGTGTAGCAGGCTGTCATTGAGAAAACGAAATTCAGCTGCAAGCTTACGCACCACATGCGAATCACACTCAGTATCCAGAGGCAAAATTTCCAGTTGTTGTAAAGCAGACAAGACTTGTTCATAATCTTTGTTAACAAAAGCATGGAAAGCTTCCACAGTGAGTAGTAACAAATCCGTTGTCTCTCTATTCTTGTAATTTATTTTGCTGTAGATGGAAGGATTCTTTCCATAAACATTCATCATATTTTTGACTAACGAAATAAGTTTGTCTGGGAATACACCTTGTTCCATAAATCCTAATAATGCAGAACCCAAACTTCGATTAACAACGGAAATGACAGTATCATAAGCCTCAGCTAAATGATATAGTAAGATTGAGTCTGACCATAATCCTTGATCATCAGCAACCTTAGCAGAGTGTAAAGTAATTTTTGCCAGAAACTCTTCCTGAGAGGAAAGTTTTAATACCCAGTAGCGATTTTCCAAAAATCCAGCAATACGTTCTCCATCAGCACGAATGTCACCAACCAAATTAACATAATCACGGGTAATAAGGATTAGATTACTCAGAGCTTCATGACAGACAAAAGCATATTCTGCAACTTCACACATACTCATTAAATAACAAGCAGAAGTAACTGCATCAAATTCTTGCATACCTTTTACGTAGCTCATCAACATTGCTTCATATCGTAGGCTTGGTTGTTCTGAAGTATCATTCACAAGTAAAGTATCAAGAGGAGGCGAAGATTTCGGAGGAGCTGTATGCAGCAAGCCGTGATGCGCACATGAAATAGCAAAATGAACAGCATCTGTAGGATAATAAGGATATAAAAATTCAATAGCGCGTTCAAAAAGACCGCATAACATTAAAAGGAAAAAATACATCACAGGATAAGAGCCTTGTTTAGTAAAATAATCAGGGCCGTAAGACAATACCAATTTTTGAACATCTTGCAGAGAAAAACATTCGTGGGCGGCAACATTCTTTTCAGTAAATTCCCTTGCAAGGGTGAGCTGCAACCAAATGTAATCTTCAGTCACGAAGCAAACCGAGGGACAAGATGTCTTAGAAAGCTCACAACGGCCGATAATTTTATACATGGCATATTTGAAAGGATCAAAATCTTCTTGGAAACGGAGCGTCTGATTAAATTCAGAAAAGAGTTTGTTTCGCAACTCTTTAGGAATTACTGAATTTGGAGCTTTCAAATAAGCCTTCAAATAAGTAGGGAAATCGGCGGCTTGTCTTTCTTCAAAAAAGGTGTAATTCTGCTCAGCATACGTGACGGCTTCATCCAAAAAGCCCGCACGCAGCAGATAGAAGAGGAACGCCCAAATAGGCAAGTCCCCTAAATACTCAATATTCGAATTCGCCCAAACACCATTCTTCGAGAAACGAATGTTAATATATGCACGAATTTTATTTACGACAGAAGGTACACCTCCAATGGAAGCAGCCTGAGGGTTGTTTGCGATTTCTTTATTAACAACGTCGAAGAATTGTTTTTCCAAAAAACGTCGAGAGCAGTTGATTATTCTTTGATTTAGACGAACTTTAGAAGGGCTATCTTCATAGAAGGAAAATAACTGTGATTTGGGTCCGAATGAAGGATCGGAAGAACCATCATGAGAAATGAACGAACGCAATAGATTCCAAGTTTCATACAAGAGAAGAGATTTCGTGTCTTGTGATAGCCCTTTCGCAACCTGGCAAAAAGAGGAAATATAATTCGAGCCAGGAGAAGGCTGGGAAACATCGGAGAAACAAGACTTTAATGATGCTGCAAATGCCTGACTGCGAGCATTGTTTTGGGTAACGGTCACTAGCTTTTTCTCTTGAGGGGTAAAAGTATCGGGAGATTTCCTTACTCCTGGCTTCTTTCCCTGCCACTCTGTTTCCAGATACTTGTCAAACTGAGACTGCGCATCCTGAATAAGCGCTTCAAGTGAATGTAGCACATTTTTCTCTCTTTGATACTTTAAAAACATGTCTACGTCAGTAAAAGAAAGCTCGAGAGTGGTAGGAGGCTTCGCATGTAGCGACAGCGACTCAATCTTCTTCCAAGTTCTCTCTGCATTAATTCCACTTCCAGCGAGCAAGTAATGTCTGTGAAATGCGGTTAGTAATCATCTCGTAAACGTATTTTTCTATTCATACGCTTTCGTATTTCCATCTTTGCTTGGTGGAACGTGGTTATGTGACTGAATCGCGCGTTGCTCAAGTTGACCCAAATGTAACTGAATAAAAGGCAGAGACGGCTGTAACAGCTCACCTACAAGCTTCCGAGACTTTGTATCTAAAAAAGGCAGCGAACAAGTCGCTTTTTGAAACCTCTCCGGTTCTGCAGTCATGACACGGTTCAAGTAGTAAACAACAACTTGCTTCCTTGCGACTTCAAATCCATTCGGAAAACTCGGTGATTTGGATCAAAGGTGACCGAGAAAGCACCGAGTTTTCACGTTTGGTAATTTGTAAAAAAAACAGAAGAAATTGTAAATAAAAGAAGAAAAAGAAATAAAAAGGAAGAGATCTGCTGTCAACTCGAAATATGTCTTCTTCCTAAGGTAAAATACAATACAGTCATAGAAACAGGAGCAACTGCTTTCCTTAGATACTTTCTAGTAGATTGAAGAAAAGTTTGAAATCATTTTTAATAAAAACAATAAGAAGGAAGAGAAATGTGAATAAAATCACACCTGAGAAACCGATAAGACAGTATAGACTTTATATAAGTGAATACGTTACAAGTTACCCCACAACTATCGTAGGAAATACAAAAAGACTTTTAAGAATAGAAGAGTCAGCTAGTCTATTACTCTTGACTTTACCTTCTTACCTCCTGAAAGGACAAGTGATTCTCTCATAACAAAAAACAGTACAACCATATTCATTACATACTAAAATGTTCGTTAGTGCATGAATAAAAATCATTTAAATCTTACTCTTCCACTGCCCACATTTGAGCTTCGTGTTCGCGAGCTTTTCGCTCATTCTGTCGCTGAAACCAACGATTTTCAAATCCGTTGCTCCGAATGATACCATCCCATCGATGCCCAGGGCGAATGTTAAACCTGTTTGGAGGAGCATATCCTTGATATGCCTTTGTAGCGGCTGTATTCCGTTTCGTCAAAAACGCTGCGGCAGGGTCATTCCAACGAACCCTTTCTTTAAGCTCCTGGTTATATTCTGGATCATCTTCATACCTTGAAAGAGGCACGTTTTTCTGTCGTTCTAATTCTTCAAGGTATTCTTCTTGTTGGCGAACTTGCACTTCACCAAGTTGGTTTTCCTTCTGACGCCTTTTTTCCAGTTCCTGTTCGGCTAATTTCTTTCGTGCTTCCTGGCGTGCAAGAGTAATATCTATACGCCTACCTGTAGCATCCCGGTACACTGTTTCTTTGCTTTTGCGTACTTCCTCGTCCGTCATAGCGAACATCTCCTGGTTTTCCCGTTCACGCTGCCGCCGTGCTTTTTCCGAAACTTGTTTACCAGTCACTAATCCATACCCAGGACCATTCTCCATTGATTCGTTTACCGGCTCTCTTCCTTGGCTCCCCTCAGTGCTTCCTACAGGTTTCCAACGTGATGTTGTTGGAACAGTCGCTTCCTGTGCTTTTTGAACAATCGCAATTTCATCTAAATCTTTTATATTTTCGTCTTTAACAATCGTAGGTTGATCCTGTAATAAAGTAGCCTCTTCTGAATAGCCAGCTAGTTCATCCTCATTTCTCCATCCAGCAACATCTTCATCTTGAATTTCTACAAAATCTGAGGATTTAGACTTTTTTCTTTTCTTTCCAGTGTCTTTTTTCAAATATTTCCTTGCAATATACTCTGCGTTCGACATAGTTGTTTAGTGTAGATATATCACACTTATGCACAATCCCTTTACCATCTTCCAGTTCCTCAGGGAGATCGTAGTTTAAGCTTTTCTTGTTACAAGATGGATATTAAAGATACGAAACCCTTCTCGAATGTTAAGCAAGAACCTGCAGATGTGAAAGAACCGAAAGTAGAAGAGAAACCTGCTCAAAATACACCTCCCCCGCAAAACCAACAAAAGTTCCTAGATTTTCAACTATCTTGGTGCCCTAAGAATGAAAGAAAAACTGTAAACCACCATTTATTAAAATTTCATTCCAATAAAACCATTGACCCTACGAAAACATTTGTGCCACCCATTAAGATGCAAAGAAGAGATCCCCATGCCTCCTCTTCATCAAACAACGAGCAGCAGTCTGCTGAACCTGGAAGCTCTGGCAATGTAGACGTATCTTCTATTGCTCCTTATGGTGGAGCTCAAAACATGAAGCAAAACGCCTTTAAACGAAAGACCCGCCAAGTTGTCAAGGTGGATCCACAAGTCCGCAGACTCCAAGAAGAAGAATTATCGCCTTGGATAATGGAGGATTTTGAAGGAAAAAACACTTGGGTTAGCACTATGGAAGGCGGTCAATCCTCTGCCTATGTCTTGTTTATGTTTTCTGTAGGTTTTTTCATTGGAGAAATTTCTCCAACAAGCCATTCCTGTGTAAAATGAAAGGGTTTTTTTGCTAACAAGTTTAGGAGAATGGATTCAAGGTTATTCCAGCCGATCGTTTCTATCGATTCAATCAGCGTAATAATTTTCAAACTCTCTCTATTGATGAAGCCGAGGCCAAGGTAAGTTTATGGGTTATTACCTTATTTTATTAACAATTTTTTAGATGAATAAAAAGACTCCAATTCCTCGATGGTTTATGAAAAAAGATAATGAGCAAGAAGGATCTTCGGAGGGCACTGCTTCGCCTATGTACCACCTCAAAACAGTTCCCAATGCTCGTACCGTTTCTGGACCTAGGGCTACGGGAAGTGATGATGAATTAGATTTTGATGAAGAGTTTGCAGACGACGAGGAAGCGCCGATTATGGAAGGCAATGAGGAGGACAATAAACAGTTGGAAGACAAGATGAAAAAAGAAATGCTTACTGCCAATTTATTTGGTGAAGCTGAAGAACCTAACGTTGAAGCGGAGCAAGAACGCCAGATATCTCATGAAGGTAAAAAACTTCAACGTTATCTCAAATTACTTGAGAAAAATCTGGCTTATGAAAGTGACGAGGAAGATGAGAACCCTTATGCTTCACCCAACGAGGCTAGCAGCGAAGAAGAGGTACTTAAAGAAGAAGAAGAGTTACAGAAGCGTGAAGAAAAAGTTAAATCTCGTTTTTCAGCTTCAAAAGCTACTACCCCCAAACCGTTGGGTACCCCTAGTACCAATTTAAGTCCTCAACGTCCAGTCTCTCGACTCAGTTCGCCTTCTCAGTCTTTTGTACAATCAAGGACTTCAGAGCCTATCGTTAAAGGACCCGGATATCTTGTTTTACGAATCTCAAGTGAAAAACTTTCCCGGTTTGCTTCTGACTTTCCTCCTCTTCGTCCTAAAATAACTACTGCTCCCGCGTCTGATGCAACTGTTGGAGCAGAGGGAGCAGCGAATGTACCTACAGACGATTCCAATCTCATAACTGATGCCGAAGTCATAGAAGCTCTCAGGAATGGACCTATCACTATTAAAGATTTGATTCATCTATTTCAAGCCAAGTTTAAAGCAGACACCAGAAATCGTACGGTCATTCAGAAGGTTATTCGAAAAGTTGCCAGATTTGAAAACAAGTTGTTGGTTTTGAAATAGAACTGAGATAGTTCGTGTAATGGCCTTGTGATGCTATTATAATGGTTGCAGAAATCAGTCTTCGTCAAGAACACGTACATTTTGTCGAAAAAGGAGATAAAAAAATACGTACATTTTTGGTTGTTAGGAAAGGGACACTAAGTTATGAGAGTATGGAATGAAAAGAAATTATTTATAGGAATGACCAAGAACACTTCATTTACGATAAATAATAAGTTTACGAATTTACTGGTTTTGTAACGATATATGACTGCATAATAAAAATGAATTAAGATTACGTAAAGAAGGTTTATGCTTTCGCTGTAAAATTAGTAACCGCTAAGTAGAAATCATTAGAGAGGGGGTTGTTAAGTTGAAGATAATACTAATGAAAATCAAAGAGGAAGCTCAAAACTAACGTTGATATTGGCTTCACGAGCCATTTCAACGACGCGGCTGTAACGGCAAGCTTTTTGGGCGGCTTCATCAAGATCGTCGAAAGAGAAAATACGAAGACCAGAGTTGTTGATAACATCCTTGGCAGCATCCTGGTTAGTACCTTGTAAACGGCAAATGATAGGAATGTTGAGATTCAAACCAGAAACGACAGAGATAAGACCCTGGGCAATGACATCGCAGCGAACGATACCACCGAAGATGTTAACAAAAATGGCAGTAGTCTTGTTGTCCTTGGTAATGAGGGAGAAGGCCTTACGGATAGCCTCGGCATTGGCATTACCACCGACATCCAAAAAGTTAGCAGGTTCACCACCATGAAGCTTAATAATGTCCATAGTGGCCATGGCAAGACCAGCACCATTAACAAGGCAACCAATGTTACCATCCAATTTGATAAAGTTCAAGCCAACCTTGCCAGCTTGAGCCTCATCAGGATCTTCTTGGGTAATATCACGCTGAGCGAAGATATCAGGATGACGGAATTCTGCATTGTCATCGAAGCTAAGCTTGGCGTCCATACAAAGAACCTTTTGATCGGTAGTTTCGGCGAGAGGGTTAATTTCAACTTGCGTAGCATCGCAGTCATTAAACACCTTGTATAGTTTGGTGATAGCATCGATTGCTTGTTCTTTACAAGCAGGAGTGAAACCAAGCTTGGTAACGACTTCATCTGCGATAGAGCGATCCAAAGTAGGAGTATTAGGAAGGGAGCGTTTGATAATGGCACTGGGGTTTTCAGCAGCGACACCCTCGATATCGACACCACCTTGATCGGAAGCAACAATCATGGGACACTGTTCATCACGGTTCATCAAGATGGCAAAGTAGTATTCACGGCGAACGTATTTGCGTTCACAAACGTAAACACTGTTACAAGGCTTGCCAGCAGGACCAGTTTGCTTGGTAATGAGCTTATGGCCAATCATTTGCTCGGAAAACATTCTTGCTTCAGTAGGATCATAGACGGGACGAACACCGCCCCGGAGACCACTTTCAAACTGACCTTTACCACGACCACCAGCCAAGACCTGGGCTTTCACAACCAAATCACTAACACCAAGATTACGAGCAACTTTCTCCGCTTCTTCCCCCGTTCTGGCGACACCACCACGGGGAACATCAACGTCGAACTTTCTAAGAACGTCGTGTGAAAGATACTCATGAAGAGCCAAGTTGCGCTTCTGCACATGAGGAGTAAAAGTACGTGCCGTTTTTCTTAAAATACTTCTTGACAACATATTGCACGACAAATTTCTTAAATCAAAGCCAAATTCAGTAAAATTACAAAGAGTGAACTGAAGGATATACGAGAAACACGTAACTAAATCCAATAGATATTCCAAGAAGCTGGAGACGTTCCCCAAAAACTAAAGACTTCTTGGTAATTGTTAGCTGGCTGAAGCCTGCTCAGAGTTGTTTAACTTCCCAAGTAACACTGTATGCCCAACGAGGATTCCATTCCGCTCGGTAAGTAGTAAACAAAGGAACTAGCGTTGAAAGGAAACAAAAGGGATTGAAAGAGATGGAAAAGAAAAGAAAAGGATTATGAAGTGAACAGTTACGGGGAATATCTCTTTGATTACAATCCAATCCTTGTACAAAAGGGAAACGACGAAATAGCAAGGCTAGACATAAAGACAAATAGGAAGAAAGAAAGAAAATGAAAGAATTGAAAGAATAGGAAGGTGAAAGCTATCGTCTTTTCCTTTTTGCAAATTACTGGTAACATATTAATCTACCTAGTAGGGACGCTGTAAAATGATTCGATTCTTCAGTCTTCGTTGGGAGCTTCCGCCTAGTTGAAACGCAAATTTAAGCAATGAGTAGAAAAGGAAAGTGTATTTTTATATTCATTCTGACATTTCGAATGTCATGAGTCATCGCTTCTTGCTCTCCCTTAAGAAGTCGAAGTCGAGTCATCGTTCGAGGATGCACAAATGATATCAAGGGTTTCATTTTCTTTATGGATGAATCCAATCTTCTTACTCTTGCTATAAAAAAATGCAAAAAGTCCCATCTTCGATAGATTAACGTACTATTTTGATATTGCCATATATTTATTATAGTATACATCTAGTATAATAATACACTTTATTATACAAATCCCAATACTATCATATCGAGATACGCGAAATAGTAAAGAATGAAACATGAATGAAAGTAGCCAGGAGCATGCCAATGAAGCTTTTTTTTATGGACCTATATCCAGTGTCCCAGGGGAACTAACTTTTTTTTTTAGAGCGTCGTCATACACAGACACCTCATGAATTGCAGAAGCGCACAGAATCCGTTTCCTTGCCTAAATTTCTCCAATTTTCTGATACGAATTGTCAACCACTTTCCCTTTAGCATATTTCGATGGATAGAAAACTCTGGTTTTTGCTTTGTACAATATCACAAGAAGCCAAAGATACCATATTCCAACAAACTCTCTTATCTCTAGTTACTACAGCAATGGAACGCGAGAACACAAAAACAAAAAGGAAGAGAAACGCTTCCAAAACGCAATTCAAACGTGAATAGCAACAAGAGATTGATATAGAAAATCTCTTTTTTTGATTTCTTGGTAGGAATCATGTCATGGCTATTTAAAAAAGTAAGAAATTGTTAGGAGATGTACTGCCTCAATGCTTTAATTCCATACTAACGAGAATCTGTGTAGAAGAAACAAGTTGACTTTGGGGGGGAGTTAGATCGATTGGAAGAAAGGTTAGATGAAGTGCAATACAAGATTGAAACCTTGAAAGAAAAGAAGAAAAACATCCAGTTTCGATACTCCATCCTTTCTTTTCTGATTTACACAGTAGCCGCGTCTTTACGGGCCTATCGGTCTTCTCTTCTTGTTGACCATCGTGTGCTTTCGACGTCTCTATGGATCGTCTTGTATTTATTGGGTGTTGGATTGTAAGTGGAAAAAAGGAATCCCCTTGGGTGGGACAATGATCTTGTTTCAAATCAGACTTCCCTGTGTGGAAGCCGTCCTTGCAGTTTAACCTTTTTAACTAACAATAATAGACTCTATCTCCTTCGACACGGCATAGCTTGGATTTATGAGCGACGGCTGCGGAGGGCTAACTCGCGTCGACGTAAGTTCCAAGAAGAGAAACGCCAATTATTAGATGCTTTGAAAAGCCGAAAGGAGTATTTTGAGACGCAGGCTTTGTTGGAAAAATATGGTGAGCAATCCCCTCGATCCAGAAAACAAGTCGTCGATTTTGGGAAACGTAAAGGAAAGGGAGGATCCGGTGAACCAGGAGAGCTGCCTGTAGGTATTCTTCCAAATTCTTCTGTCAACGATGCGCAGTCTCAGCATTGGTACGACAAAGTGTTGGAAGGTCTCGTGGGAGCAGATGAGAGAGAAGAGCAAAACCGAGAAGCACTAATATGTCAGCATTGTTTCCGTCACAATGGTCTTGCTTCTGTTGGTGAACGAGCAAAGTTTGTTCGTTATGTCTGTTTGTACTGCAAAGCATGGAATGGTCCTTCCTTAGACTCGGATCGTTCCTCGTTGAGTTCCTTGACTCCAAGGAGATCTAAATCTACTTCATCGTCGAGTAGATTATCCGAGTCTCTCCCTGTAGAAACAACCCCTGTACCCGAGACGAAGCAGCATCCTGGTGACTTACCTCTTTTAACGTCAGATGTTTCTCCAACACCTATCCCTTTTTCTGCATTTTCTTACCGGAAGAGTCTTGTGCCTGCTACTCCTCCAACGTCAGCAGCTGCTATGGGTGCTGCGGATACGGACTATCCGGATGTCTCTGTTGATAGTATTTATGATTCCTTTCATACAGTAGCCAATGATGCGCCTGACGTACTTAGCCCTATACAAGAACAAAATCGATGAATGAACTATGCTGATAATTTTATGACGGACTTTATCGTGCAATATATGATGGTCTTTTTTATATACTCCTTTATCTAACTTTTTGTTTGTGATCCTTCTACTTTTCACTTTTTCGACACGTCCATAGAAACGTACCTTTTTATGATTGTGTTTATAATATCTATTGGTTCTTTTTCGCACTTAACGCTACGACATCAAGTAGTTACTCTATAAATTCCCGTCTCTTTGTATCCGTGGAAAAGCGCAGTTGCTTCTGTAGATAAGCCTACTTCAAAAACCGGTCTTTCCCCGAATTCACATGCCCTTACTTTGAAATATCATCAGCTTCCTGCTTGTGTTCGACTTTTTATCGTCGGCAAATGTTCGATAGCTTTATGTCGGGAATAATACGAATCAAAGGACTGAAAATGACCTATGCACCTTTTTCATTTACAAACAAAATACCAATACATTACTATTTTATTCTTCACTAGACGCACGAATTTTCTTTAAATTTTTGTCTAAAGGTAACCAAAAGGGGTACAATGGAGCTTAGATAGCACACAAGTTGATTCCTTGTATAAGAAAATATTAATCTTTTCCTTTTGCATTCTTTTCTTCTACAAAGGTACAATTCTTTTCTATGCAAAAATCTTCCATGGTTTCATTCCCTGCTATTACTATCTTGTTTTGCTAGTTACCTTGTGGGTAAATCCACTTCATCGAGTTTCCCTTCGAGTTTACCCAGCTAAGGGATGGGGATTCCCTTCTGTATATTCTTTTGAATTAGACAAATAAGGCGTATCTACTCATCGTATAAAAGCCTGTATCTCACTCTTCATCTTTCTCCTGTAGACTTTTTCCATTTTCTTTCTGTTACTTGTTTTGTCACTTCTTTTCTGTTTTTAGCCGCGGTAAGTAAAAGGCGTTGCCTCGGTATTACCACCCTAATTAGTGGTCAATATTTAAGGCGTAGACAGGGTAAAGATTGTTTGCTGGTATACCACAGTGAAACTGTATGTTCATTGAAAAATACAGAAACCCACCTTAAAAAGCTATTGAATATAGTTTTAGAATTGATTCTATCATTTAACTGTTTCATTGCCGCAAAATACTCATATTTCAAACCTCAGTTCTTTGGCAGAAATTTAATTGAGAACTTGTCGTTTCACAAACCCTTGTCGTGTCCAAGACCACCATGGCATCCAATTCTATCAAAATTTTCGCGGGAAATTCTCATCCTGAACTTGCTGAGAAGGTTGCAAAACGGTATGTTGAGCATTTTTTGTGAAGCTTTCGTGATGACGGTTGATGGAGAAAGAATGCGAGAACGAGAGTTGGAGGAAGATATTGTCAAAGCGACGGGAAAGAAGAATGACTAACGAAATCTTTTGTTTAGAATTGGACTTAGCTTGGGAAAAGCTGCTGTCGTCCAGTATTCGAATCGTGAAACTTCCGTCACCATTGGAGAATCCGTGCGAGATGAAGATGTCTTTATCCTTCAGACTGGTTGTGGCTCGATTAACGATCACCTGATGGAGCTGCTCATTATGATTAATGCTTGCCGTTCTGCTAGTGCTCGTCGTATTACTGCAATTATCCCCTGCTTTCCTTACGCTCGTCAAGACAAGAAAGACAAAAGTCGTGCTCCTATTACCGCTCGCCTTGTTGCCAACATGTTGCAAACCGCCGGTTGCAACCATGTAATTACCATGGACCTTCATGCTTCTCAAATTCAAGGCTTCTTCAATGTCCCTGTGGATAACCTTTACGCCGAACCATCCGTATTGCGTTACATCCGTGAAAACATCGATACAAGTGTCAATCCTGCAGTTATTGTCTCTCCTGATGCCGGTGGTGCTAAGCGCGCGACTGCTTTGGCCGACCGCTTAGATTTGGATTTTGCATTGATCCACAAAGAAAGACAAAAGGCCAATGAAGTTTCTCGTATGGTGTTGGTTGGTGATGTTCGTGACAAGCTGGCCATTTTGGTCGATGACATGGCCGACACTTGCGGTACTCTTGGTTTAGCTGCCAAAACATTAAAAGACAATGGTGCAAAGGCTGTTTATGCCATCGTCACTCACGGTATTTTGAGTGGTAAAGCTATCCGTGTCATCAACGAGAGTGCTTTAGAGAAGGTTATTTGCACAAACACCATCCCTCACGATGACAAGCGCAAAATTTGCAATAAGATTGAAACTATCGATATCTCTGGTGTTTTAGCCGAATGCATCCGCCGGATTCATCACGGAGAAAGCGTTTCTGTTCTGTTTAGCGTTGCTCCTGCATAAATTCCCTTACTGACTCAGTAACTTCCTCCTTTCTCCTCAATTAACCTATCCTTACTTTCCTTTCTTCTAAGTTAGCGTTCACCTTTATTCGTTTTTGTTGTGTTAGTATGGTCTGCTTTTGGAATCTAACTTCTTTATGTCTATTTTAAAAAAATTACATATCATTTGATCAGTCCCCTTTTTTCTATTTCCTTGTCGAAAAGCAGTATTTGACGATGGAAAAATTTAGAAATATTCGGTGTTTTTTGAATCGTAGTAATGTTTATGAAATACAATTAAAAAAAAAAAAAAAAAAAGAATAGTTATGCTATTCTTATCCTATCATCTTAATACAGTCTAGTCTTCAAACTCAAGCATCAATAACGGTTTCGATTTTCTTTCGAAGATTTTGATATCGTCCCCGTCGCTGGGGGTCTACTTGCTGAAGGGTATTTGTCAAGGAGATCCATGTAGCTTCTTCTTCTTTCGTAGGTTGGTGATTCAATAATGTTCGAAGTAAGAGTCCGTACTCAATAAGAAGTTCGCAACACCCTACAAGATCACAGGTTAGTAGAAGGAAAGACGGTTGCAATCGACCAGGATAACTGACTACCTGTCCTGAAGGGATGCTAATGCTGTACTTACATTTGTTTTCAGGTTCAAGTTCATGTAATTCCTCAAGAAGCTGGATTTCTTGTCTGAGGTAATGGGTACGCTCTTCTTTTGATAAAACAGACAGGATGGGAGGTTCACCAACTTGATTGCAATGACCCATGAGCCAACGATGATAGATCCATATGCTGGAATCATCTGGATCTGTAAAGGCAGCTTGATGGATCGTATCCAATTCTGATAAACCGTTAGAAATTTATCCCATAGTACAATGAGGGAATTAAATTAATTTAAGGGAAAATAACTTTACCTTCTTGCAGGATTTTCTGTGCTAGTTGCTTTCGAGACTCAAAGTCAGTTTCTTTCTTGATAATAAACTCGAGCAATTTTGTACGGTTATGCCATGCTGAGAAATTACTGAAATTAGTAGCAATCGCGCTTGAAGTATACTGTAACTCTTTTTCCGCCAAATCATAATTTCCTGCTTTTTCTATTTGAGATACAACGTATCGTCTATAATGCCATCCATGAACTATACCAAGTTAGTTAAGTAGCTAACTATAAAAAAAGCAAAACCACTTACAATTTCGAGCATCAGCGCTTAAAAGCTTTTCAGTTATCATCATTTCGTAATTCCAATTGGGATACGGAGCATTTTCAAGACACCAACGTCTATGGTTGAATATCCAGTAAACTTTAGGGAACACCTTCATTTTTGATAGGACATACTGTAGCTCTTTGTCCAACAAATCTTGCTTCTCATTGACAGATCTAGTACAACCGTTAGTAGCTGATACAACCGTATAAACAGTTGCGATAAATGTCGTATCATACACATTTGGAAAGACGGTACATAGGTATATTTCTCTTCGGTAATTCCACACGCTATATGTTTCAGGATTCCAATCCAAAAGTTCGGTGGTCAAATTGAGCTTTTCAGAAGAATAGTCTTTTTGTTGTCTCTTGATATTATTAATATTTTTTAAATTTAAGTCAGAAGTCAACATACCGCTCTTTGAAATTGCTCAATTAGGCCTTTGTATTCTTGAATTTTACTTCTTTCCTTCTCGAGTTTCAAGCGTTTTTGCTCCTCATTTAACTTTACTCTTAAAATTCCATGCTATCTCTAGTCAGTTTCTCATGTTTTTAGCATTTTCATACCATTGTACCTTTGCTGATGAAATTGAACTGTATGGATGCTTCCTGTACGAACAGAGCAAAAGCGTAACAATGAAGCTGAAGTATACCGAGTTTTCCTTTTAGTGTACATGTAACAATTCAATCCAAATTTTAATATTTCATTCTCTCAAATCTTGTCTGATTATATACTGTTATACTAGATCCAAATAGATTCTGTATAAAATTGGCAAAACCAAATGGTAGCCAAAGAGTATTAAGAGAAAGGTTCTAGTATAAGACATGGACAGAAAATTGACCTTTCTATCAAGATAATTCTTACCCTTGACATGAATACTAGAAGAGACATCGTTTTCAAAGATTGCATATAACCTACTAAATAACGTCGAATGCTTCAGAATAAATGAGAAGATTTTTATTGTTCTTTATTCATTTCTATCTTGTTCAATTTGAATTGCAAAGGAATTGCATCCAAGCAAATCTGAAAAAACCTGTCAACAAGGCAAATCCTTACTACCAAGCAAACCCAGAATAGAAATAATTTAAAAAAAAAGAATTAAATATCTAACTAATTTTTTTCAGATCTCAAAGGTGATACATTCATAACCGTTGAATCAAATCTTGCAAATGAAATTATCGCGTGAAATCTAATCCCGTGAGCAAATGAATATAATCCTTTCAGATATCAGCAATAATTTAGCACTATGCTCATCATATAATTCAATTCCTCCTTGCTTTTATGGATTGTAACCGTCTGTTCCATCAATTTTGTATACACCTAGAACGCTCGAAAGACTAGACACTCGAGAACAGGAGAAGATTACTGATTCTTTTTAAATAATCAGTAGTAGCCCCTTTCCTAGGATAATGAAAGCGATCGAAGGATTTCTTCGAAAGATATTTCATAACAAGCTTTCAGCGGTCTCAAACAACAACAACAGTAATATAGTCTCAGAATAATTATATAATTAATTGAGTAGTTACGTGTAACTTGAACTCTTTTGAGGGTACCGATATGATATATAAACGCGTCTTGACAAATCCATCGTAAACACACCACACCCCAAGATTCACTTTTCATAGAAACAGAACTCGTTTAAATAAAATAAATATCTTATGGAATTGAAAAAGAAACAAGCTTTAAAATCTCCTGGAAGGCTCTGGAGAATCACGAAAATAAGAAGAAACACGACTTTAAATAAAACACGCGTGAAAAAACGAAAAGAAAGCGATATTAAACCTTCCAATAAAACCAATTTCAGTATAAGGAAATGTTTAGACAGATTTATTCCTTCTAATGCCAATGCAGAGGCATTTCGGATTCTTGATAATTCGCAGCATTGGCGAAAGCATAAACATAAGGAGGATGTCTTGCCAAAGATGTTAAATTTAAACCTTAGTGGTGTCTTAAATTATAAGATATTAGATAAAAGAGAAAATCGCACATCAAAAGGGCTTATTGATTTTTCTGAGAGACAACTCCAAGGGTCTCGTACAAATCAAGGCCCATTAAATCAGTTTCAGTTTCAGGAACAACATATTCATTCTTCAACACAACCTTATCAAGGTGCAATCCATGAATATCCTGTTCGCATATTGGAGGCACCAGGGTTACTCGACGATTTTTACATTTCGCCGTTGGCCTGGTCAAGCCACGGAGAACTAGCCGTTGCTCTGAGACAACACGTATATGTTTGGGATGAATTGTACGGTACGACTATACTGGAAATGCGGCATACAGATTATGTTGTAAGCAGCCTAGCCTATTCCGCAGACGGAGCTTACCTTGCAATTGCTCGCGTTAACGGATCTGTTGAAATTTGGGATCGACAATATTTAACTGAAACACCTGAATACTGCTTTCAGCATGAGGGCGATATAAGCTGCATGGCTTGGAGCCCCACAAATTCAACTTTACTGGTCGGTGGAAGCATGGGCAGCATATATATCTATCATAAAACAAAAAGTATGATGTGCCGACTGTACACAATCAAACACATACATCAAGAGCAGGTTTGCGGACTCGAGTGGAATTACGATGGCACTCAATTCGCTAGCGGGGGAAATGATAATTTGGTATGCGTTTTTGACATGAATGCACTAGATACGCCGAAGCATTTCTGGAGCCACTCAGCAGCGGTTAAGGCACTTGCGTTTTGCCCTTGGCAAAAGTCTCTTTTAGCAATTGGGACCGGATCAAATGACCAGCATATTTATTTTTATGATACCTTTCGAGGAAATCTGATTTCTAGGCTCTTCTGCGGAGCCCAAATCACTTCCATCAATTGGTCACGAAGATATAAAGAGTTTTGTTTCAGCCTTGGTTATGCGTACGAAGGAAACATTGCATCCGTTATTGTTTGCCGATGGCCACAGTTAACGCAAGTATTCCAGGTACCCTTTTGTTCTGCTGAGGATTTTCACCAGGATCTTAGAACTATCATGGCTATTCACACGCACCGTAAACGCTCCAAAAATGACTGGGAAGAAGGTGAGTTCATTGTTGTAGCTAACAATGATCAGACAGTAAAATTTTATAAGATATGGGGCACAGAATCTCCGGCGATCCATAACGATCAGGTACTATTTCAAGAAGGTATATTTGGGAGTCATATTTTAGAAATGCTAGAGGGAGTGCCGGAAAATATACTGCTGAAAAGTCTTCGTTAAAATTGATTGAGACTAACTGTGTTGTCGTTTCAATCTATTCAAAAGTACTTGGTTCTAAAGCTGGAATTCTTTCAATCTGCCCCGCTTTTTTTCTTTCTAAATTTTCGATAATGTGTCTATATATCAGTCCCTTCGAGTTTATATCAAAATGAAAAATGCAATCGTACTCGTCTGTCTGAGATGCAGTCCAATGGCATTTCATCGTGTACCTAGTAGTCTTAGGGGAAAGGGGTGTATGAATCTGACTTTCTATGTCAATTGGATTTTTAATGCCATTTATGTATGCAGAAGCTAGAAGTATTCGAGCGGTTTTGAAAACGAATTTGTAAATCACCAAACTTTGAATTTTCGGAAGATGCAAATGATAGGGAAACAAAGTCAGCTCAATATTTTGACTTAATATTTCATCTGGAAGCGCTTTTTGGGGCAATAGTGGAACCTGGTCTTGAAGGATCCTGATTGCTAGAAGAATGTTAATACTATTCTACATGCTAGGAAACGCATACTTTTACCAGTGTCGACGTTATACAATCCTGAATGAGCAAGCCTTTTGTTCGGTAAATCTTTCAGTGGATTCCTCAAGAAGTTGCACTGAGAACGGCCTACAAGCGAAAACTGAATTGCTTTACAAGAAGAGGAAAAAACTCGAGAAAACAAACAATTCATGGGTGAAAACCGATAACCAAATACCAATTACAATTGAATTAGTCTAATTCTTGTTATAAATATCACTTGGTTGAATACTTTAAGATGTTTCATCATGGAGAGAGTTTTCTTACGAGGAATTACGAAAGTCACCTACCGCAGAGTATGGAAACAGCTCCGAGGTGAAATAATAGATCAGACGGTATACCTTAATAAACAGAGCTGTTCTTAATGATAAAAAACGAAAAATATTTTGTATCTTGTGCAACAACTTTGCTCATGCGGATTTCTTACAGCCAATTAAGCGCATCATATAGTATTGGATTAAACGAGTAAATTATCTAGGTACTAATGCGACAAAAATAAGGCAAACAGCTAAGCGATTAGCAAAGGAATGGAATGGTTAGCAAAGGATATGAGAGGTTATTAAAATTAGTTGTTCTAACTCCGCTTAGAGTTGAAAGAATTTGCTTGCATGAAGGACTTTCACTGAAGTACGACCAAAAGGTTAAGAATTGAGACGGATAAGATATCGAGTAGCAAGTTTGCTTCGAGAGCGAATGCGATGTCCGAAAAAATATAAAATGTATATCAAGGCAATTAAAGGCAAGGAAGCGAAGCCAACCACTGCTGCAGCCCAGTGAACATTCATTCGGCTAAACATAAGTGAACTAAGATGAATAAAGACAACAGAACCCAAGTTCGAAGGAAGCTCAAAGGCGGCAACAGCGGAAGCAGAAACGCTTGGATATGAATCTGTGATATACAAAAGCATCGCCTGCCAGATATGATAATCGGCCATGTCAAAAATGGTAAGAGCAATCAAAGACACGATGAAATGAATGCCTGGTTTGGAACAAAATGCAAACATGAAAAGGCCGATTGGAAACCCCCATACCAAGGCAATTGTCATTATGAACCTTGCTTCTGGCCTTAAGCTCCTGTTCTTGCGTTTATCACGACGATATAGCCAACACTGAATGGGCTCAAGCCACAAGAGTATCACACAGGCAGGAATTGCTGCTAAATAAGTGGAAGAAGCAGCCATATCTGACATTTTGTAGATGTCTGAGTAGACGGGCCAAATGGCCTGCAAGAAAAAATACAAAAGTCCATTTACAAAACCATTGTAAATACCCAAGGACAAGACAATGGGCTCCGTGAAAAAGATCTTTAAAGCCATGAAGAAAATAAAGTACGTGCTTTTGAAAAAGTGTTTGAAAGTAAGTTTGGGAATCATGGATACAGGTTTGTTTTTTTGACGAGCTTCGTAACGTTCGACTACTATCAAAGGAAGGGTTTCTGGAGCGAACGCTAAAATGAGTAAGAAAAATCCTCCTACAATGACATTGATCCAATAAAGCCATCGCCAACCCAATTTTGGATTCTCAGAAACAGCAGTACCCATTGGAGAACCGATACTTGAAATTGAACACATGAAAATGAACATGTACATACCCCAGTTTGAATGCTCATCTTTTAAGAGATCAGCGATACCTCCTGCCACGTTGCCTAATGCAGTTGAGCCAACGACGCCGAGAATGAACATGGAAATGACAAGTTGGGGATAGTTGACTGCCAACGCGCAAGAAACATTAAAGCATAAATAAATTGTCAATGAACCCACGTAAACAATTTTTCTTCCTGCCAAGTCCGATAGTGGCCCCAGCACAAGTGGGCCTAAAGCAACACCTAGACAAAACATACTTTGACCCAGCAAAGAGGTCTGTGAGGAAAGGGTCCATTCTTCCATAACTTTTGATTGTACACCGCTATAAAAGTTTGGAGTCCAGAAAACATACGCCTGTAAGGAGGTGGATAAAAAAATCAACAATGCTTTCTTCCAAGTAGTCCAATTCTGAGGGTGAGCTGAGTGATTGATAGTGATATTTTCTAATTGCTGTGCATAATCAGAAGTATCCTGAAAATCGTATAAATCAATTTCATCTGACTTTGTGATAGAATGCCTAATGACGGAGGGAATCGATATTGCATCTCTTGACTCACAAAGGGAATCATCCTAGAATTTGCTTAGTGTTTCGGTCTAAGAGATAGAATGGCATAAAATTGAAAAGCTTTAGGCATTTGACGATACTAAGCAAATTCCTTTTGTATGCTCTTTTCTGATATACCTTTTTAGGTAAAGTGGATTGATCAAAAGACATACTAAATTGTGTATTAAAATAAAACAATTAATATAGTCAAAATCAATGATTTCTATGGCAAACCAGACGGCTTTTCTATGTAGCTCTTAATGTTTTACTGGATAGTATTTACCAAAACGCAAACAAACCGGCTAAGCGGCTGGGGTAAATAATGCCAATTGTATACCGGATATCCATCCTTTATATAAACATACGGGGTAAGGGTGCTGTGTCGTCATCATCTTTCGTTAAAATTAATTTGGCTGGTAATTGGCTGGCTTTCCTTCTTTCCGATATCTATGTATCCCGAATATCCGAAACGAGATGAATTGAGGATGCATGATGGGTGCAAAAATCCGTAGATAATAATGTGAGAGCTACCTTTATCTAAAAAAAATAAAAAGAAATATCGAGAAAACCACATTACAAAGTCAGAAATTCGCATTTACATTTATATGTTTTACCAAAAAACCGTTGAATGCCTGTTTACTTTAAGAGAATATATCGTACTAACAATGCTATGATGAACTTGGTTGTTTATTGAGAAATTTACTTGTTGTTTAGTGTGGTTCGTTTGTTATGTTTAATAAAAGCAAAATTATGAATTTACAAGTTTCGTTTAATTCATCCTTGTCGAGTGTATCCGGGTATTCGATTTGTTGCGACAGAAGTTGGGCTAATTGTGATAGTATAGTGGTAAATCACCTTTTTTTTTTGAAAACGATTTGCTCTGATTCAAAGTAGTTAGTAATCCTCGAGGATTCAAAGTGAATTTTTGTATTGTCGTAATGCTTATTGGATAACAAACATTTTGTTTCCTCTTCCAATAATAAATAAAACCTTCCTGAATCGACATTGAAACTCTACTATGAATATATTAGACGCAAACAGCAAGGTCCATTTTCCCTCGCGTTAGTCACTCATCAACTCTTCCAATTCGGCGAGTTCTTCTTCCGTTAGCTGAGGCTGATTTGTCTTTTGTTTCAGTAAAGAGTCTTCAGTAACCATGTTTTCCTCGCCTGAAAAAGAGGATGGATCGAGATTCCAAACTCGTAACGTCCCATCCAATGATGCACTAACTAGAAAAGACCTCCACTGAATTAACTTTGTGACAGACTCATAATGGCCTGAATATATGTGCGCTAAATTCCCAAGATTCACATTCCATAACCTCACATTTTCATCTCGACAAGCCGTGCAGATATTACCGTCAGAGAGCACAAGGACGTCTGTACAAAAGTCGGGATGCTCGAATCTAGTCTCTTCATGTAACCCTTCGTAAATCGACCACTGACGGACAGTTTTATCTGCTGATGCAGTCCACAAAGATTCTGAATCTTCAGGTTCAAACATAAGGCTGTAAACATTGGATTGATGTCCCCAAAATCCTTCTTCATCAAGAGATTGTCCCCCGTCTCGTCGGATTTCCCATCTTCGAATGCTACTCTCGCTTCCACACGTCCAAAACACATTTGTTCCCGGCTGTCGAACAATTTTCTCAATTCCCCTTGAATGTCCTGCCAGTTGATATAGTAGACGGTTTGGTTGAGCAGTTGTGTCCCATACTCCAAGTGTTGTATCCACAGAACCCGAAATAAGTAAACCCTCTTCCTCAAAAAGCAACAGTGACTTCACATAATCGCCATGACCTACCAAAGTCTCAACACATTCGCCAGAGCGAACGTTCCATCGTTTGATCGTTTTGTCCCATGAACCTGTATACAGAAAGCGGTCCTGATTGTCGTCCATAAGACTCTGTACCTGGCAACAGGTAACCGGCCCTGTATGACCTTTGTAAACTTTGCAAGTTTTCCCATCATTCAAATCATACAGTCTGCATACATGAGAGGCCTCACATGTGAATATTCTAGGGAGCTGGTATTTCTTTGGGGTGGTACGATCAAGTTCGAGGTTTAGGATTTTCGATTTCAGATTCCTTGGATTTCCCAGTTCATTTTTGGATTTGTCAAGTTTTCGTTCTTCGTTTCGAATCGCATTTTCCGTCTGAAATAGATACGTTGCATTACTAGTTTGCATTATGAAACTTGGCTATTCTAAAGATTATTTTAAGCAAAGGAAGAAAAACAAATGTAACGAGTGAGAATTGTTTCTCCAGAGACTCGAATGTTTAAAAAGAACGTTTTCCTCGTAGTTCGTTTTACAACTCTCGATACGATGATACTTTATCATAGTATCGTTTTAGTGTTAATAAAGTAGGATTTTTTCCTTTCTGAAGCTTTAGTACATCAAATTAAATTTTTTTTTTGGTTTCCAGAGCTTCAATTTTAAGAAGAAATCCTGGAAAAGCCGGCTTACATTTATGGCTGTTAATAATGTTCCTTACCTTACCATGGCTAACATAGAAACAAAAATACTTCGTCCCTACCAAGCAGAGCAATAGAGGACACACAACCCATTCTGAATAAAGAGAGTAGAATAGAATATTACTTACTGTGAAAGCTCAAAACAGGAAGCAACAAAATAATCGATAAAAATCGGTCAGAGAGGGACTCGAACCCTCGACCTCATGATTAACAGTCATGCGCACTAACCAACTGTGCTATCCGACCTTTGGTTGCTCACAGGTGTATTAATTTTTATATAAGGACTTAAAAAAGAAGCCGACCTCGGTTTATACAGCGTAGACATTGTTTGTTTTACTTACGAAGTAGGGAAATGTATGTTCTCTATAGATTCTCTTTCTTTGGTTCAAAAAGCGCCAAAATAAGTCTTGCGCTAATGAAGCGCTACAATGGACTGAGATTGGTCGATTGATCATGTAGAGTTATTCTGTTGTCAATGAAAAGTAGAAAAATTCCATAAGATTTTATATCATTAAAATCATTGATCGAATAATTATTATACATTAGGAAAAGCATGTGTAGAGTCGATACAAATTATAATCTTTCAATGTAAGCAACAAGATTCGTAATCAAATCTGCCTTTTTTCCAGTAGACCGTAAACTTCTGTCTCGTAAAATACTTTTTAATTGAGGAACCTTCAGAGTCTAGTAAATGTTAGTCTTGTTTGATGAGGCTCAAGCGCTTTGTATATTATACCTTTAGATCTTTTTCCAATGATCCAGTTTCATGCATGCTTTTTAACTGAGAATCATCCAACGCAAATGACTGCTCTATACTTTCTTCGCGTTTTCGTTTTAGTGGGGTGACTGAATCCATTTCATCTTCGTCATGTTTTATCGGAACGATATTATTGCTCGAGCTAATAATCTCATTAAATTCTCGAATGTGATCTCCAACTCTCTAAAAGGTTAAAGACAAAAAAAATCTTCATTAAGAACTTACCTTCTGTATAGCTCTGTATTTGGGTAAAGTCGTATCAACAAAGTCGGTTGGAATCTCATCATCAAGGGCTAATGCTTGTAACACCTTGTAGTGCCATTGCAAAGAAGGGTTATTGTACCTTCCTGGCTCGTAAGCCCTAAGTTCCATCCCTCGTAAAACATTTTGCATAGTCTCAATTGAATTTGGTGGAAGAGAATTAGGATTGGGATTACCAGGAAGGCTCCGAATGTCGTCGGCAGATGGCAATTGAAGTAGAAAAATCCCAACTGGTAGCTCAAAGTCTTTTCGAATATGTGTTGATGTACCGGTTGGAATCATAGCCACGAAACAAGGATTTGAATTTGGTCGTGCAATAAACCAAGCAATCCCAATTTTGTTAGAATGAAGAAGTTTCTTATGTAATGCTGCAAATACGGCTCCTCCTCCTCGAATTTTGTTCTCTATCGGTCTAATAAAAACGGCAGGTTTTAGAGAATGCCAAGGTTTTAGGGTGGAAGCATCGCGAAATCCTATAATCCGTAAAACAGGAGGTCCGAAGGATCGAATTTCATCCAAATCTTCTGGATCAAATACTACGGAAGACCCACCATAAGTAAAGGATCTTTTGATGTCCGACCTTTTCAGTTCCTTCTTTGTGTCAAAGCTTACCTGTTTACTTTGAGGAATAGCAATTGCCAAGCGCTCTCCTTTGGCATAAACCCAACTAGTTTTCACGGATTCTAATCTCTTTAATAAAATATATCCTTGAATTTCAATTCTCACGTTCTTTCCCAAATCCATTTCCAAATGGAAGTGCGCTCGTTTTGGTTTTTGCAGAGCAGTTATCATATTAAGCATGTTTTGTAGCTGTGATTGACCACGACTGACCAAATTGGAAACATCTTGATGATTATAAACGATGTATAGAAAGTCTGAATAAAAAATATTCATTCGGAAAGAATGAGTAGGAGGGTCCAAAAAAATCGGATTCACTTGCACATCCAAATCCTTCAAATCCTGGGCTCTCTGAAGAATGATTCCTTTTTCCGTTTCGTTCCAAGCAGGGTGATCATTATCGGTGATTAGGAAAAGGCGCTTTTCATATTTCTGAGCTTTGGTGGTGAAAAGAACACTTGCATGGTAAAGAACACTAGACAGAGATATTTGGGAAGAGCAAGGCTTAAAATTTTTTTTGTAGGAGTCGAATTCTTACACAAGAGTTAGCGAATGCCTTTCGGTTGATGATTGTTCAGCAGGGTCTTGCCTCTTTGCGAATTCCTTTTAAATTCATTACCTTTTTCATATGTCTGTAAGCTTTTAAGGCGCTCGGCGTCTGGAGGATCTAAGTCCAAAAGGATTTGTTGGTTTTCAAACCTGCCAGTAGAGGATTCCTAATGGATTTCGTAAGTATGGGTGATTGAATCAAGAATTGCAATTATTCAGCAACAAAAACTTACAGTACCATATAACAGAACCCCCATCACATCGTTTGGGTTGGTAATCACCCTTTGAGCTGCCAATTGATATGCACAAATGAGAGCCATCTGCAGTGAGCAAGGAGTAAACTCATCCACAGGCTCTAGCATACTCGGCGAAACCTCTACTACAAAAAGAATGGCATTTCGACCAGTGTAAACACTCTGTCTCGGCTGTTAGTCAAATTGTCAACGAGCACCATCACCTCTGAAAGAAATTACTTCGCACCTCAAAGTCTTCTACATACGAAGGATCTTCTGGATCCATCAATGAAAGCTTTCTAAATCCCAAAAAAAGTAAAAGAGACCAAAGTACACGTTTTAAGAATCACACACGGCAAGACGAATTTGGCTGGCTGGTCGACCTCCATAAAAAGAAAAAAAAAGCAACAGAAGAGACGGCAATTTCTATCTATAACAGAATTATAGAATCCAAAGCTAAGCTTGGTATTTAACAGGGAAAATACCTTTCATACTATTTCAAAGACAAAAGACAATGTTTGGATCTTAAATACTGATTTTTATCGTTGCTTTCTTAAATGGATACTGATTCACTGGGTCGCGTAAAATTGCTCCTGTAAGATGTAAACAATGGAAAATGGATTTTTTTATTTCAGGACAATAAAGGAAAAGGAATCTGCTATCTTCATTGCTCGCTGGAGTCAATAATGTGAAGACAAATAAGTCGGAAAAAGAACATTTATGGTTGGTAAAGAACCATAGCTTTGCCGTTCTTTTTTGGTAGGAAAGTGACCATCCATAAACAAAGCAGAGAGTGGAGATGAACTGTTTTGACTCAATGAATTATTGCAAAGTATGAAAGGATTTTATAAAAAAGTTTTTGGTAATTATTCTGAATCAAGGATGTTTTTTTTTTGGGATTCATGAATCATGCAAACCTGAAAGGATTGGTCATTCATCCTATCTAAATTGGGGATATGCTTTCATAAAAGATTTAAATATAATACTTCTCCAATCTTCCTTGTAAAGGAAAGAGCATTCCTTCGAAACAGCACAAAAGTTGGAAACGTCACGCTCGAACCAAGTCAGCCTAAGAGTTTAACTTGAGCTTACTATCCGTATTTTTGTATATCACTATTAAAACAATTCTTCCATGCCTATTAGTGCATAAACGACAAAAAATCTTATACTCTTTCCATACTTCCTCCATACATACATACATTATTTACTAACGATATACACTAAAATACCGTATCTTTGATAGTATACCCAAGGGTCCTCGGTATTTCCCAACCAAAGCGAGTAGCTGCCAGAAATAAAATTTCCAAAAAAAAAACAACCTACATCGAGCGTTTTTGTTATGGGACGTGGAGGTAAGCGCAGTTGGTATAATGGTGATCGTAGAGAAGCAAAAAGGAACCGTGTAAATTCTGCTCAATACGGTGAAAAACGGCCTGAACATTTGGTCGTTGGAGAAAAGAAACCAAAACGTAAAGTTGCTTGCCTGGTGGGATACTGTGGCACTGGTTATCATGGAATGCAATTAAATCCTCCAAGTAAAACGATCGAGGGAGACCTTTTCGACGCGTTTGTCAAAGCTGAGGCCGTGTCATCTTACAACGCGGATGATCCTAAGAAAGTCGCTTTAGCTCGAGCTGCACGGACCGATAAGGGTGTTCATGCTGCTGGAAATGTGATTACTCTAAAATTGATTATGGAAGATGAGCAATTGATCGAAAAAGTCAATCAACATCTCCCTCCTTCCATCCGTGTTTGGGACGTTGTTCGTACAATCAATTCATTTAATCCTAGAACGTACTGCGAATCCCGTATCTATGAGTATTTGATTCCTACCTATGCTTTCGTTCCCCCAAAGCCTAGTTCTGTCTTGGGCCGTTGCATCGCAAAAAATTCTCCTATGCCGAGTGAGCCTGTCGACGAAAATGATATCAACCAAATGAGCCGCAAGATTTTCTATGAAGAGGGAAAAGAATTCTGGGATAAATATAAGGAAATGGAAGCTGTAATCTTAGAGGCCTATCATGCAGATCCCGAGAACTTTGTCAATCCTTATTCAAAGAAAGCTGCCGCGGCCGCCTCTTCTACTGCAGAAAATGAGAGCCCCAAAGAAGAGGAACTACCTGCACCAATTTCTGAAGAGAATGTTCAAGGTTCTACTCCTGCTAATCCAACTGAGAATGAATCTAACACAAAAGAACACCAGACAATCGATTCAAAAGATGTAGAAGCTCCTACTTCAACAATAGACGAAAATCAATCTGCTTCTGCTACCTCTTCTCCCAAAACTGATCCGGCTATGAGACTTGATCGTGCTCTCAAGAATGCAGAAATGCAGCTATTAAAGGAATATCGAATCTCTGAAAAGAGATTACGTGTTATCAGAGAAACTCTGAATACTTATGTTGGAAATCACAACTTTCATAACTTTACCGTTGGGCAAGCCTTTCACCAAAAAAATAGTAACCGTTTGATACGCTCTTTCAACGTATGTTTTTCTTTTTTTTTCTAAAACAAATATAATAGTATCCTTATTAACAAATTTATTAGGCTTCCGACCCGATAATGATCGGCAACACTGAATGGATTTCTTTGAAAGTACACGGGCAGTCATTTATGTTGCATCAGATTCGAAAGATGATAGCTTTGGCCGTATTAATGGTTCGTACTGGGTGCAATTTGAGCCGTATTCAAGATGCATTCAAGAAAACAAAAGTAAATATTCCTAAAGGCCCCGGATTTGGACTTTTACTTGAATCTCCATTTTTCAAAGGTTATAATGAGCATAAGGCTCCAGAAAATGATCGAGATCCTATTGACTTTTCTAAGTACTCTGAAAGTATTGAAAAGTTTAAACACGCTCATATTTACGATAAGATTTTCGAAGAGGAAAATCGAAAACAAGTGTACGTAAATATATTTGTGGCTTCTTATGCTAACTCATTTAGATTCCATTGCTTTTTAACCTTCATAGACAGCTATAAGGAGCTTGACTTTCAGTATCTTTCAGATATTGGCATTACCGCTGAAGAAGAAAAGGTAGCTGAAAATGGCCTACCGGATGAATTATCTAGTGAAGACGAGGATGACGCTAAAACTAATAAAGATGAATTGGAAGGGTAAACGCGTTTCAGCTACTGCCCCAGTTATCGATTTTTGGTAAACGGTTATCTCAGAGATTTTGGGAATCTATTTTTGGTTAATAATAGATAGTGAAGGTTGATTAATTGGGATATTATAATGTTGACAAAAAAAGCAAGGCAATTATAATACTTGGGTTACATTAGAAAATACATATCACATATATACACAGGTATTCAATGCGTAGATAACAATCAAAATAAAGGTGAAATAGTAAGGAATCAATGATTATTATGTGCAAAGTAAAACCCATCATCACTCATAAGCTCATCATAGCAAAACAAAAAAAAAAAGCAGACAAAACAATCATGCAAAGAAGATACATAAAGAATTAACGTGCGCTAAATGGGATAACTCTTCCAAGAATAGTACCAGTAACTTGCATTCCTTGCTCTCCATGTCGAAAGGCGGTCGCAATTAATTCCCTCGTACGAAAATAGGTATGTCTCCGTTTAACAGGTAAAACTGTTTTATGTTCTAAAGGCTTATTGCCGGATTGTTGTAGGGCGTTCATAACAAAATTTACTTCCTCATCCGAATCAACAGGTGTTTCATGCTGTTGTTCTTCTGATTCTTTTGCTGTTTCGAGAATTTGTCCTGAGAAAATTAGTAACGATCAGTTTCAAGTGCATAGCAAACATACGTTGAATCTTGGCTTGATTTTTCTTTTGACAAGCAGCAAGCAAAACATCATAGGGCTGAGAGCGACCAGGAACAGCACGTTTGCTTGACATGGAATGAGTTTTGCATGTCAAAGAACGTGCACACATCAGGCCGTTCGGTAAAAGGACACCACATTGTTTGTCCACATCCACGGGTCCTATGCAATTAGTAAGTTGAAAGATTTAGTGACATACCTCTTTGCTTTGTGCTTTTCTTTTTTCCTACGTCCTTTTTGGAAGAAGCATTTGCTTTGGTAGACTTCTTACTTTCTTCTACTTTCCGTCGTTTAGGAGGAGCAACCTCTGTGTTGTTATTACTCTGGTTGGAAGCACTTTCAGAAGAAGTACTCAACTTCTGATGCGTTGCTTTACTACCATTCTTTATAGAAGCAGTAGATGGAGTATTTGATTCCTTTGAGTGCACCGTAGAGGAAACCTCGTTGTCTGCCTGGCGCTTTAGTGACTTTTTTTCAAGACATTTCTCGTTATGCTCCTCAATATAATTTGACAAAAACGGTCTCTCGCATGTGGGACAAAGTACATAATCAAGATCTGTATTATTAGGCTCGACCCCAAAACGAGGAAAAGCAGCTGCAGGAAGCGGCACTTGAGAGCTTTCTTTATGCACTATTTTGCTTTCTAATCCATCATCTAAACCGTTAGAAGTGTTCGGATCTACACCTGCATCCTTTGGCAACCCGTTGGGATACTTCAACAAAATCTCTTCGTTCCGCTCCCATTCTTCAGGAAAAAGCTCTAAAGTTTGCTGCTCGGTTAACATCTTCATGTATCCAGCTGCCTTTTGTATGCTAAACAAAACCGTCTTGAGCAGGCTTCTACCTTGGTGGTGGACCCAAAATGGTTCAATCTCGGTATAAAAAGAGACTGTTGCAACTGAAAAAAAAAAAGATCTAAAAAAACATAATATAAATCTTTGTCGTGTATAAAAAAATAATAAATAAAAATAGAAGTGGTCTATCTCAATGTGTTAGTCTTTCAATCATTCTAGATTAATTCAAATAGAAGCGGTTGATTTTCAGCCGTATAATTCATATGAAAGTGAGTTTATTTTTTTTTATTTGTAAGTAGGTGTTTGTTTATGCCATTCAGAATGTTTAACATGCATGAAATATGTGGATATAGAAATAAAGAATTAAGGACTTCATTCTTGTATTGGTTATTAAAGGGATATCAACTGTAGCTGTATAAACTCAAATTATCTTTTGGTATATATGTAGAACTAGGTCAGTATTGGCAGTTTTCAAACGATAGAAAGCTTCATCGATGAAGTGCCTTTAAAGTGAGAATGCTATTTTTCATATATTAATGTATGACTCACAATCGTTCATGCAAAATATCTTTCACTGAGTTCCATGCAATTGGAGATAGTCTGTTAGGTAGCTCTTCATAACTAGTCCATGCCCAATCAAAAACATTTTCTACCTTTGGAACTCGCAAACCGTGCACCAGCCGGGCTCTTAAAAGAAACAACTATTCAGGTTAGTTAATCAATCTTACACAACCAGAAAACATGAATAAAGCCGCTTCTCCTTTCACGAGAAAGTCATACTTACCTTCTTTTCATCTTGTTTAATTAAACCTATTGGGTGATGGGCGACAAACCAGGTTAAGGATTGCTCGCCTAGTATGTTTTGTAATTGTTCTTGACAAAGCTAAACGGTTCGTTAGAAATATTTTACATAAAAATTTGGAATGTGGCTCGTAAATCCTTTATGCAGAAGACACTGAATCATCATTCCAACGACCAGCTCTTCCTAATTCATGCATTGCTTACCGTATGCAAAGCCTTTTCTTCACTCTCGATTGGAACATTAGGGAATTGCCATTCTGCATCTTTTGTTGGTTTTATTAATAGAAAAAGGGACTTTTCTAAACAACGTTGAGTGCTGTGTACATCACCAGCTTGATCTGCCTCTGTCGTTCTTGGTTGTAAATGGGTGCTGGGATCAGGAAGGGCATTTTCTTCCATCTGCTTATGTTCTTCTTCAAAAATGCTTTGAAAGGGAGACTCTTTTCCTTCCAGTGCCTTTTGTCTCGTTTTCCAGTCTTTTTCACCAACTGATCCCTTTTTGAAGTAAAATTCCTTGGGCAAAGGGGCGCTCAGTTCATTCCATAGTTCTGAATTATACTTATATATACTTCTTTCAAATTCGGACGGCGCCCGTGTTAATACAGGTGAACGGATTAGAATCGTTCCCACCGAGCAACCTAGCAGCGTTAGGTAAAGATATACTTTTTAAGTATAGATAACTCCTATGGAATAAAAGCTCGTCGAAAATGATTCAATTCTTGCTTAAATTGACTCCATACCTGTAGAAATATGTCTATGCTGAACATTCTTTGCAAGTTGCATGTAAAAACGCGCATTTGTCGAAATTTGACGCGAAAAAAAACGAATCATATTAAATCCCTAGCTTTAGTTAAAAAATACTTCATTAATTTCCCAAAAATAACGGTTTTTCTTCTCTTTTGTCGTTTGTTTACGAAACGTGTATAAATACGGTCTCAATTTGGCTGCCCTTCATTTTGTGGTATAATACGATATAGCTATTAACAAACCAAAACGTAATTGCGTTATCCTGCGTTGTCACCTGTACATGAGACATCAGAGTAAGTAATCATACTCATGAATCATTCTTACTGTCTCTTCAATTTCCACAATGTCTTCGTCTGTTGATTTAAAACGTAAGAAATCGCTAAGTATGAAGCTCACCATGTAAAAGCTGCCGAAAGTTTGAACCAGTATCTCGAAAATTACTCCTCCAAACCTATTCGAGCTGCTGTTATTCGGATTTCTAACGGTATGGTAACCCTTGCTTTTCTAGCTTGATTGTATGCTTTTACAGAGGACTAACGTATTTTCAGAGAGCTCCTTTGAAGTTTCTGATACTATTGAAAAAAGCTCTTCTTTAGAGTCGGATTTTGAAAAGCTTCGTCAGGTATTACTTGCTTCTTCTGAGCCTGCTTTTGCTTTGATTCACGACCAAACCCGTAATGATCTTTTACAATTTATTTCTTATGTGCCCGAATCAGCCAATGTTCGAAACAAGATGCTCTATGCCTCCAGTCGTGCTGGTTTAATTCGCATTATCAGCATGTCAGAAATCGATAAATCCTTTTTTGCTAGTACTATTGAAGAGCTGAACTATAAATCTTTTTTCGACAAGCTTACAAAAGAAAATGACTCTGCACCTCTTCGTCAAGACGAAAAGGACAAACAACATTATAATGAGGTATCCCTTTTTCCAGCTTAAGACCGGCAATAGTTCATTTCATTACTAACAAAAATCTCAATTAGTCTCTACAATCTTCAACCTCCCAAAAGCGTTCTTTAGTGACTGGAAGTGTAGCCATGGAACTAGACGACAACGCTTTGAAAGCCTTAGAGAAGCTTCGCTCTGTTCCTCAAAATACCCTTCTTCTTTTCGTAAGATTCCACTTCTTTTAACGTTACTAACGAGTTTGTAGTCTGTACGGGATGAAGTAATTTGCATAGAAGACGAAAAAGAAAACATTGCTGCCTCTGATGTAAAGTCATTCTTTCACCCTTCGGAACCGAGGTTTGGGTTTTTTTCTCTTTCAAAGGATAAAAAACCAAAAACTTGTATGCAATTCCTCTATGATAACTTACTTACAACTCATCAGTGTTCATTTATATTTGTCCCATGCAGTCCACGGTTAAAAATAGAATGGTTTACTCGTCTTGCAAGCTTGCCTTTCTGGACAAGGTCCAGAATAATCTTGATGTTACCATTGACGGAAGGGTAAAGGTTTAATTTTTTTTTACTCTCGCAGACACTAACGTACCTAGTTGGAATCGAATGATTCTGCTGACTGCACCGAAAAGGAAATTCTCCAAGCTTTAGGTCTTATTGATGCTTCTAAAGAGTCTAATACAAGATCTGGCTTTTCTAGACCCCGTCCTCCTCGTAGACGCTAAAAATAGATCTCCCATCATTGTTTACCTCGATACGATACATATTTGCTCAAGTCATGAATCCCTTCTTTGGAATAAATATCATTTTGAATGCTTTCCTTACAGTAGTTCATTTGTATTTTAACTTTACAATTCCTACAGTCCCTAAAAGATTTACTATTTAATTATAGACTCCTTCAATACCACTGCTAGTACGAATCAAAATACTCACCCAAAAATTAATTATTCATTACTCATAACCGTTTCATATCTTATCCCGCTTGCATCCTTAAATACAAACGTGCAATTTCCATCATAATATGCGATGTAAAAGACATTAACAACTTTCACCATTGGAACGCATACAAGAATCAACCCGCTCTCGAATTTCGTTTGCAATTTGATACTGACCTGACCTTTCAAATGAAAGTGAGCCATCTAAAAATAAAGTATACAGTGATCGAGAAATATTTTTGTTGAATTTAGCAAACTGCTCCTTTGTGATTTTAGCATCTCTGTAGTACGGCTTTAATGCAGCATTAACCAACCGTTCTATTCGATACTTCACTTCATACGGCAACTTCGTAGATTTTGTTAATTCTCGTCGCCCAGATGACCGAGGAACAGTCCGCCGATCAATACTCGTCTGTGAATAATCATTATCAAGAATTTCACCAGGTTCGGTAGGCTGTGAAGGACCATCAAAGTGACTGGAAATTGGAGACGAGGATTCCAGACGGGGTGGAGGAGAGCTTTGAGGAGAAAGATTAGAAAAAAGAGGAGTTAAATGAGGCTCATTAGAGTTATTTGACGAGGTGCCTTCTTGAGATCGTTTTAAAATGGATTGTACTTTTGATAGAAATTGAGAATCAGTCTGAGAAGAAGGAGATGGACGGTTGATGTTATCTATTAAATTCGCAAGTAGAGATGGTTTATGCGCTTCGTCATTAGTCGTTGACTGGTTAGAAGAAGAACCTAGAGCCGTAGAAATTGAAATGCTTCGATTTCTATGGACTGGTTTTTTTAGCTTCTTCCTTTGGTTTGTGTCTGCTGCTGACGAGCGTTCAGCAGGCGTCGAAGCCTTATGATTCGACCTATCACCAGTATTAGAGTGATCTTCATTGTTATGCAGCATTACATCAAAATCATTCCAAGCTTTTCTTTCTGAATCATTTGTAACAGGCGTTTGTACAAATGGTGGTTGCTGCTGTTGTTCATCATTCACATTCGAATCGGACCGCAACCGAGCGTTTTCAATTCTTCTCCTTAGCAAGTCGGAAGCATGATCTCGCCTAGGAATATCACCATCAAGCGAATAATAGGATAAATCAGAATTTAAAGTTTCCCATGCTCGATTGCGAATTGCATTCCACGCTCTAGTCCATGCACGTTGTTGTCGTTGCGAGACTCTTGAAGCTCTGGCAGCACGACCATTCGTTCGCCGACGATGAGAAAGCGAAATACGAGAAGCCAAGGTATTAACATTATCGTTGTTTAGGAAAACACAATTGGGGCAATAAAACTCGTTTTCCGGAACTTCGTCCAATTCTAAACAGAATGTGTGATATGCATCATCACATCCATCGCATAAAAGTAAAACGTCTTGTTGTTGTGATCCACCACAAATAACACAACGAGTCATATCATCCGTCTCTATAAATTCGGGTGGTGCCTCTGCGTTCGCTACTGCCTGTACTTTTTCCTCGACTGGGTAGGCTCGCAACCAAGGACCACCTACATATTCGTATACATCAACTTTGAAAAACTCTATACGACAAAGAGGACACGTATTTGCAACCTGGCACCAGGATTCCAAACACTGATTGTGAAAATAATGCCGACATGGAAGCGTAGCCACGTAAATCCCATTAGGAGATGTAGAGAGTGATGCAGGTAATGCGCTAACGTCCCACTTGTCTAAAGGACAATTGGGCAGTTCCGATAAACAAATGATGCATTCCTCCCCATTCTCCTCTGAATTTTCTTGGTTTTGTTCCACAGCCATAATATTATGTGGGTCAATTTCCTTATTATGTGGGGGTTATATTATAGATAGCGGGTTGATGGTGAAAGGAAAGATACATCAGTGAAAATTATTGCAACCCTTTAGCATATAACGATAACGACCGATATAGAGCGAATACTTTCGAGGTCCTTATAACTAAATAGAGCCGTTCCTCTTGATTTAAACAATCAAAAGCAAAAGAAAACAAGGGTTAAAGGCGGTATGGTATGAATGATGAACATGGTGTACGATAGGCTAGTTTAAGGCTTCATATATAAGAAGTCGGAGCTCTTCTAATATACAAATACCGAAACCACCAGTACCGGTTTCCTTACACAAACGGATAATGGAATAGAAAAAAAGAAAGCAGTAAGGAGAGAAACAAAGAATAAGTAAGGAACATAAGATGGAACAAAGCCTATGCTTAGATAACTGTATTTTTTAGGACAGAAAATCTAATGAGATTGTTTTAAAGGACAGGAGAACGACGAATCTTTTCCTGTTTTTGTTGATAAGAACGTAAAGAAAAGACAGAAAAGACGACAATCAAGGAAATAAGGACGAATATGAAGCGGCGCTTCCAAGGGCTGCGCTTGGTAGTAGATCCCTTCAATTCTTCTTTCGAAAATTCCGGAGTGAACTCGTCATCAATATTGGTGATGGTTCGGCTGGTAATGCTATGAATTTCATGGTTTTCACTTAATTCACCAGTACGAGCAGAAAAGCTGAGGAAAGCGGTAGCGGGCATATCGACATCATCCAATTCAAAACACTTGATAAAATCGGAGCTAGCATCAAATGCGAGTTCCAAACGAAGCTTCTTAGCGTTCTTGTCGAATTTCAACTTGCCCAAGGTGTAATCCGTGCTATGCAAATGTAAAGCACTGCATCCTTCAATCTCGTTGGCCTTTCCATCATGATCAATATCATAAGATGTCTTTCCGTCTCCCTTCATGACAACAACACGAGGGAAAACAGTTCCAGGGCGATCATTGTTGTATGTATCAAAGAAAATACCGTAACCATTGAATTTATCAGTAAAACCAAAAACAGGACCCGTCTTAGCGCGCTCTTCAGTCAAGAATAATCCCATACCATCGCCAAAGAGATTTCTGGACTCACTTGAGACACGAAATTGAAATAATACTTCAAAACTACTAGTAGGAGTGGGTAAACGTGTCGAAAGCCATCCGCTTTGATGTTGCAGGTCTTGAGTCAAAAAGATACCATTTTTTTTATCGATAATAGTGCTTCCACCATATTCCCACCATAAGCTTCTCATTCCATGATTAATGTAAGGTGGCTTGATTGAAAGTCTCTCCAACTCATTTGACTGGGCAATAACGCCTAGAGCAAGCGCAAAGAAGCAGATTATTCTAAAAATTCTCATAGAAGCAATCATGTTTACGGCTCTCGAAAGAATACTCCTTGTCTTACCTCCCGGACTGTGGTTTGTTGTTAGCAGGACTAATGTGCTAAAACAATGGGATGTCTTTTGGGGTCACTTGTTACTTGGTATTGTAAACAGTAGAGCTGGAAGTAAATGAAATGTAAAAATAAGGGATTAGGATCTATTTACTTGGTTCGATTTAGATCTTCTTTTCAAGCAAGCATGCTCTCACAGTGCTCGATTAAGAAAGGCTTACGAAGGTACTATTGACCATAGACATATTTGATTCTACCTAGTGATTTTGACGTACGCAAATAAATACGAAAAATTAAAGAACAATAAACCAAAAAACAAAGAGAAGGCTTTTGCAGAATGAGTTTGGCAATTACACACTCCTAACAAAGTGTTATATATTCCAGGTGTTCTAAAACTGCAAACGCTGTTTACGAAACAGAAACATCTACTTTTCTCCTCTATGAAGATGAACTATTGTTTGATAAAGTCAGCTGGTTATAATGAGTGCACAGTTTCGTGTATTCACAAGTATAAACTTTCAGTTTCATTGTTCCCTTTTTGCTTTAAGGAAAATTGTAAAGAATTAACATACACACAGCCGATCTGCTTCAAAATACAAGAAAACAACATCTCTTGTTTACTAATGAGCTCTTACGTATCGTAACGTGGCATAGTGCTCAGTTCTATAGCAAGTCCTAGGAAGCGAAATCCTTCTATTTACCTTGCTGATGGATAATTCAAAAGGCTGGTAAGTTGGTTTTTTTTTTTTCTGTAAGATGATGTTGGAATTGGATCGTTGGCTCTGTAGTTTTGGATGCCTGTACTCTGGATTCTTAGGACGGATTTTCTGCCATTATAATCTATCTGATCTTTTCTTGCTTTGCACTTCTATCGCTTCAATACATGACATTTCCCCTTCTATTCGACATTAGCAACCTTCTGATGCCCGAATATTTCAATATGGCCGATGAAATCTACAAGAATTTGCCAATTAGTTATTTCAACAACTTTTACGCTAAAATTTAGCTTTTTGAACACGATGACTAACTCTATGATAGGATTCTCAGTTTAATCTCTAATTGTTTTTGCATCCTTGGTGCTAGCGGAGTTTGGATAGATGTTGTCGCTAACAAATTACTCGGTCGCCCAGCAATAGACTTGGTAAACAGTGAGCGTTCCTTGGTAACGGCACTTGCTACCAGTGCTGGAATATTACTGTTCAGCTCTTGGTCAAGTGTTATGGAAGAATCATTGCATTTTTTCTTAGACGTCCCCATGATTGACATGTTCCTTGCTAGAATCTTCCAACTTACTTCGTTTTTCTTAGGAAGTATATTCTTCTATGGATTTACTCACTTTCTTCATAAATGGCTCCGTAAAACCAACGATTCAAGTTCAATGTATAGAGAATCTAGATATCCTACTGCTCAGAATTCGTCCCGATCGTTATCATCATCTCACTCAGACTCAGCATCTCTTCAACTTTCTTCTTCCATCCATGGTAGCCATTGCCCTAGTGGCTCACATCTTCATGAGAGATCCATGCTGTTGCCGGATGACGGTTGCCCTGAAAATGGCACTCCTCCTACCGGAGAATCCAATCCAAAAGCACCTACTTGTGAATGCGAGTGTCATAATCATTTTGATCTTATGACCACTGTATTTGGGTCTGAGGAGGATGAGCATCTTCATTCTGTTTATACAATGGGCATTCAAACGGCCTTCCTTATTTGCCTTCATAAAATACCTGAGGGTTTTATTACGTATTTGGCTTCAACCGTCGATACAGGGTTTATGGTGTTTGTTGCTATGACCATCCATAACATGGTAGAAGGATTTACAGTTGCTTATCCTCTTTACCTTGCTTGGAAATCCCGAAGAAAAGCTTTTTTGACTGCAGCTAGTTTGAGTAGTTTGAGTCTTCCGTTAGGAGCATTGATCGCTTTTCTTTTAGTTCGTATTGGGGCTTCTGGAAGTTTTGACTTGCTAAATTTTGTCTACGGATTCATTTTTGCTAGTACCGCGGGAATGATGCTAATTTTGTCCCTTCGTGTCATTTTTCCAGAGGCTTTACGACATGATCATTCGCAAAACAAGAGGCATTCCGTTTTATGTTTCATCTTTGGAATTTTGGGAACACTCTGTTTGGAAGTGTTCCACGAAGGGTAAAAGCATTCTCCCGTCTTCTTCAAGAACTGCTGACCTTCTTTTCCCCATTTTTTTCGTCGCAATCGAGCGCTCCTTTATAGAACTCACTTTGTTTTTTGTATTTCATATTTATACGATCATGGGTGACTTGATGAATATGATTACCAGTTTTCTAAGTTCTCTTAACTTTCAGGTTACGAAGCAAAGAATGATATGTATTCATTCACTAGATGGACTGATCTTAAAGCTTTTGGATTTTGAGAATTTTAACTATCAAGTTCACGTCTCATAAAATTCTTGGGTTTTGCAGTTCAGGTTATAACATTAATTTTTTAAACTGGAAAGATCTTTGTATTGTTCTTTGTCCTACCGATTCCTTTCCGTTTGTTTTCTTTTTGTTTTTTAACACCTCTGTATGCTTAAATAATCTATTAAATGTCTAATACTTTGCTACTGTCAACAGAGGAAATCCATTCTATTTATTTGAGATCTATAAAAGATCAACTTTATTTAGCTCGTATGCTTTTGCCTTGAGGAATTCAATACCTTACAAATTAAATTCGTCTGTAAACAAACAATATGTAGGAGAAAAAGTAATCTCTCGTCTGCTTTTCACCATTAGGCTGACAGTTTATAAGTTGGCTTCGACATGAGCAGCTACTTATAGAGTAAATAGTTATTTAGTTTTCTTTTAACTGGTTTGTTTTAATCATAAGTATCATAAGATACATCTTCATGAATCAATTTATTACTTTTCTGCAAGATTTAAAGGTGACTTCGTAAAACACTAAGCTTTGGTACAACTCTTTTTCTGGCTTTTAACACGCATCATCTATGTTCTCACCTTACTTACCTCGCAATAATAATGAATCTGTTAATTATTTTGAAAAGTTAGTCATTTTAGGAGATTCCGTAACTCAGTATGGATATACACCTGGAGGCTATTGCGCAGAATTGGCAAATTTCTATCAAAGACGACTTATAGTTGAGCCATGGGGATTATCGGGATATACCTCAAGGCATTTTTTAAGATATTTTTCGAAACTCCCAATTGACATTGACCATACTCGAATCGTCATTATTTATTTGGGTACCAATGACAGTCAAATAGTGGATGGAAAATGTCTTTGTCCGGTTGAGGAATACAAGGAAAATATAAAAGAATTAGCACGAAAGTTTCCAAAAACCTCGAAGAAGATTTTCGTTTCACCGTCAATAACTACAAAAGTACTTCGCTATGAGCGGAACCAAGAACCGTATGTGGAAGCTACGTACAAAGCGGCTGTGGAAATGGATAGTGAAATAGGAGATACAACTTGGATTGACATGCACAGTGCTACGAAATATAACTTGGTTCCCGAGCTTTTATTTAGTGATGGCGTCCATCTCTCAGCAATGGGATACAACATCCTTTTCCAACAGATTGTTTCTAAAATCACAACACTTTGGCCTCAACTCTTGCCTAAACATCTTCCAATGCAGTTACCTTACTATAGGGAAATTATGTTCACCTGAAATCCACACACAAAGAAATCGTTATAGACACAGCTATGCCGACTTATTCTTAGATGGACGCTAAGCAATTCCTTTTTTGAAGAAGAGTGATTACTTTAACAAAAGAACGAATAATATATACGGAATATGATAGACCAAGTTTGGGATTCATTTTATGTTTAGAAAAACAATATTACACATTGTAAGTCTATAAGGAAAGAGGAAATGAAATAAAAAATTGGGGAAAAAAACGCCGGTAAACTTCTTACCGGATAACAACATCAGTTACACCAAGAGTTGTGAACGAAGAAATGATCGATTCATGAACTGGCATATAGACAAATGACTTTCATCTGGTTAAAGCACCTGCTTAAATTGAGAGAGGAAATTATCTCGCAAGAACAGGAAAATTTTTTAAGTTTATTTTTTCCTTTTTTAGGTTTGTTCTTTTTTATGTAACAAGATAATTTGCGACCTATACGAACAGCATTAGCATCTTAGCAATAGTACAGAAAAAGGCAAAAAAAGGGTCATCTTACCATCTGCTGTAACACCATCAAGTTGCTGTACCACCTGCTGAGCATTCGAGAACGTAGTAAATTTTACGCTAGCCCGAACTTTGCCCTGCGTATCAAAAACCTGGCATTGAGAGATTTCACCAAATCTTTGAAGAGTTGCAGAGACGTCTTCTGAAGAGGTTCCTGGAGCCAAGTTTTCAATTGCAACGGTGGTGGGTCCTGCCGTACCACGAATAGAAATTGAGCCATTGGCAAGAACTGAAGAAGGAGGAGATGAAGAGGCCTTTAACGGAGCCTGAACACGATTGAAGAGATTCTTTTGGGATGCTTGAGGACTAGCATTTGTTTCTTGTTTTCCAGCACTGTTCAGTCTTTGAAATAATTCATTATTTTTTAGCTCTTTTGCAACGCGCTTGCTGAAGCTAGTTTTACTTTCAGTTGTTCCAGAGTCCTATGAATTAACGATTAATACGCCAACTTTCGTCTATCCCGAGCTACTTACAGTCTTTTTGTCGTTCTTCTTGCCAACACGTCCGCCGATCGTGTGTCTTCCTAAAGAAAGAGGAGCTTTTGGCCCAGTGTTAATAAACCCTTCTGAGATCATTCATAAAAGACATTACCATCAGAATTCTTTCTACTTTTTCCTCTCTTTGCCATCCCGACCACGTTAATTATTTAAGGACGCGTAGTAGGTATTTAGCAGATGTTACTCTTCTGCAGTAGGTAGCACTTATAGGAAGGGTACTGCATGTGAAACCACCAGACTAGAAAATGAACAATTGATAAACGAGATAGAGGTACTTATTTCTGCTTACCTTGATTACTTTTTTTGCTCCTAAAACATTGGTTTCTACCAAAATCTTGAATGGTTCTTCTCAACTATGTTTGTTGTATTTACTAAGGATGAACGAAACGATGCTGTGAAATATGCTACATTTCATAATTCCAAAAACAGCAATGAAATGCAGTACCCTATTTGAATGTAAACAGAAAATCACTGAACAAGAAGACTGTTGACATTTCCCAATCTCGTAAACGACGACTTGGAAAATTCAATAGAAAAACGAAAAAGGATCATGTTAAGACAAACTTGTGTTGCGGCGAAGCTTAAGCAAGTAGTTGAGTCACTGTACAATCCCAAATTGGCTGATTCTTGGGACAATACCGGATTGTTGTTGCAAGCGCCTTTTTCCAGAACAGGCGCCAAGTCCGTATTGCTGACGATCGATTTGACAGAAAAAGTTGCTGATGAAGCCATTTCTAACAAACTCGTTTCCTCCATTATAACTTATCGTATGTACTAGTTTTCCTCGTAGCTACATTATTTACTTACCATTAAACTCGCCGTATAGACCCTATTATCTTCCGTGGACTCAAAGCTATCACGATGGAAGATTCGCAACAAAGGAGTCTTCTGCGTTTAGCTGCTGAGGGAATCCATGTTTACTCCCCTCATACTTGCGTTGACGCTGCTCATGAAGGCGTCAACGATTGGCTGGCTTGGGGAATTGCTGGTGGAAAAGACCAACTGAAATCTTCAAAACCAATTCAGCAAAATGCTTCCATGTCTGATACTGAAGGATATGGCCGTCTTTGCGAACTTTCCAAGCCCGCCAGCTTGCGTGAAGTCATTGACCGAGCAAAGAAACTAACTGGCCTTGCTTATGGTATGCAGACCTTTTTAGTATGAAAAGATTTTTTCTTTAACCTATTTTTTTTTAGTCCAAGTGGCCGCTCCAAAGGGCCTTGATGCTCCAATTTCCACCGTTTCCGTATGTGCCGGCTCTGGTGGTTCCGTGCTCGCTGGAACAGAAGCCGATTTATACTTTACTGGAGAATTGTCTCATCATCAGGTCCTTGCCCTCATTGCCAAAGGAATCTCTGTTATCTTATGTATGCCCTTTTAGCGTTTAACATTCGACTAACCAAAATAGGCGGCCATTCGAATACTGAGCGTGGTTATCTCAAGGATGTCATGGCTGAAAAGCTTGCCAAAGCTTTTCGAGAATCAGACGCCGACGCAGAAATATTAATTTCTGTTGAAGACCGAGACCCTCTCACTGTAATGTAGGACAGATCTTTTCAAGATACAATGAAAGGACGAAAAAAAATTCTGACGACTTTTTTGACGATTCAACCAGAAGAGCTTTGAATGATAAGCCTTCCATACAAGCTCATTTAACAGTGCCGTCAATGCCTGTTTGTATGTATGTAGCTTTGAAAACATGTAGGAATGACATTGACTTGCATTTAACGGTGATGTAGGGAACAATCATCTCCATATTGTAACTTAGCGCTTTGAGAGTTTACTATCTGTTTTTGTCCGCAGTGCATGCTGCTTTTTTGATTCGAAATAAAAAGTTACGATTACTACAATAAAAGTATTCTCTCCCTCCGGGATTCGAACCCGGGCTGCCAGCGTGACAGGCTGGTGTACTACCCCTATACTAAGGAAGACTTATAGTACCTTACAGTAATAGACGTTTATAAATGAGCTTTTACTAAAAATTAGTAAAAAGATATTGAAATGAACAAAAAAAAATCAAGAGACTATAATCTTGAAGCTTCATTTTTGACAGCACTTGGTAAGATGAGTAATTGTCAGACTGTTACGAAATGTGCCTTCCATAAGCTCAGCCAAGGCTTGTTCAGTGGGCGGCGCTTGTGCAAAATGTGAAATCAGTTGAAGCCGTAGGGTAATTAGAATGCCTGTAGCTTTGTGAAAAAGATTGATGTTTAGATGATCTAAACAGATCTTGTTAGAGCAATAGATGGAATCTGAGGATATTCTAGAGCAGATATTCAGCAAGCCTTTCCATGGTTCTTTATTTTACTTTTTTTAAGAGAAACATTGGGTAATATATACACATTGAAACTTGATTGCCTTGTCCAAAATTTATATTCCTTTTAATATAACATGATTCATTAGATAGGAAAGGACCATTCCGTCATTGAAAGCATTTGTGTTTTAAGCTTCTTTCTTCAGATAATATCGCTTTTTTATTTCATTTTCGGAGACGTATTTTATTTGGCTTAATACACACGTCTATACGATCTCCACATTTCATCCCAGTCGCCTTCAGCAGCTTGCTTCCTTGAAATAGCTTTGGATTATGCAAGCATATCGTACCCATATCTCTCGAGGAGGGTCTTCCTTTAAACCTATCATGGAAAACGAAACGAAATTGCAGCATCCACTCTGGATGCTTGGTATCTTCTTGTTGAAACAATATCTTTTCGGCGATGAAAACTCCCAGCTCGTATAAACTCATATTCATCCTGGACACTGTCAGTATTATTCTGTATGCAACAATTCTAAATAGGAATTCTTTTCATCATCATCATCATAGATTTCATAAAAAGTATTCTATACTTTTCTCTTCCCTTAGCATTTCAGGTTCTAGTGTCGATGTACAGATATCAATGAAAAGCTTCACAACTTTGCTTACCATCCATAAATTTCAATTGATGGTACAACATCGTCTAATACGTCTAAAATGTGATTTCTAGTATGAAATTGATGATAGACTTGAATGAGGAATGGACAAGGACCAACGGCAGGATCACTTTCACTTGAAACCGGCGATTGAGACCGACTCGGAGTAAAACTCATTGGATTGATGAAAATGGACTTTTTAAAAGAAGAAATTGAAAAAAAACGTCGGCAATTAGAAGGTAAAAATGATATTCCAGCAAAAAAAGCGTTTCGACGGGGAGATTGGGAGAAGGAGAGAGAAAGGAAATATTTGGAAGAACAACGGGAAATGGAACTGAAAAAAGAAGAGAAGAAACGGAAATTAGATGAAGAAAAAGAAAGTTACGAAAAAGAAAGACTTCAGTCTATCTCAAAAATCGCGAAAGTAGATGAAGCATTGAGTCCTTCTTCTCCAGTCGTAACAGGTACGGCTGAAAGTCCTAGAGTGAGTGAATCCCAAATTTCTACAAAGTCCACATCTCCTTCTACTAGAGGTGAACACTCAGACCTCCCACATTCAGAAGTCATTCGCAAACTTCGAGAAATGAAGGAGCCGATCAAGCTATTTGGCGAATCGGAAGAAGCACTGGTAAAAAGATTCTTCAAAATTCAAAAAGAAAAACAAGTTGAGCAATTAGAACAAGATCTTTTGAGTAGAGGTGTTGAGCTCATAGAGTATCAACGTGCTAGTATTGAGAAACCACGGATTTCGAAGCAGGTAGTTACATTTCTACGACGTGGAATATACGTGTGGGACAAAATTTTAATATCAAAGCCTATTACTGAGCAGAATAATCCTGAAGGACAGGGCCAATTGAAAATTTTCCGGCAAGCCAAACAAGACCTGGAGACCCTTATACGACTACTTATTGACGGCGCTTTGAATGATGATATATTTTCCAAAATTGCTGAAATATGCTACCGATGCCAGCGTAAAGAATTCGTGAAAGCAAACGACGTCTATCTGCAACTTACAATTGGAAATGCACCATGGCCCATAGGTGTTACGATGGTAGGCATTCATGAGCGTAGTGCTCACCAAAGGCTGAAAAGAGATCCTAATACAAATATCTTAAAGGATGAGAAGAAACGAAAGGTAAGTGATTACGTTAATACAATGGATGAAATATTCCTATGTTTCATAAGGAAGAACTACTAGATTAACCACCACAGTGTTTACAAGCTTTGAAGCGATTTATAACTTTTTCAGAACGGGAAGATCCCGATTGGTTTTCAGAAAAGGATTCCAGCTGAAGCGTTAACGTATATGGATGTAAAATTCAAGAAAGAGATATTTGTTGGAACAAACTTTATCTTCGTTGTTTTAATAATTTGAATATTTCAGCAGATATTGCACGAATATGGCTGGGATGCTTGAACTGGGAAAGAAACTAGAAAACCAAAAATAAGCAACCACCTCTTGTTTTATTATTAAAAAACGTGGTGAAAAGAATATAGAAGGTACATTTCTCATAATTGGCTGAAAAATAATTGTCCATAGTCTAAATTTATTGTAAATGAAACATGCTCATTTGCTTCATATTAATACCAAATTTGGCACAAGCGAACGTTGTAGCTTTAAAAGACAAAACATCATGCATAGCGAATTTTTCATTCCAAGTCCAGGTCATATTCTTGTTCTATTCTGGCAGTGTTTGGCCTCGAAGGGCTAGGATTTTGCTTTGGAGCAGGAGGCATACCCATACCAGCAAGGGCGTTCAAAGGATTCATGCCGTTTGCCATTTCTGGTTGACCTTGCATCTCCTGCATCATATCTTGGAACATATTTTCGGAGACACCACCTCCAGAAAGTGCTGGAGAATGCAAAGGTACAATGGTATTTCCAGCTACACCTTTGGGGTAAGTAGGTGGACGTTCAGGAAGCCTAGCAGGAACATTTTGTATGGGTAGGGAAAGCGGATCTTCTGGTTTAGTGGGACGATGTTGCAAGACTTTAGCAATTTGTTTGAACAAATAATGTTCTATTGAGAGCATGGAATTAGTGACAGATATTCAAAAACAAAAGCTTTATAACGTACTTGATATCTTTTCAGGCAAAATTAATTCTACACGGCCTGGATTAGCCCAATCGGCTGGGTGAGTTTTGAGAGGTTCAAGTTTACATTTATAGCCCAAATCACGAACGACGTCTGCAATGTTCTTCGCTAATGGATTTTCAATAGCTTCTTTTTTTGAAACTCGTCGAAATTCCTTCGAACGCTTTTTGTCAAAATAGATTGGGTACACAAGCACCATTGTGTGAGTGTATGGAGAAGGTGAAATGCATGAAGTCGAAATTTACAAGAATGAGAAGTTCCTTCCACTAAAGATCTTTTTTCTATTGTTTCAAATTATAATATACATTTAGCTGTAAAAAACTTGGCATACGAAACGGAGTTTATAAACCCCATTTAATTTACAAAGTACGACTCAAAAAATGGACAAAGGACTTTGCAAAAGATTGATCTTTTCACACAATATTTTAAGAATACACTATTGTAGAACATGGATACAGGATTCAAGTTGAGAAGGATCGTTAAAGAATTGAGAAAGTAATTCTACCAACATGTGCACATTCCAAATTCCAGATATTATTATTGAAATCTAGTTTTCATTCATAAAGATGAAACTCATCATAAAAAATAATACAAAAAAAAAGACCCCTGCACAAGAGAAACAGGTTAGAAAATGTTTACAAGCACTTGCATCGCATCTTTTCTATTTTTGCCTTTCTGAAGAATATTATGTACGGAAAAAACGCCCTTTTTTTCTAAATAGGGATAGATCCAAGCCTCAAACGATGCAACTATATCGGTAAAAGTTTTTTTTTTCTTGCTATTAACAAATATATCTTGCATTTCGCTTTTCGCTAAGAAAGAAACAGAAGATAAAGCCAAACGATAGATTTGTTAAGAACACGCATTTAAGGGAAATTGTTTAAACTTATTGTCTCTTGTTGTTCACCAAATCTATAGAGTTAGTCAAAGAACAAAACATGGTAATTTCAGGTCTTCCCCTCTCCACGTACCCCTACGACATGCATCTGCTAGTAAAATTGTGTCTACATAAGCACTAGACATGTGCACATAGCGAACAACACTTCCTCTAATAAATAAATCCTTGACTGCAGCCTATAAAACTCCATTAGCAAATGCTAAAAGACGAAGACTTGAGGAATGACGACGCTCGTTCGAAGAAACCAATCAGGTACATTGAACTCTTTTACGATGATACTTTTTAGATCCATACTCTTGTACGGCATTCATCATTCCAAATATTCGATCCAAAACCTACCATGTGAGGATATTTCTCAGATTCCACGACAGAAATATTTTCTAGTTTAACATTCAAGAATTGGTCTACGGACTTCAAGATTCCCCGAATACTCATATCATTCTGCAAACAGTTAGTCTCACCATCAAAACTTGCAAACCCACACCTTGAGCTCGACAGTAACCTCCGTATCAATTAAAGTCTTAAAAAAGGAATAAAATAACATTATAGAGGAGTTTTAAATTCGAATTTATGAAGCTTTTTGGAAAAACGAAGAAACGCGATGTATGCTAAATCCCAGTGTCTTAGAGAAGTAACAGCCAAAGCTGTGACTTGAATTCGCAATGAGCAATGCTAAACCAATTCAGGAATAAATGTTGGCTTTATTAAAACATATCAATTAAACGTAATTTTTTATGATAATCTTTCTTTTAATACCTTTCATCAATATGGTTATGGCAAAGTATGCAGATGTCGCCAATTTAAAACTATCTCAAATTGATCCAAAACTAGCTGAATATGTAACAATAGGTGTGGAAATGGATCCAGAATTGACGCTAGAACAAGCTTCCTATGGTGTAGGTGCCAGCTGTATCTACCCTGTCGGTGACACCTTATACCACATAGATGGTACCGGGAAGATCTGGGGTACGAAACAAGGTGTGACGAACTTTTCAAACTGTAGCGGTAACCCTGTGGATGTCTGTAGAGGATGGGATGTGGAAAGTGCCATTAAAGAAGCTGCTGCCAGTGATCTAGACTTGAAAGATATGGAAGAATTTAATCAGTTTAAGATAAAGCATCTCCATGATGCTGTAGAAGCTTATAATTCAGAGACTTCTAATTAATTGCAAGCCCGTGCTCCTAATAATCCAATAGATATCTGTCACAAATAATCCTGTAAATTGTTGTACTTACAACTTCCACTGGATAAACATTCTCATAATGTGTGAGATTTCTACTATGACAAAATTAATCTTTTGGTTTTGTGTTCCAGGGGGCTGAAGTTCAGGGAAGCCACTTTTTTCTCGTCAGATTTCATAGTGAAATGGGATGTAAACAAAAGATCTAAGGGCGTTATGACGGACGTTTGTGAACAGCGAGTATTTTGTGGTTAATTTTCTTCTTAAGGTTGATTAGTTTTGTAACTTGTTTGTACAAAGTAAAGTCTGAAATCTGCTATTTCTCGTAATTTAATAACTGAAAGCGTCGTTGACAAAGCACAAACAAATCCCTGTATTCTGATTGAAACTCTAAGCCTGAGAACCATAAATCAAATGCGATTTTTTCCTTTGGTTGGACCAATGTCAGCTTTGTCTTTTCAAGAAAGGGAGTGCTTGGGTTTCATCTTTACAGCGATTTTTGTGAGAAAGGTTCTTCAGTATGAATTCTGATCATACTTTGGAAGAATATGTTGCTTTCGTTTATTTTTAAGCATCTGAAAGAGGAATGGTAGCAATTGGTTCATGAATTTTATATTTTTCTTTCTAGTAGAAAAATGTCCATGTAGCAATCCTCCTTAAACAAGTAAAAAAGCTCTCGCATCCTAAAGCTAACTGAGCTTTCGAATTCGCTTTGCATGGTATGGTAAATCCTAGAGTCGAAAAGTGACTCATCTAGTCAGATCTCGTTTACTTCGTTGAAGAGCAATCCTTTCATAGAGCAAAGATAAAGATCTTTTTATAACAAATTCGATTTTTATTCTTTTCCAGCCATTGACCCTTCTCTTCCTGTGAAGGTACTTTACAGTCGCTGGATGCGACATGGAATGATCCATTTCACAGACATTGTATACCATTCTGTTCTTAATTAGTTCCAATATTTTTCACATTTTGTTGATTCTCGCTTAAAATCGTCTCCTTCGTATTGAAAACTGAATTGTACCTCTCAAGTGAAAACAAAAACGCTAAAGCTACAGTTCAATTCATTTTGAGTCGATTTCAACTGTTTTTCTTCAATTAGATTTGTTTTATAAATAAAAAACTTTTTTTACATATCGAGGACGGATTGGTCTTGATCTATTCATCCTCAACCAAGACTTTTCTATTACCATACACTCCTTGGATCGTGGGTATGCGGAAAAGTCAAAATATCAAAGGTAATTCCAATTCTGAGGATACAGAAACAGAACTTCAAGACGATTCTAGTTTTTTTTCAGTAGAAGAATTGAACAGAAGGTTGAATTCACCGTATGCGCTAGGTTCTAGTGACCCCAAAACAACTCCTTCTTTACCTGATCCCAGTAGTCAGAATGAACTTAAAATTTCTTCTAATTCTAATTCTACAAAAAACAATCTTTTGCCAAAAGCTACTGGGACTTCAAGTCCGTCAAGCAGAGCGACTTCCCCAAACAATATCAAACGTGTTTCAGATTTCAGTTTTGGTGAAATTATAGGAGAGGGCTCATACAGCACAGTATTGTCGGCCACAGAAAATAATACAAAGAGAGAGTACGCCATTAAGGTGTTGGACAAACGACATATCATAAAAGAAAAGAAAGTAAAATATGTCAACATAGAGAAAGAAGCCTTGTACCTTATTTCAAAGCACCCTGGGTTTATTCGACTGTATTACACCTTTCAAGATACTCAGAATCTGTATTTTGTATTTAGTTTGGCGAGAAATGGTGAACTTTTGGATTATATTAATAAGGTATGTTCAGTGTACAGAGAGATATATGTCTCTTTCTGAAGAATTTTCTAACAGTGAACTAGCTTGGCAGATTTAATGAAGCTTGTGTTCAATACTATGGTGCGTTGCTCCTGGACTCTATCGATTTTATGCACAAGCAAGGAGTTATTCATCGCGACTTAAAACCCGAAAACATTCTTTTGGATGACAACATGAAAACAAAGATTATTGATTTTGGTTCAGCAAAAATACAAAAGACTGTTGGAAAGGATGAATCACTACCAGACGACCTTCCAATCAACAACAATCATTCTAGATCGTTTGTTGGAACGGCTCGATACGTTTCTCCTGAAGTATTGAACGACAAGAATGCAAGCACTGCTTCAGATGTATGGGCATTTGGCTGCATTCTGTTTCAAATGCTTACAGGAAAACCCCCGTTTATTGCGGGAAACGAATATCTAGTCTTTCAAAAAATTCTACATCTTAGTTACGAAGTCCCTGTCGATATCTCTGAGACGGCTTCTGATTTAATTAAGAAAATTTTAATCCTAGATCCGAGTGAACGGTTAACAACAAAAGAAATCCGTAATCATCCGTTCTTTTCTGCAGTTAGATTCGATAAAACTTTATGGGAAATCCCCCCTCCTCGTCTCAAACCTGCTGGACACACAAGCACTCTCAGCTTGTCCGTCCCTAGCTTTGTTCCCAAATCAACTGGCGACCCAAATGACCAAACTCGTCCCTCTACTCTATCTGTTTCTTCCGCTTATCCTACCCCCAATACACCTATAAATACCGCATTTACCTTATCCAGTCCTCCTGAATTAGAAGAAATGAATAAGCGCTGGCATAGCGTACTTCTGGAAGATGAGAAAATCTCCAAAATTACCATTTTAAACGTTTCAAGTATGCCAGGGAGTGGATCTCATGAAGCTGTACGGTTCTTTTCCTCCTTATTCCGGAAGAAAAGACCTCGCACGTTTATTTTAACGACATTCGGAAGATGTCTCCTGGTTGCGATGGATAACGGAGGCAAAGCTACGATAAAAGAAGAGCTTCCTATTAAAAGCGTTGGATTAAGAGTCCGCAGTGTTAAGAACTCCAATCACACGTGGATTATGGAAACACCTACGAAGTCATGGTCATTCGAGGATCCTCGTGAAGCGGCTTCGACATGGATAGATTTAATTAACAAAGCAACTTCAGTCACTACTTCTTTTGAAAATCATTCTGTTACTAGTTTTTCAAGGAGCATTGCGAGAAGTGTTTCTTAGACTGTTTTTTTGCTTTGTTTCTTTTTCTTACGATTCCTCTAAACCTTCGTGATAAAGTCGTCTTTTCTACCTGTTTTGTTGATATCTTCTACTTTATGTTGTCATTCTTTTGTAGCATTGTTGTTTTTCTTTTACCTTTTTATTGTTACGTAGACGTTCATATTTTATAATCTGGATCCATTAAAATATTTTATAGTCACTCTTTTGAAGTTTTCCAGGATGAAGTTCTGTTTAAGATTACTTCTGCTGAATTTTTGAATAATAATGTTTGCTTGTGAATATTTTTTGTGTTGTTATCATTCATGGTGCTTACGTTAGTCAATACTGAAATTGCAAGAAATTAGTTTAACTAAAAATAATTCTTTAATTCAAACCATCTCTGAATCTAACAATCTAACACACTAACATTTTCCAGTTATTTTCCTTGCTTTATTTCTGAAGGTAAAGCTTTGCAATCCGTTCAAAATTTTCTTTGTTAATCGCAAACATCTTCAGATAATCCAGTTCCATATCATGAACATCTTTGCCAACAAGGAGAACGCTGTGAAGAGGAGGTCCAATGTCATATTCAGCAATTTCACTTAAAGTACCAGAAGCAATTACTTGATCATCTGAACCAAGTCTACCGATAGCAACAGCCAAAGATTCAGGTAAACAGACTATGTTTTATTTGTTAATATCGTAAGCATTGGATTAGAAGTATACATACTATTTTCTTTACGGTCCTCCTCAACTTCTATCATTTGTTGTGCAGCCAAACTAGCTGACATATAGCGTGGAGGCTCATAAATTTTACGATCCCGGGCAAGGTTTTCCCAGCTTTGTTCCTTCACTTTGATATCTAAGCAATAGTTAGAATATGCAACCATAAAGTTTAACGTACCAAGAAGTACCAAGGTGTGCAGACCTAAGCTAACGTTTTCTTTGATGCGGTCGTAGAAGCTTTGAGGACGATAGCTTCCTTCAAAGAACACAAGACTAACGGCTTGTCCGAATTTATATAGTTGCAAGCCGCTGGCACCAATACCGTTCATAATGGATGCATTATGAATCATTCGCACAGGAATATTAAGTTCGCGAGCGCGCAACACCAAGTCAGCATGGGTGGTAGCACTAATTCATCAGTTAGTTCTAAACCCCTTGTCAATCATTCCGCAAAAGATATAACGATTCCCTGAAGAAGCAGTTATGGATTGAAAGAGATATCCTGTCGAGGCGATTGGGAGAGCATTTAACAATTCATAGCTCAAATCTCTTTTCAACATCCATAATCGTAAATGATCTTTAAGGAAAGTTAAGGGAAATATAAGAAGATAATTAAAAGTACTTACCCCATGGGATCGCCCACAACTAGCATAGCGACATCGCAAGTATCAGCATCTTTCAGAATTTCGTCGCTGTTGCTTTCTACCATTTCACGATCAGCAAGAGTGATTTCTTTCCCGTAAAGAGACTCGAGACGCTCTTTATTAACTAGCAAAATAGATGTATATGCCTCTAGGTAGATGCGCTGACATTTTTTTACAGTTTGTAATCCTCGCAGAGTAATGTCATTTTCATCATACAATCCCAATCCGATTAAGTAAAACATTGTTAAAATGGTAGCGGATTTAACTCGCTTCACCGAAAATTCTAAAGGCCCAAGTTAGGAAGAGTGAATGGCTCTTGGTAGGAAAATCCAGATTTACAAATAAGCAATATTCCCGGTAAAAAAGAATAGAAAGAGCACTGGGGAGTAAAAGAGATATCTGTTATTTCAGTATTTCAGGGAATTTTTTTCATGGAACGAATTTTCTCTTCATAAGCAGAGCGTGTCTTGGCCAAGAATTCTTGGCGCTCGACAAATCCATCTTTGTTGGCCAGACGAAGCTCATCCTGAATGTCCTGCTCCTTGACATAATCCGACCAATTTTGCTGAGCCTGCTCCAAAGTATTTGGTTTTGACTTTTTCGCAGCTTGCTTGGCCTGAACCTTGGCCAGAGGTGATTCACGTCGCTTTCTCGCCAATGGTTTCTTTACGGGAGGCTTTTCATGCTCCTTAGAAGACACTTGTTTCAACTGCTCCGTTGAAGAGCCTTCCTCGTTTGCCTTTGTGGCAGATTCCGCAGGCGCTGAAACAGCCTCAGACGGCTTCTCTACAGTTTTCTCCTCATGAACATCTTTCTTCTTTTCTTTTAAATTCTCTTTTTCTTTGGAAGATTCATGTTCTTCTGGGTTGGGATCTTCTAAAGTCTTGCTTTGCTCTGCTTCTCCTTCTTTCTCTTCTTCCACCTTCTCTTCGCCGCTGTCTGCGTCTGAAAACGACGATTCTGAACTTGAAGCATCCTGTGGAATAAATTCCGTATCTTCTTCTTCTAGTTCTGTATCGATTTGAATCAATTTCTCGGTCATCGTACTTGAATGGAGCAGGAAAACGAACGCTTGTCCCTCAACACTTTGGCTCGTATTTTGACCCTATATTTCAATTCTGAAAAGGGTACAAAAATTACGCCGAGTGCTTTGGAGCTTATTACACAATACATTCGAATTTATACCAAAGAAGCTGTTTGGTAAGATACTGATTTCGCTTTTCATTAGGGGTGGCACTTCTAACAAGAAAACTAGCCGGGCGTATGAGGAAAAGAAACGCTCTTCAATCACTCTAAATGATCAGGATGATATAATCCTTGAACTGGAGGACTTGGAAAATGGGATTGCGGCTCAACTAGCTTTGGACTTTAGTTGAATGAATATGAAGCAGGGAAAGCATCTCTACCTTTTGTAAATAATAGGAAATTCTTTCATATGATATTCTGGCTTATTTGGTTTTCAAGAATGGTACTGTGCTCGTTGCTGTCCTTGATTTTAGTATGTTGATACTAATATAAATACATATACGAGATCCATCATATAATGACAAGATGTCAAGAGAGGATGTCTTTTTTTTATCCATAATCTACTTCGCTCTCTTGGATTCTTCTCTCTTAGGAATGTTTGGTCAAAGGGTTTTGAATTTAGTCATTTTTCAATTAAAGACAGCATTTGGGGTTTTTACATTTACTGACTTTTGTATATTCTTTATGGAATTTTCTATTTATTTCGTTCTAATTCCTGGTCGCAAATCGATCTCAAATGAAAGTCACTGGGAGTTAGGAATGACAACACTATTTTATGACTAGAATCTGACAGAAAAAAATGTTTTAGAGTTGTATATTACCCTATAAATGCTGCTGATTAATTGAAATTGTAGACAGATGCCAAAATGGTTTTTGGATGAGTTGCGTTTTGTTACAACTAATCCTTTTGCTTTCATACATATTGATATAGAATTCATATCAAATGATGATATGGACATTTTTTTGTGATGATAATGACCTGTTTTCAGTTTTTGTGACGGAATATAATCACTACCTGGAAAGTCTCTGCTTTCATGACCCAAAAAAGAAAAGGAGTTCTTAAATGTCGACTGTCAGCGAACCACTTTTTGAGATTCATATTCGTCAAACTATGACATTGTCGTTGTTTTCTCTTTTAGAAAATGCATCAAGTTGAATCAATAAAAATTTAATGAATGAGGCACGAGTCAAGTTCAGTTGGCATAACCGTATTTCCCATTTGATCCTAGTACACGTAAATATTATAAGAGCTTATGGGCAAATGGATGCTAAAAATGAATTCTTGTACTTTTATGTCCTGGCTCATAGGAATATCTTATGAATCAGAAAGAAGCGTTCTAATTCTTGAAAAGGCTTCTTGTTTATATGAGGCTAGTAGTATTCTATTATGGTCAAGTTTTGAATAGCAGAACGAAAGCATCTTCAATTGAAGCATAATTCAGTTGGGATAGCATTTCAAAACAATAAAGTGTTTACGTTACTTTATAAAGATATATGACGAAGAACAAGCAGAAAGGTAAAGCGACAATCAAATTCCCTTCATGCATTTCTAAAGTTGATGAATCATTATTGTTTTTTTCTGAAAGTTTATTGCTATATATAGCGTAGCTGAAACCTTTAGAAAAAATATATAAAAAGAAACAAATCTATTACCCATTTAGAAGACAGTGATTCTTTGAGAGTCTTTCTTTTTACAAACCTTGAAATTCATGACTGCAAACGATGTATATTAGGGAAAATATAATTTTTACTGTACCAACCTACTTAATTATCATGATAGGTAGTCAATTGTATCCCAGAGAAAAGTCGACATTATTACAAAACTCAAAACGACTTTTCAGCCTAAGTAAATAGGAAATTTCATACTGACATACATGAGATGCTGAAAAAAAAAATAAAATAAAAAAAAAAGGACTATACCAGGAAAGGTACTAAAACTTTTAATATTTCTGAAATTTAATGATTGCATGACACATGGGTTTTGCACTTTTCTAAATACCTTTTAATCAAAAACTTGTAATGATCGATCATCTTCCAAACCAAAGAGTAACAGGTGCTCATTTCGTTTATCTTGCCTGTTTATAATCTATAATTACGAAAACATATGGTAAAACTTATCACAATTAATTAGAAAGGTCGATTTTTGGAGCTTTTGTATGAACTAGAATACTTAAATCATATTTATTTTTTGTATGGCATCGTACTAGATGATATAACGAGGTAACGTCTTAATATTAATATGATCTGTTACTTTATTCTCTACCAAAGGTTTTCATAAGAGATATTCAATGCAGATTTATTTATTGAAGCTGTAGCATACTTTTTTATTTTATTTTATTTTATTTTTAAAAGATAAATTGAATAAATATGTCACGTGTAAGGGAAATTGTCATTCATATATGAAGGGAGCAGAGAGTTATATTGTCTCCCTAGATGACTTGTCAAAATCAGCTAAAGCTAATCAAACTATACTTTGTATAAACAAACAATTTTCTTTTGCAAGATAAACAAAAATAGTTTACAAATCTTATCCGTGCAAAAGCATGAACTTTCCATATGTAAACAAGCCGTCAGCACATTTGTTTTTGTTTGCTAGGTTATTGGAGTATAAAAAAAAAAATACAACCAGTTATCATATTCACATTATTATATTATTCGTTCATTTTTTATTTATTTTTTATTTTTGTTGAAGTAGTTCCATTGTGATAAAATCTTTATCGATGTTTACAATACCAACGAAAAAAAAAACGTCCAAAATATATTTATAAGCCGTCGTCAGGCTTGAGAGTATGTAAAAGAATAACAGTTATCGTGACGTTGTATCCAAAGGTCGCTATTCAGTCTACTGTTAACAATATAATTACTAAGGGAAATATTTTGTAATTCTAACCACTATAGGGCTTTATTCATTTTGTGAAAATGATGGCCAGTCATCTTTTTTGCCAACATCATAGTCAGCAATGGCAGTTTACTCTCACTTATACCTAAACGACTAGTGAAAGCAGAAAAGAAATATATATATAAGGCTTATCGTAATACAAAAAAAGAAGCAAATCGTGATCGACTTCTATCATAACGTTCCTCTTGAGAAAAAATTCATAGAAGCATATGGTCCAAATTAAATATCTCAATCCTATATAGCAGTTCCTTCATATGACCACCAAAGTAAACCCAAGTATTCTGTATTTCAAATCCATATCCATATCCTTCGTTGCTTAATGTTAGTTTCAAGATGACTACATGATTATAATGGAAAACTCTACAGTCTATGAATCATCGCTTGAACTGGAAAGAATTGGGCTGGGATCCCTCAATACGTTTGTATCTTAATGAAAATACTGAAACTCTATTATAAGCGGTTCCAGATTTTGTTTATTCTTACTAAATTCTATGGAGGAATGTTTATTTTCGATTCTTCCAGTAAATAGCATCTACTTTATTATGACTTATAAGACCAAGACAATTAATACGGCCGCTTAACTCAGTTGGTAGAGTGTGAGATTCCAAATCTTGAAGTCAAGTGTTCAAGTCACTTAGTGGTCATCTTTTTCGCCTTTCAAACTTTTACATTATTTGCACTTAATTTTTAAATTTTAAATCCAATATATGAAAATAAGTTCTTGTACATTGGGTCAAATTAATAGCTCCTCGTTGGATTTTACTGGACAGATACTTCCTAACATCTTGAATTACTCAATAAAAATTCTAGGGACTAACTGAGAATCTCTTACTTGATTCCATTCTAAGATCCTTTAGATACATTTTCACAGGGAAAAACGGTTTTACTTGTATTTTTTGCATCTACTAACAACTGCTACTTCGTTTCTTCACGCATGTCATGTGTTTTTAAGGGACTGAAATGAACAAAAGTTTTTGAATATTACAAAATATACCCAATACTCCTCTAACGGTATCTGCGAAGAGACAAGGTGTTGTGACGGAGCCAGGTGGCATGCTTGGGAGTGTTGTTGAAACGGTGTCCCTTGGCAATACCACGAGACTTCTTACCAATAGAGGTAAGACCACGAGCCTCACGGTGCTTGTGAACAGCGTTGCAGATCCAGTTAATACGAGGATCGCGGCGAACAGCCTTGTGAGAGGGATCGACGCAGATAACTTCGTAGAACTTATAGGTAGCGTCTTGGTTAACCCAGTAGGAGTTAAGAACACGCAAGTTAGCACAACGACGGCCGACACGCTCTTCAGCAGTGGAACGGAGAGAGCGTTGGTACTTGAGGTGGTTAACACCTTCATGGACGGGCTTACCGTAGACTTGACCCTTAGGAACAGGACGCTTACGACCACCACGACGAACACGGATGCGGTAGACGACGTAACCTTGCTTGGCCTTGTAACCCAAACGACGAGCCTTGTCAGGACGAGAAGGGCGGCTAGCGCGATGAATAACATTCATCTGACGATATTCCCAAGCACGAACTCGAGACAAGAACAAGTTCACATCAGATTGCTTCTTCTTAGAAAGCTCTTCCAAGTACTTGTAGGCACCCATTTTGTTATTTGGCGGTGGTGGTGGTTCCGTTTGAGTCAAAAAGTTTCATTGTGTTGACCTACTCAACAAAAACAGTCACATACATGAACCCTACCCTAGAGGTGCTCTACTCGATAAATGGAATAGAAATGATAATAACTTTGAGGTAAGAACAGCAATTAATATCTTCGGTTTTTTAATTTAGATTTCTCAATTTAAATTTCTTTCACCTACTCATTTAGATATTCTATTTTTTTATTCAAGTTCTGAACACGATCTTATACGTAAGCGAATAGTAAGGGAATGTAGCGTGAAATGTAAGAGATTTTTAGTAAGTGAACTGCAGCTCGTTAATTACTAGTTTACAGATGTTACAAACCGCTATACAATATAGCGAACTATAGAATTAGACGTTATTCCTGGTCTTTCTCTTACTTCTTGGAATCTACTAAGCTGCCAACAACACATATTCTTGGAAAATGAATGGAACTGAAGAAACAGAGCTCTATAATCGCTGGAAAGCGTTACAAAGACAGCTAGAGTTATTGGATTTACAGGAAGGCTTTATCAAAGAAGACTGCAAGTCGTTAAAGCGTGAATTAATACGTGCTCAGGAAGAAGTGAAAAGGATTCAGTCAGTGCCTTTAGTGATTGGCCAATTTTTAGAAGCTATTGATCAAAATACAGCCATTGTCGGCAGTACCACCGGCTCTAATTATGTGGTGCGGATATTAAGTACTCTAGATCGTGAGTTGCTGAAGCCTTCTGCTAGTGTTGCTCTTCAACGTCACTCAAATGCCCTTGTCGACATCTTACCTCCTGAGGCTGACTCCTCTATTTCTATGCTCCGTCCTGATGAGCGTCCTGATGTTACTTACAATGATGTTGGTGGTTTAGACGTTCAAAAACAAGAAGTTCGTGAAGCAATCGAGCTACCGTTAACGCAAGGTGATCTTTATCGTCAAATTGGTATAGACCCCCCTCGTGGTGTCTTGCTTTACGGACCTCCTGGTACTGGTAAAACCATGTTGGTAAAGGCTGTCGCCAACTCAGTCAACGCCAACTTTATTCGAGTCGTTGGTTCTGAGTTTGTTCAAAAATATTTGGGTGAAGGTCCTCGTATGGTACGTGATGTTTTTCGAATGGCAAGAGAAAATGCCCCTGCTGTTATTTTTATTGATGAGATTGATGCTATTGCTACGAAACGTTTCGATGCTCAGACTGGTGCCGACCGTGAAGTACAGCGTATTTTAATCGAGTTGTTAACTCAAATGGATGGTTTTGATCAAGGCGCTAATGTCAAGGTCATGATGGCCACTAATCGTGCCGATACATTAGATCCTGCCCTCCTTCGTCCTGGCCGTCTAGACCGTAAAATTGAATTTCCCTCTTACCGTGACCGTCGCCAGCGCCGTCTTGTCTTTCAAACAATCACTGCTAGAATGTCTCTTTCTCCTGAGGTGGATTTGGATACTTTTATTATGCGTCCAGATGCTTCTAGTGGTGCTCAAATTTCAGCTATCATGCAGGATGCCGGGTTATTAGCTGTCCGTAAAAGCCGTGGTGTTATTCTTCAAAGCGATATTGAAGAGGCCTATGCACGTGCTGTTAAGCCTACTGACATGGAACAATTTGCTTTCTACAAGTAATATGGTCTTTTTCTTCCCTTTTTTATGGTAATTTCCGTATGTTTTTCCTCGTCCGCTTTGGCTTTCTCCTTATACCCATAGAAGAATGTCTCGATGAAACATTCTACCTTTCCCGACACATGATGGATTATGTTGATCTTTTTCTCACAACATTACTTGAATTGAGATGACACAAAAATAAATTTTTACGCTACTCTTTTTTTTTTCAGCAACATTTTGTATGTTCTTTTAGACCAAGCAGCCCGCAGGAACGTATTCTCATTGAGACGATTTATGTATCTGTAAAATACTATATGATATGTCTTCATCACGACAAAGTATTGAAGAGTAGTAGTGCTTGGTTTCTGATAAGTTATTAAGCTTTCTAACGTAACATATACATAACATTCTACCATTACCATTGTGGATTGAGACCGTATATATTTATTGCATACATATCCGGATTTACAGACAGTAAGTTTACAATCGGTGTTACGTTGTTTTCACAGATCTCACATTTGCTGTATGAAACTTCCCGTAAGATCCTTTGCTATGCATTCCAGCTACATTTATGTTCGCAACTTAATAGTTGAGTGAAAGTGCATCTCAAAAATAGGTCGACCCTTATAAAAAGGAGTAACAATGAACACGAGCATACCTTTTTAGTAAACCTTTACTATTTCATTACTTAATTGTTAAAGGTTGGCATTCGGTTTTTGTACTCTATCGCCTATGCAACGAACTAGCATGTCAAAACGAACGTACTCAGTCCAATATATGTTATCACTTAACTGTCGAAGGAAAGAGCAAGGTTTCAATAAACACGTTCAAACATGAAAACTCTGAAATACACTTCATCCACCCAGAACTCATATTGAACACACCCTACAATTTTGTAATCATACTTTCGAACATACAATTCTACTACGCTACAAAGCCGCTTTCTTGACTATTCGCTTAGAATAAACACAAAGTAGGATTTTATTGAAGCACTAGTCGACAATTTATCGACTACCAAAAACCCTGCTCAAAATGGAACAACATTTTTACTGGGCAATGGTAACCTCAACCTCAACACCGGGTTCGATGTGGATGGAAGTGATTTGCTTAACAATCTCAGAGGGAGAGTGAAGATCGATGAGACGCTTGTGGATACGCATCTCATAGGTTTCCCAGGTCTTGGAACCTTCACCGTTAGGGGTCTTACGGGTGGTGATCTTCAAGGTCTTGGTGGGAAGACGAACGGGACCCTTAACACGCAATTGCTTGTCCTTGGCACGGTTGACCAAGTCAGCGCAAACCTTCTCCAAGTTACGAACGTGACGAGAAGTAAGGGTAATGCGAATGCGGTGAACGGTAGAGGTGAACTGTTGTTCCTTTTGATCTTTGGCGACTTGACTCATTTTGTAGACAGCGGTGACCACGAGAGGGTTTGTGAAGGAAGAAAGTTCTCGGTAACATTTGTGTTGTGAGTATATTGTGACTGTCATGCTGTACCCTACCCTAAACAAACTGTGACTCAATGGCCCTAAAAACAGACGAAGGTAAGAAGCGTATGACTTGGGTAAACATTATAATAATTAAGAGTACAATCGAGAATGGAATGACAAACTCCGTTACTGGAATCACCACCTGTTTCAGTACAGTTATTCTTTTACATACAAGTAACAACGTCACTTTATGATCATCTCAGAAGTGGTTAAGTTGAATGATGAGAAAAGAATTGCTTAACATTTTTTTTTAAGTTTTATAACAAAAATCTTTATCGAATATTCAACTTCTGCATTCCATGTGCAAAAAAACCCGGACTCTTTGCCAACGAATTCGTGCCCTACCCTACTAGCAAGAAACAGTCACAATGTATATACATGAAAATGCACAACGAAAGATTTCACCCTCCTTCGTTCCCTAAACAAAAAAGGAAACTTGGAATATAAGATAAAATGGCAGAAACCCAAGCCAGAGGATTTGGAAGAGGTGGTCGCGGCCGTGGCCGTGGCCGTGGCCGTCGTGGAGCCAAGCGTGACGAGGAAAAGGAATGGATGCCCGTTACCAAGTTGGGCCGTTTGGTGAAGGCCGGTAAGATCAAGTCTATTGAGGAGATCTACTTGTACTCTCTCCCCATCAAGGAGTTCCAAATTGTTGACTACTTCTTGCCCCGTTTGCAGGATGAGGTTATGAAGGTTGTTCCCGTCCAAAAGCAAACTCGTGCCGGTCAACGTACTCGTTTCAAGGCTTTCGTCGTCATTGGTGACAGCGATGGTCACGTTGGTTTGGGTATCAAGTGTGCTAAGGAAGTTGCTACTGCCATCCGTGGTGCCATCATCATGGGTAAGCTTTCCATCATGCCCGTTCGTCGTGGTTACTGGGGTACCGCTTTGGGTGACCCTCACACTGTCCCCATCAAGGTCACTGGCAAGTGTGGTTCCGTTACTGTCCGTCTTGTCCCTGCTCCTCGTGGTGCTGGTCTCGTTGCCGCCCCTGTTACCAAGCGTTTCCTTCAACTCGCTGGTATCCATGACTGCTACACCCAATCTCGTGGCTCCACTAAGACTTTGGGTAACTTCGTCAAGGCTGCTTTCGCTGCTGCCTCCCTTACCTACGGTATCCTTACTCCCAACTTGTGGGCTGAGCGTCCTTTCGGTCAAACCCCCATTGAGGAGTATGCTGATATCTTGATGCAAACTGAAAAGAAGTACTAAACTTCGTCTTTTGTATTCTTGTAAATTGGAGTAATAAAATGAATGGAAACATTCTACTGGAAAAAATTTGAGGGTTTCGTAATGAGCTAGTAAGTAACCGTAAGTAGTAGAGATGCTGGAATGTTAGCGGGTAACTATTGCTGTCTTGATTTGCCTATATTAAGTCCTGTAGTGGAAAGTAGTACGAAAGTTGTAATACTAAAACCCTGCAGACGAGGTTTATCCCATTGTGGATATGGAGGAATTTTGCGTTCTATTTTCCATTACTTTGCCTCGTTAAAATATGTACTGTACAGTCGTTTTATTATATTCGTATCAAACCAAGAACTGATACACAAGCGAAATGTAGCTTGTAAACGTTTATGGTCTTCAATTTCGACATGTCTAGATATATGCGAAAGAAGTAAGACAAATTAAGGAAAGACGAGGAAACCGCATGAAATATAAGCTAGTTAGGATAAGGAACCGGTAAAGATGTCAATACGCTTCTTATGAAGGTTAACGAGCTGGTCAACAGTCAGGAAGCGATGAAAATAATATTAAGGCATTACAAAACACTCGACAGAAAAATGGAGCGATGACATATGCTAGAGTTCCTCCGGGATCGATGAGAATTAAAAAGTAAACAAAAGAATGAAGCGCAAATCATACACAAAATCCTCCCATGTTCAGCCATCATTTTATAATATTATAAATAAAATGAAATGATAGGAATTTTTTATCATGCATAGTCGAAGAAACGAAACATAGAAATGCTTCAAAAAGAACCTTTCAGAATAGTCTCGGCAAACTTGTCGCGAGCTTTCTGCAATCCACTCATGAATCCCATTTCTTTGAAGTCAGAAACAATGGCCTGAGCCTCGGAAACAGGGCCCTTGGTAACACGAGAAGCAATAATAGCAGGCTCGGACTCTAAAATGATACCATCGTCAATTGTTTCGTCTACAACAATCAAGAGTTGATCATAATTGTCAAGGATCGTTCTTTTATCGGGAATATATTTGTAAATCAGTTCTAAAGCGTCACGAATTGACCGTAGACATTCGTAAAGCATAATTTCGTTTTCTTCCATTCCGCCTACAATATAAAATGCCACATCCATCACCGTCAGCATTACGACAAGCTTGCCATCATAAGTTGAAATATCATTTTGAGTCTTCCATGTTTTCTCGAATAATCCTTTCTCGAAAGTCTTTTCTTCTTTGACTGACTGGAATATGGAACCTTCTCCTTCCTTTGTGTGAGGAGGACTATAGTATTTGGCGAATATTCGCTTTCCCGTACTGTCCAAAATCAAAAACGCATTAACAGCGTAAAGAGATAAATTCATTCTTTCTGTTAGTTGCTGGTTCTTGGGAAGTTTACGATCTGCCAGAGACTGTGTTCGTTACCTTGGCATCTGTTACTTTCCGAGGGGAAACCGCGGTCGTTCCTTGGATAACAAAGTAAACAATACAAGTGCAAAGGACTCCCATTCAATCTACTTTCTCCCTTGATTCATGTCGCGCTTTTTAGCATGTTGGAAACAATTGACTGCGCGTTCTTTGGTTTCTAATTCCACTCCGTAAGCAGTAAAAATGAATTGCCTTTTTGTTCGGTACGTTAACACGTTTTCTGTAGATTTCATTCTGGCTGGAAAGTACAAGGAGCGTACAGCGGAGTAGATCCGACAGCTGGTTCACTTCATGTAGGTAATTTAGTAGCTTTGATGCCGTTGATACATTTGTATCTACATGGGATTCCCGTATACAGCCTAATTGGCGATGCAACCGTGCAACTCGGAGATCCCTCTGGAAGAACAACAGGTCGGCACCAGCTGGATCAAGTTATTAGGGATCGGAATAGTCAAGCAATTGAGAAGCAAGTTTTCAGCTTATCTGAAAAAGTCTTGGCCTATGCCGAAGATTGTCAGTATAAGCCTGAAGTTGCACCTGCTTCTCTTCGTACTTGGAACATTGTACATAATCTGGATTGGTATAACAATATGAATCTACTGAATTTTCTAAATGAAGTAGGTCGGCATGTGCGTGTCAATCAAATGCTCGCTCGGGACAGTGTAACCTCTCGTTTACACAGTTCCTCTGGTATATCTTTTTCGGAGCTTACTTATCAGTTGTTACAAGCATATGACTTTTTACATCTTTATAAAAATCAGGGTATAAATCTACAAATAGGCGGTAGTGATCAATGGGGAAACATCACCGCTGGCACAGACCTAGTTCGACGTCTCTTTCCGAAAGCAGTATCGTCAAAGTCTCCAGTATATGCTCTAACTACTCCCTTATTGACGACTGCGAATGGTCAGAAGTTTGGAAAATCTGCAGGAAATGCTATATGGTTAGACCCGTCTTTGACGGACTCTTATAGTCTTTATCAGGTATATCATTTACCTATACATTTTGAGTTTCGTTTCTGATTCTAACGCTCAATTTTTTTAGTCCTTTATTTCTCTACCAGATGATACGGCTTCAAAGTATCTTGATATGTTGACTCTGCTTTCTAGCGAAAATCTAGAGAGCATCAAATCGAGCCATTCCCAAGATTGTTCTTCTCGTTTAATTCAGCATACACTTGCGTTTAATATTATCCATATGGTACATGGCGAAGAAAATGCTAAACTTGCACGATTGCAAACAGAACTCTTGCACGGTTCTCAACCCGCTCCCTCTGGCTTTTTTGTTGCTTCCGTCAATTCCACATTACCAGCAGTGGACCAATTAAAGGGTATTTTTAAAGCATCTAATTGTTATTATAAAGTTGATCCATCCTTAAGTCCGATGCCTTTGTCTCGATTACTTCGAGAGCTGGGCATCTATGCATCGAGAAAAGAAGCTGCTGAACATATCCGATCAGGTGCAATCTCCCTTGCACATGAAACAATACTTGATCCTAATGCGATTCTCGTACGTAACGATCTTGTAGTTCTTCGAATCGGAGGACGCCGTGCCTTGATTTTGGACTTTACTTAATCTGTCTCTTCATGTAACTTTTACTACAACTAACTAAACTCCTTCTTGGTCATCTTTTTTCTATCAAAATTAAATATCACGGACATTAGTATCAGGAACTCAAAATTTCATTCTAATATACATCATTAAAAAGGTTATCATCATTAATGTATGATTTATATTCACCTTCAAACGTTACTTCGTTGTTTGCACCTTGTTTAGAAGTTCTTGCGCTTTTTTAATTTTTTCACGCAATAACGTTAATGAATCTGACTCGTTGCCTGGATTAGATAATGCATAAGAGAAGTCGTCACGACCCTTCATTACCTCCTCTTGAAACAAAGGTATTGTTCTTCGAACCGGTCGTTTTTTATGTGTAGCGTTAAGTTGTATTTCAGCTTCTCTCTTTCTATTAATTTGACAGACTTGCTCAACTTGAAATGAAGGTGATTGTTCAGAACTAACATTGGACAGCAATAATTTTAGGCTCTCACCCAATTTTGCGTCTTCAATAGTTTTAATAGTTAACACATGAATGCTGCTGACTGCCGACCATGAGGAGGTGATTATGTCCATGAATTTTAATCGTTCAACGTAATTTTCTGTTGCATAGTCACCTTTTGTCCACATAACCAACAAAAGAGGAAACTTCGTTGTCGTCCGATTGGAAACAACTCGTAAGAAAGAGAAAAGATCATCTCTTAATGGGTCATTCATTGCTGACTTTTCAGAATTCAACCCATTACACATCGATGGAGAATTATAAGCATTCTCCTCAACCAATCCTAAGTCATAAATACAAGCTCCGTAACACATCCGCTTTGTAGGTAAACTCTCTAAAGTCTCTGGCATTAGTAAGGTATAATCCCGATTCAGGATATTATGTGTTGAGCTCCAAATAGAGGGATTAGATGAACACTTAAGACCTAATTTTGATCTAAACCAGTGATGAATAGATGGTTTGTTGGACGCACTAAAAATCAATAGATGCCATGTCGAACTTAAAACCTGGTTGTTTAACAACTTTAAGAAAGAATATATATCCTCTTCCTTCCAAAAATTCTGGATACGATCATGTTCCAGTCGGATTTGTTCAGATGCTAATACATTTTTCGCATTATAATCTCCATTGAAAACACGAGAACCATGTGTGCGGCGGTTATTTAAACATGAAGCTCCTAACAGAGAACTCAAAACAACTTTATAGTGTTCTTGCTGCTGTTGTTCTCTTAACTGTTGTACTTCGCGCTCTCGCTTTTTAAGCCAGCACTCTCGAGCTTTCAGTGTTATTCGACTAAATACTCTTTTTTTTAAGGTGCTGTTGCAGATTTCAATTGCTAGAGTTTTTAAGCTCGAAAAGCGTATTATATTCTTTACCATTGAATAATAAATTGATTTAGCGGTTTCGTCAATAAATCCTTCGTAAACTTCTTTGCATATCCGACCACATAACGAAGTTAACGTATGCTTTACTATGGATTGAAAAATCAAATTTAAATCGTCAGAAGAAAACATTGGTTTTTGCCTAACGAGAGAAGGCTTTTTTATGACCGGAGGCGGCAAAGATGTTATTGTTTCTTCAGAAGGAATAGAAAGTAATGACTGGCTATCAGATCGGGGAAGTTGAGTATTTAACGTTGTTCTAAGAACAGAAGGAGAAGAACCAGGTTTAAAAACGGGAGCATTAGCGTTCAGTGTTCCTCTAGACAGGACTGAGTTTTTATGAGATCCATTGGTGACAGACCGAGTTTCAACATTAGAGATTGGCTTATTAACAGGGAATATCGGTCTTGCGTCCTTCTTGAATACAGAAGATTTCGCTGCTTTTATCGAAGTCGTTCCTCCATTTATTATAACAGCAAAAGAACGATTATCTAATTTTTTCTCAACTAAAGCATGGGAAAAGCGTTGAGTTGTATCAGGCTTAGAGTCATCAAAAAAGCCGGTCTTGCTTAGGTTTACAACTGGTTCTCCGTTTTCTTCATAAACCTCCAAAGCGTAATACTCGCAGAACTCGAAAACATTGTCCAAGGCATCAAACTGGAGTATACGCTGCAAATCGACACACGGAAATTTCGCATGTACTGACATATAGGCTTTACGCATGGCCTTGATGGCACCTTTTCGAATGGAGGTGAAATGAGACTCTAATAAGCAAGCCATCAAATAAGTTACAGAGGAAGATGCAACAAGTTTGAAGAATCTAGTATACAAGTTTGGAGTAGCTTCCGTGTTTAGTGGAAGCAGATGACCGATTCGCTCATTGTTCTTCTGAGCAAGAGCTGACAGCCGTAAAGACAGCTGTACTTGGGGATCATCGAAAATATCGGTAGGCAAAAGTTGAGACTGCCGAACAACATCCTGATCGCGTAGATGCGTAAGGATGGAATAAGATCGAAATTCGGCTTCGTTAGGACATGATATTTTTTCTTTTCGAAGGTCGTCATAGAATTCACACAAAGATTGTAAAACTAACAGTTAGATGAGTATAACAAAAAGTAATTGAAAAGATGCGAAAACCGATACTTACCTTTACGAAGCTGCTCGACCTCTTGTTGTGAGCTAAAGTTTTTTTTCTCACACAACTGATGTAGACAAAGAATATGATATCTGGCAATCCGTTCATGGCAAGCTACGGCTTCTAAACTTCTATTGTTCTGTAAGGTAAAGTCTTGGCGAATAGAGCGCGTTCGATCACGCACAAAAAAGTGAGTCGTTTCCAAAGGATAAGGTCCGCAAACGATTTTATCAATTAAATAATCAAGTGATTTCTAAGGCACGTGTGAATAAAATGCACAATGAATAACAAAAAGAGGAATCCTTCATAAAGCGGCCATATGTCAAAAGACGGCACTTGAAGGAAATTTGGAAAAAAATAATCAAACCTTTAAAACAGGAGGAGGACGGACATCGGAAGGAAGTGCCTGTTCGTTTCCTGCAGCAGGGCGATGAAAAGCTTTGACGGCCAAGTTCTTGTCGACGCGGCCACTATCGGGATTAATTTCCCATCGTTCTAGGTTATTTTGATATTCACGCTGTTCACGCTCATACTCGGGACACATGTCTGGACAGGTACCTACGAAGGTCACCGCTTCATCCAGTTGCCTTGGTTTAGAAGGATCGTCAATTAATCCTTTCTGTATGGCATCCTCACGTTCCTTATCGCGTAATCTTCGTAATTCTTCAAAACGATTCCCTTGTAGGGATGAAGTAAACCGCTTTTGGCGTGTTTCTTGTGCATCTACATCCTCTGGCGTCGTACTTTCATCTTCCTCTACAGGAAACACATCGTTTTTCGATCCTTTCTGAGAATGAGAAAAACTCCTCCTTTTTTTCTCACGCGTAAACGGTCCATTCAATTGACTGAATCCGCTTTCATCTGGTTTTTCCATGAACAATGGATTGTTTACCAGGCGTTGGTAGTTGGTAAGTTTTACGAAGTTTGTTGTATCAAAGTGTGTGTGGATATATCAGATACGTTAAGTAGGACTAGCGCAGGATGAAATCAAGAGATATGATTGTCAACGGAAATGCGCTAAACGGTAAACAATAGAATGAAAAATGAGATTTTACCGTATTTGAAAAGAAGCATTGATTATTGCGACAGAATAAACTATGAATTTAACTAAAAGACTTCTCTCATTATCGCCTTTATTTTATTTTTTTGTGAATATCAAGTATTTTTAAGACATAAACTTATATAGGATAGGAAAGCAAGTAAGCAAATAATCATTGCCAATAAATAGGATAGAGTGAAATTGATGCCGGTAAAAAGAACTCTTGTTAAAGTTGTTTAGTAGATTCATGCATACAAGTCAAACGAAGATTCATAACAAGTGTCTTTTGCTTTCGTTATAATCATTGGTTATATATCTTGTTTCTTTGATGAGGCCTCTTTGTTCGCTATGAACCCCTGCTTATATGCTATCGAAAAGCTTGGAGAGGTAGGCTCCATGGAGCTTCAATCAAACGAAACTGATGAAATATGATGGATTGATAGGGTACAAAAGAAACGGTCGGTTAAATAGTAGTGTTTTTTTTTTTTTTTTTTTAGTGATCATCATCTTGGAGCATGCCAACGATCTGCAAAACACGAACAAACAAGTTGATAAAGTCAAGGTATAACATCAAGCTGGACATAATAAATTCTTCAGCAGAATATCGATGAAGGATATTGTAAGTATCATATAAGATGTAGCCGCAGAATACAAGCGTGCCGAAACCAGCAAAAGCCAATTCAGCTAATGGCATGGAAGGCATGAAGATAAAAAGCAGGGGGGTCAAGACGAGCATCCATAACGAGATGTATAGAAAGCCTCCTAGACGACTAAAGTCATACTTGGATTGAAAGGTGAAAGCCGTAAGGGCGATAAAGATTCCAAGAGTAATAAATACAGCTTCCAAAATGATGCGAGATGAGAAAAAGGAGATGGCAGTGCCTAATGTAAGGCCTTCTAAAGCCGTAAATAGAAATAACAGAATGTAGTTTCTAGGATACGTATAAGGCTTCAAAATAAGACCGAAAAGGACACCCAAAGACACAAAGAAATTGACGAGTAAAAACCAAGGGTGACTTTTTACCCATAGGGACAATGTCGGTTCAAGATAAAAGATACCACCAAATAATGCAGTTACAAAGAGTTGAGCACTCAGAATTGCATATACCTTTCTCAAGAATGCCATTCGAACCGTTCGGCCACATTCAGCCACCGTTCTTGTATCCTTGAATTGATCCGGGGTAGGATTTGGAGTAGCCGAGTCATTTACTTCTGTGTAGGCTGGAGGAGCCTGAGTAGGGCCTGTGCCACCCTCCATGGGTTCCTCTTGAGGAACACTTTGGTAATTCTTGCTCATGACGAAAAGCAAAGTCCTAGCAAATAAGTGGATGTACTAAGCACTCTAATTAATGCAAAAAGAAGCAAAATAACTAAAGAACTTGAAGATTTTTATCGATCTTGTAAACACGCGCACTTAAGAAAGTGGATGGAAGAAGTATGCTGGAGACCAACGCATATAGGGGGAGGAGTGTCTCTCATTTGTGACGTCAAAACAAAAACATGTTGAAAAAGTAAAAGTTAAAAAATAGAAATGAAAAAAAAACTAGAAAGAAATCGTTATAGGTAGGCTGCGTTTCTTTGGCATGAAATAAACTCGTCTACGCATATTCAGGCGATGTATGATTTAACGAGAATAAAAATGAACATCGTTAAATAGGAATGTTGGAAGAAATAAGTAAATTATGGAAAGAAAGAGAGAGAGAATTAGAATTATTAGAAAGAAGCATAAACACTTTTGATCACCAAATATTCCGTCACAAGAAGTAAGAGTGCGCAGACCTGGAATCCTGAAGACTTGATGCTTGATTATAGACGGTGCTGGTTCAATTAGGAGCTATTCATTCATGGTGTATATCTAAAAAGACGAGCAGTCTCTTTTTGGATAATAAAATTGGGGTCCAGGCAATGTAGCTAGGTAGAGGCAAGAAACACCCTTTTTTCTTTTGAAAAAGGCAGGGTTAGTAGGGAATATGGGAATGCATTGGAATATTCTGGGAAAAAGGAGAAAGATTCTTTTCTTTATATAATCATTGCATACAAGTATTGCATCGAAGTCCTTCTGAGAGTCTACCAAAAGTTCATAGGGAACCGACTGAGCTTGGGAAAAGAAGCTTGGCTCAAACCTTTAGGGAATTAGAGGACATTTTCCTTGTTTTTCGATAAATTTTAATTCTGCCCAACTGAGAGCCGTTGGATATCAATAGTTGCAGACAAAACTAAAGTCGAATAGAAAAGGATTTGATATGCTTACCAGGGATCACGACCAAACCCAAAGCTCGAGTTAAACCTACAAAAAACTGTTAAAATCAGGCCCCTACGGAGTATCGCATTACCGTTGGAATCTTCTGTGGTGTCGGATAAGATTGCTGTTCCCTCATGATCGGTACACAAAAATCTTCCATAAAACTTTCGTTGATCGGAAACTTCTACGCGAACTTGCCGATTGAGCCAACGCCCAAGTTGCTCTTCTCCAGATTCCATCGACATTCTGGTTCTTGCAAGGTAAGTCAAAGGGTGATGAGATGGAAAAGAACACTGAACTTGTTCTTCTATTTCTAAGATCTTCTAGGAGCCTTATTTATCCAAAGTTTTTTTATTTTTTTGTTTCTTTTTTTTCTTTTTTTCGCTGACGATATTTTGGGGTTTTTTGTTTTCTTCTGTCGCGCTTATAATAAGCCTACTTATAAGCGAAAATCAGCTACATCATGGTTTGGTGAAAGAGGTAGGTCCTTTGTTTTGGTATTTTGGTATGGAAAAGAATGCTGGAATTAATTCTTTCTGTATATTTTCTTAATTAAAAAACGCTTTATTTGGATTTTTCACTGCCATTGATACACCGACACACACATTGTCTCTCTCTGCCTCTATCTTCTTTAGTGCATCTGTTTGCGCTTTCCTCCTTTTAACAACTGCCTTTTTCCTGCTCCTTTCACCGTCTCATCATCTTCTTCTTTTCCACCAGGCCAGTGCGAACAGCCCTTACTAAGAAACCTTTGTCTGGAATCCTTTACCATTCTCCAACGCGTGTCTTTATCCAATTTAACGATTTATAGCACAATATGAATAAGTAGAGCATGTCCAGACCAGAAGGATCGACAATCTTCGGTTGCGTTATTTTAAGGCTTTGTTTAACATAACCTTGTCATGACTAAACCTTAGCTAACCTGATTAGGCTATCGGGGGCCGCATCAGCAATCTAGAACGCCATCGAAGGATCTACGACCTCGTCTAATTCGCAAGATTTGAAATCAGCCGGGTTATCCCCAGACTATATAATGGACACTCTCCTCCTTCCATTTTCACCATCGAACAAACGAAACTAACGAAATTACAAGAATCATGGTATTGAACATTGGACAACCTGCTCCTGACTTCAAGGGTACTGCCGTCGTTAACGGTGCTTTCGAAGAAATTTCCTTGTCCCAATACAAGGGTAAGTGGGTCTTCTTGGGCTTTTACCCTCTCGACTTCACCTTCGTCTGCCCTACTGAGATTGTCGCTTTCTCTGAGGCTGCTGCCAAGTTTGCTGAGCGTGGTGCTGAAGTTATTTTGACCTCCACTGACTCTGAATACTCTCACCTTGCCTTCATCAACACTCCTCGTAAGGAAGGTGGTTTGGGTGGTATCAAGATTCCCCTTTTGTCTGATGCTAGCCACAAGATCTCTCGTGACTATGGTGTCTTGATTGAAGATGCTGGCGTCGCTTTCCGTGGTCTCTTCTTGATTGACCCTAACGGTGTTTTGCGTCAAATCACCATCAACGACCTCCCTGTTGGTCGTTCCGTTGATGAGTCTCTCCGTCTTTTGGATGCTTTCCAATTCGTCGAAGAGCACGGTGAAGTTTGCCCCGCTAACTGGCAAAAGGGTGCCGACTCCATTGACACCAAGGAGCCCTCTAAGTACTTTGGCAAGCAATAAATGAGAAATTTAGCTTAAATGGACAGAAGGACACATATGTCCTTCTCAAAGCTTTTCATTTTGCCAGCTTTATGTTAGATTGAATCAAGTTTTGTTTTATTGAAAACTTTGTTGGGAAACAGAAACAGTAGGAAGCTAGTTAGTTCGGTGGATGGCAGTAGTTTGTAGCATTGAGGAATTTAATGGTAAAACAGTAGAAAGTGGTGCTGCTATGGAAGATTTTGTCTGTGTCATTATGGTTCAAGTGAATCTAAAAATGCAATTCATTATTGGGTTCTTTGAAAGGAAAGAAAGTCTATTATTCATTATTTGTCTTGTCACAGTATGGAGATGGAAATACATCAATGAAACAATCAAGAACTCGCTCATTTCAGGATAGTACATGTTCAGGTGCATCAGTACCGTTTTGTCTAGTCTAGGTGAATTAATGGTGTAGAAAGGAAAACCGAGTTCTTGAAAGAGCACTGGTATGTTAGTCATAGGTAGTAGCACATGTCTAAGGATATTGATAAATGCCGGATTTGGAAGTAGTTAGCTTTTGGCGTACAAGACCCGACAGCTGTTCAATGGCAGCGTGGACACCATCTATGATGGGGATTTCTGGACCTACGGCTTCTTGAATGGAATCACGAATCGCAGCCAAAGCGGCTCCACCTAAGCAAATGGAATCGGCTCCGTGAATACGAACGAGTTCTTGCGCACGCTGAACCAAGAGCGTCTTGCGTTCTTTAGGATCCATGTTGGAAAGTTGCAGGACGGTGCGTCCTGTGGAGGCAATAGCAGCAATGCGAGAACGTTGAATTCCAAAGGATTGTAAGAGTTCGTAGAGTAAACATTCAGATCGGTAAGTACTAGTAAGGATGCCAACCTTTTGGCCAACGGTGAGAGCAGCCAAGACCGAGGCTTGGACGATGCCCATGCAAGGCAGCTGGTACGACTCGCGGATCATGTCGACGAGAGGCGTAGGTGAGTAGCAAGCCACGACAACGGCATCGATCCCCTCTAAGACCTGGGGTATAAGGGACTGAAAGACGAGGGCGGCAGTAAGGGTGGCTTCTGTGATGGAGTCAATGACAGCAGCTCCTGGAGCTGGGCAGGTAAAGAAGCGCAATTGGACATCGGGGGCAACCAGTTTTGGCAATTTCTCCTGAAGGGAATCGGTAATGAAGCGGGAAGAGTTGGGATTGATGATCAGAATGGTGGGCATTATTGGACGAAATCAGCAAGAAAAGAGAGAGAAGAGCAAGAAGAGTGAGAGAGAATCGGCGAAGCGAAAACAGCGAAACAATGGGAAGCGCGCCTTGGAAAAGTGAGCAACTGACCAAGAGACTTTTCCTTTGTTTAGCGAAAAAAATATCCAACAACAGATAAACGAGTACAACCGATTTCTGGGAGAACCTATTGATACGGCTCGGCCCTACCACGACAAGTAACCGCAACCGATAGCTTGAGAAGCACAATAATCAGAGACCGAGACAAACCACCTTACAGAATCCAAAGGAAAAGAAACACAAAGATCAAAAGTAAAGCGAAAGGAACGATTTGGAGCTTCTCTTAGGAAAACCACGTCTCAAAGTAATGGTAACAACAAAAAAAAAAGAAAATAAATAAAAGAAGAAAAAAATCGAGAGGAAACACTCCACCAAAACAATCTCTCGTTGAGTCCGGTTTCTCGAAAAGTGGAAATACGGACCTCCAAGGAAGAACAGCCTTTCGTCCACACGATGTCATCTTTCCTTATCAATGGCAAAAGAAAGGAGGAGGGTCAGGGTCCATGATAAAGCTACAAACAACGTAGCCGTAGAGGCCTTGGATGGACATTTATAAAGGAGATGAATTCTTCCTGATACCCTCCTCTCAACTTGAATAAATCCATATACTCCTTTAGATAAGTTGTTTGTTTGTTTGTTGACGGACTGATTGTTCGCCTTGACCCATTGCAACTTTACTGCTACTGCTACTACTGCCACTGTTGCTTTCCACTTGGACTCTTCTTTTGTGCTGGACGCCGACCTTATTTTGTTTGTTTATATCAGCATGACCAAGATTAGCACAAATACTACCACTACCAACGTCCTCCCTATGACATTGCCTGTCCAAGCGACGTCTTCCAATGCTTTCGAGCCTTATACGACGGCCAATGGCTTGCGCATTTCTCCTGCTCCTTTGCCCTCTCACAGCACCGATGTCTCTTTCGGTGCCGTCATTGAAGGCATTGACGTCCGCAAGGTGACCGATGAACAGTTTCAAGAGATTCGCAAGGCTCTCTTTGAACACCAGGTCGTCTGCTTTCCCAACCAACACGATCTGCCACCTGAAACTCAGTACGACATCACCCATAGGTTTGATCCCGAGAGTTCCACTTATGGCCATGGAAATAGCTCCAACAAGCAAAAGAATAGCATTCTCCATCCAGATCTGCACACCATTCCCGCTGTTCCTCAGGTCCAATTGATCGGTCACGGCTTAATTCAAAATCATTATGGCTTGCCCGAGGCTCGTCTGAAGCATCCCCATCATCGCACCTTCCATCGAGATCCCATCTCTGCTGAAGAAGAGAAGGAAAAGCAAATTACCCGCTTTTATCGCTGGCATATCGATGCTGCTCTTTACGACTATAATCCTCCCGTCGTCACCACTCTTTCCGCCATCTCGATCCCTCAGGGCACCCAAACTCTACGGTACGATGACAAATCAGGCCATCAAATGCCCGTCCCTCTCGGTTCGACTGTCTTTGCCTCTGGCTACAAAATGTTTGATTTGCTTACCGATGAACAAAAGAAGATCGCCGCTCGCACTCGCGTTCAATACTTTCCGCACGCATATGTAGTTATTCATAGGGCTCGTGCCTTGCCCAATGGCTTGAGCATGTACTCAGAGGGCTTAGAACTCCCCAAGGACAAACTTCCGGATTGGCAAGAGGACAAGATCAAGACCTTCCCTCTTCTTTGGAAGAACCCCGTCACCGGTAAGCTTGCTCTTCAAACTCATGGCTGCTGTGCCGAAAAGATTTACATCGACAATCCAGACGGCTCCACTACGATCATTGATGATCTCGCAAAGGTCCGCGAAATTATCTACGATTATCAACGCCCTGGGATCAACCCCGAACGTGTTTACTGTCACGACTGGAAGGAGGGCGATTTCGTAATCTTCCATAATCGCGGCCTCATTCATTGCATTACAGGTGCCTATGATGACAGCCAAACACGCATCCTCCATCAATGCAACTTAGCTGCTTCTCATCCTCCTGTCGGTCCTACCGCTGAAGAAATTGCTTCCATATAGTTATGTTCAACCTCTTATCCAATATTGCTTAACTCAAGTTCCGAGAAGGCTGGTCGACCTTGCTGCATTTTCATTCATTGCTTATGATACGATACGTCTTTTCGTTTTCTACCAGCAACATCGCTTCATATGGTTTTCTTTCTTTTCATTCACCACTTTTCATGTTTACGCAGTCATGAGTTTTTTTATCTAATGTATAACAAATTTTTCTTAATGAATTAACTGGTTTACCTTGTACGCTTTATTTCTTAGTCTGTAACAATCACATTTTCGTCGTAAACAGTTTCCCTTTAACTTTTTTTTGTGTGTATGAAAGTTAACGTTACTACCATTACTTTTCAATTACAAGAGTAAGAATTAAAGAATTATAAATAACAATAATTATTCTCTATATTAGTGAAATCCATTACGCATTCAACTTTAATAGACATCCAAACAAACGAAAATCCAGCAAGAAAGCAATTGATAAAAAACATAAAATATGAAAAGATACAAAACAAAAAGAAAGGAAATGGCAAAAAAGGGTCATTACAATGGATAAACAAACATCAAGTTTTCTTGGTCAGTCAGGTCCAACATGGAATTATCGATAAATCCTGAAGTAGGGTTTCCAGAGGAGTCTACAAACTCTACCCAAGTCTTGGAAAGCTTTTCTTCGCTGTTTTGTTCACGTAAACGACGGCGTTCATTATTTTTACGGACAAGGATCCAGCGAATGATTAGAAGAATCATGGGAGAAACCGACCAAGCAACAACAATCTGTGCAATCCAGGCGGGATAATATCTAGGAGCATCGTGGCTCTGCCACATTTGAGGGCCAATGATGTTGGCTACTGCATATCCAATCATAAACAAAACGCCTCTAGTAAGCTTTTTGGTGTATCCAGCGCATGTGGCCGACATCCATCCAAGGGAAATAATAAAAGGAATTCCGAAATTGGATGCTATAATAATGGCAGCTAATTCTCCGATTTTATGGTTCCAGGACATGGCAACGGATGCAATTCCTCCAGCGATGCTGGGAATGTACCAAAAGGCTCCGTGAAATGCACTTTGATTCACGATTAGACTCATCAGGTAAGTAGCGAGCATGGAGCTCACACAATTGTATCCAGAATTGGCGACACTGACCAACGTAGAATTCAAATTCGACACGCCCAAACTAGTAAAAAGCAAGTTTTGTTGATAAGCCAGATTATTAGAAAGTTGATTTGTTAAAACATGAAGAGCAAACAGCCAAGTAACCGGTTCTTTTAAAGCCTCAATTACTTGATGCTTTTTGAACCTCTTGGATTCGATACCGCTGTTATTGTTTCTGCGTACGCGGTCTACTGTATACAACCGTTCAGCTTTTGTCAAAAATCTTGCCTTGGCAGGATTATCAGGATAGTAAAAGAAGAGCCAAAGGGTCATAAAGAATGTGAGACCTCCAACGATGATCATAAAGAGCTTCCAAGGAGAGACGGTATTAGTAGCGTATTGCACGCCGTACGCAATAAAGCCAGCAGGAATGTTACATCCATAGCAAGAAATGTAAAAGACAGGTTGAAGAAAAGTTAGTTCATTGTGTGGGAAAAACATGCCGAGAGTTGCTTCCATCGTAGGAAGCAAAGTGGATTCTACGAGACCGAGGAAAAAACGAAGCGCCATGAGTCCGCTGTAATTATAAGCCGTGCAATGTAGAAATATTATGATCGTCCAAAGAGCTGTAGAGCCAGCGACAAATTTTCCCACAGGAAATCGTTGCAGTAATAAATGGCCAGGAATTTGACCAATTATATATCCAACATAGAAGAGTGTGTTTAGATTATTGTATTGGTCTTTTGTGATATGTGTATCCTCAAATAGGCCAAGGATACTAGAGTAACTGAGGGTAGCTTTGTCGATATACAACATCATGTCTAAGACCATAACCATCGCAAGAACGCTAAAGTAAAGCTTCCAGCGTAATTTTTTATCCTGTTTAGGACTTAAAGGCTCTAGGTCCTTTGCTACTTGCATATACTTGAAAGTTTCATCAAAAAGGGGATTCAAGATACTTCTTTCGGTGCTAGAATGCGAATCCTTGGAGACATCGGAAAGAACCGTGAATTGCTCAATATTCTTTTCCTTTTCCATGCTAACATTTGCGTCCTTTTCAACATCAAAAGAATCATCAACATCATTTTGATGGATAGAGGGGGGATTTCTGAAGATTTCGCTCATTTTCGTACGCCAAGCCAAATTAAGAAACTAAGTTTCCTTTTTTTCGTTCAATTGGTTCCTGCAAACTTCTCTTCCTAATAGATTTCCCTCTACAATCCGATAATGACACAAGGGCAACAAAATAACAGCAGATCCCAACTTTAAAGAATAGTGCTTCCACGAAGCGAGATAAATACCCCTAGACAAAAGCGGCTTTTATTTGTTTACTATTTGTGAGTGGACTCGCCTTGTCCTTTTCTATTCCTACAACCTTTAAGAATTGACCTTATCGAAGCCTAGACAAATGACCGCGCAATGACTCCTACATATATAGAAAGGATTTCCATCGATAGAGGCTTCTTATTATCACCGTTGATAACGACATCCTGTCTAAGAATCACCGAATATTTGCCAGGTGTAACAAGGTATGTCGTAAATATCCTCCTATAAACACCAAAGTAGTTTCGGGGGAGCACGCAATTACAAATCGTCAGTCGACAAAGATAACTCTATCGAAAAGCAAACAACAAAAATCAGAAGAAAGAGAAAAACGAAAAAAAAAAGAAGAAAAAAACACAACTCCCAGTATTCTTCGTGGACATCCGTTCATTTTTGAGAAATTTTATTGTCATTCCTTCTGAGTAACCTTTTTTTTTCCCTTTCTTTCTTTCTTTTCTTTTGATTTTTGGTAAACAGCTTTGTTTGCTTCTGTTTACATCACAAACCTTGCGTGTCTCATTTTACCTCTTCCATTGATAAAGCCACGTTTGACGAATTCGCCTTTTCTTTGTCATAGGAGATTTCATAGTGTAAACAAAGTACTAGAAACAGCCAAAAATAAAAGAATGAAAGAATAAATTGCGAAAGAAAAAAGAAAGAGAGAGAAATTAAAGTAGGAAGGAATAAAAACAATCAAGAAAAAAAAAACCTTGATATCTTTTATGGGTTTTCTTCTTTGTTTTTGCAAAGCATAAGAACCTTGCAACCTCTGACGGTTTCTTTTCGTATTCAGGGAATAAAAAAGAAATATCAACTCGGCGAATACTTATCTTTGTGGATTGCACCATTTATTCCTTCTTTCATGATACATTTTTCCGAATTTCTATAGTTCATTCGCTTCTTTAGACGTCTTGTAATTTATTTTATTTGGATTTATCAAGTCGGTTGTATGGTGTAGCGGCTAGCACATGAGATTTTGATTCTCGAGATCTGGGTTCGACTCCCAGTACGACCTGCATAATATTATATATATTTTTTTCTGATATATTCAAGTTTTTTCTTTTGTATCTTCATTATATTGCTTTATATGTTTATAATTGTCATATAAATTGATTCAAAGAATTCCGGACTTTCGCAAGTCATGTGTGATATTAAGAGATCTTAAGTCATAAAAAGATTGCATAGAATTAGGAAATATAGTTGTTGGCTAATATTCATTCAATCATAACAAGAGTTCGTCAACAATTATGCTTGCACGGATTCTTCAGCTGGTAGAGCAGGATCATGCCAATGGGTATCTAAGTCCATTTCAGTGGGTCTCAAAAGTTTAGTGCGATGGTAGAACTTCCAAACAAGATACAATCCTAACACGAGGGGAATCTCTACATAGTAACTTAGAAAGAGAGAAAATCGGAAAGGAAAAAAACTCTTCCATCCTTGTAAGATAAGGAAAACTACGTTCAAAACAATCACCAGATGTGGTCCTATGGGATAAGTCCAATTGGGAAAAAGAAGTCGATGAGTTTTTGCTTGCACACGTAATGCTTTCCTGAATCGCAAGCTAGTAAATCCAATAAAGGTCCAAGATAATTGGTTAGATACAGCGATAACGTTGAGCAAAAACGACCATGTCTTCCCGGCGTGCGATGATAACAAAGAAAAAATCGCAAGAATGCTTGTAGCTAGGACTGCAAGCCATGGAATGCCATGACGATTGCATTTGGAAAATATCTTTGGTGCATGTCCAGCTTGTGCCAAAGAGTACAAAAGGCGAGTTCCTGCAAACAGCGAATGGTTGCCTGCGGAAAGAGCTGACGATAAGACAACCGCATTCATTAAACTAGCTGCTCCAGGTACCCCAAACTTTTGGAAAACGAGTGTAAAGGGTGACATTCTGATGGAATCTCCATTCAAACCGGGTGTGTTATACGGAATGTTGATACCAACGACAATAACACCAAGAATGTACAAGGTCAAAACACGATATGACATAGACCGTATAGCCTTTGGTAAGCTTTTGACAGGATTCAGGGCTTCCCCAGCAGCAATAGCGATCGATTCTGTACCTGCAAAAGCAAATGCCGCGTTTACAAAACTGCTTATAAATCCACCAACACCGTTGTGAAAAGCACCAGGGTCTTTCCAGTAGCGGAATCCAATAAACTCGTTTTCTTTGTTAACTCCCATATTCGTAATAACTCCGATAACACAAAACAGTGCGACTGTGAAGACTTTGATAGCCGCAAGCCAGTATTCAATTTCACCAAACCCGTCCACTGGAAGCATATTCAATCCAATGTTGACTAGGAGTGAGATGATAGGTGTAGCAGTGCGAACAATTTCTCTTGTACAACGAATTCCGACATTCTCAGAAAAAGAGGTATTAGCAATTGACGGTGTTGTATCAGGAAGCCAAAAGTCAACCAGCAATCTAGAAGCCAATACATGGCTGGCTAAAGCAATTGTATCGTTCAACCAGTAATTCCAAGTAAGGGCAAAGCTGAGAGATTCATCTACATATTTGCCAACATAGGTACAAAACGATCCTGCTACAGGCATATAGACAGCCATTTCGCCTAATGCTAGCATGGTACAGTAGACGCTTACGCCGATGATGCAAAACGACAAAAGGAGAGCCGCAGGGCCCGATTCAGCAAGAGATGAACCAATTCCTAAAAATAATCCTGTGCCAATGGTTCCTCCAAAGGCAAGCATTTGGATTTGCCTTGCACACAAAGAGCGTCGTAGGGAACCCACTTCTACAGTTAAATCTGGTTGCATAAAGAAAGTAGTAGTAATGAAAGATTCAATTTCGGTTATTCTGTAAAGAAAGTAAATCAATTGTTATTATGGAGCAATCCTTAATCGTTCGTTCGTTTCAGTAGACGGTAAAGGAAAGATGATAAACATCCATAAATATCAGTAAAAGGACGGTAGAAAAAACAAGCGATTCTCAAGTACTTATATATGAAATAAAAACAATAATTTTTCTGTTTATTTGTCAAATAAAAACAAAGTCATCGATTGTACAAAGTATCACGAATTGACCGGTGAATCTGATATCTTCTTTCTAAAGATAATAAACAAAACGAGTAAACACATCTTAAACAAAAAAAAAAAAACGAACAAATGCTGAATATACAACTTGCACTAGAATTTCTTTTGCTATGAATGAGACTTTTAATTATTTTGCCATGCAACTGTAACTGGAATCATTGAAAATGAACAAAGACGAATTCTTTTTTTTCTTTTTTTTAATAAAGTTGTGGATGAAAACAAAAATAACTTCTTGAAAAAAGATCAATTGACGACAACGGCAGGATTCGAACCTGCGCTCCCAGAGGGAATCCGCTGGGCTACTTAATAGCAGGCGAACGCCTTAAAACCACTCGGCCACGTTGTCTTCTTCTGCTATTAAGCTTATAATGTATAATATTACGAAAATTTATTTGAATGGAATCTGCAATAAAGTGATAATTGTGTTGTACAGTCATCGCCTGCATTATGGAACGTTGAACATTGACAATGTGCTTCTTTACAATTGAGATAAGTTATATTTATAGTATTACAATAGGGTTTCGTTTTGTTTTTGTGATAAGTTCTATGTTTAGCTGCTCTTAAATTCCACAGCTATACGAAAGGTTATGCAGACGCTGAAACGTAGATAAAATATGAATATATATATATATATATATATATATATATATATATATATTATATATAATAAATAAATAAACAAAGTAAATTAAGTAATAAGTAAACTAAAAAAGTTAAAAAGGTTAAGGGTTAAAGTTAAAAATTAAGTTTAGTTAGTTAGTAAGTAAAGAAACGAA